ACTTTAACTTTAACTATTAAAATCTTTTAAGCTTTATAATAAAAATAAAAAAATTTATATAAGCTAAAAGAGAAACTAATTAAAAATAACTTATTTAACTTTAATAAAGCCTATATAATAAAAAAGTAATTAAATATATATCTATTAAAAGAGCTAAAATATAAAAATTAAGTTAATTAATATAAAGGTATTAAATTAAGTATATTATTATATTAAATAAAGAATATATAAAGTATATTTAATATTAATATACTAACTAAAAGCCTTATTTAATTTATTAATTATAATATAATTATAAAACTAATAGAAAATAATTATATAAAGTTAAATAAGTATTTAAAATAGTAAATAAAAACTTTAATTAAAACTTTAATATATATTAATTAACTTAATAAAAGTTAAGTTAATAGTTTTTATAAATAAATTATTTATTAATAATATTAATTTTAACTTATAAATTAAATTTATAATTATTTTAATAGTTAAAAATAAATAATAATAAAATATATTAGAATATAATTAATAATATTATTTATTAATTCTTTATTAAATATAAATATATTATAAAGAGTATATTAATCTTTAAAATTTATAAAATAATTAATAAATTTAATATAATAATAATTATTTCTATTATACTTTATAAAGTTATTAATTATTTAAAATAAACTATATATTTTTATTATTTATATAAACTTATTCTTACTATATAAATATTTTATTAAATTAAAAACTATAAAAGAAATACTTAATAATTAATATAATAGTATTTTATTAATCTTATAAATAAAAAGATTAATAAAATCTATTAGATTTATAAAGATAATAACCCTACTAATATAATAATAAAGTTAAGATTAAATAAAGCCTTAAAAGTTTATTTTATTAATAAGCTTTATCTTAAAGTATAAAAATATATTAATTAAAAGTATTAAAGTTTAATCTTTAAAATTATTTATAATAATACCTTTAAAGTAATTAATTAACTTAATAAAACTAAAAAGTATTAAAATTTATAAAAAAGTAAAATAAAAATCTATAAATTAAAAATAAATAATAATTAAAAACTATAAGGTTATAAATTATAATAAAAAAATTAATAAAAGTTTAAATTTATATTATATTAATTATTTATATCTTACTTTATAAAATAGTACTATTAGCTAGTAATTAACTTTATATTCCTTTTAAAAGTAAACCTTATAATTAAAGTTTAAATTAATAACTTATACTAATAAAGTTAAAAGTATAAATATTATTTATTATTATATAAATATTTAAGTTACTAACTTATATATAATAAATATCTTTAATTAAATTTATAATTATAATACCTATATTATTAATTTATTTAAAAGTATTATATTATAATATAACTAATAATAATATAATAATAATAATATAATAATTTAATAATAAACTTTTATTTTAAAAACTATAAATAATTAAGTTTTTATTTTTATTAAATAATCTATAATATTAAAATTAAGGTTATAAAAGTTTATAAGGTTTATAAAAATCTAAATTTATATTTATTTATATTATTCTATAAATAATAAAAGTATAAACCTATATATATATTTAAAAGTAGTTACTTATATATTTAAATCTAAAATTTAAAATAAATAATCTTTTAAAATTAAAAATTTATATAGGAAAATAATATATTATTCTTAACTTTTAAAGTAATAATTAAAATTAAAATATATAAATTAAACTTCCTAATAATAATAATAATACTTTATATATACCTTTATTTAATAATAATATAATAAAATAGAAAATTATAAAACTTTAAATTAAAATATAAAAGAACTTAAAGTTTAACTTAATTTTATAAAAAAATTTTCTTATATTTTCTTTATAAATTTTAAATAAATTAATATTATAATTTTAAAACTATTAATATAAATTAAGCTAATCTAATAAATTAATAATAATAAATAAAGTATACTTACTTATATAAGTAAATATACTAAATAAATTACTTTATTAAGTATAGCTTCACTATACCTTTTAAAGAGTAATATATATATAACTAAAATAAATATAACTATATTATAAATAACTCCATTCCTTTCATATATATATATAGAAAGCTAACTAATAGTTATAATACTTTATTATTATATATAATATTTAAATTTATAATTTTAATAGTTTTATAAAAAATTATTAATAATTAAATTTATAATTATAAAAATAAAGTTTTATTTTAAAAAATTATTAATATTTAAAATAATTAATATATTTTTAAAAAAGTTATAAAATTATAAATTTAATTTAAAATATATTAAAATATATAAAAATCTTAAATTTAAGTTTAAAACTTTAATTTAAAATTTATATTTATAAAAATAAAAACTTTTATAAAGTTTAAAAAAGTTTAAATAAAGTTAAAAATTAAATTAAATTATAATATAATAAAATAATTAATTAAAAATTAATTAAAAATTATAATTATAAATTTTTAACTTTATATTTAAAAATAATTATAATTATATAGTTTTAAATATTTTAAATATTATATTATAATTAATTATAATATAAATATTATTATTTAAAAGAAAGATTTTAAATATTTTAAAATTATTTTATAATAATAATAATAATTTATTTTAAAAATATTATTTAATATTTTAATAAATATTTTTAATAAATATAAATAATATTTTATTATTAAAATTATTAATAATTAATTAATATTAATAAGTTTAATTTATATATAAAAATAATTAAAATAATATATATTTATCTTTAATAAACTTTATTTAATTAAATATTAAAATATTTAATTAAATTAATTAAACTTTATTAATTAAATATAATTTTTATATATATATATATATATATATATAAATTATTTATTATTTATTTATAATAATTAATTTATTATAATTTATAATTTTTATAATATTTATTTAATTTAAATAATTTATTTTATTATTAATAATTAATTTATAATTAATTAATAATTAATTAATTAATTTATATATAAATTATTTATATTTTTAATTTTATTATTAAATTAAAAGTAAATAATTAAAGTTTTAAAAGAATAAAATATAATATATTTTAAAAATTAATTAATTAAATTTATTATATAAAATTTTTATAATAACTTTATAATTATTTATAATATTATTTATTATTAAAAATATTTTTATATTAATATATTAAGTTATATTTAATTTATTTAAATTAATATTATTAACTTTAATATAAATTAATTTATAAAAATTAAAGTTATTATAAATTATAAATTAATTTTAATATTATTAAATATTATATATAAGGTTATTATATAATTTAAATAAATATAAGTTAGTTAAAATAAATAAAATAAAACTATTATTCTTTTAAAAATATATATAAGTTTTAACTTTATTTAAATAAATATCTATTTAATAAACTTAGAAACTATTAACTTTATAAATAAAACTATTTAAAAGTAGTTATTTAATTAATTAATTAAATTAAAAATAATTAAATAAAGTAATTATACTTTATTATTTAAATTTATAAATTTAATAATTTTATTATAAATAAAAAAGAAATAATTATTAATAATTAAGTTTATAATTATATAAAAATAAACTTTTATTTTAAAGAAAAGTTATTAATATTTAAAATAATTAATATATTTTTAAAAAGTTAAAGAATTATAAATTTAATTTAAAAGAAATTAAGATTTATAGGAATTTTAAATTTAAATTTAAAAACTTTTTAAAATTTAACTTTTAAAAAAATTAAAAGTTTAAAAAAGTTTAAATAAAGTAAAATAAAGTTATAATAATATAATATAATTAAATAAAAACTAATTATAAAATTATAATTATAAATCTTTTAATTTTATATTTAAAAGAGAATTTATTTATATATAAAAATAATTTAAATAATATATATTTATTTTAATTAATATTTTAATTAATTAAATAAGAAAATATTTTAATTTAAAATTAAATATTTTATAAATTTTAATTTTATTTTAAATTATATAAATTATTAAAATTATAAATTTAAATAATAAAATATAATTACTTTATTTTAAAATTATATTTTAATTAAAAATATTATATAATAAATTAAATAGTTATTTTTAAATAATTTTATTTATTTAAATAAAATTAAAACTTTAATTAAAAAATAATAATTTTATTTTTATTTATTTAATTAATTTATATTTATAAAAGCTTAAATTATATAATAAATTTAATATTTATATATAATATTTATTAATATTAAATTAAATAATTTATAATTTATAATAATTTTAATTATTAATAAATTAATATAATTTCATAAATTAATATAATTTAATATATTAATATAAAAATACTTTTAATAATAAATAATATTATAAATATAATAAATTATAAAATTATTATAAAATTTTATATAATAAATTTAATTAAATTAAGTTTTAAAAATATCTTATATTTTATTTTTAAAATTTAAATTATTTTATTTTAATTTAATAATAAAATTTAAAAATATAAATAATTTATATTTTATTTTTAAAACTTTAATTATTTATTTTTAATTTAATTATAAAATTTAAAATATATATAAATAATTTATATTATTAATATTAAAAATTAAAATAAAAGTTTATTTATAATATATTATATTAAATACCTTTATAATAAAATATTAAAATTTTAAAAAATTATAATTTTAGTTTTATTTTATATATATTTAAAAATATATATTATATTTTATAATATAAAAGATATAATAAAAATTAAAACGTTTTTATAAAAATTATAAAAATATAAATAAAGTTATTAAAAATTTTATATATAAACTTTAAATTATTAAAAAGAATTATATAATATAAAAAAAATATAATTTAAATTATTTTATTTTATAATTTAATAAATAATTTTAAAACTATTTATAAAAATATTAAATATATATAATAAGTATATTAATATTCTTAAAAGTCTTCTTTATATATTAATATATTAATATTTACTTAAATATAAGGTAGATCTTTATTACCTCCGCTCTTGCACCTTAGGCACAAACACCCAGAAAATGGTTGCCACCACCAGTTGAGCCAGCACAATAGGTTGCAGGACTTGCACACCAGCTTTCCCGGCAATCATGCCAGTCAACGAAGGGAAGATAGCAGCGCCCGCCTGAGCAACCACAAATATGAAACCTGGTGGTAGCGTGTTAGTGTTCAATGCTGATGTTCAATGTAACTAGGTAGGCAAATAGGAGGAGGAAAACGAGTCGGGGAGTTATCTTACTAAGAGCGGCGGACTGGATCTTCCGCGGGAATATCTTGGACGCAACTGAAACTCCCTGTACACAAAGCGTCAGCGCCTTGCCTGGTATATGGCACAATAGGATGGCTCGCCGCAGACACCAGCCTCGATACTTACAGTTGCAAAGAAAGGGCCTTGGAAGAAGCCCATAATACTCAGCGTAGTGGCTCCGGCAATGATATTGGGTACCAGCCAGAACACAAGCTGGAGGCATATACTGATGACAAAGTAAAGGAGCATCATAGGCTTCTCCCCAAATCGGTGTGTTGGCTCCGGGAGTAGGAGACGGCCCAGAAGCATCCCAGCAGCCTGGCCGGATGGGACGTATCCTACCTTTGCGACATCTCCCCCTCTCACCTCGACAAGATAACTTACAACCCAGCCTGAAACATGTAGTCAGCCATTGTGAAGGGTCTTGACCAGACTATGATGAAAAGTTGTGCGCGCAGTCCACGACAGGATGGGACGCGTATCCACTTACCACCTGCAGTCTGGGCAGCTCCCAGGGCAAAGAAGAAGAACAGGCTGATGAGCCAGACATCTTTCACCTTCAACATAGTACCCATGTCTCGAAGAGCAGACAAGGCCGTCTGCTTGTCCTGCTCTTCGCGAACGGACCTGCCCGCCCCTTCCTCAACGCCGCTTCTCAGCACATCGTTACTTCCCGGCCTAGACGCCCAAAGAGTGTCCCTAAACGCAACCACCACCCACACAAGGTTGACAACCCCAAGCCCAACAGTGACGAAATATGTCCTCTTCCACGACTCCTCGCCCCCGACAAATCCAGCGCCGCTCCCGACGGTCGGGTTTGAGGCGATAGCGGTGGCCAGCAAAGGCCCGACAAGCAGTGCCAGCGCGTACATGGCATGGATGAAACCCAGCCACCTGTGCGCGGCCCGGACGCCGCTAACAAATGTGTTACCCAGTGCGTCCTGATACGCAGTGCCCACGCTCTGCAGGAAGAAGGAGACAGCAAAAGCCGGCAGGCCGGACCAGCCAAAGGGGCGTAGCACCTGGGCGGCTAGTTGGAAAAAGGCGCCCAGGCACAGGAGTTGGCCCAGGCGCAGGTGCGGCGCGAGGGCCGGGTTGGTCAGGGCGCCAATCATCCAGCCCGTGAAGTTGCACGCGTACCTGTAGAGAAGAAGAGTAAGGATTCGTTAGCCTGACATATCACACACACACATACGTGATTCTGGAGAATTGGTAAGGAAGCACAGCGCTCGACTTACAGAACGGCCACCATACCAGTCCCTATAGAAAAGGACTTGAGCAGGTAAGGAATCAACGGGCCCAATGTGCTGTCGTTGATTCCGGCACAGAAGAAGGAGTAGCCAACGCTGAAGATCTTCAGCCAGGGCTGCGGCGGCTTTTCTACCGTCGTATCCTGCCTTTCTCCATGCGCCGCAAAGGTCGAACCCAGGGGCGTCCTCGAGGACGAGTCGCCCTTTTCCGCATCTGTCGCCGGATGGATGACGGGTCCTCCAGGCTTGCGAATTTGGCGAAGCTCATGAGTGTCGAAGCTCTCGGTAAGGCCGTTCCCGATGGTAGTCGTCTGAGTAGACGTAGCCATGCTGGTCGTCCGCCCAGAATATGCTGTTCCGGACGTATCGATGCTCTCCCAGTTCGTGACAGTGCTTCATGTGTCTATTGCCTCGACCGGCAAACAGATTGTAGACCTTGACAAATAAAGAGCCCAGCACAGATGTGTTCTCTCCGAGTCGAACAGGAGGTGCGGTCGACTGTGTGGGCGGGAAAACTTCGGCTAAGCAGTGTCGTCGATCGGGGACAGAGGAACGGGCCGTATAGCCGGCTCATTGCTCACGGTCAACATCATCTGCTTTACTCGACTTTGTGGCATTACGGGCAAAACTTCGGCAGTATGTAGTGTGTGTATATTCGCAGTGGATGCTCTCAGATAGCAGTGCTATTCTGTCGTAGCCCGTTAAACTCGATTCTTGGCTGACGTTCTGTTCCTCGCCTGTCTAGACGACCCGACAGCCTCGATGTTTCAACTGCTTTCACACGGTACAAAGTTAGGTAGGGAGGACGTGCGTGGTACGATAACCAGCCAAGCACTCCGCGTGTTCCTATTTTTCTTGCGTTGATCTTCTGTCTCTTCACGGGAATGCTACACGGAGCACGCTGGACAAGCTCGCCCACTGGTGGGCATATCTGTGGTCCTCTGATTGCCTGCTCGAAACTCTAGGGAGGAATACGTAGTCGTTGAAAGTGCACGAGCGCCGAATAGGCAAGATCTGGAACCTAATCTCTGGCATTGACGCGGCAGACGAGACTCAGCCTCATGTGAACTGTTGCGAAGACAGCCTCGAGCACGATAGCCCGCTTGGTCAGGCCTACCGAGGTCGTGCAACCAAGTCCAGAACAGCACGCCCACAGCTAATAATAAGACCGCGCCGCGTTTCAGCGGAGACCATCATTAATTGTGTATCAGCTACAGCATTCAGGATGCAGAAGAATCCCACACTTCTCTACCGAGACTTTTGTGCCAGGATAACCGCGCCGTGGGCGTGGATGTACACAAAGACTCCCAAAGCGACATCGACCCGCCCTCAGAAAATAGTGCGAATAATCATCCAGCGAAGGGGAAACACTGTTCCTCGCCTCTCCACCGTGGGACGGACCGTGACCATGTCTCAACTGCTGCTCCTTCTGAGACCAGCCTGTCTCATCGAGGCACCCACCTCCGAGAGAGGGTCTCTCCGGTGCAGCAAGCCGTCAGCGGCCTGATATCTGAGACAGAGGCGGCTGGCCGTTGCCTCCTGTCGCGTGGAGGCAGCCCGCGGAGGCCGCGTGGGAGAGGTGCTGTCAACGGCTGCAGCTCACAGCGTTGAGGGTCATCCGAAAATGCCAGCTGCCGGAATACCTAGGTACGTAAGGAGCTGGGCGAAGGCTCCCAGATAGAGCAGACTGAAGTAGCACGCTACGGCGAGGTTGGGGTGCCACCGGGTCCCCGGAACACGCCAATCAGGACGGTCCTAGGCGATGCGTTACAGGCCTGCCGCCTACCGAATCTCGCAACATCGCGAACTACGCGCAATAAACCATCGCAACTCGCATGAATGCTCACTTGCTTCTTAGGGATGCAAGTCAGCCGCAAGAGACAAAGAGATCGTCTGCTTCCTGTTCCAGTCCATGGCTTACAGGTGGCTGATTAACCACAATTGGAAGAATCGCCGGTCAAAACAAATCTGAGATGTGACTCTAGTCAAATGGTGCGCACTTGCAACAATCCACCGCAGCCCGATTTCGAGACACCATATCAGGGAAAAAAAAAACACCAAAAAAAACCCCCCCAAGGGGTGACCTGACTTGGTGCACCTTGAGCAGCCGCGATGAAGCACCTAGTGATGATCGGTGCGTGCTACCTTGACACTATTCTCAGGTGAGATATCTCGATCCCGTTGCGCCTACCTGATCAGAACGCCAGCTTACGCAGATGTGATTGATTTCCAGCGTCCCTTATTACCCCGAAGAGGACGCCAAACTACGCGCCACAAGACTTACGGTCCGGCGAGGTGGAAACGGCGGCAACTCACTCGAGGTGCTGCAGCAATTCCTGCCGACGCCAGCGGATGTCGCCCTACATCTCGTCGCAACGCTTCCGAACCGCCACTCATCAGCCACTGCGAAGGTGATCTCATCATTCGGACCAGGCTCACCGATCGATCTGAGCCACTGTATCTACCGAAATGACCAGACGGAGGCGGCTAGCTGTTGGATCATGTCTAGTCAGGCGACGGGTACCCGGACTGTTGTGAGTCACAACAGCCTCGACGAAATGACAATAGCAGAGTTCGTCGACGTAGCAGACGCGTTCCGCAACGAAGATGCCGCAGACATGTGGTGGCATTTTGAGGTATGTCCAAGACAACTTGTTTGGTCTGACAGGACGATCAGAAGAAGAGGCGTCGGGCTCAGGCAGGATCTGCTGCTGTCTTGCGCTTCAGCAACTAAAAAGCCACGGCTGAATGATGGGAGTGGCAGGGTCGCATCCCAGAAACGAGTCTTCAGTGTATCCGACACCTGCGCCTTTGTTACCCACGGTCTCGCATCAGCGTCGAGATCGAGAAGCCTGCGAGGCAAGGCTTGCGGGCCCTAGCTGCCGAGGCTGACGTTGTGTTTTATTCCAAGAGCTGGGCTGAGGTGAGTCGGACGTGGAACTCAAGGCCAGACGGGTCGGCAACGACGGACAGCTCAGCTTACCAAGACGGCCAGAGCGAGGGATATCCAAGCGCCGAGGCTTGTCTGGTAGGCGAAGGGATGCAGACACTTGGGGCGTAAGTCCGACTGTAGACTTTGGCAGTAGCCTGCTCACCTCCCAAGTGCCTATATGTTACACCGAGACTCAAAGTACTGTTAGGACACTTCTTTGTTGTACTTGGGGCGCCAAAGGAGCCACCGCCAAATCGTCTGCGTCTCAGCAATTCTTCAACGCCACGCCAGAATCCAGTGCAACCATCCAAATTGTCGAGTATGAACGAGCGCTCCTAGCCCCCCCCCCTCTTTCACTCGCGAGCGGCCCACTGCTAAGTGCCCACAAGCAAGAACATGTGCATGAAGTTGACAGCATATTCTGCAGCGCTATAGGTGCCGGGGACACGTTCGTGGCGGGGGTCCTGTATGGTCTGCTTTGCCGAAGGGGCGACTGGACCGATCAAGAGATAATCAGATTTGCCGTAAAGCTTGCTACAACCAAGGTCCAACAGGACGGTTTCGAAGGATTGGCGCACAAAATGTCGTCTGCAGAGTGATCGGGGTTGGGTTTGAGTCAGGATAGCCGGTCGTGGTGGAAGGAGCCGGAGGCAGCTGGATCAGTCGTGTGATTGCATGAAAAGCGGAGGGCTGGAGTTGCTGAATACCTAGGTAGGAAGCCAAGTATGTGGTGGGCTTTTGCTCTCGATCCCGCAGTCGGACAGAGTGGTTTGATTACAGCAAGCCTGTCCCCCGGGGGATCATTGGAGCACAAAGCCCGCTCAGGAGGCTTGCGTCACAGCGTCCAGCTACCTGGATAAATCTCGGCCCAAAATGACCGGTGCCTAGAAGCCTGCTGCTGGATCGTCAGCAAACGGTCCCAAGTCATCCCTCGGGATGTCACATCACGGGGATCTCAACAGAAGTCCGGCTAACAAGGACCAACACGCAACCACGGGAACAAGCGGTGTACCGTTGTTTGTGAATTCCTGGCTAGGCGCCTGGATGGGAGTTGATCCGAACAATGGGTGGCAACCGACCCCTCCCAAGGTGGCTTCTTGTGGTTCCCCGCTGAGTGCCCTCGAAACTCCTTGTATCCCGGAAATAGCGTTCAAATCTAAGGAGCCATGCCCCTCACCTCGTGAGGACTTCCGCCCGTTTCGATGACGCTGCAGAAAGGGGGTATGATAGATTAAAAATGTGCCTCACTACCCTGCCGTTGCAGCCAGCCTGCGGCGCGACATGGCAACCTGATGCGGGTCAGGGGCGAGTCGCCGCGAGTGGTGCTCAAGGCGTTTCTGGCCTCGGATTGGACAGCCACAACAGAACACTGGCGATCTTCCTGCTTCCGTGGGTCAAAACATCACGCAGCCACCGCGATCCCGATGTCTAAAAGGCCGCTGCAACGCTGCAACGCTGCAGCGCTTCGACGAGGCGCAGGATGAGCAGACGAGAATGCTGGCACTGGTCCCTGCGGCACGCACGCACTAGAATCTGATCGCAAACTCACGGGCTTTCATTTGGCCAAGGAACCAGCCTGCCAAGTTCGTTCCATTACCGGCGTTGCTGCCCTGTAGGTAGATGGAGCCCGGCACCGAACATAGTACGGTTTTCTTCATCAGGCTGCCCTCACAGTATGTCGCACTTGACGACATCGGTCAACTGTCGTGTCATGCTGGAATGTTGAGCGTCGTTTCGAGTGCGAGCTAGGGTCAGTCAGCTTGGGATTCAGTCCTCGAGTCCTCGCGGCGAAGCATCCTTTCTGGGCAGTCTTCGAATCACGCACGCATCCAGGACTTGGCGTTGACGAAGGATTCAAGGTTGATTAAGGCGGAGAAAGGTTGTGAAATGCGCCATCTGCATTGTAGCATGAGCTGTACCGGAGAGTCCAGCAGGAGTCAGACCGCCTGCCTCGCTGGCACTGGAGATTGACAGGGTTCGACCAAGATAGTTTCGCGCCGCGGACGTCGTCCGATAATTTCAGCCACAAGCCGCATGGGAGCCAGCATTCTGCCCCCCCCAGCCCCCAAGGTCGAGGCTGCGGCGCTCCGCCGCCATAGTGCATGCGACGGCTATAACACGAATCATGTGCCGCTCATGGCAAACGGTGGTAGCTACGATCTGGGCTCCGCTCTTAACTTTTTGGTTGGCCAAGCGGTCTAGGTACTCACCCACTGAACGCCATTGAGCTCGCTTGCTCGACTGGGCTGTATCTAGCACTTCGCGACAGACCAAGCACAAGCCCATGCTTTGGCTGTGCACACGCCCAGGCATTCCTCGTGGATGCCGAATCTTTGAAACAGTGTGTACCAGCCATTATCTGCCGCTTGTGGAGTGCGAGCTCGGGCTGGCATCGGAGCACGAAACGGTCGCTTACTTGTGGTTTCCCAGTGGTGGAAGTTCGAGACCCGAGTTGTCGGCGGACCAGTGTGGCTGGACACCGGATGATGTTTGCCTGTCCCTGGTGCCGTCGATACCATCCATGGGTTGGTTTATTACGCGTGTTTGGGCACATTTGGGTTCGACTGTGCATTACCTTCGGTGTATCAACGGAGCCTCCCGGGGTCCTCCAGGTCCACGGTCAGTGCTGGCAATGAATCCCAGCGGGCATGTGCGGCACAAGTCCTGACTTCGGCAGGGTATCGTCTCGGACGTCGCTGCGCTACAGACTACCATCGAGGACGCCGATCATAGCGCTGGACGATTAGTACTACTAAGTTGCATACTTGTAGTGGGCCGTCGCGGTGATTGACATGCGTGCATTTCGGTGAGACGTCAGTGAAGTCGACCGGACATCGGCCGCGATAGGTTGGGTGGCTGACAAGTCAACGAGACAAGTTCGGTACGTAAATGGAGCCTGGACCACTATGTCGTGGGGTAGCCAGTAATCCGCAGAGGTGAGCGAAATTGGGCCGGTCGGTAGGCTAAATAGCCTTCCCACATTCGTGTTAAGGTCTCTGGCAAGCCGCTGCACTTCCGCGAGGAGCGAGGCAGGGTACGATGAGGGATGGGTACGACTGGTTGTGTGATCGTCGAACTGGCCAGGCCATTAGCCGTAACCGCCCATCAGCAGAGCGAGGGATTTGACGATCGAGCGAAGGACTTTCAAGGAAGTACGATTCACGGCGCATCCGCAGGGAAATGTCCGGTAAGTTTCCACAACCGAAGCCCGTACTGAGAGGTAGATGTGTGGACCCACCGGGGTGGATGTGACGGGGTCGAAAATCACAGCCAGCGCAGTGTGGGGGCCCGCAACACAAAGGCACAACAGCACAGGGTCCAAGGACGGTTCTGAGCATACGCCGAGCGAGCCGGTGACGGTGGAGAAGGCACCCCTGTGTTAAGGCTGGTCTGTTCAGTGGGTACCATTTATTGAGTGAGTGGGCGGGCAGCGTGTAGTCTCAGGGCGGCAGTCAGGTCACTGCCAGTCAGAACGACGTGTCCTGCGAGTCAGCACATTCTCCGACAACCCGCTGGGTCTAGAAATCTGTGACGCCGTGAGAGACGCAAGGGGGGACGTCCCAGCGGTAAATTCTGCAAAGAACAGCGAAGACGAGATGAGGCACACATTGCTGCAGATCTCTTCCCGAGGCGTACAAATTGCTTGTACCGGTCGGTATTTGAATTCATTCCGGGGAGTTTGCGGCACTATCTGATGGAGTGTATTCGAGGCAACTCTGGTTTTCGATCTGACGTTGACGTCCGTGGTTCAGCAGACCTGGGTCAAAACTTTGTTAGAGTCACATCACACTGCCTCTGTTGGACCCGTGGCCGAGTGGAATCAAACAAAAGCCAAGCATCGCGAAGAAACCATGTAGTGCATGCGGACAGGCTGTGTGCCGGTGGCGAGGTCCCATCAGTGCGGCAGGGTAATCGATACCCTGCATTTCGATCCTCTGGCAGCCAGCCCCCCTGTAGGTTGTCATTTTTTGAAGGCACCAGGCATTCGACGCGAGGTACTGACCGCCGCCCAATAATAAGTGATATCAGATCTCGCCGGGACCTGGAGACGCCACCTTGGAACGGCGGCCTGGTCGCTCAACAGTCAAAGCTGGGACAGGGGCCGGGGCGCATCTCCTAGTGTCCAGCCATCCTGCGGCCCGTGGCACAGCCTAGGTGAACCCATGACGATGGGCACCGGCCGGAAGGACATCTTAGGGCGACTGCATTGTACGTGGCCCACGTCCATGATTGGTCTTCTTTTGGCTAGCTTGTGAGCATGATGTATCGGTCGCTGGAAGGCATCCGACAGGAACCTTTGCAGTCAAAGTTTATCATGCCATCGAGCAGCAATGGTGCCCGATGTACATCCGAACAGGCGCGCATTAGCCTCAGTAGCTGCGACTCCGCCTGGCAGCTAGAGGCGTGACGCAGGATGCGGAATTTGGAGGCATCGCTGGGCAAGGGCCGATGTACCAGAATGCTAAAAGTGAAGCATCGAAGGAGGAACCGTAGCACTGGAGCCCATGTACCTCGTTTCAGGGTATGCTCGACAGGGATATGTGGCTGACGAGCTCTGAGATCGACCTTCCAATCTTTCCAGATGAGTTCTTTCCGCATCAATCCCTGTCGTCATGTACTTGGGGGGAGGGAGGGGTGGGCCACGATACGGGGGTACAAAGTGGCCGTGGAGTGGCTCATCCAATGAAAGCAAGGTTGAGACAGGGCTCCGCTACCGAGGCAAGATGGTCGACGTCGTGATGCATCGCTTGCACTTTGTTGGTCTAATGTGTCGTAGGAGACGAATCTGCTAGCCTGGCCGAGCGATGACACCCGGTTGCTGCTGGACCGACTTTGTGCTTGGGTATAAGCCAAAGCTTTGGGGAGATGTGCAGCGGACGAGCAATCCAAGGAGTTCGAGAGAGGACAACAACCACACGCGAGGATTAGCGTCGGCCGGCCCCGTTCTTGCCGACCTCGAGTGCGGTTTTGCCGGTGGCTGAGGAGGGCGTGTGTGCACAGTCGAGGACATGGACTTGGTGCCCCGCCAAATAATCAAGATTGGAGTCGAAAAGCCAGGAAACAAGTCGCTCACTTGATTAGTGCGACTTGAAGCCGAAGTCAAACTCCACGGGCTCGTCTCGCTAGGTAGGCGTCGAGGCCCTCCGTTGACGAAAGATGGGGACTTGGTTTCTAGGCTATGCCGGAGATCGACATAGTGAGGAACCCAGTGTGCGACTCACAGTGACAGGAGTACTTGACGCTGGTCTGCCGAGCGCGCGGCGAACCAAGGGCAGCACCCCTGCACTGATCACCATGCCTGGTCAACAAGAGCCTACGGATGTAGCCTCACAGAAGGCAGGCAGGCAGGCAGGCAGGCAGGCAGGCCGCCCAGGTGCGATCTCCAGCGGCGGGTTGCAAGTGTTGCACAGGGCCGACTCGAGTTTCGAGGCGCAAGTCATTCTCAATCAAGGCAGGCACGTCGCCATGGAACGGCTGGTAATGCAGGGTCTGGGTCCGCGTGCAAACAGTACATAGTGGGCGAGTTGAGACAATTTCGACAGGATCGGGATTTTACAGCGGCCACACGTGCTCACGGAGACATGGCTCCTGGAACAGCCTCAACAGGTGCAACCTGGATGGGTTGGGTCGGTTGTTGGGCGGCCGAGTCTCGAGGCGGCCAAAGCATACAAGGGGGCAAGCGGCCATGACGAGGCGAGGACCCGGGCGATTTGGAGGCGTCTGAATACTATGCTAATCACGGGGCCCTCAAGCTCTATCCGAGACTTGCCCGTCAGCTTTGACTCGGAGCACACTGCGCACACAGAGCATTGTTGCACCCTGGCTGCCTGGACGAAGGAGGGGGGGAAGGTGGAGGCACTGGAGGGGCCCCAAAATCGAAGGCTGTCATCCGCCGACCAGTTTCAGGCCGCCGAAAAGGCAAAAGCAAGCTTGGACTGAGGACTGACCATCTTGGGCTGCTTGGTTGGAGCCAGCCAGCCAACGGCTGCGCGTGTCGAAGAATAGACCCGGGGCTGTGGCTACCTTGCCGGGATGCCGGGATGCTGGGATGCTGACTTGGAGCTGGCGCCAGGATTGGGCGGGCGTCCCCTTTCGCAGACGGCGCAGGACGGAGTAATAATAATACTATAGTCTAGACTCTAGACTGCGGTTTGAAGTGTGCGACCGACCCGGGACCAAGGACCAAGACCAACAGGTCGTCGGATGGAGGCGCGACAGCACGGCGGCGACCTGCCCCTGTGGGGCACGGTTGGAGGGCAGCATAGGACCGGTGGTTGATGGGACGAGTCTGGTCTCGTGTCTCGTGCTGCTGTTGGATGGCGCATTCGCAGGTAGGGAGCATTCTCCGGTGGGGGGCCATGTCATGCTCGGGCCCTCATGGACGCCCTCCCTTCCGTGTGCATGGTTTTTCTTTTCTTTTCTTTTCTTTCTTTGCCCGCGTGCACGATGGCAGGGCGGTAGCTGATGGTCGTGAGGTATGTAGTAAGAGGAATGACCGCAGCCGCTACAACATCGCAACTGCGTACTGCGAGGTGGGTGCATGGACGGTGGGCCAGGTGTGGTGGTCGTGGTGGTCGTGATCAGATTTGGCGACGGCACATCCAGTCAACAGTGTGCCCGAAAGGTACGTACCTCCGTGCCTGAGTGTCCGAGTGTCTGAGTGGTGATCCAAGCCAAGCCAAGCCTGGCGTCAGGGTGGAGGTTGTAGGTATGTCGCTATCCGGGGTGGGGCAGCGGAATCATCATCCTGGGCAGGGAGGAGGGCCGGTACGGAGTACTGCACTACTGTGCTCCGCAGTCAACAATGGGCGGGTATGGTGCTGAGTGCTGAGCTGATTGCCGTAGCGTACGGAGTGCACTAAGAGCGCAATCTTACGTAGTCGGCCGGCTGCGGCGTAGGATTGGATTGACGGAAAGGTTTCGTTAGAGCAGGCCGTCCGTCTGAGACGTCAATGGAATGGCCGGTAAGCCGGTGTGGGACGCGCATGGTGTGTGCTATAGTGCCGTAGCAGGCGCGAATATGCAAGTGCAAGTGCAAGTGCAAGTGCAAGTGCAAATGGGAAGGTGCAGGTGTAGCAACAGCAGGGGGGTTCAATGTGTCGGTGGTCGAGCAAATCGTGAGCAACAGACCAATGAGGCAGCCCAGACGGACAGGCAAAATGCCCTTGGGCCACTGGCTGTGCCGCACGCCTGGGGTGCATCTACACGCGGGGCGAACAGAAGTGTGTGCCTCCGCAGTGTTGTGTGCACTATACGGCGCATGCTACCTACCGTGGGTGAGATTGTGAATGACTGACTGACTGACTGTGTTTGGTGCAGCACGTGTAACAGTGGCACAGCACAGTCTGGTACAGCAGCAGTGTGCTGCGTCAGCGTGGGTGGCTTGGGAGCTGGGCCTGGAAAAGACTGGAACTCAAAAGGAAAATGGTGGCACACTCACTCGGGCCCAGGGATGCCACTAGGCCAGCCAGTCGCTACCGCGGTGTCTGGGCGTGTGTACCATCGCATGTATCCCCGGAATGTACTGCCTGTGTCGGCTGCTCCCTGGCGGGCCAGCCTGACCAGGTGCCTGCGGCACGGTACATGATCAGGACCTGCAGAGGCAGGTGGGTGCCTGCAGTCTGTTATTACTCGGAGGTGCGCGCGCACGCCTCGGGTTATGGCTGGCCCCAGCTCCCCTCACCAGGGTGGGCTTCCTGGGGCAGGCTTCCTGGGCTGGGCCTGAGGAGGGCTGGCAGGGGCAAGGCGGCCACGGCCAAGTCCTCGCAGCGCTAACGATGAGGGCGGGCACTCGCCTGGAACTTCATTTTTAGGTGCAGGCCCATTCCATTTCCGCCTCGGGTAGCAGCCAAAAGCACCAACCCCAAGCCAGCGAAACGCCCTTACACGCCCCTCCCTTCCTGCATCCCACACACGGTACACGGTTCACACCTGCCCGCCTGCCCACTGCCCTGCCCTGCCCTGCGCCCTTGTGCCCTGCACCTGCCCCAGCACCGCAGGCGGAATTGCTGCTCCTTGCTGATGCTGCGGCCAGGGCGGGCGCGTGTGATGGAGCCTGCCAACCTGCCAGCCTGCCAGCCAGCCTGACTTGACCCGTGCAGCTGCCGTGGTGATCGAGCCTGCGAGCTCAACCTGGTCGACTCATCTTTCGGGCCTACCTGCCTTGATTGGCATGCAACACGGACTGATCAGCACCGCACCCTACACCCTGCCCTCCGCGACCAAACCACCACCACCCAACACACCCACAGCACGATCCTCTCTTCCTCCGTCACCGCATCCGCACCAAGAAAAGCCCGCTAGCCCGGCCAGTCCTGCCAGTCAGCCAGATGCCAGACTGCCCTTGTTGGACCCGGCAGCACTCGGCCGCCGAGCCCAACAATCCTGTCGCTGGTGATCACACTGCGCGTTCTTTTCTTGTGTGATGGCGAAACTCTAAGAGAAACAATTCGCGCCCGCCCCTAAAATGAGACGGGTCTGTGAAGCCAGCCCGCCAGCCCTGCCAGCCTCCTCCTTCCAACCACCCCAGGCCGAGCGAGACCTTCAAACCTGAGGGAGTTGAGAGAAAAAAAGCACCCTCAGCGTCGTACTTGAGCCATCCCAGTCCAGCCCTGACCACCCGTGGCCTGCGATCGGGCGGCGGATGCGAGGCGAAAAGTATCACGAGCCCGTCTGCCCGTCTGCCCGCCTGCCCCCCCAGGTCGCACTTGCAGTTCGATCTACTTCCCTGTGCTGTGGTCTAGTACGCACCGGCGCAGGGAAGTAGATCGATGAGCCACTGCTTCCCGACGCAAGCCTTTGGCAGACAATCAGCCTTCCGTGTCTAGAAGGCGGCGTGTCTGCTAGTAGACGCCTGCTTGACTATGTGTAGACCAGACAGACGACCAGCGCGACGCACGACGCACGACGCACGACGCACTACGCACGCCTTACTGTGGTGCAACTGCTCTCGTCTCCGTTCTGGACGGGGCGCGCAGGATGGAGAACTGACCTGTCAGGCAGTCAGGCTAGCAAGATGGCACCGGGGGGAGGCCAGCCAGCCAGCAAGCCAGCAAGCCAGCCAGCTCATCACCACTCTGGAAGGCCCCTCTGCGCAGTAACCATTCATTCCATCATGCGGCCGCCGCACGACACAGGAAAGACTAAGCTCGGCAAAGGCGGCCTGGGCTGCCCTGCCCACGACGCGTAATAAATTGTGGCCAGGGACACGAGCGACAATCATGGACGCATGCAGGCGTGGGCAACTGAGTCCGAACCAAGGTGCCGCCCCGCCACTAACAAGTGGTCCCCCTACCGGCGGAGGAGATTCGTCTCGCTTACACAGTAGTGGTGTGTCAGGCCTTGGGGCGTCAGGTGCTCCGAGGATGTGCGTCGTGCCAGCTCCTCCAGGACTGCAGAGCGAGCCCACACATTCTGACACCGCAGCGGCACAGCGCCTGCAGCCAGCATCATTTTGGCCCGGTCCCATCGATCCTACAGAGTCGAGCCTGCTGAGGTTGCCACCCAAGCATGGCTGAGAGGAGGGGGGGCGTGCCCCGTAACTTACGACGTCGCAGGGCCCCGCGAAGCTACCGCCTAGTAAAGGGGGTACGGAGGTACTTTTGTACACACCGAGCAGCGCACCAGTGCATGGTTGCAGGCGGGCCCAGGAGATTCTCCTGGCCTGCATCTCTGACTGACCCTCGGCCCGTCATCATCACCCCGGCCACCAGCGCCCATCGACGGCGCCAGCCTGCGACCAGCACTTGCTTAGGTTGCATATTCCAAGGGTGCGCCGCCATTGTGCTCTCAGACATCACCTAGACAACATTGCACCCTCTCTGGTGATGTGTCGTTTTGTGCTATGCCATTCCCGACTCCCGAGAAACACACGCACACACCTCGCAAACGAAAAAGACACGAGCCACCCGTCGCAGGCAACAATACGACCGGCCCTCGACCTGGCTCGATCACGGCGCCAGGCGGTCTGCCTCACGGGCTCAGCTCGCAGGCGAAGGCGGGCTGGCGGGCTCACGGGCTTGCGGCCTGTTGCGGTGCGGGTGCAGTGTGGTGCAGTGCAGTGGCCCACAGTTTTGTTCCTGGAGAGTATCATGATGGCGTTGTTGTTGTTGATGTCGGTCTGGGTTTGGGCGCCAGGGCGCAAGGCTGGTTTGGCCCGGGGCCCGGGGCCCCCAGTCATCTCGACCATTGACGTGGTAAAAACAGAAACCGGTGATCTTTTTCCACGATCGAAGGGATCTTCCGTCCAACCTTGCAAAGTACCGAATTCGCCAGGAGCAAACCCATACTACGGCGCCATGACTGCACCGACCCCCTGTTCGTTGACAAGTCTCACGCCGGGGCGGCCAGTTGGCACGGGTTTCATTTCCATGTCTTTGCCTGACTTTGCCCTGGCGCGCTGACTTTGTGGTGTCAGGTTGCAAGCACACACCCCTCCCCCCCGGATGTCTTCCTCATGCACGCCCCCCCCCTACGAGCCCATCGTCCCCATTCCCGAGGTCCCAGTCCCCACTGTCATGTTCCCATCTGCATCTGCATCTCAACTCCATCCGACCCAGATGCAACCCCCCTGGGGCCTGGGCAAGGGCTTCTGGCTGTCTGGGTCTTCACCCCTTGTCCGCCATCCCACATGCCAGCATCCTTGCATGCAGCCGTTTTTGGATGGATCACTGCGCTCAAAAGTCTTGTGGAGTTCTGCAGCCTGGCGCACCTGTCCTTGCTCGCAGGGCGGTGTCACTATTGGGCAAAGGCTACCTTCCCTCAGGGCCGGTCTCGAGTTCTGATACGGGGCCACCTCAGGACGGACTCCAAGCCGCCGCGAGAACGCTCTCAGGCCCAGGGACTTACTTCATTCTTCGCCTTGGTCCTTAGACATCCCGGCCCAGCACCGTCCTTGCCTCGTACCTCCGTGTGTGCCCCCCCCCATGCCCGCCTGACTGAGCCCCACAAACAGACACACCTCACACGGCCGCTGCCAAATTGACGGTGCCGAACAGACGGGGCGCCAGGCCTGGCCCCGGCAGCCCTTGGTTTGGCTAGCCTGTGGCCCATACCACGCTACATGTGCGTTTCCTCTATCCCCAGGGGCCGGTCCCAATCAAAACATTCCCAGATCCAACCGTCGACCGGGGTCGCTCCTCCAACCCACCAAATACCGGTACCTATGCACATCGCGAGCCTCAGGGATACGGCGACCTGCTCATGCTGCAGAGTACCCTACCGCCCTTTGGCTCAGGCAATCTCGCGTCGTGCTTGACCCCCTCGCGACTTGTCTTACACCGACCTAGATGTATCCTGTTTCGTACCGCGGCTTGTGAGCTGCCATGTACGCTCGCTGCACGGACAGCCGGCTCTCTGCAACCAACGCGGGCGGCGGCTGAGATGCCTCGCAGGTATCCCAGTGTACCTCTGTACATACTCCCGTCATGTCTCCTGCTTGCGTACGCAGCTTTGAACCAGCCCCAGCCGAGCTCTCAAGCAGCCTTCACGCTTCGGTTCCGCAGCACACACACAGGCCAAACCTAAAGGCTTTGTCCGATGCACAGGTACAATGATACGGGGTGTGCTATGGTACGGAGTACATCGTTCACCTCAGCTTGGCCCGCTTCACCTCAACCACGCTTGACAGGGCTACTGCTTGCCCGCCCTGCCCGCTTGTTCCCTCCTGCTTCCATCGGGCTTGTACCGAATGTGGCAGTCGCCCTACCGTCCCCAGTCCTGCTAGGACACAAGCAGCATAACACAATCATCCCTGCAAGTTCGATATGACGCAGGCGGCCAATCCTTCACAGCATGCAAGCTCTCTTTGACCCGAACCGACGCATCCACCCTTGACCCCATGATACCTCCCACCTAGACATCCACATGCCAAATGGCCCCGTCCACATCTCACTACTTTTGTTCTCCGTGCCAATACGGCAATGTCACTCCTGCCCAAACTAGCCTCGATGTATCCTTCGAACCATTCCACATGGCCCCTTTGCTTCCCTGTCCCTGTCTCAACGCTCGCGCTCTCCTTTATGGCTGGCCCATTCCATAATAAGCAGTCAGAGACCTCGATCTGCCTTGACAGCCACCACGATGATATATACTAATAGGCTACGGCACTCCATGCACTTCAACCCGTCTCTCTCGTCAACACACCACCCAACAACTACAAACCCGCCAACACACACAACACTGTCAACAACATGATGCACTCTTTTGTCGGAGCCAGCCTGTCTGGCGTGCCGTCCTTTCCCGCACAGTACACCCACGACGCCTTCCTCGAGGACCTCTCCAGGCAGATGGCAGCATCGGCCAACAGAAGATACTCAAGGGGGTCGAACGGTGCTCACACCGGAACCGCAATGAGAGTCGCCAAACCGTCCAGCGCCAGCAACAGCCCTCGCAACTCGCTCGTGCAGCAGCGGCGGCGGACGATGATGAACGACCCGGCCTTCATCCAACGAGCACAGCAAGTGATTGAGCAGCCATACCTGCCCACTCCTGGCCCTGAACATTGCGGCAACTCCTACTATGAACCTGTCAAGAAGGCTCCCCGCCCAGTCAGCTGGCACCCATCAACCATGCCGCAGACTCAACAATACATGACGCCAGTATCAACACAACCGGCTCAGTACCCCTTCCCATCCTACTGCGACGTGGATTGCTATACCGCCGCGCCTGCACCTGCACCTGCTCCCGTCCAGTTCCCACCCACACCCGCCGCCTATTCGGCATACAGCTCGCCGGCGTCGGCCTTCTCCCCCTTGAATCTCCCGTACTCGACCTACGATATGCCCCAGACCTACTCATCACCCAGCTGGGATGTCTCTGCCTCAGAGGCGGCCACCATCCCGGAATCAACTCTTGGTCAGGCCCAGTACTCCTTCACCCCTGGACCATCATGTGCGCCTCCTCTGCCTAGCTATGTGGCGACGTCGCACTCCCCAGCAAACTGGGCAAGCCTGGCACCTCAGGCCCCCCCTACTCCAGAGGACCCGCCCAAGTCCCAGCAGCCGGAGCCGGTTCTTCAGAACGACGAGTCCACCTCGTTCCAAGGTCTGGACGAGAACGACGAGGAGGAAGAGGGAGATATTCTAATTGGCTTGGGGCTCTACGACCCGCCCGAGAAGCTGCCATTCAACAGCGAGGGCGGTCTCCTGGGTGCATCTTTCGACTACCAGCCAACCGGAAAAGGCCTCAAGCTGGAAGACGCCTGGGAGCCACCAGTCAGCGATGACGATGACGAAGATGAGGACGGCGAGGGCGAGGCCGAAACAGCCGACGAGGAATAAACAAACCTCACAAGCACGACGCATGACACGATTATGATGAGCATCTTACGGAGTTAAATTTTTCGTTTTGTTTTTTTATCCTGGGAAAGCCAACGGAGTTCACTTTGCGGCAGCCTTTTGTTCTTAGCAAGGGACAAATGGGCTACGGGTTTTACAGAGGAACACATTTGATACCCCAGGTTTTACGATAGAGACCAAAGCAGCATCACTGCTGATTTTGTAAGATACACTACTGCGATTTGGATGAAGACCAGACCTGGTTACGAGGGACAAGGCAGGGGACGCAGCGGTGGGAAGGAAGCAAATCAGTGTACGAGTCGAAAGACGAAGAGACCAGCCTTTCTGGCCTGATGCTACAGAAGGCACATCAATGTAAAACAAAACCCCAAAATCACTACCTACTGTTGCTGGCTCTGCCACGGCACTATGACACACCAACGGCAATGAATCGTGACAAGCTCTGCATTGTGAGAATCCAACAAAGCTACCGTGACTGCAAGCCGTATTAGAGACACGTCTGGCCCAGACGGGTTACCGGCAAGACAGTGCCGTTCCGGGCGGTGCAAGTGCAGTGTCCCGAGTCACGCCCGCCCGGTCGACCAAAGACCAGCGCACCGCGGGGGGCAGGGTGGGTGGTAATCTTGATGTCACAGAGTCGTCGAGGTGGGAGAGTGAGAGAACAAAACAGAAGCGATGGTTGACGATTGACGACTGTCTCTCTGTGTCTTGACCCCTGTATTGTGGCCCAAGCAAGCGAGGCAGGAATCCCAGAACCCGGTCGAAACTTTCTCAGGATCTGTTTTTTCCCTCTTCTTTGCCTCACCCTCAACATCACACTGACACAGGCAGAAATGCAGAGAATGGACGTTGCTTGATACGGCGACAGGGGTGTGGGATATGGGCGGCGGAGTGAGTGGTGCGAGTGCTGATTGGCAGGAATTGGATGTGGTGGGTTTCTTCTTTCGTTTTTTTTTTGTTTCCCCCCCCCTCCCTCCTGCTCCCCGTTCCCTCTTGTTGATCACGGACGGGGCCTCCCCTTACCATGCCATGCATGCATGCATGCAGATGCAAGAGGGCAAGGGAAGGGGGCGTGCGAGGGGGTGTGTGTGGGGAGGGGCGTGTGCGGGCGGGGTGTGGGATATGGCAAGGCCGTGTAGGGTACGTACCTCCCTGTCGAGGACACGGCTTCTGACGCTACAGGGTACGGGCAGAATAGTAACCCCACCCAGAAAAGAGCCGCTCAATAACAAACTGATGAGCAACCGACCTTGCGATGCGAGGTAGGGTGTGGGGCTAGGAAGGAGAAAGAAGGTTGCCGTTCGAGCGACCGACCGACCTTCCCCTGCCCCTCTGCCCCCTCTGCCCGGCCAGGCGCTGGGTCAGGGATGGTCATGTTTGGTGTTGCACGGGTGGGTTGTGCGCGGGTGTGTAACTGTGCGCCCCGGTTTTTCCATGTGTGTCGGGGTGGGTGGGTTCTTGGGCGGCCCAGGAGCCAGCGTGCTTGTTCAGCTGGCTGGCTGGCGATGTGGTGCTCTGCAGGGCCAGGCCAGGCCGGGGCGGGCAGGCTGGCAGGCTGGCAGGCAGGTAGCACTCCGCATGCTTTCTTGGGTCCGCGCCGCTATGGGCTGGTACGTGTACGCGGTACTATGCCTCAAGGCCGGGGCCCTGGGCCCCGCTGGCATGGTGTGGCGTGGCCGATGGAGGTGGAGGTGGGGATCTGCCTTTTCTATGGGCATGGATGGGCAAGGATGGAAAGAACACAGACGGGGAGGGAGGGCGAGCCCGCGCCAAGAGGGGGAAGGCGGTAGTGCGGAAGTCTCCCGCCGGCGGCTCAAGCGTGTACGAGTACCTGAGAGCGACCCCATCGGGCTCGGTTCGAAAATTTTCTCTTGACGTCGCTCCCGCTAGCAGGTGGAGGTTGAGGTCGTTTCCAGTTCGGTGGCCAGGTGGTCCTTGCGCGGCAAAGATACGTATCAATACGTATCTTTGGGCCGCCCACGCCTCTGATGCAAGCAAGCATGAATGTGGACTGGGGTCGGTAGGCTGGCTCGGCTCGGGTCAGTGAGCCAGCCTGCCAGTCTGCCAGTGGGCAGATGATGACTGGGTGAGCGGCGGTACCTCCGTACCTCCGCGCCTCGACGCCAGTGCCGCCGGTACGTACCCAAGCGACAAACGACGGCGGCCCCAATGAGGGGTCGCCAATGGGTGATGCAAGATGCAAGCTGAGGCAAGCCCGCCGTTATCGGCATCGTGGGGTTGGCGTCACAGCGAAAAGAGCCACCTCAAAGTTTTCCTCTCGCGTGGTATACGGCATTACAGTACAGTGGCGGTCAACAAAGTGCCGGTCGCTCACCTCACCCGCCAGTCAATCAATCAGTCAGTCAATCAATCAACCTGGTGTGACGACAACAAACACGATCTCTTGTCCAGAGCCAGATCCTCCCCCGCCATCCCCCGTAACCTGTTCCACCCTCTCGGACGAAAACCCTCCAGCAACGATGGCTTCCCAACAGTACGTGTGATCTCGTGTGTCGCAAGGAGCACGCAAGCAGCCAGCCACCCATCACTCGCTCACTCACTCTCACTCACTAATCATGGATGTGAGAATGATGCTGTGTTGTTGTGCCATGCTTTGAGGATGAGGCGGGGCAGTCGGCTAACCCATGGCCTACCTCCCACAGCAAGGTGCTCATGCTTGGCGCCGGCTTCGTCACAAAGCCGACTCTAGACATCCTCAGTGAATCCGGCGTTCAGGTTACAGTCGGTACGTCAAGTCTTCGTGTCAAAACCCCGTCTCCTACTGCGCAGCCCCATCCGGTCACCTGGGCCATCGTCCCAACCACCCCCCTGGGGTTGCCGCACTCCCCCAAACGCCCCGTGGCAGGCTCCAGTTGTCTGCGTCTGACTTGACTTCCCTCCTCCCTTCCTTTGCGCCACCCAAGGCTAACCTGGCCGGCCTCGCCGCCTCACAACAGCCTGCAGGACCATCCAGACCGCCCAGCAGCTGTCCGCTGGCGTCAAGAACGCACAGCCTCAGGCCCTCGATGTCAACGACGCACAGGCCCTCGACGCTGCCGTCGCCCAGCACGACCTTGTCATCTCCCTGATCCCATACACCTTCCACGCCAAGGTCATCCAGTCCGCCATCCGCCAGAAGAAGCATGTCGTCACCACCAGCTACGTCAGCCCGGCAATGCTGGAGCTGGACGGCGCCGCCAAGGAGGCCGGCATCACAGTCATGAACGAGATCGGCCTCGACCCCGGTAGTAAGCAGCACCCCGATATCACGTGAAGCCGCCCAACAATACCTGCTACCCCAGGTTCATGATGGGCAGGATACGTGGCGTTCAGACCGTCGCATGTGGGAATATAGTTTGCGACGCTCGGATAGCTGACACGGCATAGTCGACCACCTGTGGGCCGTCAAGACCATCGAGGAGGTCCACCAGGCCGGAGGCAAGATCACCTCCTTCCTGTCATACTGTGGTGGCCTCCCCGCCCCTGAGGCGTCCGACAACCCTCTGGGCTATAAGTTCAGCTGGTCGTCGCGAGGTGTGCTGCTGGCCCTTGGCAACACCGCCAAGTACTGGCAGGACGGCAAGGAGGTCGAGATCGCGGGCAAGGAGCTCATGGGCGCGGCGAAGCCCTACTTCATCTACCCAGGCTACGCCTTCGTCGCCTACCCCAACCGTGACTCGACCCCCTACAACGAGCGCTACAGCATACCCGAGGCCCAGACCATCATCCGTGGCACCCTCCGCTACCAGGGCTTCCCGGAGTTCATCCGCACGCTGGTGCAGATCGGCTTCCTGACCGAGACCCCCGTCGACATCCTGTCCAAGCCGACCACCTGGAGGGAGGCCACCAAGGCCATCGTGGGCGCCGCCTCCTCCAGCGAGGAGGACCTCAAGAAGGCGATCCTGTCCAAGGCGACCTTCAACTCGCCCGAGGAGGAGAGCCGCATCCTGTCCGGTCTGGCGTGGGTCGGCATCTTCTCGGACGAGGAGATCACGCCCCGCGGCAACCCGCTCGACACGCTGTGCGCGACGCTCGAGAAGAAGATGCAGTACGAGGGCGACGAGCGCGACATGGTCCTGCTGCAGCACAAGTTCGGCATCGAGCACGCCGACGGCCGCAAGGAGACGCGCACCTCGACCCTGGTCGAGTACGGCGACCCCAAGGGCTACTCCGCCATGGCGAAGCTGGTCGGTGTGCCCTGCGCCGTTGCCGTCAAGCAGGTCCTGGACGGCACCATCACTGAGAAGGGTGTCGTCGCTCCTATGAAGTGGAGCGTCTGCGAGCCCATCCTGAACGAGCTCAAGAACAAGTACGGCATCAACATGGAGGAGAAGACCATCCAGTAAGTTCTGGATCCAGGTCGCCGTGTCGACTCGACCGGAACGTCTATCCGGGGATGAAATCATCACCCCAATCTCAAAATACCCTCCCAAAAATGGTGTAGAATCAGGTAGAGAAAATACCACGAATAGACAATGCAATACTGGAGATGGCAACTAGGAAGTTGTGTGTGTGTGCGGCGTATAAAAATTTACTGTTCGCATGCTGCAGCTCAGCGCATTAAAAAAAATCGGACTTGTAATATTGCCGCGAAGATTTGGGGTCAATTTTGACTCATCAAAGAGTAAATTGCCAACGTGGATGAGGCATCGGACATGTGTTGTTGAGACGCCGTTTCTGGCCGACGGGTGTGAAGTGAGAATTTCACTGTAGACTTTCAGCCACAGAGCCCAGCTGGAAAACCAACCTAAGAGCGCCAGAATCACACCATCAGCCCGCTCATCAACGACTGCAAGCTTGATAGGGAAAGGCTTGGAACACCAGATGAACGACTTTCTGTCCAGGGCTTAAATCAGTCTTCCTTCATTCAGGGATGGTCCAGTTCGTCTTCACGCCCTGGCGCAACCGCGCCGAGCTGCTCAAAGTCCGCAACCAGCTCTATCCAACATCATCCTCAAAGTCATGTCCAGCCACGCCGCCGCCGCCGCCCACGCCACACCACAAATGGACCCCGGCCGAGGTGCAGAACATGCGCAAGGCGATCGCGCGCGTGTTCATGTGGGTGCACCGCGGCAACTGCCCGCACGTGGTGGAGTCGACGGCGATGCTCCTGTCAGCGGTACTGCTGGACCGGCGGCACACGGCCTCCAGTGACAGAGGCGGCGACGGCGACGGCGACGACGCAGCAGGCACAGGAGATGCGGCCATAAGCGAGTATGGCGTGCGCGCGGCGTACCTCACGGCCTTCACGCGGTTCGTGACGGGCCTGCTGGACGGCCACCAGGACAGGGCGCGCAAGCTGAGCATGTACGGGGTGGCCAAGACGGTGGGGCTCCCCGCGGGCTTCGTCGAGCTGCGGCACCAGGGCACGCACGAGCCCATGCCCGGGCTGGCGCAGCTGAGGCCTGCCGCGGGCAGGGCGCTCGTCTGGATCTGGGAGTATTACTGGAGGAACCTGCCGGATGTGGACGACGCGGAGGGGCCCTCACGGGGGACGGCTGCTGCTGCTGGTGGTGATGGTGGTGCGTCCGATGAGAATCCGGGGAAGAAGAGGCAGCCTGTGGTCGCTGTGCCTGCTGCTGCTGTTACGTCTACGATAAAGGGGCGCATGTGCCGCGCCGCGCTGATGGGATATCTGCAGAGGCAGGAGGGGGAGGTGGGCAGTGATGCGGCGAAGCAAGCCTTGACGAGGCAGTTGGGCCAGTGGGACGACGTGCTCATATTGAGGGCGCTCGAGGAGATAGGACAGACCGCGAGGGACGCGGGCATATTGTCACGGTCGGTGAAGCTCTCCAGGGAGATACTTCTCCGGGCTAGGGGTGGCGATGCACAGCAGGGCGAGGACAGCGAGACGGCTTACGATATTGAAGAGATGAGGCAAGTGCTGCGTCAGGCCAGAGAGGAGGCCGAGGGCGAGGCGGGCGGGATCGAACCTGGCAAGAGGAAACGGGATGGGGCCGACGATGAGGACGAGGCCCCGGGCTGGAAGAGGTGGAAAGGACCGTGGACGCCGAGGCCGATAGGGATCTTGTGAACTCTGGTGGCCACCCTACTTGGATTATGGACCGAGGGATTCTTGAAGACTTGGGGTTTCAAGGTCTTAATTCAATGATCACTTCATACTCTTCGTGTCAAAGGAGGATGCCGGGATATAATTCCCCGAATTCGGTTGCCGTAAGATAGCACCTTGTGTGCCCGAGTGCCTGAAGACGAGCTATCTACCCATGAGGAAGACCACTCTATGCCTCATCGCTGTCCGAGTGCCAGCCTTGTGTTATGTACATACAATCTGCAGGCGGAGTTAGTGGGCAAGGTCCGAAGCAGACTCGGCCGGGATGGCATCCAATAACGTCATTCCGATTGGAATTGGTAATCCAGCTGTAGATGCATGTCCTCACAAAGAGGAGAAGTTTCATGCATTTTTGGGATCCAGTGCCGCCATACGAGTGATGCATCCCGCAATCTTTCGCAAAACTGTTGTTCCATTGAACAAGAATCTTGGTCCTCTCACAAGAGCCGTAAGCCGCCCCCGCCTGCGGATTGCGCCTTTTCTACCAGGGGCATCCAGCCTGACTGACAGCCCGTCGACGTCTTAGTTCACACCAATCCGCGCCATGCATGTCCAGTCGATTCCCATGTGTACGTCCCTCACCTCTACTATGGGCCGTTGTCTGGTCGCTGACAGGCAGTCTGAAAGGGGTGGGCAGTAGCGACAACTACGCCTACCTGGTCACCGACGACAAGACCAAAGATGCCGTCATCATCGACCCCGCCAACCCTCCCGAGTGAGTGTCCCGGATGACCTCGGCCTTCACCATGTCTTCTCACATTTGAGCGTTAGGGTCGCTCCCGTCCTGAGAAAGGCGATAGATAGCGGGGAGATCAACCTCAAGGCAATAGTGAACACACACCAGTGAGCCGCTCCTATCCATGCTGAACACGAGAGTCCAGCCCGCTAACACCGCCGACCAAGCCACTGGGACCACGCAGGCGGCAACAAGAAGCTGCGCGAGGAGCTGGGCCTGCCAGACCTGCCCATCATCGCCGGCAAGGGCGCCGAGGGCGTGACCAAGACCCCCGCCGACGGCGAGAGCTGGACGATCGGAAGCATCGCGGTCAAGGGCCTGTACACGCCGTGCCACACGCAGGACAGCATCTGCTGGTTCATGGAGGACGGCGACAAGGAGCGGGTCGTGTTCACGGGCGACACGCTGTTCCACGCCGGCTGTGGCAGGTTCTTCGAGGGCAACGCCGAGGAGATGAACACGGCGCTCAACAAGACCCTCGCCTCGCTCCCCGACGACACCAAGGTCTTCCCGGGCCACGAGTACACCAAGAGCAACGTCAAGTTCGCCGTGTCGGTCCTGCAGAACGAGGCCATCAAGAAGCTGCAGGCTTTTGCCGAGGCGAACCAGGAGACCCAGGGCAAGTTCACGATTGGGGATGAGAAGGTATGTGCTTGGTGGCCGGCCCGCGGGAGGTGTCAACATCTCATTAACTATCTCTTGTTCTACAGCAACACAACCCATTCATGAGGACAAGCGTAAGTTATGGACCCCGTTCGTCAGTCTTTATCGTTGCTAATTGGAGTCAGGATCCCGAAATACAAAAGGCCACCGGCAAGACGGATCCGGTTGAGGTTATGGCAGCACTGCGTGAGGGCAAGAACAACTTCAAGTAAGTCTGAGCCGGGAGCGAGTCAACGCCCGAGGCCTGGCTAAGAAGCCATGGCAGAGAGCCGAGCAGCACAAGGCTCTGATTATTAGCGAGCGAGCGAGCACGCACCATGTAATCACACAAAAGTATTCAAGAGCAGCGGAGCGGCAAGAAATGGATTTTTCATGATTTGCATGCTATCTGATATCTAGCTGGTGTTGAGGGGTGTTCCCATGTCAAAGCAGTCGCCAATCTCTGGGTTGAGAATGGGCAACATCGACCGAGTGATGGAAGAGTTTGATCTTGCTTCAGTGTCCACACTTTGCCGCCCTGGAGTTATAATGATTGGAGACGGAAAGCTCTAGCTATTGAAGAAGCGATGTATGTTCACGGGGAAATGACAAGAGTGGTCCGGTACTCGACTCGGGCCAGCATATTCTCACCTCACCACCTCCCAAGGCAGTTCATCGGACGGCTGTGAATGCGATCGGCACCGTAAGAGGACCACAGGTCGACGACGTCGCTTGAGCATCGTTGCAATCCTCGGCCAGAATGAAATGCACTCGACTGCCAAACCCTCCAATTCTCTCCGGCGATAGGACAAGGACGGCCTCAGGCATGTTCGGGGACGGTAGATGCCACAATTGTTGATGGCACAGTCTGATAGTCGAATGCTTGGCTTCGACCATTGCCGACTTTCACGTCGTCCGTTCGACTGCCGGATTGAAGCATGACGACAGATGACACGAAACCCGCATCGTGGCTATCGTGGTATGGGAGGCCCTTGTGCATCGCACATCTCGAGTCGTTGTTCCCAATGTGCCGGGGATGTTGGGACGGAGGTCAGTTGACGCGTTGGAAAGAAGATTGAGAAGGAGTTTTGTAGGAAGAAATTTTAAGCTACGGAGTACTGCTGTAGGCTGTAGCTTTCCCAGCGGCCCGGCAGCGCTAAGAACAGCCGCACCCAGCTGGCAGGCGCATCAGGTGGGCCGTTCCTGCCGCCTGTCCTGGCTCATGGACCCCCACCTTGACATCATCCAAAAGGCATCCATTCCAGTAGATCACATTTCAGCAACCTCGCGACATCGACACGCGCCAACGCGCCTCGCGAAGCCCACCATGGTAAGTCCCAGGAACTCCCGCCTGGAACACTGCCGCCGATGTCTCTGGCAATTTATCTGACACCCATGACAAACAGCCTCCGAAACGGAAGTCCGGGGGAGCGGCCGAGTCAGGCGCATCGGGCAAGGCTGCGAGGCAGTCCAAGCTCGCCAAGGAGCACGACATCACGGCGCAGGAGGAGGCTGAGATCAAGGAGGCCTTCTCGCTGTTCGCGGAGCCCATGGACGGCGAGAAGGAGGGCGTCATCCCCATTGACGACGTCCGACGGGCCATGATGTAAGCTTGGTTGTGGTTTCTTCCCCTTCGCTGTCCGAACACCCCTTCATCCGCCCGTCCACGGCCCCAGCGCAAGTCCTCTCCAGCCGGCATGGCCCACTCCCAAGCAAGACCCAATTTTTGGCTGACATATTCTCGTCCGACCAGCGCCCTCGATATCCCGCCAAAGGACAAAGACGAGCTAGCCGATTTCACCGAGGTCCTCGACCCGGAGGACGAGGGCTACGCGAACTACTCCTCGTTCGTGGCCATCTGCGCCCTGAAACTCCACTCGCGCGACCAGACGTCCGACGCACACGCCCGCGAGGTCGACGAGGCGTTCGCGCTGTTCACGGGCGGCGACCCCGAGACCGCGGCCGATGGCGGCGTCATCACCGTCGCGCACCTGAAGAGGGTCGCCGCCGTGCTCAAGGAGGAGGTCGACGACGCGCTGCTGCGGGACATGATCCTTGAGGCGAACGGCGGGGCGGGTGTAGGCAAGGGCGTCAAGAGGTCCGAGTTCGACCATGTTATGAGGAGGGCGGGAGTGTGGAGATGATGCTGATGATGAGAGGTATCGCCGCCACGCCACGAGGACATGAACAAGGTGTGAGATCTTACAACATCGCCCGGCACGAGGCTGTTGGTAATCTTGCGGACCGGCGTTCTGGACAGCTCGCCACTTGGACGAATGATCCTGCCGCAGCTGGCTGAGCAAGAGCAGCTTAGTGGTCACGGCGAGATAATGCTTGGTCGTATTACACGGAAGCCCCAGACGATCTCTGGGAAAGGGCGGTCTGCATTCAGCTGCTTCATTCAGCTGGAGCACGTGAGGGATGGCCGGAGAGGCAAGCAGCCGAATTGGGTCCAGGAAAGAGATAAGGGGTTGTCCTGTGTCGATATCACGAACGAGCCCGCGCGCGCCGCGCACTCGTCATCGCGCACATGAGCCGACACTGGTGGTCAATGGGGTCCGCCAGAGATCTGTGCCATATTTGTGGGCAAGAATCTCTCCCTTGGCTCCCACAGTGTCACCTACACGACCGCGTCTGCCAGGGACAGAATCGAGTGGTCATATCTGGCCCTCAAGTGGGCAACAAGAAGACCATAATACGGTCTGGACAAACCGCGCACCCAGAGACGATCACAGAGGCGCTGGCCAGAGGAAACTTTTCGGAAGGATTATGAGCTTTCCGGGTATCAATTGAAGTAATGCTCTGAGCCTGCAACGAAGGACATTTACGCGAATTTGTTGACTACCTGTGATTGCCAGTGAATAGAAGGCCTTGCAACAAGGCATGGGACCAACATCAGATCCAGATCATGCGAGGAGCATCCAAGCAGAGCCTCACCACGATGCCATCGTGGTAGACAACCCAGTCTTGATCATGGAAGACGAAACACAGTCAAGTGCAACCCCATGGCGACCCCCGTCCCACGAACAGTTGACCCTTCGCCATATGGCGACTGCAGATCAATTGCACCATGATCACTGGGCGAGGCTGCTACGGCCTTCCATTCTTTATGTACGCTGTCATTGACCACGTGCGCTCATATCCGCCACAGCGCCTGGACTCAGCATAACAAGTCCTACCCAGGACTAAATTGCACCAAATTCACCAGTCCGACAGTCACGGCATCTAGATATCCTTTTCTTAACAGAATAGTCAGATCGGCACAGAAGTCGTCTGGTCAACTGCCAGTGACTGTCTCCCTATTAGCATTAAAGGGGTTTAAGGCCCTTCTGCCCGTTGACAGCACCTGCTCGATGAGAGTGGCGTGGGGTGCGCCTCAAAACACTCTGCTCTTAGAGTTTCTTTTCCTTTTGTTTGCCAATGTTCATAACTATTCTTTACGTCATAATGCTCTGTGCACGATCGACATGCTCTTAAAGGGTCCACTGACAAGCCGTTATCGCGACACGGCAGTCCTCGTGATTACAACACAGCTGGAAGACAGAAGACGCGCATAACGTCGATCACCACAAAGTCGCCATCGCATCATGCACACATAGTTCCTAACCTGGGCCAGTGACTCCGGACTTGGACAGACGGATGTTCCCCAATGACGTCGCCGCCATTGGCGGTCTCGGGGATCAGCGCATGAATCCCGGTTGGGAAGTCCACCAAGACACGAAACGATTATGCCGAGTGGGAGTGCCGACTCGTTACGGAATGGTCAAGAGCAGCCGCCTGCCACGCCCGCGGCCATTAATTATTGGGCGAAATCAACCATCTCCCGTCCGAGGTTATGGCCCCCTTGCTCTGTGCGGCGCCCGCCTGCCATACGGTGACACCCAGGCTGCCAGGCACCGTAGCCCATCCCGCCGGCGACAATGCACGTTCTCAGTACTCTGTCCCGCGGCATCTCCCTCAGATATGCTGATCGCCGCCGCGGGTCTCCTCTCCTGTTGGTGAGTCCTTCAACCATGGGATATAATAACAATAAAAAAGATAGAGCGCCAGACCGGCGCTGTGCATACACTGTGTAGGTGACATGCTATGCCGAGCCTGAATCAAGCGCCGTTCCGTCCAGCACCCGTCTCGGCGCATTGGGTACCGGGAGACGGCAGCCGCTGTGCACTCGACGTCCAGAGCTTCGCTTTTCCGCCAGACCACTCTCCGTGTCCCGCAGCGTGCCCTGGCCGTCTCCATATCGAGCGCGGGGTGTTTTTGCAACGCACAGTCCTCATTCGAGAAGCTGGGGTCTCCCAAGGGGCTCAGCCACTTGACCGCCGCGCAGCAATGACAAACAGATTCTAGGAATGGAGCACGTGAGGGGGTAGACCACAAGTAGAGAACTGAGGATTGCTGCTTGCTCGTCCTCGGCTACGGCGAGGATTCCCGGCCGGCGCACCCTTGCGAGCTTGGCGACGCTTCCTTTTTGCCTCCTTGAGCATTGGAGGTTGAACCACAGTACCAAAATGCCGCATCAGGCTCCCTGATCGCACCGACTTGCATTTTCGGGGGCGCCATCGTAAACCATGCCATGGCAAGCTGTGCTGACGTTTTCCCAATAGCCAAGGCGTTGTGCTCCCAATGCAGTCTTGCTCAGAGTCGCATTGATGGTTTCCGAGCAAACGGCGAGAGTCGAGCGTAATTGGCAAGGGCGGGTGTCGAATCCGGCATGGTTGCGATGATGCCAGCCGGCAAGCGATCTTCAGCAGTACTCCGTATACGACAGCAGCAATACTCGTGCTACACAGTGACCCGCAGTGTCCCCAGCAGCCCCAGGTAGAACCAAGTTCCTCGAGCGCAACTGCTGCTGCAGGCTGGCAGGCTGCCAAGGTTGTCTGCAGGAGACGGCGTGAGGCTCGATTCGGACCGGTCAGGGTCAGGGGACAAGGGCGGCAGAGGTCACACTGTGGCAAAGAGACAACGGTCTATTGACGTTAGCTTCCGGGCCCCAGGTCTGATTCCGGCGTCAGTACGCTGTTCTGTGCGGTGTGTGCACCTAATGATCCTCAGCCGTTCGGCCGGCGAGCCCAGCTGGTCGGGGACGTGGGCCGCGGGTAGGATAGGCAGGCTCACCGGAGTGGCCTGAGTGGCCTGACAGCCTGAGTGTGGTCCCGACCGCGGGGTTGCATGCGCCTCTAGGCCGCCTCTGGGCCACCTAGGCCATCGGTCCCTCCCTTCCCTTCGCCCCCAACCCTCCCTGGCCCACGTGGCTCCTGGAAGCTTGCATGTATAGCGTGTCTTTTCCAGGCGGGAAGTTGCATCTGAAGGCCCGAATCCTGTCCTTGTTGATTGGCACTAGTCTGGAGGAACCAGTGGTCTAGATCATCAATTCCAAAAGGGCCTTGGAAGTTGTGGGTTAGAGAGGAAACTGGTTCATTGTTCTCTTGACGTTTCTGTCCGTGTGATGGCGGGGAGTACCTAGGGTAGGCGAACATGGTCCGAGGGTCTAGAACACCCCACAGACCTCAGCCAATGATGGCGGCTCGAGTGGACGAAAAAGGGAACCAAGTGGGGGCGGCAGGAGCGCCTACCACAGTCCACAGTTTCCCTTTGCCCTAGGAAACTGCCACTGAGGATGTCGGATCTAGGATCTGGGATTTGGATCTTGCCTTGCAATCTGGGAGGGGACTGACTCTACATAGGACACCCTACTGCACACAGATAACGCAGGGGAGCAAAATGCTGGTTTGCAGTTTCAGCTTGGAGGGGGAAACGAGAGGACGACAAGAGCGGGGCATGTCTGTCCCGCCCAGGTGGTATGTACTCCGTAGGTTCGCTTGGGCAAGTCGCTTCCAGAAAATTGTGGCTTTCTGATGCACTGAAAATCCCAACGCGGGACTAGTCGTGGCAGAAAAGATGGCCTCCACCTCAAAGTCCACCTCCAAGCCACCCACGCCGATACCACGGCGCCATGATACGAGCATGGTCCACGATGGCGACAGGTTCTGATGCGGCCCCGATGCACCGTGGCCATCAATCTCAACAATAACAAACCTGGCACTGGTGTGACTCCGATTCCGCGGTGGTCGTGGTCGTCAAGGAGCAGCAAATTGCCATCTCGGCTCGCCTGACATGACCACCAGACCGTCGATAATTTCATCATGTCTTTCAATTTAACTCTCTATTGTGGACCGACCGCATCCTCCGTCAGGCGTTTTGAGAAACGCAGATATCAACAAAAGAGGTAAAAAGGACCAGAATCCGAAGTAGGCCTACCTGCCGTATTCGCTCGCATCGTATCGAGATGTCCAAACACAGCACACTGACCACGCGTGCAATGTCTGTCAGAGGAGTTGGATGGCAAGGCAGGACGTTGGTGTGTGAGCAGCACTGCAGACTTCAACTCAATGCAGGCCCTGTTCGCAGGTCCGATTTTATCGGCGCATCCCTGGCGATCACCAAACTGTAAAACAAGAGCGGGCAGGGTCCTGGCAGGCCTGGCAGCTCCTAACAGCATTCTGGACGAAATTTCGGTTTCAATGGTCCTTGCTGATCTCAAACAAGCTCAAGTTGATTTGACGGTTACTCGCCACTTTGCACCACTCACCTGCCAGCCTGCCAGCCTCCCAGCCAGCCCAGCCTGCACACCTCGTCAACTGCTACTATGGCACCTTGATCTTGGAACGGTCCTTGACCGAGATGGAGGCCAGGGTGCCCATCGCCTCTCTGCCTTGCATCCCCTCGCCTCCAACAACTCTGACCGCCGACCAGCTGGGGGCTGTTGACTCGGTCACGGCAACGTGACCGGAGAGGGATCCTGCAGCAAATGTGGCCAGCCTGCCAGCAAGGAAAGGGAAACGTCCGTGGGCTATGGCCATTTTCAGATGCCTGGCCACTGGCGTAGAGTTACTGTGTAGCAAGAAGAGAACCAACCCCTGGAGGCTTTTCCGGTGGGGAGTGGGTGCGGGTGTGGATGTGGCATCCGACGCTTTTACTACTAGCACCTGCAGCGGTTCAGGACTCAGATGGACCAATAGACCGGCGGGACAGCTGATATGGCTTGCCGGAAAGGGCAACACGCACGACATGTGCTGGGTGGGGCGGGTGCTCTACTAGGCCAGTAGACCTGCATTAGCAGGCACCGCCAGACAGGGCCACCTGGGGGACTTCGGGGGGGAGAAAAGAGCTGGAGGGGAAACGGGCTGCTAGTACACGGTCCTGTGTTGTGTACCTAGGTACCTAGGTTCGGTGGAGAGTGGCAGATTGGGAATGGAATATCCGCTTTGTTTATGTTGGGGGGTGGGGGGAATCCGACGGGTAGGCCACTCACTGACAGGTTTGCAACAGCGTCTGCCTGACTGCAAAGTAGCCTTGTACTGTTAGCAGGAGAGTGATCACTGATGAGAGCGACTGACTTGAGAGACTGACTTGAGAGACTGACTTGAGAGACTGACTGACGGCTGATTGTGGCTCGCTATGTGTTGTGCTTGACGGGCCAGCCCCTGAGAGCCCCATGGCCTTACCGAGGCTATACCGAATCAGGCACATCAATGCAACTCTAACATCCCTGCAGCCTGCAGCAAGACCACACTGTTCCTTGGCAGCAGGTGGCAGGGTTCCGCCTCTTGCCAATTTCCCGTCTGCATCTGATACTACCCCAGAGCTAAGTTGTACTGGAGTACAGTAGGAAGAGAGAGAGAGGAGAGGCAGAGAGGGGGGAGGGAGGCCAGTAACAGGCCAGAAGCAGGCCAGACAGAGCAGAGCAGAGCAGAGCAGAGCATAGCATACAGAGAATAGCATAGCATAGCACAACGCATGGGCCTCACGTCACATCCATCATCATCCATCCCATCTTTTCGTTTGCCTCTACCCGCTTCTCTTCTCGTCTCGGCCGATCTGATCTTTTGAGAGGGCCATTATTATTAGTCTGGTCAACGGCCCTTCTAGCACAACCTTTTTCATTCTCGCTCCTGGGGCAATACCGTGGACTGTGGTAGATACTTGTTTGCTGGCCAAGTCTGCATCTGCTAGCTCCCTCCAACCTCGGGCATCCCCAGCGCACAACAAACCAGCCGTTTCTTCCATTCCTGCTTCACTCGGGCTTCTACCTTCACTTCATCGCGCCACTCATCTCAAATCACTCATCACTTGGCACCCCTCGCCCGATCCCTCTGGCAGCTCCCTGGCAGCTCCTGTCCCGTGCTGGTGCTGCTGTTGATCGCACCTGCTGGCCCCAGTCCCTCCCAATCTCCTTCTAATAGAACGCCAATTTGGGGCCGCGCCATCTTCATCAACCGCCTTCGCCTCCGTCCTCATCAGTCAATCCTGACGTACCACCTCCCCCAGCCGTGCAGCTTCATCTGGTGAGTACCTACAGAGCACTGTTTGTTTGCTGGCCTGCCCGCACCACCGTCACAGGCAACACTTGGTCGAGCCGACTCACTCTCTCCCGAGGTCGCGCACCTTCGTCATGGTCCTTGGGTCTACTCGAGGTCCTTGCGCCCGTGTAGCCCAGTCCACCCGCGATCGCACCCGCGGTTGTTGGGCCACCCACTGCACCTTACACTGTTTGGTTGCGTGATTACAAAAATCTAACCCGTCCCAGCTTCCATTCTGGCCTAACAACGACGTTTCTCGGTCAGGTCGACGAGCGCAACATTCGCACGCCAACACCAGACCACCACCTCTGTCATATCTACTACTACTGCAACCAGTATCACACCAGCGAGCAGTGCAAACAGTCAAGATGGCCTCAGAGACCGTCAACGAGAAGGCGACCACGCCTGGTGCCACGGTCGCAACCAGCGATAAACATACCACCACCGTCACAACTACCGAGGCTCTCATTTGCCCCGAGTCTGACTTTCGCCGTCCCTCTGAAGTCTCAACTCCCTCGTCTGCCCGCGACCTGAACCCTTTCGACACCGATATCGAGGCCATGATTTCCAGCCGAACCACGCGCGAGGACGACAGCTGCGGCATGAAGTCCACGAGCAAGGGCCAGCTGAAGGGAAGCCCAGATGGCCAGGTCTGGCCAGGGCAGGGCCACTGGAAGAGGAAGGCCAAGGCGAACAAGCTCAACCAGCGATCATGCCAGTGCCTCGCTAAGATGAGCAAGCGGAACAGGATCCTCGTCAAGGTCGCCATCATCTTGCTGGTCGTACTGACCGCCGTGGGAGTGGGATTCGGCATCAGCAAGCCTCTGGGTGCCGGAATCTGGAAGCCCGATGGCAATTGAGAAGATGGCCACGGCTAGGAGAGATATTTCCTTGGTCGCTCACGATTCACAACGGATCGCACCATCCACATTTCACCCAGCGAAGACGTTCAACATGCCCTACACGATGCCACCGTCGATCTACAGCGGCCTAACGTTTCACATGACCGACCGTGAGATAGAGCGTTGTACGCCACCGGACGACACATATCACCCAGCATCGAACGATCAGAGCCGCCCGCTTCTCTGCACATGATTCCACCACCGTCCACAATGTGAGGACGAACATGGGAACCGAGAAACGACACCACTAGCATACATCTATGGCAAGCACTAGACGTACGGGAGCACCTCAGATGACGGAGTTTGGAGTCCTTTTCCAGTAACACGATAAAGGCGTTTTCGGTGCCAGGAGAACATTCAGGCCTCCTCTTTTTTCTCCTTCTCTTTTCTTTGTTATCAGCTTGGCATTCTGTATTGGATCGGCATGAACGCAGCCCGGATAGGAAAAAAAACGGATACGTCTTTTTGGAGCGCGGAACTTTTTTCCTTCTTGATGCCTCTTCCAGCCGTTTCTTACTTTTCTAATTGTGTCGACCGAGAGAACCATGGACAGTGGATAGACTACTACAGGAAGACTGTCTCTTACGATACGACTGACCTGCGAAGGGCTCGAAAGGTCAGATTCAGTTGCAGTCGTTATTTCATATCACCGCGCGGCACCGATCACGTACGGGCTCGAGGAACTACGGGGAATGGAGGGCCAATCAGCACCTGGATAGGAATACAGCAAATCCTCTGTTGCTGCTCTGTTTTCCAACAGGGCGCAGCACGAGATCCATTTCCCCAATTTTACTCCTAGCAACATGTTGATGTGTATATTTGTGTCGCGGAATTGAACCGCACTTTATGTGTGGTCTAGACATGTTTCGCCTCGATTTGGGGTCGAGCTTGTGCATGAACTTGGTCAATGTTCTTATATAAGCTTTTATACGTCAGGTCTTGTGATAGACTGACTGATTGCCTACCTGCCAGTCAGCGTTCAATGTCGTCCGAGCTGGCTGACCGAGCGGCTTTCTTGGGGAGAGCGAGAGCGAGGCTGGGCACCCCGGAAGGCTGGCTCCAGCTCTTGTCTTCCCGGAACCGTCCACAGCCGGGCAAGAAGCCGGGCGTCTGGAGCTTGGTCGCACGGAAGGCACAACTGCTGCGTCTGATTTCTCGCAAGACACGCGTACACACTCTCGTGTACGAGAACGAGAAGTAGAAGTTAAAGCTCAGCCACAGCTCGCCATCCTGATTCACCACGTGCTGCCGACTCATGCCCTCGCCGCCATTGCCAACAGGAAGCCGCCCCCCAAAAGACCACGCCCCCCAAAAAGCTTGGCCGAGGATAAATGACGCGGCTCCCTCTGCTTGGTCCCGCGGCGAGTGTATTTGGCTTCCGTACCGGCGGCAGCCAAGGAAAGCCTAACTGGCGTCTGGCATGCCTAGGGGGCTGGGCTGGTGGGACGATCTGCCGCCTGGGAAGTTCCGTGCGCAGCTATCATCAGTGGTCTGGCTAACTACCTTGATCGCCCCGCGGGCTGTTTTGATATAAATATTAATGACGCCTGGTGGGTGTGGCAAAGAGGGTACGTACTCTGTAGATGGGTATAATATGCCCAGCGTCTCGAGAGATAAGGTTGAGCGTCTGTGCGGACCAGCAGCTGTAGGAGGACAGAGACACGGCCTGTGATCAGACTTGTGATCGGCGGGCATGATGCTGTCTCTTGTCTTGAGCACGAGGCGGGCCGCTCGTGCCTCCATTCCCGTTTTTCTTGTTCTTGAGGGGAATCCTACTTTGGGCTTTGTAAGGGCTGACTGTGAGTGAGGCTGGCGGAATGCGACCCGGGGAAGCTGCCGGCTGTCGCATTTTGTAGCATTAATGTGACGTTCCGCAACTTAGAGAGGATGACAGAACGCTGCGAGTCTGTCAGCCACGACATTGGGTACGGCAGTCAGACAGACCACTGTGGGTTGTGTGCTGAATTGATGGCAAGAGTATTCGACAAGTTGTCGAGGACGTTCACCTGTCCGCAAGGTGTCTCTTAGCTAGAGGTTGAGAAACGGTCTTTTTGGTGTGGCCTCGTATCATCTCGAAGTCTCAGTCTGACTGCGCGAATCACTTTTAGGCGATCGAAAGCTCTCGAAACGTAAATGTTGGTCATGCCCGGCATCAAACTAAATTTCATGAAAATTCCTAGTGACACATTATCAGAACTTACAGCGTAATTATTTTAACATCCATCCAAAATACCACAGAACACAGCCTATTCACGTTCACCACTCATTGGACTACCCGGGTTATACCAGAGGTCGTGCATCCGACGGACAAGCTGTTGATAGCCTCAAGCGATGCTTCACCTCGGCAGTTGATGCTACAAGAGGCTGCGCATTTGTGAATATATCAACCTTGAGAAAAAGAAGACATACTACCACAAAACAATGCAGACTCCCTCTCTCACAGGCTTCTGGAAGCCACCGGGGCTTTCTCCAAGTCATAATCCTGCTTCTGGGGCGGGATTTCTCCCACGTAGATCTGGAGCGGCCGCCACATGCGAGGCTTGGGGTCGGCTGTGTTTGTCCAGAAGATCAGTAACAGAACGTGACTTGGGACCATGGATACCAAATCGGTCCACTCACCCATAGCTTCCCGCCAATGTGCCACGTATCCCGGGTTCCTGTTGAGCAGCGTCATGGGCAGGATGAAGTCGGGAGGAATCCCCCTATAATAGCCGAGGGTTCCAGGTTAGTAGACGACTTTATAAAACGCCTCTTCAGGTCAAAAGCATAGGCAAGTTTTCTTACATGGCCTTGTATGCAAAGCTAAGGAAAAGATCTGCGTTTGCGCACAGGTTGCGTGACTTGAAGTATGGGTCCTGGGAGGCAATGCGGTCAATCTCGAGGGCGACGGCGAGGTGGTGGTCGTCTCTAAGGGACTCGATGTCTTGCATAGATTCGGCGATCAGTTCACGGAAGAGAACTGATCGCGGGTCCGGTAGCTATTGACTAGTAGTCAGTAACCGAAGCCACCCCCGTCGAGTTCCGATGTTGTCCTAGGTGAGGGTGGAAGGGACTAGTCTCCGGGCAACGACCACGGGTTTGACTTCAAGACCCAGCAGGACAGACTTACTTTCCACTTTCGGTGACCGTACCCAAAGAGCCTTATCTTGCCTGACTTGACTGCTTCGATGAGCATCGGGACCTCCTTCAGGTCACGCACAGCCTCGAGCTGCTTATAGGCGACCTCGATGGCACCGCCATGGAGGATACCGATGCCGGAAAGCGTTGCGGCGGCGCAGCACGAGTAGGGGTCTGCCAGCGTGGACGCCGCGCTGAGAAGCACCGAGGCAGAGTTGGTGATCTCATGGTCTGCCATGAGTATCATGGTGCGACTGAGCAGCTTGACAACCTGCACGCAGTCAGCTGTATGCCGTCTGGCAAGCAAATCCAGGACCTGGAGGTCGGTAAGGGGTAAATGATAGGGGGGGAGGGGGTTACACATACTCGAGTATCAGGCTTTCCGGTCGCTGGCTCTACAAACCTCATCATGTGCAGGATATTCTCGATGTACGAGTAATCATGCCGGGGAGGGGCGAACTCGCGGCCATGGAGGCGGCAGAATACTGCCGAAACAATTACAGAGACGGTGAAGATCTGTTGCAGGATTTCATTGTCCACAGCGGACATGTTACCTTTGTAGAGATTCTCGCCACGGTGTGCTGGAATTTTCTCAGGGTGCAGAGATATATATAGGGTTAGGATGGCGGCAATGGCTGTTGGGCCATGCGTCTCAGGCCTTGAAGAGTCAGCTTTATTCTGTACTAGTAAAGTCCATTTCATGTTACGGCGTGCACGTACGCAAGGTTGTTGATCGTGTCGAATATGGCCTGTGGTGGCATTTTAGAAGTGGCAATCGAAGTATTAAACGCCACCGCCTCAGATTCACTTGGGAGATGGCCGAAGATGAGGAGGAAGGCGACGTGTTCAAACGGCCTTCCGGAGTAATACAAGTCAGCAACATGAAAGCCTCGGTAGGCAATCTCGCCTGCGTCGCCATCAACATATGTGATCTTGGATTTCATGCATGCCGTGTTTTGGAAGCCGGGGTCGAAAATGCGGATTCCTGCACTGTTTTGCTCAACCGGATTCTCTTCATTGCGAGGGGTCTTGATCTTCTGGAAATCTGTGGCCTGGATGGAGTTTTGTTCAATGGGAAGGTGATAGGTGCAATTCGTACGATTGTCAACCACGGTCAAGGAGCTCTCGTTCTCCCGCGGAAGAGTCGCCAGTCGAAGATCTGCAGACGCATCACTTAGAACAATGCGAGGGCGCATGGAGTGAGCGAGATGGCCTAAGGTTAATCCACTTGGTGAATCTGGGGGATGGCCGGACGTTCCGGTGTTCGACGTCGTATAGGCGGGTGATCGAGGATGCTCCGGAGACGATGCACTCCGGTCAGTTGTAGGAGATTTGGGAAATCCGGTAATAGCTGCTGGATGGGCGACAGGCACGGCCTGAGTACAACGCTGCAACGATGAGGCGTTTTGATCGCTGGGTGATTGCAAAAGGTCGCCGGAAGACGACATCTTGGAACAGCGTGGACGGTCAAGGACAAAAGCTTGGGCTCACTGTAGGTAATTGGTAATCAGTATCGAAACAAACCTGTTCATCATTTGAAAATTTGGTCACAACGGCGAGCGCCTGTTTTAAAGAGGCCCTGTGAGCTATTCTCATGGCCGAACTTCGCGCTTATTGGGCTCAGGTGCCAGTCAACCACGGGTTGAGAACCGTCCACTGCCTGATAATTAGTAGTGTGGGATCGGTCCGAAGCTGGCACATTGAATGCGCCCGAGCTTGAGCTTTAGGAGAGAATCAACATTATAAACGCAAAGTCAGTGCGTCGCAAGGCTGAGGCCACAAGCACCTATCATATTATAACTACTGTTATCGACATCATATTCTTTCCAAGCGCTGGGTCTAGAGTGCTTACCACCGTATGAAGGCGCCATGTATGTCCTCGGACGTATACGGAATAGAAGCGAAACCACACAGCACGAATGACTAGTCCTCAAGCTATATGTTTCGTAGCTCGCATCTTGTAGCTTTGGGACCCCGAGGTATGATACCTAGGTAGCCTTAGAGCCAGGATAAGGAGGGCCAACTTAGAAGGCTCTCCCTTGGTTTCTGCCACGTATCCTTCCAGGGAAATTTATAATAGCGTCTGAAATCTGATCAATTGGAAGTCTAGCAGCATTCATGTCTCACGATGGAGAGCATTGAAGTGAGCAAGCACGTAATCTGTGGCTGGTACGCACTTCGGGTTTAATGCCTGCCATGTTGTTGAACGAGCACCAGGGATGAAGTTATAAGAGGTGGGATTGTCTTGATAGGACAAGAACAAGCGGGCGGGTACAAAGTTGACGCCGGTTCAACCAGTAGGCGTGGCTTATTCAAACAATTTGCATGCGTACCCTAGGTAAATGGACGGCTCAACAGAGTCGCGCAGTACATTTGCTCTGGCTACTTGGCAGGGAGGGGGTGTGTAGAGAAGTGAGGAAGTCGCGAAGATGGATTGCGAAGATTGCAAAATCAGACCTTGGAATTCCACAGCCTTCCAATTTCAAGTGCAGGCTCGACTTTCTCTTGGGTTGAATCGATGTCTCGTCCTTCCGGGCCTCTTTCAGCAGAACCATTCACATTGACAAGCCGCGTATGTTCAGCCCCACATATGCTATCTACCCAGGTACGAGTATGGACATGTACTTGAAAGGATTCAATCCCCAGTAGGGCCTCCATACCTGGCTAATTAGGGTATTATCCTACCACTTGCCCTGAAGAGATTATTTCACAGGTGAACGTCTCCGAAGAGATTGCCCTGTGGAAGATTTCCTCACTAATAGGTTGATCTGTAGGAGACTACCTTGTCCGAAACTTTGCAGTAAGGTCTGACTGTGACTATATTGAACTCTAGGATAATGTGGCTAGGCAGCGGAAACGCCGGCCACCTGAGCCTCCATCTGAGCTTATAGTGGCATATTGAGGTTAATTCCCCTGCGCTGCTCGGGGTTAGGCAAGTATCAGTACCAGGAGAACGCTTCCTTAGTGGATAGCCAAGGTATAGATAGGTAAGTGATAGGACGTTGGAATAAACTCTTGAGTCCCCTGCTCTTGTGACACTTGAAAATGCGGGAGTGAGGCACAGCATTTATTCCCCGGTAGTAGGCCAACTGACACTCGACGTGAGGTTCAAAATCAAGTCAGCAGCACTCTTGGGGGCGGATTGGATGCATTGGCTGAGCGGATTGATAGGCTGCGCAACCCTGACACACACACCCCATCTTGGCCTGCATGGCGGCCCGGGAGCTTATGGAGCTTGGTAGAGTCTGTGCCGCAGGCGTGCCTAGAAAGGATCCGTAGATCTGGAGCTTGAAAGGAGCACCGACACCCACACGAGGTCAGCGCTAATAAAAGCCAACCAACGTCAGTCCTTCACATCAACACTTTTAAATTTATTGTCATTTCTTGAACTTCTGCTTCAAATTATTTTTATTCCTCCGTTTTACCGATCCATATGTCGACTCTCTACCCGCGCCCACCGGGCGTATTTTCCAAGTCCTCGGCACGCTCGGGATGTGAGATGCTTTTTTCCCCCCTGGCCCCGAGTCTGGACTAACCAACCATCTCGGCCGGGCTCTTATACGCCCTCACACGTCTTATGTGTATCGCTTCGTTCTGCCCAGCCGCTCACTCCGGGGCGCCCGGCCAGACAGTCCGTCCCCTGGCCCTTCTATCGACGCCGTTGGACGGCCCTGCGACGGCGCTCTCGTGCGCCCAGTGTTGCCGCCCGATCAGAGTGCGTCTCGGCTGGCGCCTGGGCTGGTTTGAACCGTCGTTGATGCCATATGATAGGGCTTCACCAATGACCGCGCCCGTGTCGGATCCCAGGCTCTCCGCCCTCGTCCTCGTCCTCGCCCCCGGAGGATACGTGGGTGCTGCCCCTGTCTCCGCTGCCGCTGCGGCCGCTTCGATTGTAGCCATTGTTGCCGTTGTGGTCGCCGGGCCCTTCCCCTTGGCGAGCCCAGCTTCCACGTCGCTCAGCTCAACCCTGCTGTTGCTGGCCTCATGCTCATCAGTCCCAGTTGCCGCCTGTGAGTACCAGTTAGCACTTTGCCGTGATGAGTTGTTCACCTTGTCCCACAGCCTCAGAGGGATCAGCTTACCTATCCGGGCGGCCCTGGCCTGCCTCTCGCTGACCTGCCTCTTGGTCTCCTTGCGACTCGCCATGGCGGCGCAGATGATGAAGCCGATGGGGATCAGGGTGATGATGACGTAGGCGGGGATCCAGTTAGTGTTCATCTGGTTGTTGACCATGTCTTCCTGCTTGGCCCATTCCTTGAACTCGTCCGAGAAGTGGAAGAGGCTGCTGGAGTTGGTCATGGTTGCTGTTGGCAGGGTGGCTAGTATGAGTCTTGCCTGAGAGGAGTGCGGGAGGCGATGGCAGGCGATGGTGAGACAACAAGGTCGGTGGGGCTGGGGCGGGAGTGCGACGGTTCGCCGTTGGCGCAAGGATGCGACTGGTGATGTGGTGTGTTTTTGATGTTCAGGTCGGAGTTGAGGGTGACAATCAGCAGACTCGGTCAGACTCAGGACTTGCTCGAAACAAAACAATTGACAAGATGTGAGGATTGAGACTCAGACTGGATCGAAGGTTGACCTTTGGGGAAGTGCAGCAGGGCAGGGGGGGCAGATGGGGCAGGGAATTGACGCCGATATTTGTGGAGGCGGGCAGGGATGGTGAAGTCACTCTTAAGGGGTGAGTCCCGGGCGGAAGCGCCTTGGTTGGACAGGGACAATCGCTTTGTGCGCAGTGGCAGAGCTAATGCAGGCCCTTTGCATGTCTTTTTTTTCTTGGCCCGCAAGCGACAATACCCAGGTACCAGATTACAATGGCCTCATGTCCCATCCTGTCCACTCGGCCGCGCGGTCTCTCACGCTCTCTCTCTCGCTTCGGCCGGCGACTGAGCTCCTATGGGACTGGTGCTTGGGTGGCCAGAGAAACACGAGACTCGCTGAGATTAGAGGGTCCCTTGACTCAGGGGCCACAAAGGCAGTGTCACCCTCGGCATCATGCCCCCAAAATGTCCACTTTAACCCGGCGCTTGCCTCGTTGTGATCCGGTTGATTGACTGGCGGCCGATCAGTTAAGCCTCACAGCCACTACGCACATGCCATTTGTGCCATTTCCTAGCACCGACACCGAGATTGTCCATCTCCTCTGCTCCGTCCCCAACGGCCAGCCACGCCGGCCAAGCCAGCCAAGCCAGCCTTTTCCACATCCCATCTTATCCCATCTCTCGTCCCATCTCCCCAAGATCGGCTCGATTAGGCTGACGAATATGGCGGATCCGTTTGGTATTTCGGCCTCCTGTATGCGAAATTTGAGTCAGCCGAGCCTCGAGTTGTGTTCACGCTTGTCATCTTCTCGACGGAATTTCCCTGCCTTCGCCTTGGCAGAAGCATTCCCCCCAGGCAGTGCCGTGGGAGAGAAGAAGGGGGAAGCGCCTTACGAGTACGACACGTCTGTACCATTCTTCTTGACGCAGAGCTTCCCGGCTACAGCGCACAGGATGATGAACCCGATTATCGACGCCACAGCCACCACCGTTATGAGTGCCTCGCGTGTTTGCCCTTCCATGCCTGGTCGTTCGTTGTTTGGTCGGGGTGATGACTGGGCCTCCCGGGAATGATGCTGCCAGTTCGAAGCACGTTTTCGTCCTGCAAGAAAGTCGAGCACCCCGTGCCGTTGATCCCGTCGCTTTTACTCCCAGGTTGCTCCTTTGTTTGCACCGCCAGTTTTCAGCCCATCAGGAGGCCCTGCGCTATCGTGGAAACAAAGGACGCCATTTCTGCCTGTTGGTACGAGGCGCAGGTGCATTGCGTCGCTTCTCCAAATGGGCGCTGCTATACTTGAGAGCCCGTCGACGCAACTTCGCAATTGGGTTGCCTTGGCTGCCCTCGGCTTGTTGGCCATCCCAACCAGTCCCACAGTCGTCGATGGCCCAGGTCGCCAATGCAACATGCTAGCTGACCAGTGCTCTTTCTCGTAGCCTTTTCCTGGCCGTCACTTTAGCCCGACAGTTCACCGCGATGACCTCTTATCACGACCAAAGGACAGGCAATCTCGGCTGATCGTTATGACCGCTCAAAGCTGCACCAGTTTGCACCGCCGACTACCTATGTCGATCGCTGCGTACAGATTGTAGGTTTTCAATACTGTGAATTTATGGCCTGGAAGGCTGTTTGAATGCCCAATATATGCAGTGCCAGTCCACTCGTTGCGACACACGCAGATTGGGCAGAGCACCTGTCTAGCGGCTGTCACTCCCTTGCCATAAGCCAACATCTCCGCTGGGCGACGCCTCGTGGGTTTCTTGTCATTGGCGTCAGATTGACTGTGAGTGACGAGCCTAGCTCGCGTGGACACAGCTACGTCTGCAAGACAAACCAGCTCCCCGATCGAGCGAGGGCAAGGAGAGAGGGAATCCAGATGGATCCGGAACAGTGGCAGACCGGAATCGCCCCGAGGGGTCGCTGACAGTGCAGCCGATTCCACCAAAGCCGCAAAGCCTGACTTTGCTTTGGACAAAGGCTTCCTTGGCTTTCGATTTGCAAAATAACCGCCCAGTGTCCCCGCCAAAAGTCACGTTAGGTGGTGATGGCCTTTCTACTTGCCTGAGTGCATATCCGAATGGCTCACACATCAATGTGAATAGCCCCAGAGGAAAAAAAGACACTGTCAAAACCCGTCTGCCCGTGCTATCGCCTTGAATACTAATCAGGTCCGCTTTCCTTTCGGCCGGTATCGCACTAGAGTCGATATGCCGTGCCTTCTCTCAAACGAAATCACGTAGCCTGCCATTAGATCCGTCTTCAACGGCACCAGTCGGTGGGAGACCAATTTGAAGGCATACCGCAGAGGGTGAGAGTGCATCATTCTTCGTTCACCCTCAGGTTAACAATCACAGGCTCAGGCCTGGTCCTTCCGAACCGTGGGACTTGCACACTCGCACTAGTCCTTTCGACAGCAGTAGATGTGAAAACGGCCAAAAGGGGGAAAGGACTATAGAGATGGAGGACGACTACCTAGGTATGGAGCAATGTCGTGGTCGGACTTCCCCAGCCAAAGATACTGGTTGCGCTCCTGGTTCCGTATCCGACCACCCTGCTCGGACACTATCAGAAGAACGCGGGAATGTGTTGCCAGACCGCTTTATGGGTCCTAGGAGACGCGTGTCTGGCACTCTCCCGGTCAAAGCGAGGTGCATACGCATGTCAGACCCTGGACACCGAGTTCCAGGTACCGGTACCTGGGGGATTTGCACCGACCGAGACTGATATATGGACATCTAGGAAAGAGCTTCGTCGTGGTATCTCGTGCTCGCGATGATGACCATACATGCGATCTGGTCTTCTCTGGTCAGTGTCATGTGAGCTGTGCGAGGACTGCCTCTCAATATCATACCATAGAAGCTGCCTTGACGTGGACTGGAACATCCCATTGAGCTATTTCCAGTGAAAGCGGATGACGGATACGCCAGGCACAGAATCCGAGCAACTGCGATAGAGCGAGAGCAGTCAGTTTCCTGCTTGGCCATTGGCACGCAGAACAGCTTGCTGAGTCGACTTTGACACCGCCAGCTGGTGCATTCGCTGTCGGCCCAATAACGTTAAAACCTTATGGTCGGTCCGCTGTCTCTTCTAGATTGCCAAGTTCAGAAGGGCCTGCGAGGTAAGCGAGAGAGCAGCCTGACCATCGAGGATCGTTGAGAGTGACAGCCTAGCTGGAGCTTACGCTTCGTGCCGAAAGCCGAACGCCTTCATGCATACTTGAGGCCAATGCCTAACCATCAGAAAGTCGAAATGCAGAGGGCAACCTGGGGCTGCCACCATCCTGACGGGGTGCCCCATGATGTGCCTCTTGAGCTTCGCAAGCAGGTTGACGACGACGTGCTTGGCTTTCAGGTCGCCGAGGTTGTCACCGTGAGTGGGCATCTAGGTGGTCAAGTGCACCTTGCGCAAGACCATGGAATCAGTCATGCTGAACTCTCTATTTAAAATCCTCGAAGCCGGGCCCATCCCGACCACTTAGACGAAAACGTAGATCTTCCAAGGAAACCACATGAATTTAAGTTTGGCGCGAACCTCGACAGGACTCATCCCATCAGCCAGTCGCATGTTCTAGATGCGGACTAAGACAGGCAGGAAAATTCGTGATGGCTGTCGGAGCGCTGGCTCTTGCGCTGGCACCGAACTCTAAGCTGGTGCACTGCGGCGAAATGCCAGGTGGTTGTCTGAATCGTGGCCGCGATTCCCAGCCAGGCTCGTCATCAGAAGTGCCGTAGTGCCGACCGCACCACTAGTCAAATCAGTCAAAAGAAAAGTCCAGACGGGCCTGGATGCTTTCCTTTCTTTCAGGGCGCCCGACCGTTGTGAGTGAGGCATTATGAGATAGATGCGTGGCTGCCTCGTAGTGGTACGGACGCTAAGTGTTCATGGACAAAATTAGCTGCGCTTTCCCCAGGCCAAGATGAAAATATCACGAGACAAATGGCCTCGACTGATCTACGGCACCCTTCGCCCGGTGATACAAGCAACAGCTGGCTAGCTAGCCGGCGCTTGCAGAGTAGCAGGCCTGGATGTTGTGGGCACAGGGGGGGGGGTGCCAGTGACTTGATACTGCTAGCCCCGATGGCTGTCAATGCCATGCTGATATTTTGAGAGATGGAACCTTCGATTCGTCGTCTACCGCCGAAAATTAAGGTTATTGTAAGGTTGTTATGCGGTGCGTGCCGTTGGTCAGTAAATTGCTCGTAGGCTAATCCGGATTAGTTGGCACGCATGCCGCGATTGAATACTGTTGGCCGAGGTGCGGGTTAGAGAAGTTTTGTCAGTGTCTGGGAGTATGCTGCCATTATTGAGAAGTTGCTATATTACTGGTGTTGGCGTGCATGGTGTGCAATATAGCAGACAATGCGTCTTCGGAAACCCCACCAGGCTCAGAGGTCTGCTTGGGGAGTTGGGGAGGTTGGGTCAGCTATGGCCTGTCTGGTGGCGAAAAGACTGAGTCACTTGCGTTGTATCGACCTGGCAGATTCTTGGGGGGAAAAGTCTCGTTGCGCCTGGATCATAGGAGAAGCAAGTGCTTTTGAGGAATGCCAGTAGGTAAGCGCATCTGGCCGGCGAAAGGGAAAAAGGCGAGGGCCGCCAGTTCGTCTTGTCAATGTCAACAGCTTGGCAATGAAACGATCGACCATGAAGAGAACGTATGTCTGTCCTCGGGAGCTGGCTCCACAGCTCCACAGCTCCACGGCTCGGGCTAGGGAGCACCCAGGCCGTTCCGGCTTGTCGTCCTGGCAGCCTGGATTGTGAACCACAGACCTTGCTTGGCCAGCGGAAGAGTCAAGGCCGATCAGCTTGGCGATGCCTCACCATGCCCCAGTAGACACGCCTCTGGACCCGCTTATCTGAAATCAGAGGCTGCCATGTGGTTATTGACTGACACAGGGATCGCGGAACCGTTGCTGATGCGCAGCTGCATGGGCTCCTGGATGCTGACGAGGAGTTGACGAGGAGTTGACGGTGGTTGGAAGTGATTGATGAGGTTGGCAACGTCAACCTGGGGGTTGCATTCCCGGTGGGGCCGCGGGAAGAATACACCGAGCGAATGGGGGATGTGGCGGGCGGCGGGTAAGTATATTGTACTCCGTACAGTACGTACCGCCGGGTCTTGCTCTTTTGATAGTATACAGTACCTTGCGGCTGCCTCAAGACCACGATATTGTAGCCCATTTTACCCAATCTTCCGAATGCTCAAACTCACAGATGGGAGTCGGAAATGTGTTGATGTAATCTGAGAGAGCCGAGTACTGACCTGGCTGCCCATGTATGATGTCGCATCGTACCGTGTTTCACGCTGGCAGTATCTAGGTACCCCCTCCGTAAGGGGGCCCGTGTTTGTTTCGTTTCCTGTAGAAGGCAGGGGAGCGATAGTGTTTCCCTGAGTCGGGGCAAGCCCGCGGAAAGGGAAAAAAGGCTAGCAACTTGTGCAAGAACGGGTTAGACTCGAGGCAGGTACCGAGCACGCTCTAGCCTTGAGGCATGTACGGAGTACTCAGGCAAGTCAGGGTACTCCAGCAACTGATACTCCCAACTGATATCCAAGGTGATATCTCCGGATCCCCTTTCTCCGCTGGCGACAGCCCGCAGAAGCTTTCGGGCGCAAGGTGTCAACCAACAACACAACATGCACAAATCCGACGACTCAACCTTCGCTGTTTCATTCGAGATGCCGTCCCAGAGCACTGGGCCTCGTTCATTGCCAGGCCAAGGGATGCACTCACCAGAGGGCCGAAGAGAGGAAAACAAGCGAGTCTTGGGCCCCGCCGAGGGGGCCCCATCGGCGCCATCGCCCAGAGAGCCAGAAGCTTGATAAATGATGTGCGGTCTGTCCATGCGGCCAGGCCTCCACAATAATCTGCGCCAATGCTTGGGAGCGGTTCTTGTTTGAGGCCGTGGGAAAGCTTCTCCACGCGAAGCATTCCCAGCCATATGGAATGACTACCGCACGTTCGGTGCAGCCAGCCCTCCGGTCCAACGGTGCCCGCTTCTTTTCCTGGCCGGTTGTCGATGCTCATGCACGCACGGCAAATGCTCGAGCGCGTCAACGGTCTACCTCGTACGCCAGCCACCAGTCATGCCCAGGGCACGCGCGCAACCCCCTCCCCCTCGAGGGATGCGACTCAACTCGACCATCGTCTGACGGCCATAGCTACATAATTGCACGTCGTGTTTGGTCCTGTATTCCTAGAGACATGCGCGCCCAGGTGTGGGCCCCCCAGATCGGCCATCATGTTCATGTTCTTCCGACGAAGCTTGACCAAACATGGCCAGGCCTGCGCGCCCCAGCACGAGGCGGCCGACATGGGCCATGGGCCATGGGCCATGGGCAGGGCAGCGCAGGGCAGGGTGCTCCTCGACGTCGGCGCTGAATTCTATATTTGCACCTGTCTGGTGTGCGTGTACCGTGTTTCCTCGCCATCTGCCTGCGCTCGGGGCACTCCTCCCTCCAAGTCGGCTAGGGCTGCTCTTGGCAGGTATCAAGTGTGCTTGACCCACCCAGCCGACAGCGTGGGTCTCCGTCGTCTGAAAAGCCGGCCGTGCCTGGGCCCTTTCTTGGCTACTACAGCCAAGGAGAATCACCTCGACGCCCTCAAACGCGACCCAGTTCGCCGCTGGCTGATCAGGCACTACCCCTCCCACTCGCCTTCTCACACGCACTTGTCCCTCCCTCTATTATTGGATAGCTGTGGCTAGTGTCACCTGCGTTTCAACCTCCCAGTGCATCGTAGTCCTTCTCTTGGCGGCTCACTGACCAATCACAGCCCTCGTCCCGACCGACAGCATGCTTCGTCCGCTTCGTTGCCCAAGCGTGCTCACGAGGCGGACAAGCATGCCTCCTCCGGACAAGCATCATCCCCATGTCCGGGGACTACACCATCCAGGCTCCACAATCCCCGGCATGGGAAGCCTCTGGGCTCTTGGCAGCTTCATGTCCTCGAGGCTTGTTAGGGCAGGGTCCAGGCGGGTGATCGGGTGGGTGTGGCTGCATGCTCACGACTCATAGAGACTATATATCGACTCGTCTCCCAACAACCCAAACTCTGCCTGACCATTTCTCTTCCTTAGCTGCGCTCGATCCAACTTTTTACGTATAATCTCTTCTTGGCTCCTTGCCACTCAGCCGCTGGTCGCCGTCGCTTGTCGTTCATTCAGATATATCTTGATTACATATACAAACGGATCAAATCCCCGTCTCTCATCTCACCACTCTCGAAAACACCATTCCAGCCCGAGACACCACTTCTTCAGTCACGATGGTTGCATACCGCATTCTGTTCTTGGCTGGCGCCGCAGCCGCCCTGCCCCTGAACATCAACCTCGGAGCCTACTCCCCGGCACTGGTAGTTGGTAAGATGCTCCGTCTCTCCCGCTGCCGGCGGTTAGAAACGTTTTGCTAATCATAGTGTACGCCAACAGGTGATGGTGAAATTAGCTTCGGAGGTAATCAAGATGTGTCCGGCCTGATGAACGTCCTTGAGGGCGCCGCGCAGAACGCAGCAAATGGAAGAGCGGCTAATGGTGCCGCTCAAGGTGCCGCTGAAGGCCAGGCTCAAGCTCCTGCTGCCCCACCCGCACAAGCACAGGCTCCGGCCGCTCAGCCGCCCGCTGTCCCGGCCAATGCCGCCGCCGCCTCCTCTGTGGATCCTAACCTACAGCAGCAGGTAAGTAGTCTTTCAGGGCACGCCAAGCTGGTCAACGCTGCGAGGGACACCTCAGCTAACAAAAGTACCAACTTGTTAGGCTCAGCAAATTGCCGCGCTCCAGGGTATGGGCAAGGAGATCGCCCCACGCGAGGAAGGGGAGACATCGAACCTCGCCAAGCGTCAGACCGGCTTCGACCGCGCCTTGCAGTACGCCGAGGCTGCCCTTGTCAAGGGCCCCAAGGTGCAGCTCGGAACCGGCGAGGGTGGTGCTGGCGTCGGTATTATCGTCGACAACAACCCCCAGGCCGCGGCGCGTCCCGGAACTGGAAACGCCGAGGGCGCTGCCGTCGCTGCCCCCGCTGCCCCCGCCGAGGGCGCCGTCCAGGCCGGGCTCAAGAGGCGGGATCTGGGTCTCAGCCAGAAGGTCAAGGTCACCACAATGTACGTCCGTTCTGGCGTTCCTCCCTGTGAGTTTAGCCATTTTCTTCGCATATTCTAACTTGGGCTTCCCACGGGGCGCAGGCGCAACTTCATAATCGACGTCGACTAATTTTCGTGTGCCATTCAAAGCCCTTCAGAACGGCGGTAACAAGATGAGCGTCCGCGATGTCCCGATCGAGCCACGCATCCAGACCCTCCAGATTGCCCCCAACAAGAGGGACGCAAACCCCAGCCCCAACGCCATCGACGCGCTCAACCTGAACGTTGATGGTGAACAAGGCATCACGATGACCTTTGTCGAGACTGTCGAGGATGCCGATGAGGATGAGGTGTGATCGAACAGATTTCCCGTCACCTCTTGCCGCCTGAAATTCACGCCATCATATTACATCAGCGACTCATTGTTTACGACCTACCTCCAATCTATCTCTTGTTTAAAAGACGACCGAACTGTGAATATGGTGGGATTTGCCTACGATGTTTACATGTAGGACATAATTTGTACCTCAGAACCTGCGTTATATATACCTTTCTCCTATTTTGTGTGGTGAGCGGCGTTTGACGGACTGGTGTGAAGCTGGACAGAGACATAGATCGTCAAAGCAGCGCCTTGATCAGGGCACATGGCTTGACGTGGAACCAGGCAATACTACGACCGGATGAAAAAATTCAATAACCCATATGACCCTGGCTACCAAGTGAAGCAGAAAAGAGCTCCCGATGACCGAAACTCTCCAGACATTGGTCCGTCCCATCACGCCTGGCGCAGCACCCGTTGTAACCTGGAGTTTTTCGATGTGCGGATTGTTCGCTCTCGTTAGTCCGAACGATGCGCAGCAGTAAGTCCGAGTCAGGAAAGATCGATCGTTGTGCAAGTGCGAGTGTTCCGACGACGACCCGCCACCAGAAGGTTGTCTCAGGACGCGGCGCCAAGATGCAAGAGGTTATCCCAGTGCCGGTTTTAGACTTCTGGAGCGCCGCCACCGCGGCTCCGTCCCGGGATATCCTAGTAGCCCTGGACACGGGCTGGCCTGGGAGGCCTGGGACGGCGGTCTCGGTTGTAGCCGTTGGAAACCGTCGGGGCAGGGGTGTGGGTGGACAGCTTGGGTGTTGTGGGGTGGCTGCTCACAACTTGTGTGACCTACAAGTATCAAATAATTTCATCTTTTCCCTTGTCATACTGAAGCATTTCGTCTCGTCCTCGAAGCTGCTCACTTTTCTGTCTTGGTCTGGAGGGAGGCAGAAGAGAGCGAGTCCGATACGTGCTATATATATATACTTCCCAGGCGTGGATCCTTGTGCTTGTGAGCACATGCGTCTTCTCCACCTGGGTACCGCGTACCTGCTGTATGCCCGCCCCCCCCCAGAGAGGCGATCTACTGGTCATCCTGATGCCTGCGCATTCTATCTTGTACTCTACCCACTCGCTACGAACTCAATTTCGGATCCACGGTACTGGACTGTTTCGTGCACTACTTGTCTTGGGGACGCCACCCCAACAGCCGGGAGCTTTTGCTGTCGAATCCTGGGGCTGTGTCTGCCACAGGGCAGGGACAGCATGAACACATCAGGCTGTGGGAGGATGTGGCGGTGTATTCAGAAGCGCGGTCACTTCTATGAGGTTTTCCCAGTCTTTGTGCAGCGAGCGCATTGTCATGATCATTGGGAACAAGAGTACCTAAGTAACCTCCTTCGCCAAGCCGCTTTGCCTGGATGCTGGACGGCCCGCGGAATTGAGCCTTGTTCTCAGAACAATGTCAGTCTGACTCCCCGTTTATGAGTACCTAGGGGCGTTGTTGTTTTGTTCAACGCCTACCATGTGAATTGGTAATATCTCGTTGGTAGGTGCAGACCCTACAAGCAAGTCAGGGGCCGGCCTACCTATCGGTAGTACTCATCACCGACTCCGGGATTTTGCCCATGGTCAAAGTCGGCAGAGGTGCGTGCAACTCAGTAATTGATCGCCCTGCACTCATCTCAGAGGAGGATCTGTGATGTTCCAGGCTTTGTGCTGCTCGACTAGGATGAAGGATGATCTTCAAAAGGTAGGGATGGCATCGTGCACAGGCAGTGTTGTGGGTGGCATTTAAAGTAGACGGGAGCCAACTTCTGACGTTCGTGCTAGTCCTGTCTGCCTTGCTCGTTATCGCTAGCAGCACGGCAAGGTCATGGGCCAGGCGCGCCGGTGAGTCCTGACCTGTTTCGAGTGGCATTGATGATCGACCCCTGTCTTCATGCCAGGCCCTATTGTAATCGTTTTCTCTCTTGGGGTGATCGTCTTTTTCGTCTGATCTACGTCGTATGGTGGCTGTCGGGAAGTGGTGTCTGGCAGGGGTGTCGGTTACAGAAGAAGAGACGGCGCGGGAAAGAGGAGGAAGGGTGTAGGACATCACGATAACTCGGCAACTCTGGTGGTCCCTTGCACGGCACTGGCGTCGGATCAGGCCGGCGGGAAAAGACCCCGAGAATCCTCATAGGTAGAATTCAATGTGCGATCGGTCGCGATTATGCGGTGCCATTGATGTTTCTATTTCCGGTGTTTGTCCGTTTCGACCCGCCCGCCTGCGATCTTCGCAAGTGACAGACACCAGGTCTGCTCATTGGGCGAAATTTATTCCTCTTGCTTTGTCTAGAATGCAAGTCGTTCGCTCATCAAGATGGTTAGCCCCCGCTATGTGATTGCCAATTCCAACGCCCGCACTATATATACGCCCGTCGGTCCCGCAAAGCGATCTCACACACTACAGTCGTGCCACGGCGGCGGCGGCCGCCGCGGATCCTCAGTGCTCCCACTCCTTATAGGCCTTCTGCTTCTGTCTCGTGTTCCACCCGAGCTTGCCGCTGATACTATTTACCCAGTCCTCCGAGCGGCGACCCTCGGCCTGGACGCTGGCGAAGGGGAAGCGGCTGGCCGAGATGGTGACATAGTCGCCCGGGAACAGCTCGACCCTCTCGCGGCCGTCGAAGCTGGCCCAGGAGCTCGTGCGCGCCGAGAACGGCACGCCCACCCGCAGTACAATGGTGTCGGGCAGGATGATGGGCCGGAAGGACAGCGTGTGCGCACAGATGGCTGTCACCAGCATCACCGGGTTCTCTGGGTGGCAGAGTGAGCCGCCAGCAGCGAGGTTGTAGGCTGTCGATCCGGTAGGGGTCGACACGCATATGCCGTCGGCGAGGACTGAGGTGAAGTGCTCGTCGTCGCCGAAGATTTCAAGATAAGACATTGCTGTGGTGGTTGTGCATCAGTTCATGCTTACGAATGTCGTGATTATTTTCACCTCCAGGAGCAGCTTTCACAAGGAAGAATATAGACTTACTCGGGTTCGGCCCCCGGTCTACCACGATCTCGTTTAGTATCTCGTACGTTCCGTCAGGCTTGTGTGTGTGCTCGTCCTCTTTTTCTTCACCAATCAGCTCTTCTACCAGGTCCCGGTCTCGCAGCGTGCTCTCCTCGTCTTCCTCACTTGAAGTGGTTGAACTACCGGCGGTGCCGTCCGCTATCAGGCCTGGATGCCGCTTTCCCTTCTGGCTTCTCATGATGGTTCCCTCGAATCGTAACCTGAGACTAACGGTTACGCCCTCCTTAAAGGCCCCGCTGAGTGTGTTCTGGTAGTCCTCAAAGTCGAACTTGGTCAGGAAGCCCAGGCTCCCCAGCGCAAAACTCAACACGGGCGGCACGATGCGCTGGAATAGCCAGCTGGCGTAGAGCACCGTGCCGTCGCCGCCCAGGGTTATGGCGAAGTCGAAAGTGTGTGGCCTCGTCCGGCACATGTGCTCGTCCCACCATCTCAGGCGTCGCGATATTGTGTGCGCATTCTCATCCTCGAGCTCGCCGGCCTGGATATAATCCTTCTTTAATTCTTCGACCAGCCCCTCGGCGTTGAACTGCTTGTTGGTCTTCAGGTCCCGCTCCAGGTATACCGTATACCTCACGTCCCGGTCCTTGTCCAGCAGCCACCGGGCCAGCTCCCGCGCCTTGGGGATCAGGTCGCGATCGTAGACCTTGGTCAATATGAAGACGTTGCGCACGCGGAACTTGAGCCGCATGCTCCCCAGCCGCCTGCTCAGCTCCCTGACGCCCCAGGCCATCTCGCTCAGCTGCTTCTTGGTCAGCAGGCGGCTGTGCAGCTCGTGCTCGGCCTCGGCATGGGACTTGTCGACGTCCGAGGTCGACTTGGCGATCTGCTTGGCCCACTCGTGCTCGTCGGTCTGGCCGGTGTCACTGCCGGCGTCGGCGTCGGTACCGCGGGAGAGGATGGCGCACTTGCCCTTGGGCTCGACGAGTCGCTGGTCGGACAGGCCGTTCTCGGAGATGGAGGCGCTGTCGACGTGGTGCTCGTGGTGCCTGTCCTTCTCATGCTGCTGGTGCTCGTGCTGCGCGTGGCGGGCCCGCTTCTGCGACTCGAGGAACTGGTGGACGAGACATTGCGTCTTGTCGTTGTGCTGCTGGCGCAGCTTGGGGATTGGCGCCTCGGAGGGGACGAGGGAGCTCTTGCGACGGTAGACGCTGCCGGCGTCGAAGGTTACCTGGTTGTGTGGGTTAGCAGGCGCGACAGTAGCAGGAACGGCGATGCGCTGTCGGTGTCGGTGTCGGTGTCGGTGTTGGTGATGGATGAGTGGTTGGGTGGTGATTGGAAAAAGCAGATGATAAGACCAGGGCGGTGGCAGGAGGGACATGGAGGGGCATTGAAATTGAGGGGCAGTTGGTTCAGTACCTCGACGGCCTTGGCATCCTCATCGCTGGCGCTGGAGTGAGGGTCCTCGAAGGCGACCTGCTTATCCTGGCCGCCCATGCTCGCTCGGCCGTGGAATTCTTGGATTTTGGAATCGCGATGAGCCCGCACAAGACGAGCGCGAGGGATCAGCGGACTGACGGTCGAGGTTGCAGATCGGAAGATACGGAGGGGAAATGGCGCATGGTAGAGGATTGAACAGTAATCAACCAAGGAGCAAGTAACATGGTCGCAGGAACCAGCTTCGAAAGGGCCTCTTCCGGTGACAAAGCGCTCCCTGCTCCCTGCCAGAGGGGCTTGAGGGTTATGTCATCATCGGTGTTCCGTGGCGACGGCTAGCAGTGTCAGAGAGCTGAGGAGTCCCCTCTGCAAGTGGGCAGGTGGGCCGTCAAAGCGCCTGTCATTGGTTGTGTACATACCTAGGTACCCACTAGTAGGTGCTTGGCGCCCCCAAATGAACCCTTAGTCCCTGCCTTGTGTCTAAGACCAGCACTTCGGCCAGAGACAAAACAACACACTACAATGGCCTTGTCCACCGTGTCGGGTCCCACAACTAGTGCACAGTACTGCTGCTGAAGATAAAATGTCTTATTAGTCGTGGCACTTTGAACGGCCAGGTCAAATCCCCAGCACAACACAGCCATGGAACACCAGCCTGCCACCTTCCCATTGTTCCCTTCTCTGCCGGCTGAACTGAGGCTGATGGTGTTTGAGCAAGCATTGCTGCCGCTGATAGAAACCAGGATCGTCGAAGTGTTCACGAGCCACGAGGATCCGGGATCTGTCTCTGACTTTGGGCCTGAGCTTGATTTCCTTGACCTTTCTTTCTCTGTCAAGAACGCGCCATTTCTCCGAGAGGCACAAAGCTTTGTGGTCTCGGCGGAAACCCTTCGCCAAGTATGCACAGAGAGCCGTGCCGCGGTGGCGGCCTTTCACAAGCGATGCGGTTGGCTGCTACCCCAGCGTGGGTTTTTCAGCGACGCGCTCTCCAGCTTGTCCCGAGAGTTGAGTGTCCCTCTTCGACCTCATGGCCCTCATGCCGACATTTTTTTCTGGCGGGGGTTCCGTCTTCTGGAAATGGATAGCATCAAGTCTTGGTCCGTTGGCGCCCATGACCTCGGGCTCGCCACGCGTTGGCTCGTGCCCATTGGCATCCTGACACGGGACCTTGACAAAATGGAAGTTGCCTGGGATCCTCAATTGTGGAAAATGCCCCTCGCCAGTGTACATTCGTGCATCAAGGATCCTTTACTAAAACCCCGAGAACACGACATCATCGCTCTCATCCCTGCGGATGAGCCACCATCTCCTCTCAGGTACAGTGACTTGATCATTGTCTCCGCCGACGCTAGTCGTAACATGATAATTCCTGGCCTTGAAGCCGGCAATCAAGATTTTCTCTTGGGGAAATTCGAACACTGCAAGGAAAGTCTGAGGCTTTTTGAAGAGCGGCGACTACTTCAATGGCACGGACCCGTGCAGACGCGCGAACCCAAGAGGGTGTTTCCTGATCTTTACTTCGCATACTTGGATCCTCTCAAGCGGAACCAGCCTCGCCAGACCCTGAACGAGCAGGCCAAAGGGCACGGCTCTCCCCGTGCTCACAGGTGGCGAGAGCTCTTTGGTTTGAATGTATGAGGCACGGAGTCCAGTAACTCCATTTCTGCCGCCTGCCTCTTTTTCTTTTGTCTGTCTACTTAAGTACCCAGTGATTCTGCTTAGTTTGTATCTCCAGAGAACAATAGCGCATTGTTCCAGAATATAGGGTACTACTAGTGTACTCTGCAGGCCAGATGGAACAGATCCCAGCATGCCCATTTCCATCCCCTAATTTCTTTAATTGAACAACGAAATCAATCTGTATCTCTGGACGTCCACTTTTGCTGCTGTGATGTAATGTAGACTCAGAGGTCTGCATCCTATGACGGGAAACCTCAGAAAATCCGATGTAGTCAGAGCCACTCGTGCGAGCAAGTTCGCAAAGTCATGCATCTCTAAAAGATACGTGTTAATTCGCTCCAGTCACAACAATTGCAAAAGTACAACACTCTGGGTAAATCGGAGCAAACTAAATCTTACAGCACCTATGAGTGAGGTTGTGCTGTGGCACACACCTCATAGCCCTCAGCTGTCAAAATCAAACTTGAGCACCAACCATTGCCTTCGAGTTCTATTTGAGATCACATGATCAGACCAGAAGACAACCGGTTTGCAGAACCTAGAGGAGGTTTCCTTGTTAATCTTTTATCAACACATTCGTATAATACACAGCCCTCTTTCCGCAAATACCACATGATGTCGCGAAAAGCTCAAAGTTCCCGGGGTTGAGACCCCACTTCCTTGCCACCAAGGTATAACATGCGATTGGCCAGCCAGGAGATCTACCCCCGAATAGGAAATCTTCAAAAGACCTCCGCCATGTCGGTGCAATGATCTGAAGGGAAAAGATGACACGATGCGTCGAATGATTGCAATCAAAATGACCCATTCAAGTGTTCATCACTCGTAGCGACAGCAGTGGGAACATCCCTGGAACCGAGAGGGTGCCCTTGATCGGCTCGGGTGGTGATGACGTTGGGGTGCGGAACCGTCAGCGGACCCGTGTATGCCAAACAGGCCTTGATCGGAGCTGATAGATAGACCACTGCTACCAGGTTGGCTCAAGACAATACGACGCAATTCCATGAAGTTTACAGGCTATCACATACTCTTGCAGTATCGGCAGTCTAGAAAATGATCTCAGGAACCCGTCCTTGCCCCCCATGGCCGCCTCCGGGTTAACCTTGCAGCTGCAAATGATGTCCTTGCATACAAAGGACCTTGCTCTGTGGCAGGCTGGTTTGCTCAATGTTGGCAAAGCTAATCATAAAACTACATTTCTTTCCACAGTGACTCAGCCTGGAGCTTCTTCCTCGGTCGGCCCACCTTTTGTCAATAACCCATCTGGAATATGACTTTCTTGCATTATCTCAAGCTTTCCCTGGCACAAAGGTAAGCGTTCTATGCCACTACTCTTGGCTATGGCGGCAACAAGCTGTAATACAGTCACAGATTGCCGGCGCTAAAGCGGCAAGAAAAGACGGAAACAGACGTGAAGAGGGAAGAGACATGTTTGCCAGCAGGGCGATGCTTGGAGCTGAGACTTCGAGACCCATGCAACAGCAGCATCGGCTTCCGAGAATTAGTCACTCGAATGAAGCAATCCGAACATCACGAATTTTGAGGAGGTCTCAATTCCTCTCTTCCCGATGTCTTGTGTTTAGCATAATGACCATGTCCCAATTCAAACCGCAACGCTCTCGGTATTCTCCCATTTCTGCCAAATGAGAATGCATTTGCAGGCGGGCACTCCATAGGGCTCCCCACCTTTTTCTCTCATTATCTCAAGGATTTGAGCCCTCTCAAATCAGAATTTTGAGTGGAATGTGTGAGTTGTCTACAACGTGTCGGAATAGGTTGTATTCCTATGCCACACTCACCGAACCTGGGCGCCGAAGAGGTGAGACCTTGACTATGGCACAAGACCTTGGATCTTTGCATTGTGTTTGTTATCGGCGGATCTCAACGGGCTGTATGAAACCACTGATACGAGGCTTAAATGCCTGAGATGGTGTTAGGGCCTCGCACTTTGGCGCCGAACATCGGTCACTTATGGCATGCGAAATCTTGGAGCCCGTACAAGGGGACAGCTTGAAGGTAAGTGGAGATGATGTAAAAGCCTGGACGTCGCTGCAGCGGGGCTGCCCAAGACTTCTTTCCCCACGCCCAGTCTCTCAAAGCTGGATGCTATAGGTAACCCCTGCTCGGCGCTCACAGGAGCCCTGTGTGCATCGACTGGCAGCAAGTTAACATCGCTTGGGTGGCTTTACAACGTACACAGCCACCGAGAACAAAATATATACAAACCACTGTGCTAGTGGCTTGAAAAGGGAACAGGATATTTGACTATTATCCTGGGTTCATAGTGTTGCTAGGACTTCGGGCAGATCGCGCAAGTGAGCACCAAGACACGTTTGAGGGCTCTGGCCTTGGGCTAGCAGGTGGTCTCGTGTGGTCTCGTGCGATCTGTAGAGTCTGTCAACAGCTACGATTCACCTACGCACGAAACCACAGAAGGTCATGCAAGTGCTGGTCTAATTAAAGCCGTATCTTTCTTTCGACTGTTCTATGGGGACACCTGAACTCCGCCGTTGAACATGCGAGCCATGCCAATAACAACACCGAAAATGAAGTAGTTGGCTTCGTCGCAATTCGTATTCTTATATTTCCTCTGAAGTGGGGAGATTCTCAACTCCGAAAACCAGGCTGATGGTTGTACAATGTGAACAAGGGAAGAAAAAGGTCGGACTCGTTAGGCCGATCATGCTAGCGCTTTCTCGCCATTTGGCGACGGTGGTGGCATGGGAACCTGTGGACGTGTCAGTCAGTCAGTCCAACCTCGGAAACTCTCACGCCGGGGGGGGGGGGGGTTGCTTACCTCTAGTTTTGTGCTGCCAGCCATCATCTTCTGGAAACCAATACCCACACCTTCAATTACTGCCAACAACACAGCGCAACCGATGGCGCCGTTCCTCGCCGACTTGAACCCGCCTCGCATCGCCAGGGCACCACCCGTCAGGAAGCCGGCCCCGATCGCGTTCCAAGGGTCCTCCTTTTGCCGGACGCCCTTGACGGCGCAGTCGCACAAGCTGAACAGGCCACCCCAGGCGCCGAAGTTGCCTCCTAATACCGGGGCGCGCATCTTGACAGCTGTGATGGCGCCTATCCGCCGCTCGCCGTATGGGCTGTTGCGAAAGCCTTTGATGCCGTGCCAGATCGTGCCGCCGATTGCCTGTTGGGAGGGATGGCGTTAGCTAGGTCACAAGGATGGATGCACAGAGGGGTGAGGGTGCGGGTGAAGACGTACTCCCATGGCGAAAGCACCACCAAAGTCATTGAGGATGACCCAGGGACATGGGTCCCGACCGTGATCCATGGCCATTATGTGCTGTGGAGGGAGGAGGCTGTAGAGGAGAGGTGTGTTCTGGGGGCCGGCGAGGCTTTGAGGCACGTGGAGGGGTTCGGTGTGGCCCGCTGGATCGAGAGGGTGTTGGCGACAAGAGGCTGCGCAAAAAGTCGAGTGGGTTGACGTAGTCGAGAGCTTGACTGTGGATGGCAAGGTGGATGGGAAATCTGGAAAGAGTCGGCGCGCTTGCGGCTAAGGAATTTCAAGTGGGTCTGACGACTGCTCTGCAGATCCCACCCGGTCTGTGCTTACAGGCGCGCATGCGGGCAGAAAAAGTCAAAATGTAAGCGCGGTGGCAAGCCGGCGGCTGCCCGCCAAGAGGATTGCATTTTGGCTGTGGTCTGTCTGCCTTTCAAAATCAGAGAAAGCACGTAGAGGAATGAATTCCGCGGAGACCCTTGGATTTAGAGGCTCCATCTGGCGCTGTGTTTTCTCAGGCATCCATCCACCACTGCAACACCCCGCTGTAGTGTAAGAATACATCCAACGGCGGAAATGGTGCGAATGCGCCCGTATAACTGCGACTACTTACCAAGCAGAAAATGCAGACTGTGGATTGACTCAGACTCGAAGTCGGACGACCCAACTTCCAGGCCGTTTCTCAACAAACCAACATAGCTTTGAAATCGCGAGCGTCCATTGGGAGCATTCACGCACCAAACGTAGTGTCATGTTGACAATGGTCCGAGGTGCACGGGCGTGCATGGGCGTTTCTTCAGCTGGGTGCTATAAGTCTACTTTATCACGGCTATGGTGTAGCTTCGCTCTATTAGGCCGCCGGGAGTGATTGTACCCAGTCTCTACAAGATCTGAGACCTGAAGACTGTGCGGCGACTTTTCGTGTCAACAAGGAGGGGCAGACCACGTAAACACTACTTAGTATTGTTACGTATATATTAGCTAGCAAAAGTGAAAACAAGCTTGGTCAAGGAAAGGGAGCATTGAAGGGAACAAGGAAAGGAGAGGATGAAGAGGAAGAGGAAGAGAAGCCGTTCCTTGGAGACTGAGGTTGTCGCGCAAGAAAGCGTGTCAAGCCACTATAGTCACCACTCCGACGGGCGATTTCAACTCAAGCGTCCACGAGACGCCCGGCTAGCTCAATCGGTAGAGCGTGAGACTCTTAAACGAGCCTCGTGTTCTGAAAGAAAATCTCAAGGTTGTGGGGTAAGAGAAAATCCAGATATCCAAGGCTTGGGTCGGGACTTGTCCTAACATCCGACTCAGTTCGACCCCCACGTCGGGCTCAATTCCCGTCGCATCGACTCAATCATTTTTTCCTCTTTTGCTTTTTGGTGGTCCGACGTCCTAAGGTCTCATATAATATCCTCCCTGGGGTCTGCAAAACTGGTGGACAGCCAGATTGTGTTCTATACATGCGCGTGTGAAACTGAGTGAGTACATGCAATGGTTTCTTCCAGGACCGTATACATGAGACTCACCTTTGCCGCGTGCACGTGACGCCGGGTGTAAGCTGTTCGCCTGGAAATCAATTGCAGCATGATTGGCGCTAGAGCCCGAGGCGAAGTGGGTCCGGCCGCCAAAAAAGTCGATGCTGCACGACCGGGCAGACAGCAGAGCTTCACTTTTGCTCGCCCTCGACCGACCCTCTTGGCCGCTGCAGCTTTTCTCTCCTGATCCCGGGCTCAATCATCTCCTCTCCTGTTACTGTGATTGCGTGGCCGTCTCTTTCTTTTCTTCAAGATGTCTTCTCTCCGAACCCTTGCTCCCTTCCTGCGGACAGCCCGCACCTCTCTCAGATCCGCCCACCCATTAGTATCGCTGCAGCGACAGTCCACTTCTCCAGTCCTGAACCTGTGCCGTGGGTACGCCGTCTACGAGAGGAGCAAGCCTCACGTCAACATCGGTTCGTGCCTTCTGCAGCACTGTTTCCATTCGGCAGAACGACTCACAACGCGGTAAACAGGAACCATTGGTCACGTCGATCACGGAAAGGTAAACATAGCCCGAGCTCATCCTCTGCGCAAGCTCGGCTCGACTCGCGGTCCATTTGGCTGACAGGCATTGCTCGCGACGACTAGACCACCCTCTCCGCCGCCATCACAAAGCGACAGGCCGAGAAGGGCTACGCCAACTTCCTCGACTATGGCGCTATTGACAAGGCTCCCGAGGAGCGGAAGCGTGGTATCACCATCGCCACTGCCCACATCGAGTACGCGACCGATGCCCGACACTACTCCCACGTCGACTGCCCGGGTCACGCCGATTACATCAAGAACATGATTACTGGAGCTGCCAACATGGACGGTGCCATCATCGTGGTCGCCGCCTCCGACGGACAGATGCCCCAGACCCGAGAGCACTTGCTGCTGGCCCGTCAGGTCGGTGTCCAGAGGATCGTCGTCTTCGTCAACAAGGTCGACGCCCTGGAGGACCCCGAGATGTTGGAGCTGGTCGAGATGGAGATGCGTGAGCTGCTGAACACGTACGGCTTCGAGGGTGACGAGACCCCCGTCATCCTGGGCTCTGCCCTGTGCGCCCTCGACGGCAAGCGACCCGAGATCGGAGAGCAGAAGATCGACGAGCTGATGAAGGCTGTCGACGAGTGGATCCCCACTCCCCAGCGTGACCTCGAGAAGCCCTTCCTCATGTCCGTTGAGGACGTCTTCTCCATTGCCGGCCGTGGAACCGTCGCCTCGGGCCGTGTCGAGCGTGGTGTCCTGAAGAAGGACTCCGAGGTCGAGCTCGTCGGAAAGGGAGGTGAGGTCATCAAGACCAAGGTCACCGACATTGAGACCTTCAAGAAGTCCTGCGACGAGTCCCGTGCCGGTGACAACTCCGGTCTTCTGCTCCGTGGTATCCGCCGCGAGGATGTCAGGCGTGGTATGGTCATCACCAAGCCTGGCACCGTCAAGGCCCACACCCAGTTCCTGGTCTCCCTCTACGTCCTGACCAAGGAGGAAGGTGGCCGCCACACCGGCTTCATGGAGAACTACCGCCCCCAGATGTACATCCGAACTGCCGACGAGTCCTGCGCCCTCTTCTTCCCCGAGGGTACCGAGGACGCCCACTCCAAGATGGTCATGCCCGGTGACAACGTCGAGATGGTTGCCACCCTGCACAACCCTTGTGCCGTCGAGGCTGGTCAGCGCATCAACATCCGTGAGGGTGGCAGGACTGTGGCCACCGGTCTGGTTACCCGCATTATCAAATAAGCTATTCAACAGGGTGGTTGAGAGCTCAAATCTGCAAGATCCAAGTGAAATGGTCTGATTGCAGGTGGTTCCAGAGTCCAGAGGGGACGTTTTGCATTTGCAGGAATCTCTTTTTTCTCTCTCGCGGGAATGGTTCAGGGGAAAAAAGGAGTTTTCAAAATGCGCCATTGTCACGAGTGTACGTATACCACGGAGAGTTGATTCTATGTACATTTGTCTGAGCCTGCGGGATTGCACGGACATTTATCTCCCCTCCACACCTCTTCCGAGTCTGTTATAATCCTGTAGTTTAGACAACACCCGCAATGATAGAACTCCCAGATGATCAAGAAATTGGTTATGCAAGCCTACTTGACCAGATACAGTATTGTCATAAAAGCGCTGGCTACTGGTTAGTGGTTGTCATATGCGGTACACCACACCCATCCCAGGCAGCTTGGGTTATAGATAGTGTTGGAAAGCGATGTAGCTCATGTTACCTCAGCCAAGGAATGCATGTGGCCTGATAGACAAGGCTTGGAGGACTGCCACACTTTAAGTGATGGGCTGAGACTCTGGTCGAGCAGTGAAGAAGGACTGAGGACATCACTGTGGCGCAAATGCGCCCAATGGAAGTGCGATCCATCGTATAGGATCATGTGGCCACCAAGACATTCGTAAACACTGAAACGATTCCGCGGAGATCGGGCCAAAGGGCAAGAAGCTGTTCTGATCCCCAAGTATGGCCTTGGGCCCTGGGCATCACCCTGCACCTGCATTCACAGCATCTGCCGCATTGGCGCGGCGCGGGCGTTTGTGTTGGGTCTTTTGCACTCGTTCCTCTATTCCGACGTGGGATGGAAACTCGATCTAACTCATCGCAGATCCCCCCCTCCCTAAACCCCGTCAAACCTTGCTCCCAGTGGGTGATTTCCATGTCCGGGTCGCCAAAAACCAATCAAACTCCTAATATGAAGCAAGCCGGCCGATGAAATGCTTTTCGATCGCATTGGGGGAGATGTCGAGGGGGGTGTGGGATGCGTGGTTCCCGGAAACTAGAGTGCACCCCATTCAACTCGTTGGCCCGTTGTAATCGTGATGTCAACCGAAAGAACTGTCCATCCCTACTCCGTCCCGTTTGGCGCGTGCATTTATCGGTGCTGTTAGTGTCCAGTGTTAGCTTCTATGGCTCGGGGTCGGTCGAGGCTACTCTGCGACGGGGCTTCAACGGGTCGCACCTTCTGGAAGCCAATGTCGGCGGACTTCTCGCGGAAGCACTGACGGCAGATGTTGAGGCCGTACTTGCGGATCAGACCGGCACGGTGGGTGCAGACGCGGCTGTGAAGAGTAATCGCACGTTAGCAGCCGTTTCCATTGTTGTAGATTGGCCTCGACCAATTTTCCTCTTCTTCTGCGCATGTGTGGCCGGGTTGGTCCCGACAGCGACATAATTTTCCTCGAGGACGGGGGTCGGTGTCTTCGTACCAAGAGCGGGCACCCTTTCCGTAGCCACGGGGGCGGGAGTTCCAGACGGATTCGTGAGACATGGTGTCGGTTGACGATTGACTTGACGAGGTGAAAACGTGTCGTCGGCCAGGGAAGGTTGTCGTTTCAGGACAGTGAGGTAGGTAGATTGCGGTCTTGCGGTCGATCTGGCTGGACAAGGTGGTTCTGAGGTGGAGCAAGGTTTGGTCGCGGCTCCTTTTGTTAAAAAATCTGGGTTGGTGTGTCCGCGCCACACTTCGGGATCTGTGGCGCAGTCGGTCGCCTCTCGCTATCTTATCGACGACGCCTGCGCTAGCGGGGCCCGCTTTATGCATCCCTGCTCCCAAGCGTCTCAGGGACTCTGTTGCCACTCAGCTGTCAGGCTGGCGGCTGCCAGTCAGTGAGGGAGCGTGGGAGCTACAAGCTTATGACGGCTGCAGCGGTGCCAGATTGTCCTCTACCTCGTCCATATTACTACTGATCGGGCGACCGATTTCAAAGCACTCCCTCCTCCCCCCTTTCCTTTATTAGCAAGGCAACTCGTTTGCTTCAGTTTTTACCTTGACCCTCCCTCAGATACCTAATTACATTCATCCAGTCCATCACCCGAATAACCCCCAGCATACGACCATTTCCTAGCAACAATGGTCCTCATCAAGAGCTTCGTGCTCGCCGGCTTGACGGCCGTTGTAGCCGCCAAATCCGCAGTCCTCGACCTCATCCCTAGCAATTTCGACGATGTCGTGCTCAAGTCCGGCAAGCCAACACTTGTTGAGTTCTTCGCGCCATGGTGCGGCCACTGCAAGAACCTCGCCCCAGTGTACGAGGATCTCGCCAGCTCCTTCGCATCTTCCAAGGATGTCCAGATCGCAAAGGTCGACGCCGATGCCGAGAAGGAACTTGGCCGTCGATTCGGTGTCCAAGGATTCCCTACCCTTAAGTTTTTCGATGGCAAGAGCGAAACGCCCATCGACTACAGCAGTGGCCGTGATCTGGAGAGCCTGTCCAACTTCATCACTGAGAAGACCGGTGTGAAGCCCAAGAGGAAGTTGGAGAAGCCTTCGGCCGTTACCATGTTGACGGACTCGACATTCGAAAAGGAGGTTGGCAGCGACAAGAACGTCCTGGTTGCATTCACTGCGCCTTGGTGCGGCCGTAAGTATCCTCCAGCGGGCTATCATTTGACGGGGCATTCGGGTGGCTAACATTTGCACAACCGCAGACTGCAAGAACCTGGCCCCTATCTGGGAGCAGGTCGCCGAGGACTACGAGAACGAGCCCAATGTCCTGGTCGCCAAGGTTGACGCCGAGGGAGAGAACAGCAAGGCGACCGCCAAGGCCCAGGGCGTGACTTCGTACCCGACCATCAAGTTCTTCCCAGCCGGCAGCAAGGAGGCCGAGCTCTACAGCGGCGGCCGCGCCGAGGCTGACTTTGTCTCATTCCTGAACGAGAAGGCCGGCACTCACCGTGCTGTCGGCGGCGGCCTGGACGCCTACGCAGGCACGATCGAGGCGCTCAACTCGGTGGTCGACAAGTTCACGGGCGGTAAGAGCGTCCTGACCGAGGCCCTGGCCGACGCGCAGAAGCAGGCCGAGGAGCTCAAGGAGCAGGCTCAGTACAAGTACGCCGAGTACTACGTCCGCGTGTTCGACAAGTTGAAGAGCAACGACGGATACGCTGCCAAGGAACTCGCGCGTCTGGATGGGATTCTGAAGAAGGGTGGCCTGGCCCCCACGAAGCTTGACGAGCTCACGAGCAAGACCAACATCTTGCGCCGCTTTGTCGAGGAGAAGATCGAGCAGATCAAGGATGAGTTGTAAACTCGTCGCAGCCCATGTGTTCAGAGGAAGGAAAAACGGGGGCGAAACTTGGAATGACTTGGCTGGCAACAATTTTACTTGGGAGCACTGGGAAGCAAATCGCTTAGAAACGACCCTGAATAATGAGACCTGACTTGGAATCGACTTTTTGTACCACAGAAACCATTGCCATTTGCAACCCCTGACCGCGCACCTTGAACAACTATAAATCTATATGTCTTGTAACGCGAATGTGTCCTCAGTTTTGACTGGTGCCCACACATGATTACGCGCCAATGCGCCTCTAGGAGACCATCTTGGCCTATGATTGCTTTGTACCAGAGTCCCGATCGTTGTTCGCCATCAACGCCGCCTCCAAGCTGTCAATCCGCCTGGACATCTCATCCACTAAACGGGGGCGTTAACGACATAAGCGAAGCGGGCGAGGCTGGGTGAGGCTACTTACTCTTGGCGAAGATCTCACTTGACACTCCGGCGAACTTGTTGGAAAGCGTGTTCAGGAGATCATCCAGCTGTTGCGTCAGCTCTGCGCGAGCGTCGTCGGATGTCTGTGAGGCGGATGTGTCAGTCTCAGGTTTGGTCTTGAAGGAGCTCTAGGCAGAGTTGCCAACGAATGAGTTCTGGGAGGCAGCAGAGGAGATTGTACATTTGGCTGGTTGTTTGGCTCGCTGGCATTTGACGCCATGGTTGTGAGTGGAGTGGATCGGTTAGGACACACGGGTTATCATCAATAGTGGACTTGGCTGTAAGCTCCCAGTGATTCAGCCTTCATGTGATGATGGGTCGGAGAGTTAATAAGGGGCGTCACTAGGGGCGGAAGTGAGTGCAGCCCAGTGTCTGGGTCCGGCCCGCTGACGTTGCGTTGTTACGTAGCGGGCCATGGCCTAAGTGGGAGCATCTGCCAAGCCGAGCCAGCATCACCTCTCCCGGGTACCCGTATTTGAGGTACACTAACCTTTGCTCACACGATCACCACCTCCAACCAAGCCCTGCTTTATTTGTCAACACCCTGTTGCAAGACTGCTGCTGCATAAGCAACGTATTGCAATGGCCGACTGAGACGCCTGCACTAACCATCATTGCTATTTCCCTCTGCACAGAGTCCACAGCCTGACATGCTCACCCGGCGACCTTCCACCTTACACAGGCTCCGGAGCCTCCGCCCAATCCACCCAAGATGCCGCCTCCACACCAAGAGAACCTGCGAGTCCTCGCCATAATCCTCATAATCTTTTGGCTTACCACGTCGTCCGGTGATGGGCAGGCCGGCTACTTTGCCACCCCGTTCCTGACACAGGAGCGTCTCGCCCGCCAGCGCCACTCGTATTCCGTCCTCAACTCGACGAAATGGGGCGACTTCAACCCACGCCAGCAGGGTGACCCGCCGAACGGGACCGAGCACACGCGGTACATCAACATCACCGGCTTCAGGCAGGCTGACGGCCTCGCATGGGAAGACCTGGGCCTGTTTAGGGAGCGCTGCCTGGAGACCAGTCGGAACACAAGCCCTTTCCGTCTGAAGCCGAGGGCTGCGGATGGCGAACCCGTCCTCGAAACTGGAGATGACGGGGCACCGGCAAAGTCTTTGTGGGACATGGTCGGCACCCCAACGTGGTTGAACGCGACGGGCTTGGTGAAGGGGGATTGGACCCGAAGAGAAGCGTCTTCCTCTAGGACTTGGTCCGACTATAACTTTACAGCAATGACGCCTGGCGTCACCTGGGGTGGGACTCACGGCGAGTGGAGTAGAAACGTGACTGGTTCTGAGGGGACTATGCAGCTACGGGTCGAGGACAAGAAGCGACACATGGAATACGACGAGGCCATTGGCGAGCATCATCACCTCAGTACAGGTGGCTCGGTCCGTGAGGTTGCCGCCGGCCTGATAATCGAGGACTCGGCCCATGATGGAAGTGGAGGCCAGTACGAGATGAGGCTACATGGGGTCCACTGGCCGGCGCAGGGCAACATGTTGCTTACCACGACCAGCGAGAAGTTTGGAGGAATATTTGGTCTCCCACACCTGACCCCCGACGAGAGCTTCTTCGAATCGAGCCAACAGTTGCTGAACCAGACCGTACATGAGGTCCTCAGCAAGAAGGAGCGATCGGCTTTTACGGACCAAAACAACCCCTGGGCTTCAAGCGTCGGGGGTGTGGAGGACTCGTGGAACCCCTCGCCGCATTGCGAATGGGTCGTCTACCTGCAGGTCCACCCACTGAACGGCAATGACTTGCAGCATACAGGCAACAACATGGGCGACGTGGTCAAGGAGATCGAGAAGGAGCTGCGATATCCTACTGGAGCCCCGCTGCCTCATGTGCCCGACATGAGAATGTCCGCCGTGCTCTATTCGCCGGACTGTGCCTACTTCCTGGAATCCAAGGGCCCGCCGCATTTTCCTCAGGCTCAGGGAAATCATCTGGTCGGTTTCAAAGAGGAAGTGTGGATATCAAACCTGAACTTCTATCTCTTGGCCATGGCTGCCATTGTGTTTGGCCAGGTTCACCTGCTCAAGTCACAGATGAGGGAGTCGTATACTCCGTCCACCATGGGTCGGGTCAGTTTCTGGACGATTATCATCATGGTGCTAGTCGATGGCATGATGTTCACTGTTGCCGCCGCGCTAAGCCTTGACTCCCCATTCTTTCTCCGGGCGCTGATCTTGACTTTTGCCCTGTTCATGTCCATGATGATTGGAGGCAGTTTCCTCGGTGAAATTTACAAGGTCCAAGAGTCCGAATGGCGGCCGCGAGAGCGCGAACATACTCCAAACAATACCACACCGAGGCCGCCCTCAACGCCTGCAGCACCCGAAGACTCGCTACCTCGGCCAGTCACTGCGGGGCCTGCAGGAGCTGTCAGCCCTCCGATTATCGTCCCGTTTGATCAGGACATCGACGCTGAGATCGCGGAGAACGCGGCTGCAGGAGCAGCAGCTGTGCCCACCATGGGCACAACAGGTGCCGGCGCGCAGCAGTCGAGAGTGACGCCGTTCTCGAGCATCATCGGCCGGCTCTTCCTCGCCGGCTCATGTATAAGCTTCCTCTCCCTTGCCGCCAATTCGTGGTGGAAGCCACTGCGGAGCTTCTACGTAAACACCCTGGTATTCGCCTACCTGTCTCTGTGGGTTCCTCAGATCATCCGCAACATGTATCGGAACAGCCGCCGTGCCTTCTCATGGCGCTTCATGATCGGCCAGTCGGTCCTGCGGATCCTGCCGGTTGCGTACTTCTACCTGCGCAAGCGCAACGTGATTTTCGCCGAGACGGACTGGATGGCATTCCTCATCGTGGCCGGGTGGCTGTGGACTCAGCTATGGGTGCTGGCGTTCCAAGACGTACTCGGCCCACGCTTCGGCATGCCCAAGGGCTGGATGCCCGAGGCCTGGGACTACCATCCCATCCTGCGTGAGGACAATCTCGAGGCTGGCGGACTACCGATAGGGCTGGTACCTTCTACCTCCAACCCCGGCTCTCCCACCCTGGAGCGCGTGCGCTCTCTTAGTCTGAGTAGCGCGGAGGGCAGGGAGAAGAGCACGACGGCGGTGAAGGGGATGCGTATCCGGGCCATCGAGTGCGCCATCTGTCAGGAGGCCCTGGAGGTGCCGGTCGTCAAGGCAGGGCAGGTTGTCGAGCCTGCTGGCGGTGGTGTTCCCGGCGTGCTAGAGCGGAGGAAATACATGGTCACGCCGTGTAGGCATATTTTCCACAGCGCATGCCTGGAAGGGTGGTTGAGATTCAGACTGCAATGTCCAAATTGCAGAGAGGAATTGCCACCATTATAGACGATCCATTACAGATGGACAGCGTTTTGTATATATTACATCAAATCCACGATTGCCTCTACAGCAGCAGCCATGTGGTCGCACACACGCAGGCGTCCCAAGCTATTCCCGATTCCGTCCTGCAGGTCTGACAGGTTACCCCCTCTCGTTCCCAGCCACCTCGTTCTTCTGGAACTTATGTATGTCGAGGCCTAATCCCAGAACAGGATACACTCTGGCTCGACTGACGATGAGGGCCAGAACACCCAGACAATATATCACAGCATGGCGCACCTAACAATCATCGACCTGCCAACGGAGACCCTAAATCAGATATTCGGGCACTTCTGTCTCCACTGTTGTCATGGCGATCAGGAAGGTCCAGACTCGTATTTCCGCAGCTCCGAGCACTGCCTGCAGTAAGCAACTTTCAATGCAGCCTTGACCCATTGAAGAAGCTACTCTCATTTTATTCAACCTTTGCATCAAACCTATCAAGCTGTAGGCATTGAAACAAGTCGATACCGAAACTTGACCGCACCCATCCACAGTTTGCAAGGAACCACTTCCTTCGTACTTTAACCACTAACTCTGGATGCTGAAGGCAGGTGGATGAGTCTTCCTGGTATCTAGCCGACTTCCGCCAGCCCCTGGTTTCTCTGTGCCTGGTGTCAAGGCGCCTCCGCCACGTTGCCCAGCAGGTATTGCACCACGAATTCGTGCTTGGGTATGGAGACTCATGGAGGTCGCCCTCTTTCTCCTGGGACAGGCGGCTCACATCCTTCCTGCGGACCATTGGTGAGCGGCCCGATCTCGCAGCCGCCGTGAGAAGGGTATCGCTGCACCCGAACCTGCTGGACGCCACCGAGTTGGGCGACGTCGCGGCTGTCGTTGACGTCCGGCGGAAGGGGCGTGGTCTCGGCCTCGAGATCCAGGACGAGTCGAGGCCGCCGCGCTACCAGGGCCGTCATGGCGAGCTGAAGAGGCCGTTGGTAGATTACAGGCCGACTCCAGGTATGGTTTGTGTGAAACCGGTCATGCCGTATGGCAGGAGACTTCGCATGCGGCATGTGGATGACTATACGTGTGACGACAGCTTCCGCGAGAGGCACGCGCTCGGTCTCGAAATGCTAGCGATCCTTATAGGCAGTCTACCAAGTGTCGAGCGCCTAAGCATCCAGCAGAGTATAGTCGACTACGAAACCCCTTACCTATCAGCCTTAGGGTCAATCTCTTTGAACAAACGGCTACGCCTTCTCAAGACTCTTGACATCGCAGCGCATGACTACATGTACGAGACGATGCTCCGGGTGCCGTTGCAGGCGGCGGGAATACTGGAGCTGGCCAAGGACACATTGCAGACCCTCAACCTTCACATGTGCAGAGGCTTTTGGACTGACCGTGAGCAAGCACCTATCTTCAAGTCGCTCAAGACTCTTCGCCTGACCGGCAGTCGACTCGGGGACAAAGAGCTCGATGTGCTACTTTCGTGCTGCACCGCCGGCCTCACATCCTTCACCTACGAAGCTTCCGGGTCCTTCCGTCCTTCTTTTGGTTCGGATGATGTTAGTGAATTCCACCCACCAGAAGCCATCAAAGCCCTGAGGATACATTCGCGCACGCTCAAAACCCTGCACCTCGATTTGAGGCGAGTCCAAAGGAACCCCCCGGTGCAGCCTCTGCTCCCGGCTAGCCTGGCGGACTTCACCGCGCTGGAGGATCTCTTTCTCAGCCTCAATACACTCTGGATAGAGCATTTCACGCTCCAGACAGGGGAATGGAGAGGTCTACCCGAGGGGATCCTGGCCTCCCCACAGCTTCCAGAACTCCTCCCCCCGAATGTGAAATCACTGGATATTGCCGGCCGCCACCGTTACAAGAACCTGGCGGAACTTTCCACCCGCCTCCTCGGCCTCGCCAGAGCCGTAGCAGAGGACGGGAAGCTGCACAGGCTGCGGAAAGTCAGGTGCGATTCCAAGTTCAAGCGAGGACTCGACAAAGGACTTGGACCGGACATCGATGGCCTTTTCCAGGGCGCAGGCGTGGATTTCGGGTTCGGTTGCTGGCCGCTGAGCGAGACTACCATCACCCACGCCGTTATGGACCTCCCGGCCCCGCTGAGGCGGGGGGAAGATCACCCTACGCTGATCGAATACTTCGATGATGAAGAGCATATGCGAGAAAAGCGTGAGGAGGCTGAACGGAGCAGAGCTGGTGCGTAACAGCACGGCGGAAGCCACGCGGTGCAGAGCTGAACGGATTCTCAAGTCGACGGCATACTATGGAATTCCTAGGTAGACTTGTCCTTTGACTTGGAGGCGAGTGAGCTTGCTTACATCCCAAGTCGCCCTCTTCCGGCTTCCCTCCCTCGGATTAAGGGCGGCGATGGTCAGACAGGGTGTATGCTAGTAATCATACTACCCAGATTTAAAGGGTAATACAATAGACGCCGATCTTCGAGCGGCTCCAAATCATGCTCGCAGCATCCTGCCCACGTTTTCGAACTAACATCCCGGTGTGCTTTGTTCTTGCACTCAGGAGGACTTGTCCGGGAGGGGTTTCCATGGTAAATTCGTGTCTTGACAATTGAAAGCGGATACTGGCAGCAAATAAGAGTCCGTTACTGACCGCACTGGGAGCCACATGGTCTTATGGTGTCAAAAGAGTCTCTTGGTGCGAGTACTCGGCGCATTATCAGCAATGGTTTCCGAGTATCCACGATGATGTCATTGGGAAACGGTGCCCAGGTACCTGGAGCTTAGGCCTCTGCCGTCTCCTGACCCCGCGGTCGCTAGAAGGAGCTGGAAGGTACCCCGGGAGCCGGCCATCAAACGGCTGAGAGACGGTTAGACTGTGCCTGACTGGCGACCAGACCGTTGCAGTCAGGGAATAAATGATGGAAGGCAGTTGTAGCTGGCTGCGAGGAGGGAAATTTTGCATCCAGATACCCATTTCTGAGGCTTTAGAGTCGGTTCCTCTTCCTACACTATACTGCCCCCGCCAGTGCTGTCAGTCGGGCGCGCGGGCAAGCTCTCCAGCGGCCCAGGCTGACATTGCGGCCCCACCCACATGTAAATCGCGGGAGGTGTTCATCCTTAAGTACCTTGTCCTGCCCAGACAACTCGCACGAGGCAGCCCACGAGCCTCTGCTTTGCTGGGTTGACGGAATCAGACCTGGCTGCATCTTGATGTTGAAAGAGTCAAAACTGTGGATGTGCAGAGTCGGAGAATCAGTTGACTGACGGCTTTAGGTGAGCACAAAGGGGAGAGATTGAGGCAGACGGTTGTGGCTGGCCGACGTCACAGTCTAGGTCCAGGAGCCCTGGAAGGGCATCGAATCTTCTTGAAGCACGTTGAAGCTCTCGCCCGAGCCCCACTCTTCCACCACGGGGACGCCCTGCCTCTTGGTAGAATTGGCTCCCAGGCGCTCTCCTGCCTCTGCGCGCTTGACCAACTTTCAGTCTTTCGATCCTATAACTTGGCAGTTCCACTGCATCACTGCAACTCAGATTGAGTGCGCACACAAAGCACACACACGAACAGTCTTTTGGAACGAACCCCCATCTTCCAATCATCCAGGACAGAGTCAACAAAAGAGCGACCATCAGTCGCCAACCCTCGCAACAAAACCCCTCCAACATCCAACACCAAACAACACCACGCGACCCGATCCGGCCAATCTGACCCCACTGATTGCCACGAGTCTCGATTGCTTCCCCCCATTCAACCAAGGCCTCGAGCCTGTGTTTCTTCTCTCAATTATTCTTATCTCCTTTGACCCACCCATACTAGATCAACTCAGCCAAGGACATCGCAACCATGGTTAAGGAAACAAAGCTGTACGACCAGCTGGGGGTCAAGCCCGAGGCGACCCAGGACGAGATCAAGAAGGGTTATCGGTAAGCATCATTTCCACCACTCTCCGGTCTACTGTTACGTACCCAGTTGTTCTATGGTCAATGGCCATCCTCGCATTCTCCAAAGATAACAATGAGCTAACCGCGGGGCCCAACAACAGCAAAGCTGCCTTGAAATACCACCCAGACAAGAACAAGGACAACCCCGACGCCGCCGAGAAGTTCAAGGAGTGCTCACAGGCTTACGAAATCCTCTCTGATCCAGAGAAGCGCAAAGTCTATGACCAGTACGGCCTCGAATTCCTGCTGCGCGGCGGCGCCCCACCATCAGAAGGAGGCGGGGGCAACCCCTTCGCCGGCGGTGGTGTACCACCAGGCTTCGCGGGCTTCGACTTCGGTGGCCCCGGCGGCGGCGGTGGTGCAAAGACGTTTCACTTTAGCACAAACGGAGGCGGCCCGGGCGGATTTAATTTCTCCAATCCGGACTCCATCTTTGCCGAGTTCATGCGGAGTGGAGCTGCCGGCGGTGGAGGCGGTGACGACGACTTCGGCGATCTTTTCGGTGCCTTTGGCGGCGGCGGTCCACGAGTCAGGGCCGGCGGCCCTCGCATGAGGACCAGCTTCCCTGATGCCGGTATGGGCGGCGGCCGCAGCGCACGACAGCCAACACCAGAGGTAACCACGGTGGAGCGTCCGCTGCCCGTGTCTCTGGAGGACATGTACAAGGGAGTGGAGAAGAAGATGAAAATCAAGGCTAAGAAGTTTGATGAAAACGGCAAGCGGACCACGACTGATCAGATGCTCACTGTGCCCATCAAGCCTGGCCTGAAGAAGGGCAGCAAGATCCGCTTCAAGGGCGTGGGGGACCAGGAAGAGGGCGGTCAGCAGGACCTGTGCTTCGTTATCGAGGAGGTAAGTCGCGTCGATTTTCTGGCATCTGAGAGATTGGGCGGGATGCTAACCGTGCCCGTAGAAACCACATCCGATCTACACTCGCGACGGCGACGACCTCAGCATGAGCGTCGACCTCGAGCTGAAGGAGGCCCTGACCGGCTGGAAACGCACCGTGACTACCATTGACGGGCGGCAGCTCAGCCTTGACAAGTCAGGCCCCACGCAGCCAGGTTCCCAGGACGTCTACCCGGGCCAGGGCATGCCCATCTCGAAGAAGCCTGGCCAGAGGGGCAACTTCATCATCAAGTACAACGTCAAGTTCCCAACCTCATTGACCGCACAGCAGAAGCAAGCTCTCAAGGAGATCCTATAAGCTGGTTGCCGTGATGAGGGAGAAGAAGGTCAAATGGAGACCGAGGACCCACGACGGTGATATGGGAGTGGGAGATTTTGGGACCTGAGCCTGGATACTGATCAAAGGACAAGTCAATTGCACCCCGAGGATTGCTAAACAGACAAGCTCGGTTTCTCAGGCCTCGTTACACACAAGGGGCTCGAGCTTTTGAGAGCAAGTGGCGGCTGTCACGGAGGCTACCGGTTAATTTCTTGGACAACGGCCTTCTCAATGGCACAAAACGGCAGCCCCGAGATGCTCGGTATCACGTGTTCCCCGACGCAGTGACTCGGATTTGAGTACATGTATCGGATTCATACCCTTCGTCGTCAGGAGCCGGCGGTGCGCCTGATGACGGAGGGACATTTGCATGAAAGGACGATAACGGATCATGACCGCACGGAGTTTGGAGTCTTTTCTGTTTTGCTGCACGATGTCGATTAATTTTGATCCCATCTGCTTCTGGTATTCTTGAGGTCCTTGGGAAAGGTACCACAGGCAGGTGGCAGTTTAGTGTTTTTGGTCTTTCGTATACTCTGGGAAGGAGACCCTTCTGGTCGGGAAGGGCACAGGGGTTCAACTGACTGGACGATTCCATACAGCATGAGGACCCCGCATCTCGCATCTTGTGTTGTGTTCTGTACCTCGTCTAGCCGACTCAATAGACTACTAATGTCAAAAATGGGACACATTTGAGAAAATGACTGTACCACCAACCACAGTGTGCTTCCAAATGTCGCAGAGTGCCCCACTGTCTCGCACTCATCACTTCAGGCCGGGTCGCGACGTGCGAGAAAGGCGTGGCTGGCTGGGGGCCGGCTCGCCTACTGGCCAGGCCCAACCCGCGTGCGAGCACGGCGCGAGCTGTCTGGCTGTGTAAGACGGTGAGCCTGCGGGAGGCCGTGCCACACAACCAGACGGCCTGCATGCACGCTGTCGCAAACACAACCCTGTCAGAGGTTTTTCTTTGCCCGGTTTGCCTACGGCGTGCGTTGCCCTGCTGAGCTGGAAAAGACTACCTTATACATAGTATGTAGAGGATAAGTAAATACCTAGGTACCTAGGTATGTATGACCAGACCTGACCCGGCCTCGCCTGGCCTCGCCCGGCCTGGCCTGGTGCGGCCCGGGCTGAGTGCTTGGGGGCAGTCGAGCCCAAGCCGGACGGCACTCAGAGACCCCCCGCGAGGCCATCGTCACGGGGCTTGTTGCAGTAGACTGCTGCTTGCTTCTCGAGGCTTCTCGTGTGGTGTAGTCTAGAGGAAGGTCCCACGGAGGTTGCCAGCGAGTCATGAGACAGGCAAGGGCTGCCCTGCCGCTGCAAATCGAGGGCCCACATTGGAAAGTCGATCGATCTGACTGCAGATGCGATACTCGGACAAAAATGGCATATGTAGTCGTCTACCACTGGGCAGGGAGACTGGGCGACAGGCAGGCAGGCAGAGTGGCAGACAGACAAGCTATCAGACCATTTACTACTCACCGCGACTATTATTGTGTGCAGCCAAGCAGCTCCCTGCTCTGCCCTCCTTGCCCCCCCCCTGCTGACCATGCCGCACGGATTTGGCTCCCGGTATGCGGCCCGTCTCGACGTCGCTTCCCATTCACTCCTTGCCTCCCCTGGACTGCATTGCATTGGTTCTAAATTAATACCGCAAGTGCTACCTTGACATTGCTGGGAATCGTTGAGGTCTCCCGGCCGCTTGGTGAGAGGAGCGGGCGCCAAATCCCCCCAGCCATATCCTCGTCCCCCGCCAATTGCCAGGCCCCGCCAGCAATGCACCGCTGTACACCTGCCGCTGGTGCATGCAGTGGGTGTCTCCATCCACTACTGTGTACAAGCCCACAGTCCCATCGTACCTTCCCTTCAATGACGTATCGTCGCAGCAGAGCCCCGGCACACCAGTAGTACCTTCGTCTGACGGGCAGCAGCTACAGCTACTGCTGCTGCAACTGCAACTGCAAGAGCTCCTGCTTCTTGCCCCTCCCCCTCCTCCTGCTCGTGCACCCCGCTGCTGCCAACCCCACCCCATGTCAACAATAAAACCATTGGCACCCCTCCTTCTCTCAACTTGGGCACATCCCATTCCTTCTCCCACACTTCAACCAATCTTCTCACCGTCGCACCCAGGTCTCCTTTTGTCCTGTTCGGTTCAGAGCTAGAATTAGAACTCTCTGTCTGCGTTTGCATCTCGTCTTTCCCCTCAGGTCTCATTACGACTCTCGGTTCCTAGACCATCTAGACCCCCCCACCTTGTCACCAAACAAACAAACAGAAACACCTGCACATCAGCACCCACCTCAGCCATCATGTCCGGCCAGAAGATTACCACCATCTTGTTCGACTGCGACAACACCCTCGTGCTCTCTGAGGAGCTCGCCTTCGAGGGCTGTGCGGACCTCATCAACAAGATCTGCAAGGAGCGCGACATCAAGATCGAGAAGCCCTTCACCGGCGAGACCCTCATCACCGAGTTTGTCGGCCAGAACTTCCGCGGCATGCTCACCACCCTGCAGAAGCAGCACGGCTTCGAGATCAGCCCAGAGGACCTGGACAAGTACGTCGTCCAGGAGGAGGACGTCGTCATCGCCAAGCTCAAGGAGGCCCTCAGGCCCTGCGAGGGCGTCGATGCCGAGCTCGAGAAGCTCGCCAAGTCCGGCAAGTACCACCTGGCCGTCGTCTCCTCCTCTGCCCTGCGCCGTGTCAAGGCCTCCGTCGACAAGGTCGGCCAGGACAAGTACTTCGGCAATGACATCTTCAGCGCCGCGACCTCCCTCCCCAAGCCCACCAGCAAGCCTGACCCTGCCATCTACCTGCACGCCCTCAAGACCCTTGGCAAGACCGCCGAGGAGTCAGTCGCAGTCGAGGACTCCAAGTCGGGCACTCTTTCTGGCACGCGTGCCGGGATCAAGGTCATTGGCTACGTCGGCCCCTACCCCGACGACAAGAAGGCCGAGATGGAGAAGGTGCTCCGCGATGCAGGCGCGGTCGTTGTCATGAAGGATTGGAAGGAGTTCCCGGCTGCACTGGAGCAGATTGAGAGTGGCAAGGCCTAGATTTCGGAAAGTGCGACTGACTCCTCTCCTTCTTGTCTGAAATTTGTTGGTTTTTAGCGGGATATCAAAAGTGGCAGCTACAATGATGAGCCTGGGAAAACGATTAACGACCTCGGAAGTCACGACTGGTAGATAATAAACCATGTGGAGCATCTGATTGTGTTGACCCCTTGCATTGTGATAGGACGGTATCCTATGGGAGGCTGTCCTACGGGAGGTTGTCCTCTAGGAGCATAGGAAAGTATCATGTAGGAGGGTAGGCTGTAGGAGGGTAGGCTGTAGGAGGGTGGGAGGTTGTCCTGTAGGAGGGTGGGACGGTGTCTGAACAGAGTGTAGGAGTGTGGATTGTTGGAGGGTGTCCTACAGGAGGATGTGAGGGTATCCTATGATAGAAGAGGAAGTGTACGTTGTGAGGATGTATTTGGGGAGGACAGAATGATATCTCGTGAGCTGTCCACGAGGAAGATACCTAGGTAGAAAGCTCCTGAAGTCTTCTGTGGCAAGATATAGGGCCCACAGGGGAATGGAAGCATGTCCAATTATAAGACAATTTCTGCTGTTTCAAGCATAGCGTATCGAAAGTTCCATGTAGTGATGTGATGTGCTTCTTCTGTAAGAGTTGTTTGCTTTGCTTGATTTTGATGTTACCTAGGGACCTAGGTACCTAGGTAGTCTTGGCCCACCCAGTCCTTGAGGATTTCCACGGCCTTGATATGTTCAGATACCTTTGGCTGGCGCCATCCGGCATAGAGCCATCCAGCATCTGATGTGGATCACTCTTCTATTGAGTAAATTGGTATAGTACTAGTATCAGATGGCACCTGGGCATTGTATTTCCGCCCTACTCACAGGCTACCTCCAGTCCATCAGGAAACTATTCACGCTCTGCAACGTCGCCCTGTTGGGATTCGCGTCCGGCATGGCGGTCATGATGCGGCCCAGCCGGGCCCGGATCATATCCTTGTTAAAGACGGGCCGCTCGACGCTCGACAGCGGCTCCGCGCCCCGCAGGCGCCTCCCGTCATCGTCGTCGAAGCACCAGCACAGCAGCGCCAGCGCCGTGCCCGCGGCCAGATCACGGCCCCCAGACTCGTCGGCGATGAGGAATGAGGGGTGCTGCTGCGGCTGCTGTGGGAGGCCCGGGACGACGGCCAGGAGGAAGCGGCACGCGAACTCGCAGATCCGCGGGAGGGCCGTCCGCAGGGCGCGGCTTGCGGCCTTGTGTCTTGCGCCCAGGCCGACTTCCATGTGTGTCGGGGACTGGGCCCATTCTCCGGGCGGGGTTGATGTCGAGCGGATGGTTATTGTGCACCAGGCCTGGGGCGCCCCTTGGGGTTCTTTCCTCCCTGGGAGAGGCTGTGGTACCGGGAGTGGGCTGACGTGTAGGAAGGGGGTGAGTTGTGTTACTGCTGGTGGGAGGTTGTGGGCTTTCGGGTCTATACATATACTATTGGATTGCTGGTCGCCGCTCATGCTGCCGCTTGCCGGGGCGACGAGTGACCCGATCAGCTCGGGGAGGTCGGCCTCGGGCGTGGAGAGGAGCTGCTCCGCATTGTCCCAGAAGACGGGCGGGGTGAGGCCGTGGGCCCAGTTCTCGGTGTCGTCCCCGGCGCCCTGCACGTAGCCGCTGTGGCCCGACATCTCGCCGTCCGTGACCCTCCTCGACGAGGTGCAGCAGATGACGGGCCGGAAGGACTCGAATATACGCCCGTGGCTGTCTTCGTTTCCGTCATGATAGTGGCTCAGGTCTGTCTCCTGTGTGACCCAGGTCGGCCGGATGGGCTTGGAGATGTGCGCCCGGAGGCCCGCCAGGTCTAGGTTGAGTTGCCTGAGCGAGTCGACAAAGCCTGGGATCCGGGACAGCATCTGCGACTTCTCCGACTCCGAGACCACGTTCGGGGGCACATAGAGGCCGCCCGAGTCGGCCAGCTCCGGGAACAGGGTCCTGTTGAGGACGCAGCACCACACCGGGACTGTCTTGCTGAGGGAGTCCGGCATCCTCTTGCCTCTCCTTGTGGAATCGATGATGATAATCCTGGTTGATATTAGTGACAATCCAATTCACAGGGTCCTCAACTCACCCATCACACTTCTCAATAATGGGCAGTAAGTGCAGGTTCAACCTCCGGGTGGAGAACTTCCACTGCCCCGTGTGCCCATCGGTGCTCTTGAAGTACGCGGACGCCCCCTTCAGCCCGGGCCGGATGTACCAGCTTCCGCACCGCTCATTTGCGACAATTGGGCGCCTCTGCTCCTTCCCACTGGCTTCATCGCCATTGCTACCACCCGTGCATGCAGCACCACCACCACCACCGAGGGCAGCCGCGACCTCCTCGACAAAATCTGCGTCTTCCTGTATGGACCTCAGGCGGTTTGTAATAGACAGATTCGAGCGCTTAAGGTCCCCGAGGATCTTGTTGATGTTGTTGGTGTTGATGCTTGATTCCTGAGACGGGAAAATGATATCAGAGAGGGCTGCCATATTACTCGGAGCCTTTCTAGCGGAGGAGAGGGTGGGGGGTCTTCTTTGAAATTGGCCTCTCACTACGACATACTACTCAAGTAGGCTCATGCGCGCAGTCTAGCTCCCTGGACCTTCTAGCCTGCGTGTTAAGCGATTTGTGAAGATCCAAAATTTGAGTGATGGGTTGCCCAGCACTGCCGGTGGATCGTCCACGGGCCCGGCCAGGGCCGGCCTTGAACTTGTGATTGGCCGGCGCATCAACGGCTCCCGGATCAAGCCTCGATTCCTATCACACATGTTGGAGATGTCACATCCACCTACTCGTCGATGAGGGCTGCTGGTACACGCAGCCCAGCACATGCTTCATGCGGCCTTCCACTTGTGGGTGAAAATGAAAAAATACCCGAAAGGACATGCTGGGTTTGTTCGGACACAGCTCGTATATCTTGGCATTTAGCCCTCACAGTCCATTATTGTTTCATCTCACCGAAAATTGCTAACGAGACTCACCAAGCTAGAGCCTTGCATTGGGTCTTGCTCGTGTGGCGTATAACTTGGTACCTACTGTGATTTCCCGAGTACGTACTGTTCTAAAATTGATAGTTGTACAAGTGCGGGCAGGCGCTCCCGGACCCCACGATCCAGACGGTACCCAATGTCGACCAGCGTCTCCTAACGAATACAACAAAACAGACAAAGGAAAGATGCTGTATCTCGCGAACTAGGTATCTTTGCTTTCGGCCCGTTTCTCAGGCCATGTATCACATCATATGCAGACAGGTGCATGAGGCTATCTGTGCTCGCCTCTGCCGCTGACGCCGGCGATGGTGGTAAGATGTCAATTGGGTTGTCAATTGGGTTCCGCGCCGGGGGGGGGTTGGGTTGTAAGAGTCCGTAAGGCTGGCTCATCCATCGGCAGTGACCTCGGGAGTACCTATTCCGCTTAAGGATTGAGTATTATGAACGGCGATTGATCATGGACGTCGCACAACTCCGATCGGCCGGTCTCTCAAGTGCTCAGCCCAGGGCATGAAGAATTGAAGAAAGCTCGCATGTGGCCCTGAAGAGGTGGGATATTTCTGGAACACGCGCTGGATGCAGTCGTTGGACGGCATGGCATGTAGAAGGTATTTCTTCGGGAGTTTGCTCAAGTGGTGAATGGCTGTGCTCCCGAGGTCTGTCTTGGGGGATGAGGTTCACACCGTGAAGTAGCAATCCGTCGAGTAGACCTTGGACCATGTGACGAGATAGCTTTACCTCGAGCCAGCAAAGGCTTACTGCCCCCGGGGCCAGGTGAGGCCGTCATCATGATGAGAGACGGAGCGGTGAGTCGTTGACTTGACTAGTCAACCGCGATACCCTCACGAAACCAAGTCGTTGTTGCCAGTCAGTCTAGCAGTCTGCCTATCCAAACATGCAAGGGGGAAACCGGATCCGTCCTGGTCCCGTGGTGTTCACGGAGTGGGCTTTTGTGGCTTGTCAACGGGGAGCTGCTTTAGCGACGACCCAACACGGCGGTCCCGGGCGCTATCGCGATGGGCGACAGGGGCAGCACGAGCCTAATGCTGCACACAGCCCCTGGGGTTGTGGAGAGCGGGTGGTGGCAGGGCCGGGGTTCTGACGAGTTCACCAGTGAAGAGGAGAGATGCAGTGAGCCTGGGCCCTGCAGCCCTGCCAGTGTTCAAACCACCTGCCTGCCTGCGCAGCCTCTGGAAATGTGACTACACTATTCGGAGTAGTCTGTGTACTTGGAGGCAGCGAGGTTTCATGCGGTAGCAGGCCCCCACCAACCTGCAGGTAGGCATGCCACCAACCTTTAAGCAAGATCGTGGCGCAGGTTGGTGCCTGTGATGCACCTATTCACTGCGATTCCAGGGACCTTTGGAATGGGACCATGACGCAACACAATCGATCAGCGTTGCCTCGGTGTTGACGGCTCTCGCGCTTCAGATGTCGCGAACACCTTTGACCTGCCTCCGTCATGACCTTCAAATGTTGTTCAAGTGGCGCTGGTCAATGTACGCCCTTTGCACAGCTTGAAGCACAAATAAATTGCGGGAGCTTATATATACCTGGCTATGTCGCCGGCTGGGAACTGTGCAGGCCGTAAGACTGCCGTGACACCTCCGGAGAACACACGTTGACGTGCAGGCAGACGCCATCCCGGGGTCTCCCTTCATCAAGCTCCAGGGCGGTCCGGGGCAAGGTCCAGGTCGTAGGAAGAGGCCGAAGAGTCGACAGGCGCCACGGTAACCTGATTGGGAGGGAAACGGCGGAAACAGATGCTAGTGGTCAATGTCATGATAACTCACCACGCTCCTAGTCCCGCTTCCAATGCCGGCACCGCCACCTCGCGAATCAGGGCCTGCTTCTGGACATAGGGCTGACGGGCGGCCCAGTTCGGAAAGGCTCCAATATGGCCGTGGGTAGGGATGAGTGATGAGCGACCGGGGTTGCATAGGCGCCCTTTGTCTCTCAGGCCTGCCAAAACACAGCCAGAGATGGACACGGCCGACATGGCCACTTGTCAGGCAGAGCCAGGATTGGCCGGGACCGTAGATGCAGGTGCCCTGGGAGGCCATGGGCCACCCAATGAATCCCGACGATAGAAGGCCTTTGCATGATGGGGGGGAGGTGCATGACTCTCTCGATATCCTGTAGGGCTGAGATGGTGGGTGCCTGAGACGAGTTCGATATGACAACTCGATCTCGGGATGCCGTCGATACTGAGATGAACATACACAGGTGACCAAGAGAGACAGACACACAGACAAATAGCCTGCTGTTGTGATGCCTTGTGTCCTCTTACCCGAATGATCACCACGGTTGTCAGTGACTGGCCAACTGATACTATCTTTATGATCGAGTATACTGTGCACGTATAATCGGTGCCCCGGTGGTCCTCTCGCATGCAGTGCTACCGCACCACCGGACGTAAGGACACGGACTGCAGAAGCCGCACAGTTGCCGAGGTAGACAGGCAGCCACGTCTCTCCACCTGGGACTTTCGAGAAGTGTCTGGGATGACGGCGCCGCGCCCATCCCCGGGCCCTCACGCCGTGTGAGCCACATCTGTGCGGGGTCTACAGGTTGACGCGGACATGCCTAGGTAGCGAGATATCAATAGACGGCAGCACACGTCTGTTTGTCAGAGTCTTGGTAATAGCAGGCCAGCCACAGTTGCGGTGTGGAGAACGTATTTTGATCTCGTCACAGCACGAGACGGATGTGATGGTGATGGACGCATGGATGGATGTGGTGATGATAGTGAGTGATGCATGGGTGCGGGTTGAGGGCCGGCGGGGAGGACCCCTGCCCTAGTCGAGCACAGCCCGAACTAATAAGACACTTCTAGGTGACATAGTATAGTGACAGAGTGATTACCCCTCAGGGTGTGTAAGCTCCCAGTGCTGGGCCCACCAGCCCGCCGCGATGGCTGGGGGGAAGCTACCAAAAGTACCACCATCTCGGTGCCCATCCCTGCGAACGGCAAGCGCCATTGAATCGTACATGCAGCATTCTGAGTGTAAATAGTCACAAGCTCACAGTGCCTGAGTGCCTGAGTGCCCGGGTACTGCCCCAGGCTGCCTCCTTGGATGTGCAGTGAGGCGGAAGGGCAGCATCAAGCATCAAGCACCAAGCATCCAGGCATCGTCATGGCGCACAATCCTCTCCCTTTTTCGGCCAGCAGAGCGTCGCATGGATGCATGCACCTGCAGGCTGGGCTGGTCAGGGTGGGCGTGGTGGTCCCATGTGGTGCTGGGGTGGGTACAGAGTGTACATAGGTACGGCCTGTAGGGTTGGTTGTTGAGGAAGGGGGGGGGGGAGCAGCAGCTTGATGATGACCACTGCCATACGCATGCATGCACGTAGGTACTTAAGTACCTGAGGAAGTATGTATCTGCGCCCAAACGCCCACAAATTGATGCGGCCACCGGGCTAGAAACTGCACAGTTCACTTCACCTACATATATCTATCTGCTGTGTGTACAGTCCTATATGTCGAGCCGAGCCCTGCAGCCCTTCCTTCTCGATCGAGACAACCGAGACATAGATGCCCACACGCACGCCTACCTATATATCCCTTGCCGACCGCCCTAACAATAAGCAGCCTCCTCTGGCTGCTTGCTGCCTTCCTCGTCACCATTAGCCCCCTTCCCACCCCCACGGCTCAAAGGGCCTTCCGACCAGAGTCATTGTGCAGCAACTCGACACTACTACAATAGTCGCCAACCTTCGCACGTGGTGGCAGAAGTACCAACCTCGGCTGCCTCGTCTACTAATCTGCTAAAACCCGCACGAGCCTACTGTTCGCCCAGTCCAGTGGCAAACCCTTTCTCTCGGTAGCTGGGTGTCACCGTCGCAACGCCGTCACGTCAATCGCCGTTGGGCTATATGCGATAGTGGAAAGAGGCCCGTTGCTAGCCTTACCAGCCAGCCCAGCCTGGCAGCTGTCCCCGTTAATCCCGTCCCCGCCCGCGCAGCTCTTGCCGCCTGTCTCCGCTGCCGCCTCGCTCCCGTCCTCCCTCAGCACCGGCCCAGCTAGCTACCTAGGTAGTCCTTGGCCTTTCGACGCTTGCTCACTCACTCACTCACTCACTCGGTGACACATCCACGTTGTTTTTGTCCAACCATTCTCAGCTGGAGCCCAGTGGTCGGGCTGGTCGTACTGCCGGCTGGAGGGCGTCCGTACCGCCTCGAGTTACGCAGCAATCAGAAGCAAAAGAGAGGCAGAGGGACAAGGAGAGGGAGAAGGAGAGAAAAAAAAAAGAGACAAGGTGCGCCCAACCGGTTGCCCCGTCCCCCGTCCCCCCCCCCCCTTCGTCTCCCCGTCCCCCCGTCGCTATTTCGAAGTGGCCCCAGACTAAAATGCCGTCTTGATGTGACGTTCCTAGCCTCTGGCGGCTGTGTAGCTCCAGCTCTTGCATGAGCTCTCCCCACCCAGTTCGCTGCTGCTCGACCACGCCCCGTCGCATGTATTAAAACCGCCCAGGTCGCCCCCCTTGCTGCGTCCAGAGGCTGGCCACTGTCTGACCCGTTCGCCCATCGCATCACCACGCCTGCGCGCACGCCCGCCCGCCCGTCAGCTGCCCCACCACATCGGCCTGGAGCGACCTTAACCTCCTTCCTTCGGCCGTCGATCCTGCGAACGCCTCAACCCCACACGCCAAAAAAGGCTGTTGCTGCTGCTGCTGCTGCTGCTAGGCCCCGAGGCTCAGGCCGAGCCAACGGCCACTCGGTTTCTTCCCTTTCCCCCTTGGACCTCCCCCCTTGGACCTTGGAAATCCATCTCGACCCAACTTTCCATTTTGCCCGCTTAAACTCGCTCCTCCCGCAACCGTTGCATGGCTGGAATGGCAATTGCTTGCCCCGACGGCTGGTCAAAGCTCGCTTCATCAACCCATCATGGCGCCCGGAACTACCAGTAGTAATCAGCGGAACGGCCCTCCATCCCCGGCGCCTACCGCCAACTCTACCACCTCCAACGACCCGCCACGGCAGAGACGCGCAAGGACAAGCAAGCCCAAGGTCAAGACGGGCTGCAACAACTGCAAGTCAGTCAATACCCACCGCACAACCTCTTCTGGGTGGCCTTGCAAGTACGCTAACATCACGCACTACACCCTGTAGACAGCGGAGGATCAAATGTGACGAGAAACGGCCAGCCTGCACGCAGTGCGTGCGCTCCAAAAAGGAATGCTCTGGTTACCCGCCACCTCCCCGGAGTGCGCGCCCCTTCGAGGAGGTGCGCATTGCTCCCAGACCGCGCCCTGGCGGCGGACACGACGCTGCTCTGGCCGCCGCGCCCGCAGTCAAACCCCTCCAGCCCGTGCAGTCCGCACAGCCCACACAGTCCGCACAGCTCCCTCCACGGCGTCTCTCCAAATACTACCACCGATATACGCCCCCGCAGACACCAGTTGTCCAGCAGAATTCAATGACCCTCTACCGGCCCTCCACCTGCCCCGTCCCTGAGCAGGACGGCCTCTACTTCCAGTTATTCCAGGCTCACACTGCCAATGAACTGTCCGGTTATTTTGATTCAACCTTTTGGTCGCGCCTTGTTCTGCAGGAGTGTCATTCTGAAGCCGCTGTGCGTCATGCCGTCGTGGCGCTGGGCGCCCTTTACAAGACTTTAGACAAGCACTGTGAATCCCCCCCAAGCTCCCCGGCAGCGGCAGTCGTTGTAGTCGACACCGCCTGGCAGCACTGGGAGGTGGCTGTGCGGTCCTACTCCAATGCTTGTACCTCACTTGTCAGCGTCGCTGGGCAGGACAGCAGGGCCAATAGGACGCGCCTCATGGCTAGTGTCTTGCTGGCATGCTTCGACTCCTTCATAGGAGACCACAAGCAGGCCATCAAGCAGATCCAGACTGGTCTGGGTCTTTTGGAGCAATTGCGCGCCCAAAGACGGCGTGCGTTCATGTCAAAACCAGAGGAGCCGGTCGAAGACGAGATCATCCAAATGTTCACCCGGCTGGCCATTCAGGCAAAATCCTACGACATGGCCTTCCACTTTCCGAAACCCTATGTCATCCAGCTGATCCAGACCGCTGCCGACCCATCTTCGCCCTCATCAGAGGTGGGATCGCCTCTGTCTTTGCATCAAGACCCTATCCCCGACCAATTTGACTCCCTTCATGAGGCACGGATCGCATGGGACACGCTGTGTGAGCAGATGTTCAGGTTTACCGAGAGACTTTTTGCCCAGGCCAGCCAGGACGGCCCAATGGGCGTCCTCCCTGCAACCCTACGGCAGTACGGCCTGTCGTTTAGGGGCCGGATAGAGTCATGGGCGGACGCTTTTGAGCACATCCTGACCTCGAGGTTTTCACCTGGTGTGACCAGTCAGGAGAAAGCGGCCATCGCCGTCCTCAAAATGTTCCAGATCATGGGGCAGATACTCTTCCTCATGACATTCAGTGATAGTGAGCAGCACTTTGATGTCTTCCAACCCCAATTCAAGACCATAGTCGATCTTGGCCTGGAAGTCGTGGGCGATCAGGAGCGACGGGCAGCGGAGAAGAGGTGCCCCGATCCTCGGACATGCCACCATCACAATGATCAGGAGCCAGACATCTTTGGTGGGCAGACCTACATGGCCAACCACATCAAACCGAGCTTTAGTGCTGATCTGGGCATTGTCCCGCCTCTCTACGTCGTGGCCACCAAGTGTCGCAACCCTATCCTTAGAAGACAGGCCATCCAGCTGCTGCGGAGCAGCTCCAGGAGGGAAGGCATGTGGGACAGCGAGCTCACGGCGCGGATTGGCACGTGGATCATGGACATTGAGGAGGAGGACGACCAGCCTTCAGCCCTGACGCCGGGCCGGAGCCCGGCGGGGTCGTTTTCGGACACGGGCGGGCTCTCCCCGCAGTCCGTAAGCGCGAACGGCAACGGCATGTCACCAAGGCCGCGCCACGTGCCCAACGGCTCGCCCGAGATGGGCGACAACCTCGGGCCTGGCGGGAATGCCCGCTGGGACATGCGGCGCGAGTCGACGGCGAGCAGCCTCGGCGCTATGGCGCAGAAAACCGTCCCCGAGTCTAAACGGGTCATGGTCAAGGCGGTCGAGTTTGACCTCAAGAGGCACAGCGCCGTTTTGCAGTGCGGCAGCAGGAGTACTGCCGCCGGGAGCCCTGACCTCAAGACCCGCGTGACTAAAATTGACTGGTGAGGGACTGGACTCCCGGACCATGGTTGCGTCTTAACTGCCCCCCTTCCACCCCCCAAACCTTCCTGGTATCTGGAAAGGAAAGAGTTCATGCGCGGGAATATGTGCGTGTGTCTATTGACGTTTTAAGATGGTTTTCTCTATTTTGCATCTGAATATACCCCCAAATGGAAAAGCGGAGAATTGATTTCTCCGCGTACTTGTTCTGCTGGCGACGGAAAATCTGGATCGGGAATAGCGATTTTTTGGTACAAGGGGACACAAAGAACTTGAGAAAGAACTCACATACTGCATCTATGGGAAGGAGGAGCTCGCCATGTTCAGTTGAGAAGAATATTTCATTGGATGATCAAGTATGGCGTGGAGTTGTCGACCTCAGCGTCGTGCACACAGGCTGTGGTGCCTGAGGGTTAAGACGGAGAGAATCGAAGCCAGCGCATCGCTGCTGATATGGTGGTATTATAACCTGGTACTAATAGCATAGCGTATTGTTGATTGATGAGCCACGGTATCAGTTGCGTTCATACCCAATGCCAATGAGACTTGCGAGTCCTCTGTGAGCAGAATACCAGCCCACGTGCAGGAACGCCTCTGATGTTGTTAGCACACGGGACAAGAAACCCCAGCAACCTGGACTCCCACACCACACACGCCCCGGGCACAATGACGGAAGAGCCTCCGGATTACGGACAGGGCGGGGCCAGCAGATCAGGTCCGGCTCCGTCCCGGCTCCGCCTGATCCGCGGGCTCTTGATGATTCTAGTTTCGAGACTCCCCACATCGAGACTCTAGGTGCCCTGCTACCGTGCTTGAACAATGGGCATCATCTTGTTCCCCATCGTTTCGTCGAGCAACCCGGGCCTGATCCAGAATGTCCTGGTTGAGAATCTCGCAGAGGTGCTAGTGGTGCCAAGCGGGTGTGTGATCGCGATCCGGGCTGCCAACTATACGTCTTCCAAGGGTTTTTATTTCTTTCTCAAGATTATCGTCTACTGAACCCTCGAACTCTCACCTTTGATGGTCAATGCCTCCTCCCACCGCTGTTTTACTGGGCATCTGTGCACGATGAGAGATCTCCGGGCTGAAAAGCCATTACCGGCGTCTTCCAAGGTTATAGTCTTGGCACGTGGGTTTATCATCGGGAAACGGTCTTGAGCGTTTACCACTGTATGAAGACGCCACATACTTTTTACATATCTGGGGATCAGAAACGACACCACCTGTAGGGGTGGCAGGAGGTATGGATAGTATTGCCAAATATTGTGCACAAACTCGTGCCGGGCGGGGGTTTCGGTCCCCTTTGGGTTTTGAGGGGGTAATAGATCTGTGTTGTTCCGGTCTAGAATAGTGCAGAGACTCGTGGCTCGCATGGAATCGGGTGCGATGGTGGTTTTGTACGCCGGGGGGTAATAAGTTGAACTGCGGTCCTGATCGGACCAATGTTATAAAGACTTGGACTCGTGTCGAGTTACATTGTGGGGACGCTGGCAGTTTTGTAGGGGTAACAAGTATGGTGATAGGGGTGTGTCCTTTGTGGTAGGATAGATACGTGTGTGGTATGAGGCTTAGAAGCCAAGCATGTCTGAGATAAGCAGTATGCGCCGGCGGCATGATGAGGCTGTCTACAGCTGGAGCCTTGGATGATTATGATCCTCGGCACATCCTGAGTGGGGTTTGATAGATAACTGGTTTCACTTCTATTCCGCAGACGTTCGAAGACATATATAGCACATTCATAAAGTGTCGGTTCAATAAATGATTACCTAGGTACATATTTTCGATACATAGGATACACGGTGTCAATGGCCTAGAATGGCAAATGTGGCCGTCCTAGGTATCACACCCAACAAGGACTAGCGGTACTCTATTCGTTGCGGGAGCTGAGGGTCTCAAAAAAACTATGGTATACCCACTATAATGGCTGGGCTTCCCTCAGTGCAATTCATTTATATAGTAACTATTTTTAGACCTAGTCTTACTATATAACTCCTTTATAATATTTTAATTAATACTATTATTAAAATAATACCTTTTAACTTTATTTATATATTATAAAGTTAAGGTTATAAATACTTATTATATTATAATTATTATTATTAATATTATATTCTTTTTAAATATTAAGTTTTAAATACTTATTATTATATAAAAGTACTATATATATCCTTAGATATATATAGAATAGAAGTGAAACTATAGTATATACTCACTATAAAACTCCTTCCTACTATATAACTTATAGTTTCTAACTAGCTATTTAATAACTATACTTTTAATAACTATACTTTATAGTACCTAGGTAGGCTAGTTGTTAAGTGTTTAGCTTCTAGCGTCTCCCATACAGCAGTCTGTTGAATCATCATTACTCTTTGAAGGCAACCACACCTCGGCCATTTTTTGAACCTGCTGTGGATCATCGAAGCCAGTGACAAACACCACGAAAAATCATTGCTTATATTCCTTGTACAGCGATTGACTGGTCCGTGGCAGTCGTTTGCCGGAGCCTGCAGTCTGCAGAGGCAGACCGATCCTACACACTATGAGTTATTCCATTTATTATCTACCTGGGCAGCTTGAGAAATAAACAGGAGATAAGGGTAGGCCATGTGTGGCAAGCAAAATAAAGTCGGGCGTGGACTGTGACAGCATGTCGGCTAGGCGGCAGAACTGAAGTGGGTCCTTCTTCAAGTCCTTCTATAAACTACACGGCATTGGAACCCATTTTTGATCTGATTGCCTCATTTTACACAGTACACCTCGTCGGGGGATTTGTAGTCCACTCTGTTAGTCTGCATAGCCACGGGAAGCCCCGAAGGAAGGACATCACAGTAGCTGAAGATCATCAGCAACTAAGCCGCAGCTGGTGTGCAGACACAGGACACAACACGGCAGCATGACGTCACATTAGTGTACTATTCGCTCATGAATGAATCGATCGAAGATGATCTTAGGAATCTTGGGTACGTCAAAATACACATGGTGCAACATGCACGGTTCCCGAAGCTCGAACTACATGGTGCCGAAGGAGTTGTGGACACCTGGGCAGTGCTGCTCTCTAGGCACTTGCACAAGATGTCACTAAGGGCCTTCGCTATCGTTCGAGGTGGTTGGCAAAACCTAGGTACGTGGACACTAAAGTCGGGGTTGGAATAGCTCCAGGTTTCTTTACAAGTAGCATACACTATCTTGTCATAGAGTTTTGACGTAGTAAACTCTGAATGAATGTTATGACAAGTACTCCGGTCCACTCCACCATTCGGTGCTCGCTGGCCTTCATGCCGAAGGCAGCTGTAGATCCAGATAATATTGTTGGTTCATTTATTATTGGCTTGACTGGGTATTGTACGGGCCACAGGTCTTCTCAACTTCAGTTGACGACTCATGCTGATGTGACAGACCACGTTGGGCCCGCAGGCGAAACCTTAATTACATTTATGTAACTTGACCGTTGACGACACCTGAGCGGTCAGACATAACAATTTGCACAACGATATCCACCCTAGAGAGACAACACATTCTACACTGGTAGGTACCGAATGGAAGTCAGAGCCTCGCTTGACTTGCCGTTCAGGGCGCAATCCTACCCTTTGCGTGATAGACCGATGCTGCGACAGCAGACGCAGGGACTCAAATGGTACGATTTAAAAGCTACTTCGGGCAAGCGCTTCATAACAGGATTAATCTTCTCCCACCTTACACATAATAATATCCGCCCAATCCAGCATCAAGGTGGCATCAGCAGGGTCGAGGTGGTAGCGCAGACGAAACTAGAAACACCAGTTGCTCGTAAGCAGCATTATCAAGTTGCCTTGAATCATGGTCGGGATTAGAAACGAAACCACCTTGCCTTGAATCATGAAGGCTCGTGCTGTGCAGGAGACTCCCACTATCTAGTATTCGTTGACGATCAAGCATGCTCTCCGTCCAGAATCAGCAACGAGAGAGGGTCGAACCTTGCTAGAGGAGGCGATGCGTTTCGCTGTTGTTTGTAATGACTCGAGCTTTGGAGAGCGGCCAGGATGCCTTGAAGAGTGGTGCCTCGTGTAAAGCGCAGTTGATCATCGATCGGAACGCATGAAAGTAGCTGCATAGAGCATCGGGCCTCTGGTTTGTTATCTGAAAGCTGTAGGCTGTTCTGGGCACATTCCTTAACTGTGGTGTGATGCTATCTCGGAGGGCACCAGCACCTTGCTAACGCGAAGATTTGCGACAACGAGAGGTGATTGATTGCATTTCATGGAATACTTCCCAGGAGATCAAAGTCATCTCATCTAGGAGACGTGATTTTGGGGAGAGCTATTATGAGAGACTCGGAGTTCGTTGTAGCGAGATGCCAGCGGAGGTCTGCTCTCTGAGGGCAAAAGCTCCTCTCGAATGCTGGTCTGATTGCCTCAACGGACTGGCAAGGGCGGACGAACGAGCTTTGCATTCGCCGGTTGAGTCTGACCATGCACCTTGTTGGCTGTTCGTTCCATGGCCCAGGCCAGAGATCCAACAATGACGACCGTATCAGATCGCCCAAGAGTTGGCTACTAATGGACTAGCTCACCTTTCCGGTGAGTGACAAAGTAGCCATGCCATCAGCGGCTCGTCACCGTCGTCACCCTAAAGGAATGCGTCTTACTGCTACCGGGGACAGCGACGGATGAATGAGAGAAGTCAGGGGCACCGACAGTCTGGACATTGGAGCATGCGTCAGTGCAGAGCTCCAGGGCTGTTACCCACCTCGTCATCGTCGTGGGACGGATAATTGATATGATCTTACCACCACGACGCCAGGGTGACGTCTCGGTTGCAGAAAGTCTCATCTGGCTGTGCAGATACGAAAATAGTTGCAGACTGGGTGCAGGCAATGGTTGGTAGGTCCCCTTGGGGAGTTTGAAAACAATGTCGAAATGGCGTCATGCTGGCATCTTCCGTCAGCCTCCAGTTTTCAACCAGAACCCCAGCACAGCGAAGTCAGGGGGCAGACCGCCTGTACCAATTACACCAGTCTCTAAAATGACGCCCGCAAAGAGCACTCTACAATATGCTTGGAGGTGCACTCGGCGTGCACCGTCGATGTGTTTGACGCCTGTCTTTGAGGCCATACCCGCCAGTTTGCCAGAACAGCACCGATACACGAAAGAATTGTTCCAGACCCGCAGGCGAATTCGGGTCCTCGGTGCTAGGTCGCGGGGAGGCGGATCAGAGGCCGGGAGCCCATTCCACCGCGCCAAGAGTGTGGAAATCGCCTTGGTGGCGAATTATGTCAGTGTCGAAAATTTGGGCCTCATGGGTTTTCTAAGAAATTCCCATGTCAACATGTGTGAACAATGCTTGGTGTGTGCCCGAGACTGGCATATGGCCTGAACAGACAGACAGAGTCCCAGGACTATGTGCCTGCTCCGCGAGAGGAGTTCACCTCTGAGAAACCCTCATGGGTTGAGTAAGTGAGAGACCACTGGCGAGGCTACGATCTGAGAATCGGAACTTCTTAGTCGAGATCGAGAAAGGGGGCAAGCGTCATCACGTGGGCAAGTGTGCCGGCTGGAATGCCCCAGCCTTGCAGGAAGGGGAAGGTCAAACGACGCTGCGTGGCTGCTAGAGCTGCTGCAGTGGCCGAATGACGACGGGCGACGAGTGGCGGTTGAGGGCCGACCAGAGAAGAAGAAAGGACAGGGGCCGTGCAGTAGCGTGTGGATGAGGTTTGTCAACGGGCTGGGCCGTGAAATCATGCCGAGTTAGCTGGAGGGGAAGGGAAGGGATAGTGCTCCTAATGACTGAGTATGTACAGTACAGTCCCAGTGCTGGCGTATACACGCAGATACGGTATTGAAGTTCTGCGCAGCAGGACCCTTTGGCAGGGACTCGGCATGTCAAGCCTGAGGCCGGCGTCATAGCACGAACCAAGATGCCTGTCGGACGATGCTTCGGGTGGGAAGCAGTTTTGGACCCTTGGTGCGTCTGTGGCGTGTTAGCCCGGATCCGAAAGGAGGAGGGGCAAGAGGGTCTTGGGGCAACAAATCCTCGTGCACCAGTTTTGGCCTGGCACCTGGACGGGACATGGCAACATGGATGTTGGATCCCTCGGCCGCGTTGACGGGGTGCATGATCTCACTCCACACGCCAGCGCGCATGGAGGAACCACAATGTCAGAATGTCAGAATGTTTGCAGGTGCTTTGTGCGTGTGCGTGTGTGCTTTGTGCGTGTGTGTGGCGAGGCGACGTCAAAGGCGCGGATCTGGCGTTGTGGTGGGCTACTTAGATGGCATTGTCGAAACACGCGAGACGTCAACCCTGACGTCGAGCGGGCAGGGGCAGAGCTGTCGGATCAGCAATGGGCACAAAATTCCATGCACTCAAAGAGGTATGGAGGATTGAGGCGGAAAAAAAAAAAGAGCTGGGGTCCCTGAAAGAAGGACCCTGAATGCAGCGGAGCAGGCACATGCTTCCGGAGCTTCCTTGGCTCCCCTTGGGCCTAGACCTGCCGTGGACCCCTGACGGGAGTCTGCACCACATACGGCGGTGTCACTGGGCGCGGGACGGCTGACCTAATATGCCGTTTCCGTTTCCGTGCCGATGACGTAGCCGCCAGCTGCGACGGGGTGGCACGCCTTCCGTCACTTCTGACCTCACTCGTGCAAAGTCGGGCTTCCTTCTGGTGGTAACCAAACTCCCGCCTCTGCTGTCGCCTCAGCAACCCAGCATCCCGTGCCGTACAGGAAACATATCCTCAAGTACCTGCAGCACTGGATCGCCTGCGGGTGTTTGGGGGTGGTGGGAGTGCTGGGAGTGCACGGAGTAGGGCAAGTGCCAAGGGCCTCTCCCCAGATTATTGCTCGTGTGGTTCCTGACCGACCCAGTGCGCCAGCATCCACCGTGATAGCCTCGCCTCGCTGTTCCAGCCGGGTTGATGCGGTCTCCGAAATCCCATCAGGGGCAGACATGGGAAACACGCTCGGGGCATGGTCCGCGCAAGGCCATCCCATGCTTGGGGGATCCAGCTCCTGCCAACTCGTGCCAACTTTGCGGTCGCGTCTGGTCACATCTGCCCCCTCTGCCAGCCTGCCCAGCTGCCCAGCTGCCCGCCTCCATACACATACACCACAGCTGACACAGCTACACAGCTGCACAGGCCGCGGTCAGCCTTGCCACAGCCAGTGAGCTCCTTGCCCCGTGGCCCACAGCCGCTCTGGGGCAACCCTGGGTTACCTGCAATCCATGTATCGAGTACGCTGGCACCAGCGCGCCAGCCCGTCCTTGGTCCCTCTCTCCAGCCAATGACATCATGCGGAAGCGAGACCTGGGGCGGAAGGGCTGTGCAGATCTCGAGGCTTCCCATCTAGGCATCCTGGGATGCCCAGGACGCCCTGGACGCCTGGCACACGCCTGGACAGTCAAGCCGTCTTCTGCCCGTCATTGTCTCGCCATTCAGCCCAGGCTGCCTGTCAGCTGTCACGGCACACCTGAGGAGGCCTCGTGCCTTATTGTTGACTGTCTGTCTGTCTGTCTGTCTGTCTGTCTGTCTGTCTGTCTGTAGGTCTCGTTTGCCGTTCACGGCCTAACCTGCTCCGTCCCGGCAAGTGCCTTTGATGCCCTCCTGATCTGCGCTGCATCTGACGACATTCGTCCAGATATTCCTCCACGGACGGGCTACCGCGAGCTGTGGCCAACCTGTGGCCAACAGGCACCGATGTAGCCCATGACTTCAGTGCCGTCGCCGATCTGCAGGGTCTCCCACACCCACGCTCTCGCCCTCATGTACATCAGACCCTCCCTGGCCCTAGCGTGGCCTCTTCTGCCTCTGAGGTTCGGCAGGAGCATGCATGGCGCATCATCGCCCACCACTCCCGAGCCGCGCCTGGTCTGCGGCTACATCACCCAGCCCTGCAAGTGGCGACGATCCCTGTGGGCCCTCGCTCGCACACATGCTGGGTTACGACATTCAGTGCAGCCATGCGTTAGACAGTCTGACCAAACACGGCTCCCACTGCTGTCGATCCCACTCCCAGCGCCGCTGCACAAGGGGCTGGGGGGCGTGGAGGTAGCAACGCTAACAGCTCCAGTCTTTCTCCTCTGCTCCCCAGTCGACTGCGCTTAGTCTGACGAGGGTCTGGAGACGACCAAGGGTCCATCCAGGTCAAGGCAGCCCCAACAACAGCTGCCCGACCCTTTCCTTTGCCTTGCTTCTCGCCCAAATAAGCTTCCGCATGCCTAGTTTTATATAAACTTGATTCATCCCAGGGACTCCTGCTCCTCTCAAACTTTATCTCTACCTACATCAGAACCCCCATTCAGTATAACAAAGCCTGCCCCCCCGGACTTTCCAAGCATTTTTCTATTCTTTCACCAAACCACCAAATCTAGAGCCTACCCACTCTCACGAAGCCCCAGCTTTGTCCACCACCGCCGCCACCACCCTCAGCACACTGCGCAGCTATAACCGCTATCCTCATTTACAACGCACATGCCTCTGCTCAGAATGTCGTCCCAAGAGGAGTCCTACCCTATCAACATTGCGAACTCGCCACCACCACCCACTGATCTTGGGTCGTACTCACGCACGATGCTTCAGCATACCAAGAGACAAATGGAGGCATTCTCCAGCAGCTCCGAGCGACGGAGCCGCAGTAACGGATCGCGGAGCAGTGGTCAGCGGGGGGTTGGCACACCATCGATGCCGAATGGTGTGCACCAAACATCGAGTTCCCCGGACGACTATCACCACACATGATTTATGTCCACGACGGAGCCACAAGCTTCACGTTCATACATCAACACCGTCGCCGAGACTTGGCGATGTAAAAAATAAGCGTTTGGGCAACACAGCGCATCAGCAGGAAGAAAGGCCACTCCGACAAGGGACAGCAAACGACAGTCCCTAATCATTACATCGGCACACACCACGTGCTAGTTTTCACAGTCTAGTGATAAGACACCGACATTGTCTTGCACACGAAAACACGCAACGGCCGTTTAAATCTGTACCATCATCATTACGACTGCGGCCGGATTAGGCACGTGTCGGCCTGACGAGGGGATGTAGTCGATATACGCAGTCTGGGCGGCGACCCACAAGCATTTACCGGGCGCGAAGAAGGGTTTGACGCCGCCCGAAGGGTGGCTTGACATGTACCAGCGCTTACATTCAGCGCGAAGATTTTGTAGCGTTGATAAATTCAATCTTATAACAATCTCTCAAGAGTGTAGTCTCAAACATGCCTCAGTGAACTCTCTCATGACCATTGCAAAGATGCTTTGTTGCTCCCAAAATCATACGTTGGCCCCCTCAATGCCTTGTCCAATGCCCCGGCCAACCCCGGCGACTGGTGCGTACTGACAATTTCTACAATCGATTTCCACAGTGCTCCGTTAGACGCCCCCTCCTCTTCCACGGCCGCAGTTCCTGCCAAGAAGCATGCTGAGCCCAGCGGTAGAGACCGGCTTCTGGGTGCGCGTGGTGTGTACACCCATTCGTGGGCTCGCAAGAAGATGCCCAAGATCCGCAGAAGTACTGTAGTTGCCATTTCCAACCCCCCGCCCGGTTTTCCTGTCTATCCGTGTCTGTCCGCACAAACTGCCCTAAATTCTCCTGCCTTTTCAGCCTGACAGCTTTAAATGAACTTTCGGAGGTTCGATCCGAGTCCTATCCCCAAGGTAACTGCCAGGGGCTGCAGCCGCTCTCTTCTTCGGTGAGTCCTCGCCCGCATGTGGGTATTCGATCACCCTCATCATGCATATGGCAATCTTCCATCAAGTACAGGCTACCGCGCCAAACCTGGGAAGTTCTTTTAACCCCCAAGGCCTGTGAGGCACCGCCGTGTGGACGGGCGGACGGAGGGACCAATGCGTCCGTAGGTCCCAGACACTGACTGCTACACCAGCCTTGGCGCCTTTCCGCTATTTATTGCGGAGGATCACGTCGTGATGCGTGTCACTGTTTCGAGGTAATCAAGAGAATCCATGCCCGGACCGCATTTCGTGTTTTGTGCCCCGATACCGCGCGGTCTTAGACCGTCGGGTCTCCTTGGACATTGTCGCCAGCGCAAGTACGCAGCATTTGCGCAGCTAGCCTTCGCCCTCGAAGAAATTGTGGACTTGTTTAGGAGTCCTGACAGCACACAGTAGCAGGTTCCGGTTGAAGACCGAGAAGGACAGGCCCGGCGCCCCCCTCGCCTTGTTTGAATCCTCGTCCACAGTACACTAGCAGCACACATGGGGTGATATTCGACTGTGCTCATGCACATTCTTGACTCGGGCCCAAAGTGCCACGGTTGTCCTGCCGACACCAAAGCCTGTTCTCGTCGGCTCCACCTAATCTCCACGGGTGGGTGTCGTAGGGATGTTGGACGGTTAGCCGGATCCTGGCCTGAACCAGCTGCCCGGCGCGCTGTGGGTGCTATCAACGTGTCTGTCACTTGTAATTTGCTTTTTTCTTCTTTCCCAGGCATTAGTGGCGAGTAGACCGCACTTGTGGCAGCTGATCCGACGGACGGCATCGCCTTCTGTTATGTCCATCTGGACAAACCGAAATCGTTCCACCATTTTGGGTATCGTAACTTTTGACTCCTAGACGCCGTAATAAACATGTGCTTAATCACTGTCCGATCCATAATCAACTAGAACCGCCTTGGCCTTAGCTGCTGCCGGAGCAGCCGGAGCCGGGGCCGGAGCCGGAGCCGGTTTTGCGGCAGGTGTAGGCGGGGGTCCCATCTTGAGGCCCGGGATGAGAACCTGCTCCTTCTTTTTTGCCTGCTTCTTGAAGCTGAAAGACGCTGTCGTCTCCTCCTCCGGCGCCTTCCTCTTGACGCCGTTCCCATTGCCGTTACTACTTGGGACCGAGTCACCAGCAGAGGGACTGTCCTCCTCTTCCACCACTTCCCACGTCTCCTGCTGTGCCTTGGCGGCCGCGATGGCCTTCCTGTAGGCCTCCTCGTCCTCCTCGTCCTCCAGCCGCCGCGCCTCATCATCCGGCCTGGCGAGGTTGGCGTCCCCGAGCATGCCGTCGTGATTGGCGCGCTCCATCCTCGCGTTGCGGGTCCTGATCTCGTCCAGGGCGTCGGCGACGGCCATATCCCGCTTGGCGTCGATGGTCTTGGCCTCGAGCTCCTCCATGGCGTTGCGCTCCTCGTCCTCCTTCTCGAGCCGGTCCAGCCGCTGCTCGTCCGTCTCGTCCTCATCCTCGACCTTGCGCCATGGTTCCGTGTTCCGCTTGGCCCCGCGCTCGCACGTGTAGTCCTGGTTCTTGGGGTCCGTCTTAAAGGTGATTTCGGAGCTGCACCGGGTGCAGCGGATGTAGAAGCGGAAGATCTGGATGCCCAGGTATTTCTCGTTCTCGGGCGTCTCCTTGCGCGCGTTGAACTTGCGGCCCTTGTAGATGTATTCGCCGCAGCTGGTGCACTTCATGCTGAAGGGGGCCATGAGACGGACGGTTTGGACCTTGGGCCCGACCTGCTTTGGACCCTTCTTCTTGGTCAACTGCGACGGGTCGAAGTCGGGCGGGTAGTATTTCGAAAGGACTTTGCGCTCAGACATCTTGACGGAGTGAGTATGGGCGGTGTGGTTTGTATGGTCAAGTTCACTTTGCGAGGTGGTGCTCTGAACGTAGTAGCTACTGGTGTCAGCAGCGTAAGAATGCCTGAGAATGCCGTGTAGTATGTTTCTCGAGCCGGGTTCTTGATCAGTCCTTATCGATAACACACATGGCAGGCTACAGGCTCAGGGGTCCAAAAGGTCTCCGCCCAAACCGGCAAGACGGTGAGAGAACCCCAATTATTCTGCCGGGCGATTCGCAACTTTTTCTTGGGCGCGAGCCGGCGCGCCTCTCCACCAGCGCCTTCTCTTCCTCTTCAACATGCGACCACCCACTCATATCACCGCCAGCATAGCAATCTCCTCTATACTGGCAACCTCGAGCTGTGGTCTAGATCAAACAAGCTAGACTTGAAATTAGTACCCTAAAACCGTCATTATGAGGGCCCCTAGTTGCGTGGCATCCCAGGATCTGATGACGACCTGACGGTACAGACATTCCATTCCTCAGAATATCATTGATAACATGACCAAGTACAGCAGCGTGAGCTGGACCGTCACATCCCCTCGTGCTGCCAGCCGAAGCGTAAGTGCATCTCGCTTTCTCTCTCTACAATCCTGCCATGATGCAAATTTCATCATCTGGTAAGCTGAACGCTCAGCCTGTGCGTACGCGGCATCTGCAAGGAGCTGTTTCGTGTCGTGGTTGAGCTGGAAGAGATAGATATGGCATCTTGTTTAGCCTGAGCAGCACTGTACCACCCAGCTTCATGAGCCCTGCTTCGTTTCGCGGTGGTGAGGCTGACTGTCAGCAGCTCGTCCCATCGGGCCGGTCTGTCGTCGCGACGGGGCATCAAGAGATCTGGAGATGCCCGGCCCGATCGCTACGGCGGCTAAGGATGTGACTCTATTCTGGCGCTATACAAACCTTATATATAAGAGTCGTCTGCGCACCTGGTAAATTTGTACAAAAGTGCATAACTAGGTAGTCAACCTCTCAGTGTAACTTTACACCTATTGAGGCACGCAGTAGACCAGCGGATTGCTATCTGCTTGACATGACACCAGGCGGTTGGATTGGTCTCAGCGAGGCGGCATGATGTTAGATCAAGGTCAGTGTGGTCTGGCAGTTTGCAATGTTGTCGACGCACCAGCAATGTGCATGTGCAGAGGTAGTTCTACATACGTCAAGACCTGCTGCTCGTCATACTCTAGCAGCCGGCAAGTCCTTGAGATAATCAGTGACTCGATACCAGAGTCCCATCGGCGGCACTACGATAATCCCCAGGGCCACTTTGGCTTTGCCCAGGGTGGAGGGCAACCCCCACTTGGTGACGGCGGGGCGGGAGCGCGATAGCCAACAATCCCGTCTTTGCCCAGGACAAGCCATTGGGACGTCACGTCTTCCTTTCTTGTTCCAAAGCTCTGTCGTGTTTGTTTGATAACTACCTGGGCACCCTCCGCTCGCTCAATTGGCCCCTCACTGCCGCATCGTTCCTTCCGCTAGGTTGCCGCGCGGACTGGAGATACTGCACGTGGCTGTTTGACTGCCGACAACGGAGCGTCGCGCCATCCCGCCCTGTACTGCCAGTCCTCCCCTCGTCGCGAACCAGCGTCCTTGCTCTTGACCTGACGTCCAGCCAGTCTGCCCCTCTCGTACGCTGCAGCCGCCTGGGAACCCCGTCACCAGCATCATGGACAAGATCACCGACAAGATCGCGGCTCTGCCGCCCGATGCCAACTACTTCTCCCTCGAGTTCTTCCCTCCCAAGACCCAGATGGGCTTTGCCAACCTGCGATCTCGTCTGGAGCGCATGGCCCGAGCCCTGAAGCCGACATTCGTCAACGTCACCTGGGGCGCTGGTGGCTCGACCGCCCAGAAGTCCATGGAACTTGCAGAGATTTGCCAGCGCGAGCTGGGCCTGACAACGTGTCTGCACCTGACGTGTACCAACATGAGCCGCCGGCTGATCGACAAGGCGCTGGAGGATGCAAAGGTATTGGGCATACGGAACATACTGGCCTTGAGAGGCGACCCTCCGCGCAAGGAGGAGTACCGGGACGAGAACGAAGATGACGACGAGGGCGAGGACGAGTTCACATGGGCGGTGGATCTGGTGCGCTATATCCGGAAGAATCATGGCGACCATTTCTGCATCGGTGTCGCGGCCTACCCCGAGGGCCATGCCGACGAGAGCCACCCTCTGGGCCAGAGCATGGAGCACGACTTGCCGTCGCTGGTAGAGAAGGTCCAAGCCGGTGCAGATTTCGTCATGACCCAGCTCTTCTTTGACATCAAGGCATACGACAAGTTTGAGACAACGCTGCGGGAGCACCCGAGCGGTGCTTTTAAGGACATCATCATCATCCCGGGCCTCATGCCCATACAGAATTATCAGATGATCAAGAGGACGACAAAGCTGAGCCATGCCAGGATACCTGACGACCTGATGGCGCGCCTGGACGAAGTTAAGAAGGACGATGAGCAGGTGAAGCAAGTTGGTGTCGACATCCTTAGTGAGCTTGTGGAGCAGATCAGGGAGATCAAGAGCAGGACACCGGGACCAAAGGGTTTCCACTTCTACACCCTCAACCTGGAAAAGGCTGTGTCTTTCATCCTGGAGAGGACGGACTTGATACCACCCGAGACCCCTACTGAGGAAGCCGTGATAGACGATCTCATACCGCTGGTGCCCAAAATTGAGGTCAATGGCTCGGGATCCAACAATTCCTCACAGCAACATCTCGCCATCGGCTACTCCTCACGCCGTCAGTCCAACGTCTCATCCGAACCGCGCAATCGCGTGATCATGTCCGGCGAGAACCGCAACCCTTCAAACCCGGAGTACGAGGCAACGCAGCTGGAAGCATCTCGGCCCTTTGACCCCGTCCATAGCCGTGTTAACACCCTGGCCATTTCGGAAGGCGAAGGGATTCTTGGACGCGAGGCAACCTGGGATGACTTCCCGAACGGACGTTGGGGTGACGCTCGCTCGCCCGCGTACGGTGAGATCGATGGATATGGCGTGAGCCTTCACATGTCCTTTACCCAGGCGCAGCGGCTGTGGGGGGCTCCCAAGGCGGTGGAAGACATCAACACCTTGTTCATCCGCCACCTGAGGGGTGAGTTATCAGCAATTCCCTGGAGCGAGGAGGAGTTCAACGCCGAGACCGGAACGATCAAGGAGCGTCTCATCGAGCTTAACACGCGCGGCTGGTGGACGGTGGCATCGCAGCCTGCTGTAAATGGACTGCGCTCTTCGGATCCGACCTTCGGATGGGGCCCGGCCAACGGATTTGTCTTCCAGAAGGCGTTCGTCGAGTTCTTCTGCCCCGCTGACGACTGGAAGAGGCTGCACGAGAAGCTGTCAAAGCCCGAGATGAAGAACAGCATCTGGTTCTACGCAGCGAACGCGGCTGGTGACTTCTTGTCATCCGACTTCAGTGGTGGGCTGGATCTTGAGGTGAAAGAGGCGGGCACCAACGCAGTGACCTGGGGTGTCTTCCCGGGCAAGGAGATCATCACGCCTACGATCATCGAAGAGGTCAGTTTCCGAGCATGGGCCGAAGAGGCGTTCGGAATCTGGGGCGAGTGGGCGCAGGTCTACGGCAAGGGCTCAGAGAGCTCAAAGTTTTTGGAGGAGATGAAGAACGACCTGTGGTTGGTGAACATCATTCACCACGAGTACATCGAGAAGGATGCGCTGTGGGATCTCTTGGCGAGTTCATAAGCTGTCATAGTTCTACTCCCATCGGGTCAACCGAGCCCCTCAATACAAAGCGATGCGAGAGGCATCTCCTTAATAGGCTTCATCATCAGTCCCAATTGGTGTTCCCCTCCAAGCCCTCTATTTATTCGCTACCCCCTGCCGAGCACTTGGGTGTCGCCTCTCAATGTCTCTTATTTTCGCACGTGGCTCCATTTGCATCTTAACCCTGATCTAAAGAGACTCGCTTATCTCTTCAGGGGTCCGTCTCGTTTATAGTGGAGCTCCATCTTTCTCTGACAGGCGGCAGCACCCGATTAACATTTTGGATGATCATAAACAAGTGATGATGATCTTCGTGATCCAGACAAACAAATTGGGTAAAATATTCAACCCATTCGGAGTAAAAGCCACCATCCGTTTTTTTATTTCCACACATGTATATTCCCCGTTTGCCCACACCCAGTCCTCCTGCAGCACTGGCAGATGTCAGCCCCTCCTGAAACCTGGCCGACGCCAGCACCGCCCCATTTAATTCGCAATCGCATGGTTTTAAATTGCAGCTCGGATGATCGGGTCCCAGGACAGTGGGATCCCACAACGCCGCCGAGCCGCAGCGCTGGATCCGGATCCTGAGAGGCTGGCCAATCGCCGGCGGCGAAATCACAGCTTCCTCTTGTCTCCTGGCCAGAACGAGCATCGCGTGGGTACCACTTATATCGGTTAAGGATTGGCCACGCGACTTGGGCCTGGGGTGACTTCGACTTGGACCGTGGGGTGATTTGATGTTGGCAATGGGTCCCTCTCGTGAAGGAAGGACTTGTTCTTATTCCACCAACCGCCCTCTTCTGTCGGCGTCGCTGATCTGTTCTGCTCCATCTTTCTAAATTCGATACAAAAGCTGTGCTTTTAACTTTCAATTAACTGAAGGCGGCGTTGATCACTGTCTCTGTACATTCGCTTTTATTGGAAGAAAGCTTTCAACTCACGATACTACAATATACCCCCACAGCCGAATCGACCAATCGATCCGAGCCGCAGCTTCCTTGAGGCATCACATATCTTATTGGGGACCAAGTTAGACGCCTGTAGCCACTTATATCTTCGTCACCGACCACTCACCTCGCCCAATCCACATTCTCTAAGTCGACCTCCAGACCCAGACATGGCTGAGGCGATAGCAGCTGCAGAAGGCTCGGCCACGACCGACTGGACGACCTTCGACGGCCCCGTGCCCTCCAAGTTCATGTTCCATGCCATCTTCTTCCCTATAGCAATGGGGGCGTTCCTCGTCGTGCCCGGCATCATCTGCTGGTTCGCTCTTGGATTCGGGTACCGGGGTAGGATCGCTCCGTATACGCCGCAGTATCCTGCCAGGTTTGGTGAGTAACCTCCATGACATATACTGGCTCTGCTTTCTCAGCGCTTTGAACAACCACTGACATGTTGGTCGTAATAGGAACAAAGGACATTCAAAATGGGTCGGTGCACAATGGGCAAGTGGCGGAGGTGTAGAGCACGTTGATATCGCATTTGAACGGAGTTGGGCGTTTTCTTTTGCAGGGCCACTTGCCCTGAGCATCTGGTGGTTCGCCTTAGCGTTGTGTTGTTATATATCCCCAGTAACCTGCTTCTGACTGTGACCGTACCGTTTTGTTACCCTGCAGGAGGTTGTAACAAGTGCTGTGCTAGCCCTTGCTCATGGCATAAGGTACCATGCTCACGCAGGATGAAAGGAACACCACAGTGTTTTCGAGCCATAAAAGGCCAATTTGAATTGAACTGGATTTGACTAGCCACGGTTTCACCTCGTCACCTCCCACTCCCTAGAGACGATAATTCCTGGCGTAAAATTTGCGGAGAACTTGGTCTCAGGATTTTCGACGTCTCTATTCTCGCTGCTGTTCCCTGTTGAGACAGCGGAGACTTCAGCCTGATGCTTGAAACTCAAAGGGCGGAGATGGAGCTGATCGCCGCCAGCGTCGTCGCCAAGGGGCTCAATTTGCTCCCTTCTCGGAGCCCTGAGCCCGGGGTCCCGTCCGGTCCTGTACTTGCAACGGCCTACCAGTGGCCTGAAGAGAGGAATGCAAGCCAAAGTGACCGCCATGCTAGCCTCGAGGCCACCGAATATATTGGCTAATGTCATACTGTAGGGAATATCGGTGAAGTCCATCTGAGTCAGGCAGACTATGCGGACGACGCCGGTGACGCAGGTGCTGGATAAAGTCAGTAAATCAGACAATCATCGATATCAGGTGACAAGAGCCTGTGGATGCTCCAGCGGTGTGGACATACAGGATACCCAGACTGAATACGGAAGCCAAAATAACTTTCTTGTATTTTCCCATGCGCAGCTTAAGCAGTGCTGGTAACGGAAGAACAATGACGATAACATTTGTGGCCAAGTTGATCGCTCCGCTGATGACGAAGGAGAGGATTTGGTCTCCGCAGTGGCCACCAGAGACTGTATTCCAGAGTATCGGAAGGGGCTGGCAGACCAGACACCCTGCCAAAATCGTCCCCATGGCCCACACCACAGTGATCCCGATGGTGGCCCTTGCTGCGATTATGACATAGTGGTCTGTGTTGAATAATTGCGAGTACAGAAGCAGGATAGATGCCTTGGAAAATCCGAGACTCAGCGCCCACAGCAAGTGCAGTGGAATGATAAGCTTGAGCAACACGACCACGGAGCTGCTGCCGAAATGTGCCACTATGTCTGAGGCATGCCCCCAGGCCAGGCCGCCGTGGACCACGGCTGTAATGTTGATAGCTTCGAGGGCTACTGCCAGGACCACAGCGGCAATTGCGCAGTAGTCGCTTAGATTCAGATTCCGAGCGGCAATGCGGCGGGCGAGGACACGGAGGAAGACGGCTGCAGTTGGTACGATGCTGAAGATTATGGCTGCAGAAATGACGGCTCGTTGCCGGTGATTAACGATTGGAAAATTCGTCATGGTCTGCACATGTGCATTTGAGCGGTTGTGTCTAGGAACGACAATGCTGCCGGGAATAAGTATTGTGCTGCTGTGGGCGAAACGGCTTATAAGACAAGACTCAATCTGGTCGAAGCCAACCCAACCAATAGCCCAAGGAGTTATGGCCATCACCTGTTGATTAATTATCGCTTATTACACTTGACGAGAACTCAACGGAAACCGGCTCGGCAGCGGCACACCAAAACCTGTAATGATCTCTGGTAGTTACGCAAACGTCAATGTTCGGTTGCCATCTCCGAGCACGTCAAATGCCGGGGCAGACTTCCGAACCTGGGGGTCCGGGGGTATTCGGTTTTGGGAGCCCAGAGGCCGGTTGGTGATCCACATTGCCGCACTGGGCCTGTTTAGGCGCCCGTATTTCTACGATGGGTTTAGGTCTGCGGATCTTTAGGAGTGAAATACGACAGGTAGACAGTTCGAGCCGAGGCAGCAATATCGCGGTGGCAGAGTGGGCCACAAGAAACCAGCACAATGGCAGTGACTTGCGCTGTCTGTATCGATTCTGTCGTCAGCCCTGACCCAGTGATCATGATGTTCCGGGCCGTCTGCTCGTAGACGAAGCTTGGACTCGTGAGCATCAGCTGCTAAATGATCCGAGCAAACCGATGTGAGCCTCAATTTCTTGCATTGTGGGGAACCTGAGTGGTCCACACTAAACCTTTTGCAGGAAGCTTGATGCCGTTGACTTGGATGGAACATGTGCCGCGGAAATAATTGTGAGGTATAAATGATGGCTTTACTTGGTGAACAATAGGGCACGAGCAGAGTGTCGATCATCTTGAGGTCGTGGGACTACTGCTGGTGGCCATATTGAGCATCTCCTTCTGGAGTAGGTACCTCTCTCCTCTGCAAGATATCCCAGGGCCCTTGGCTGCGTCATTCATCCGCATCTGGCACATGAGACGAGTTCTGAAGGGTGACCAGAATCTGGGACTAAACCATCTCCACGAGACACATGGCCATCGCGCCCAAAGAGGTCAGCGGCGTCAGCCATTCCGATGCATTAACATGATTCCCCTCACGTCACTGCGAAGGGCGACTGGTAGAAGATCGTACACCTCCCTGACAGGCGTTTCAAGAATTCCATGGGGGAAACAGAGCCGACCGCAAAGAATGAGCTGAGCCGGCACGTCGTCGCGGGCTACCTCCTCATTAACCTGCTCTAGGCAGAGCCGACCGTTGGCGACACGGTCGAGCTGCTCCTAGGCTGCCTGGAGGAACGCCGAGGAGAACAAGCCCAAAGAGCTGATCCGCTTCTTCACCTACACGACTTCCAACATCATCGGCTAGGTGGTCTTCTCCAAACCGTCCGGCTTACTGCGCGAAGGCAAGGGCATCGGCCGGGCAGTATCCAACTCCCTGGCGCCGAATATCCACGCCGCCGTGGGCGGCTACATGCAGTGGTCCCACTTGCTGCTATCGAACTCGCTGGTGGCCTGGCTGGACGGGCATTCCTCTGGTCATATCATCGACACAGCGGTCAGTGCCATGAAGGGGCGAGAAGAGCCTGGACGCCCGCTTCGACGCTGTGGCGCACTGCCCAGGCGGTTCCGGTGCCTCAGCAGAATCCCGGCCGCATGCTCCCCAGATACAGGCAGTCAGTCCGTGGCCAGCAACGCCGGTTCTGCCGGCTCGGAAACTGTCGCGTGCGACCTGTGAGCGCTTTTCTACCACATGATCCGCCGTCTGGCCCTATAAAGGCCGGCGAGGGGGGTGGATTGTCACCGCGGGCCTGTCGGCGCCTTGATTGCAGGAGAAGGTGATCCCATGTGCTGAGGTGCTGAGGCCACCTCTGTTGCAAGCCTGTATCAAGGAGGCGCTACGGGTGTTTGCACCGGCTGCCACGGACTCCCACTGGCTGGTGAAGATGGTGTTACCATCGGCGACAGCATGTTCCCGGAGGACACGACTTTGTCGGCCAGGGCGTGTGTGATTCACTCCTCGCGGGAGATCTGGGGCGCAGACGCAAGCGCATGGCATCCGTAAAGGTGGCTAGCAGACAACAAGTCGGCTCTCGAGAAGAAACTACATGCCCGTAAGTAAGCATCGGATTCTTCGCTTTGGTAACGTCAACTGGTCGTGTCTGTCGGGTTCAGCAACTCACATGCCCATAGTTTGGGCTTGGATACCGGTACATGTCTCGTCCGGGTCAGAACATCGCAAAGTTCGAGCTTTCCAAGATCTCCGCAACCACCGTTTGTGAGTAAAATATCAATCAGGTTGACCAACCCTAGACAGCAGTGGCAGTGGAAGGCACACTTTCACGCTTGCTCCGCAGTCCTGGCCGTATCGTATCGTGAAGCGGTAGTTGCTCGGCTACTCTCTTTGGTCGGAGACGCGCATCAGGATTCCTGCAACTGGCAATATCAAATTTGAACCAGTGGGAGTTGACGATGGATTCTTGTTGATTTAGCTCAAAGATGTATAACGCTATCTCTCACCTGTCATCATATGGCACAACTTGAATTGATCTCATACCTATCTAGGTACCGAGGTACTTGGTAAAACTCCGACAGGATGACATCCGATATTCATATCGGACAAGATCCTGAAGCACAGCAATCCAGATATAGGTAAGACACAGAAACTCTGTTATGATATCACATAACTTTTTGGAGACGGGCTGGTATGGTGGTAATAATGTTTGAAGGGCGTTGGAGACCATCTTCGAGAAGGGTCTGCGGCTGGGAGATGTAAGAAAGCTTGGACTGTCTTCTAAGAAAGAAGACTAAAATTCTACTTAGTAGGAACAACCTTCTGGTCGGCCCTCGGCCCTGCGCCCTCTGCAGGCCAGCATATGTTTACCCCTTGACATGCGCTCGCTGTTGAGAGGGGCAAGGGGTAGCTGTACTATCGGGACGACATGGGGCATGGTGACCCCTGACCAAGGATCGACGCTAAGATAACTCTAATTCCTTATCAAAAAAAGTTTTGGTTCACTTGCCCTCACTACACGACTTGCAGCCCGCGCCCGCGCAGCCCAGCCCAGAATTGTCACCAGCATGCAGCAGTCGAGATGACAACGAGGCTTCCTTATAAAACAACATTCGAACCCGAGAGGGCCATACAGCCCATCTTTACAGGGGGCTCAATCTCACTGGACAATGGCGCCAAGATCCTTGCCACGACCCTTGGTGAGGATGCGGTCCTGACTGACCTTTTGACTGGGAGGCAGCTGGCCAAGATTGAGGGGGTACGTCCACCACACGGAGCACCCATTAGACAGCGGCACGGCTGACATTCAGTGCCCATCAGGATGACGAGCAAATTTCGACCTTGACCTGTACGACTCACTGAGAGCTTGACAATCCGTGGGCGACAGCTAACCCCAGAGTCTAGTGACACCTTCCGCCTCCCATCTGATCGTTTGTTCTCGGTCTCTCTCTATGCGCATATACTCCCTCAAGATTTCCGACGATCAAGGCGAGATCGAAGCGACCCTTACACGAACCCTGAAACCACACGGGACTCCGGTGGTCGTCTTAGCCGTTGACCGCACTGGCACCCTCCTCGCCACCGGCGCGGCGGACGGCAATATTAAAGTCTGGGACTTGATCGGCGGATACGTCACGCACACTTTCAGGGGCCCAAGTGTCCTTGTTTCCGCCCTCCATTTCTTCGAGATCGCCTCTAGTCGCCTGGCAGACGAGCAGCTGACCGGCAAGAAGGGCAAAAAGACCAAGAGGAAGAGTGACGTGGGTGGTGAAGACAAGGATTCCGCGACTGCCAAGTTCCGCCTGGCGTCTGGCAGCCAAGATGGAAAAATCAGGGTTTGGGACCTACACAAGCGCGCAGTGGTCGCAGACCTCGAGTCGCATGTGTCTGACGTTCAGGGGCTGGACTACTCCCCGTCGCAACATGCGCTGGTCACGGCCAGTCGTGATAAAACGATGATCTGGTGGGATGCGAAATCGTGGGCGCCGAGAAAGGTCATCCCAACATTTGAGACGATGGAAGCCGTTGGGTTCTTGGAGGACGGCGGGCTGACGTACACCGCTGGCGCCAACGGTTGTGTAAGGCTTTGGGACTCCGAAACAGGCCGTGAAGTGACGACGGAACAGTCCTCAAAGTCTGAGGGTGACTCGATCGTCGCAGCAGTTCTGTGCTCAGAGCAGAACCTGTTGCTGACTGTCCAGATGGACCACACGCTCGTTCTCTACCGAACACCTTCGATGCGAGACGCTCTCACAATCCCTGAATTGCCACCACTTGAACCGCTCAGGAGGATCTCTGGCACTCATGATGAGATTATCGACCTTGCATACGTCTTGCCCGACCGCTCCATGATGGCACTGGCCACGAACTCGGAGGACGTGCGACTTGTTTCCGTGGCAGAGTCACAGGTAGGAGCAGACGAGATCACAGGGGCAGGCCAGTACCTAGGCCAAGACATAGGTCTCCTCAAAGGACACGACGAGATCGTGATCACTCTCGATGTCGATTGGTCTGGGCACTGGATTGCGACGGGCGCAAAGGATAACACAGCTCGGCTGTGGCGGGTGGATCGGGAGAACAACAGTTACACGTGTTGGGCGACATTTACAGGACACGCCGAGTCTGTAGGCGCTATCGGCCTTCCGAAGACTATTCCCCAGGAGTCCTCTGCAGCATACCAGGACCCAGTCAACAACCCCCCGGCGGTACTCATGACAGGATCACAGGACTTGACAGTGAAGAAGTGGGAAATCCCACGGCAAGCCCAGAAGAAGGCCAAAGCTCTGTTCACGAGGAAGGCCCACGACAAGGACATTAACGCACTTGACGTAAACATCTCGGGCCAACTATTTGCATCCGCATCTCAGGACAAGACTGTCAAGATCTGGTCTGTTGCAGAGGGTGAAGTACAGGGTATTCTCCGAGGCCACAAGAGAGGTGTTTGGTCAGTAAGATTTGCACCAGCAAACACTCCCGTAATCCAGGGCGATAAGGGTGCGGTGGCCGGGAAAGGACTTGTCTTGACAGGCTCCGGAGACAAGACTGTCAAAATCTGGAGCTTATCGGACTACACCTGCTTGAGGACCTTTGAGGGGCACTCGAACAGTATTTTGAAGGTGGCATGGCTCAACCAGCACGCCGAGGGCGACAAAGCCAAACGGGTCCAATTCGCCAGCGCCGGCGGTGACGGTCTCGTGAAAGTTTGGGATGCCAACAGCGGCGAGACCGAGACCACGCTGGACAACCATGAGGACCGCGTGTGGGCTCTTGCCGTGCACCCCGAGACGAATATGATCGTTTCCGGAAGCGCAGACTCTACCGTTACCTTCTGGAAGGACACATCATCTGAGACGCAGACTGCGGCTGTTGAGGCGGCCACCAAGCTTATCGAGCAGGAGCAGGAGCTTGAGAATTACATGCACACTGGTGCGTACAGAGAAGCCATCGCGCTCGCGCTGCAGCTCAACCACCCTGGGAGGTTGCTCAACCTGTTCACGAAAGTGGTGAACTCGAAGGAACCAGATCAGGGAAGCTTGTCTGGCCTCAGGGCGGTCGATGAGGTTCTAGCAACGCTATCTGACGAGCAGATCTTCCTACTGCTTCTGAGACTGCGGGATTGGAACACCAATGCCAGGACCGCGTCAGTAGCCCAGAGGATCCTGTGGGCTCTGATCAGGAGTTATCCGGCCACCAAGTTCTCGAACCTGTCGGTCAAGGGAGCACGTGGGCAAAAGAGCTTGACGGAGGTTCTCAATGCATTGAAGGTGTACACCGAGAGGCACTACAAGCGTACGGAGGAGCTGGTGGACGAATCATACCTGGTAGAGTACACGTTACAGGAGATGGAGAACTTGGCACCCATGATGGACATGCCTGCGGCTGGTGAGAACGGGGAGGGAGATGTCCTGATGCTGGATGCAGCTTCATGAGGTGTAGAATATGATGGGTGAATAAAATAGAAGTGATACCAAATCAACCTAGTGAATCCAAGCCAACAAACTTTTTTTCGGAAAAGTGGCTTTTCATAAACATTTAAGTCGCGAATGTGAGCAGGTCGAAAAATCATGGATAACCTGGACACTAGAAAAACCTAAACACCTCACTGGCAATGCATCATTTTCTGCTTTGAACCACCATACACAGTAAGATAGGCCTGAAAAGTGGACTAATGAAAATCAACAATTGTTCTATCCAATTGGTGAAAATCCTGTGTTGTACACAAACAACTCTCAAGTGAGATACTAGTATAGCTCTGGTCGTGGCAGTAGTAAAAGGCGGGGTGTCAGTGCATCAATCCAAACAATCCTAGGATCTCGGCACCGCGCTGAAGCTGATCCACCCAGAAGCCTTATTGACACAACCACCTCCTGCACCGCCCTGGGAAGCCCCAAACTCCCCGTCTTCACCTCCTCCCGCACTCGACAAGGCTCACGCGATTCGATTACCAGACCACCATGTCGAAGCGACTCGCGTCCGAAGCGCTCGAAGAAACGTTCCACGCAGACTCGCCTGCATCGAAGAAGTCGCGGATTGGTGAAAGCCCCAGCGCGCAAGGAGACAGCGACCTCGAGCAGCGCAAGTCAGGTGGCGATACGACGCCGAGGCAGAATGGTGCCGCAAACGGGCACGGTGAGGAGTTGGACTCAGACCTGGAAGACGACTTGCCAGAAGAGAAAGCGCCGATCAGGCAGTCGGCGCCTACCGCAGGCTACGACGACCTGTACCTCGACACGATCGACCGGAACGTGCTAGATTTCGACTTTGAGAAGCTCTGCTCTGTTTCGCTGTCCAACATCAACGTGTACGCATGTCTGGTATGCGGCAAGTACTTCCAGGGCCGCGGCCCCAAATCACACGCCTACTTCCACTCGTTGGACGAAAACCACCACGTCTACATCAACATGGCGACCCAGAAAGTATACGTGCTACCGGAGGGGTACGAGGTTACGAGCAAGAGCCTGGACGACATCAAGTACGTGTCAGACCCAAGGTACACGAAACAAGAGGTCATGGACATAGATCGACGGCCGCGCACCAGCCTCACGATCTTGGGCAAGGAATACACGCCAGGCTACGTGGGGATGAACAACATCAAGGAGAATGACTACCTGAACGTCGTGGTTCAGGCATTGTCACACGTCCCGCCACTGCGGAACTTCTTCTTGTTGGAGGACTTTGCCAGCTCCCGGTCAGAGCTGGTCAAGAGGACGAGCATCTTGTTCAGGAAGATCTGGAATCCGCGCGCGTTCAAGTCGCACGTGTCGCCACATGAGCTGCTGCAGGAGATCTCGCTGCGGTCGAATAAGCGGTACACCCTGACCGTGCAGAGCGACCCTGTCGAATTCCTCAGCTGGTTCCTGAACAATCTCCACCTCGGCCTGGGGGGAAGCAAGACCAAGCCGGGGAGCAGCATGGTGCAGAGGGTGTTTCAAGGGAGGCTCAAGGTCGAGTCGCAAGCCATCACGGCAAAAGCCGACGTGGGTGACCGGCTACGGTTCGAGGAGGCCGCGGAAGTAAAGGTGGACGTCAGCCGGTTCCTCCTCCTCACGCTGGATTTGCCACCCGCGCCGCTGTTCCAAGACGAACAGGAGCGTAACATCATCCCCCAGGTGCCGCTGACGACGATCTTGTCCAAATATGACGGCCACTCGGCACAAGAGCACCTGGCGCACCGGCGGCGCTACAGGCTGATGCACCCGCTGCCGCCATACCTGGTCATGCACGTCAAGCGCTTCAGCCAGAACAAGTTTGTCAGCGAGCGCAACCCGACGATCGTGACGTTTGACTCGCGCGACTTGGACGTGAGCCCGTACGTGGAGCCGGACCCGGCGGCGCACCCGGGCGGCGGGCCGATCTACTACGACCTGGTGGCCAACGTGGTGCACGAGGCGGTGCGGCTGCGCGAGGACGTGGCGGACACGGGCGAGGAGCGCAAGACGTGGAAGGTGCAGCTGCTGGACAAGGCCAGGGGCGAGTGGGTGGTCTGCCAGGACCTGTTCGTGGACAAGATCCAGAAGGAGCTTCTGTGCATGGGTGAGAGCTACCTGCAGATCTGGGAGAGGAGGAGAGAGCCTGGCCAGGGGAAGGGCAAGGCAAAGGCATGAAGGGGTGGACTGTGTTGTACCTACCTAGGTAGGTTTGAAAGATACTTAAGTATACTGCCAGCTGCGGCCGTGGCTATGAGTGCCGGATATAGTGGCCTCATCCTCCATACCTACTGAGTTCTCCATTTCCCAGCGAGAGTGACAGGACAAGCGTAGACATACATTATCTGCTTGGACTATTGGCTGGGAGTATTATACAGGCCACACGTGCACTCTCGTAGATATCATCATCAGCATTTGGTACAGAGACTGAATGGTATTGTCTGTCTGCTGCAGGATGGAATGGGCCGCCCACCCGTGTGGTCTGTCTGCACGCCCAGGCTGCCTGGCTGCCAGGTAGATACCCCACACTGGCTGCTGGCCTGGCTGCTGGTGGCTGTCGATCCATTAGTGCAGGTGCAACGCAACGGTGGAGCTCCCTGGGGCAGCCCAAGCGCCGCCTCACCACCCCAGTGCTCATTGGAAGAGACTTTTTCTGTCGACGCTTCACATTTTCCAAGTTCCGCATTCCATCCCAACCCACACCAGAACCCATTGCGTACCAGATCAGTATACCCTTGTGACACCGCCTGCAGTCCCCATCCCACCTTCAGATCGATCATCTCCCCAGCTGCAGCCAGCCAATTCTTCCCTCCAGCCAAACCCCGACCTCGAGGCATCCCACAAACTTCCACCATCCCCTGGCCCGAATCAAGCTCTGTACCTGGACTCTCCTCCGTCATCTGCATCTTGGTGCATCCCATCCGCCACTTTGGACACAGACCGACACACACACCCTGCCCTACAACCTACGGCCCGCGTTACACGTCAACGACCGCGTCTTCTTCTTCTTCAATGATCAGTGGCCTTCTCGAACAAAAACGACCATAGGCGAAATTGCATTTCCTTGTCCAGCTACCATCCAAACGCGCCAATCTGAACCTCCATCTCGGCCACCTCCACCACCGCAAAAAGTCCTGCAAACACACAACGAACAAAGGAACCACACCCAGACCAACTCGGCCACAATCCCTTTCCGCAACCCGATACGAGTCGGTTCAATCGATTAATCACCAGCGAAACTACTTTTGGGTACCTTGTAGCCCTCGGAGCCTGGAATAAGACTGTGAGGAGGGTCGCAGAATTCTCTCCCAGAACAAACCCCAAAGGGCAGCTTGCCTCGCCGTTCGTTTCACAGTCTCCATGGATAACCTATGGACTCGCCGGACCAAGTATGTTCACTGCTATTCCCAGTCCCGGCAGAGCTCAGACCGCAGACACTGACTTGTTCTTTCTACAGCACCAACAAGCTCTCCCTCTCGACACCAGGTTCGGCCCTCAACGACACCGGCTCCCTCGGTCGGAATTCCTCCATCTCCAAGCGATTCGGCGGTGATAGCTCGTCGCACGGGACGAGGAACCCTCTAAACGACGTCAAGACCCCAGGCAGCGGACTCGCCTCCCCGGGCGGCGCATCCAACGCCTTCGCCCTCGGCACCGGCGCCTTTTCGAACTTCGGGGCAAAGACGCCCAAGTCCACCGGGAACCCCTTCGACCTAGCCTCCAAGACCCCAACAACCGAGAAATCCGGAAAGGACGGCGCGAACGGGGGCAGCGCAACCAAGGCCGGCTTGAGCGGGGCTGCGAAATCAGCCGCGAGCACGCCAGGGCCCGCCACAAGGGAGAGGAAGGACAGCGATCAGCGCGGGGCCCACCCGCTGCGTAACAGCTGGGCGTTCTGGTACCGCCCTTCCATCCCGAAGAATGTCGGCTACATCCCCTATGAGGACACCGTCCACGGCATAGCGACGGTCGGTAGCGCCGAGGAGTTCTGGGCCGTCTACAGGCACCTGAAGCGACCGTCGACCCTGCCGGTCGTGTCCGACTACCACCTGTTCAAGAAGGGCGTCCGGCCCATCTGGGAGGATGACGAGAACAGGAAGGGCGGCAAGTGGGTCGTGCGCCTTAAGAAGGGGGTCGCGGACCGGTACTGGGAGGACCTGATGCTTGCTCTCATTGGTGAGCAGTTTGGTGATGCTGGCGAGGAAGTTTGCGGCGCCGTGATGAGTGTCAGAAACGGTGAGGACATCCTCAGCATCTGGACTGCCACCAGTGGGGGCAAGGTGCTCAAGATCAGGTGAGTAACAGGCCACCGTGCCGCGCACGCCCTTGACGCGTCGGGTTCTTGGATTGCTAACATTGCCACCAGGGAAACCTTCAAGCGAGTCCTGAACTTCCCTCCAGAAACCAAGATCGAGTGGAAGGTGCACGAGGAGAGCATTCAACAACGCATCACCGTTGAAGAGTCCCGCAAGGAGAGGGCCAACCAGCACAAGTCTGGCAACAAGCAGAACAACCAGCGACAGGCCCAACAGCACCAACAGAGCAACGACGATTCGGCCCCGGGTCCGCAGGCATCATAGTGTGCATTCTGCCCGAAACCGGATTCGACGAAACACCTGAAGGAGGCAGTCCCTTCGCAGCGCCTAACCCCGATATCCCACCGCTGGAGGGAAAGGCTAGGATGCTAGCATGTCTACGCAAGAGCGAACGGCCCTTAGGTCGTGCACAGCCGCATTGTATCGAATAGTAGCGTGTCTTTTCTTGGGTCACAGCAGCTTCCAATTACTGAGCTTTGCATGCGGAACAACGCGACAGTTAATGTTACCGTCCTTGTTAGCGTCGATATAGTTCTTGAAATCTTGGTCTCGTTTTGTGTGCCGGCTGTTGCTGCTGTCCGTCAAGATGAAGCAGATTTCGAACCAACGATCACCGCCACCATGCTTTTCACAAACGTGACCCAGGAGATGTAGTTGGTGAATCAATACCCGGCAAGGCCGAAATTCAAGCCCGATAGTAGCTCCCTTCCAGGCCCTGAAAGATTTTCTGCTCTGCGCGATGGACAGACTGTTTCGGAGGCGCTCTGGGGTCTCTATCAAGGCACAGGAAGATATTGACTGTTCATGGAATCATACGAAATTCCCCAAGTGCCCACGGGTTGTCGAATGCCATGTTGGGCTACATACACTTTTCAAAGCACAGCACCTTGTCGGTGAACTCGGGCGTGGGATCCTTGATAGCGATAAGCGGTGACGCGAAGCGGCCGCCGTGTTTTAAAGCACCGCGGGGCACTTGACGTTGCTCCCGCCTGTCAGCCCCAGCTCGCCCTGTCGGACCCCTCCATTCTGACACGGCTTGCTGAACTTTGTGAGATCCACGCCACTGTTGACTCACACTTTACTGCATTTTAGATCTCCCAATTGAGCAGCAGAGCATCGGGATTGAATGCCCCAGTCTGTCCCTCTACCAATTCGAAGAGTTTGCAATCTCAAAGCACTCTTGGCATCTTGAGGAGTCGATCCAGAGGCTACCCCACCACGTTTTCCCAGAGGGTAGGCCCGACCCATCCTCTCTCATTGTCACCCTCGCCCTAGGCTCGCCCTTGCACCTCACCCAACTCACAGAAGCACACAGCTCAACGTCGCAACAACACAGCATACAGCATACAAAGGACAGCGTCTAGTATGGCGGCGGACCCAATATTGCCCGTCGAGGGCAAGAGAAATATTCTCATCACAAGCGCCCTGCCATACGTCAACAATGTACCCCACCTTGGAAATCTCATCGGCAGTGTTCTGTCTGCAGATGTCTTCTCCCGCTGGTCCAAGGCCCGTGGGTTCCAGACTCTGTTTGTCTGCGGCTCTGATGAGTATGGTACTGCCACCGAGACCAAGGCCCTTGAGGAGGGCGTGAGCCCCGAGGAGCTGTGCAAGAAGTACCACGCCCTTCACAAAGAGATTTACGACTGGTTCAAGATCGAATTTGACATCTTTGGTCGCACCCCCACCGAGCACCAGACCCAGATTACCCAGGACATTTTCAGGAATTTGTGGAATAACGGCTTCATCCTCGAGCGCGAGGAGTTCCAGCCTTTTTGCTCCCACGCCAACCACAACAGCTTCCTCGCTGACCGATTCATCGAGGGCGAGTGTTCCATCTGTGGCGACAACGGGGCGAGGGGTGACCAGTGTGACAAGTGCGGGAACCTGCTGGACCCGTTCCAGCCCGGACCCGAGGCCGGAGCCTCTGATGATGCTGTGGCAAAAGCCACTGGCTGGCTCGTGAAACCCCGCTGCAAGGTTGACGGCACCACCCCGGAGAGGCGGAAGACAAAGCACCTGTACCTGCGGCTAGACGCGCTTGGGGACGAGATCAAAGACTGGTTCCTCGCGGCCAGCAAGAAGGGCACCTGGAGCTCCAACTGTATCCAAATCACCGACTCGTGGATCCAGAAGGGACTGCTGCCTCGTGCAATCACCCGTGATCTGAAATGGGGAACTGCAATCCCCAAAGGCCTCAAGGGCCTGGACGACGAGGCATATGCTAACAAGGTGTTCTACGTGTGGTTTGACGCATGTATTGGGTACGTGTCCATCACGGCGAATTACACAGACGGCAAGAACGTGGATGGGAAGCTGTGGGAGAAGTGGTGGAGATCGGACAACGTCGACCTCATACAGTTCATGGGCAAGGACAACGTTCCTTTCCACACCATCGTTTTCCCTGCCTCCCAAATTGGAACTAGGGAGAAATGGACAAAGGTCCACAAGCTTTCCACCACAGAATACCTGAACTACGAGGAGTCCAAGTTCAGCAAGTCCAAGGGAGTCGGCGTGTTTGGCAACAATGCAAAGGACACCGGTATTGAGCCGAATGTGTGGAGGTACTATCTGCTGTCTCGGCGCCCGGAGACGGCAGACAGCGAGTTCAAGTGGACCGAATTCGTCGATGCCAACAACAACGACCTGCTCAAAAACCTCGGCAACTTCAACCAGCGCGTGCTCAAGTTTTGCCAGGCAAAGTATGAGTCTGTGGTCCCTGACTACACGAAATACACATCCGAGGGCCTTGACGCACACGTGAGGGACGTCAACGCCCTGCTCAAGGAGTACAACACCCACATGGACGCAACCAAGCTGCGAGCCGGCCTGCAGACGGTCCTCGCCATCTCGGCGCTCGGCAACAAGATTCTGCAGGACAACAAGCTCGACAACCGCCTCCTGACCGAGGAGCCGGACCGCTGCGCCGCAGTCATCGGCCTCGCGCTCAACCACATCGCCCTTCTCGCGTCCATCGTCGCGCCCTACATGCCGGGCACGGCGGCCAACATCTTCGAGCAGCTGGGACTCGAGCCGCGGGCGTCAATCCCCGACACCTGGGTGACGGACGCGATCAAGCCGGGCCACAAGCTCGGGACGCCCAAGCTGCTCTTCACGCAGATCCCGGCGGCCAAGGTCGACGAGTGGCGCGACGCGTACGGCGGCGAGGAGGTCAAGAAGGCAAAGGAGCTCGCCGCCCGCAAGGCTGAGGAGAAGAGGCTCGCCAAGGAGCGCGACAAGGAGAAGAAGAGGCTCAAGAAGCTTGCTGCCGCCCAGGCCAAGGAGAATGAGACATGTGAGTGACCTTTCCTCTCCCAAGAAAAAAGACAATGAAGAGAGGAGACACATGCTAACATGGACTTGATGATAGCCGCCGCCAAGCCAAGCGTCGAGTCTACCGAGAAGAAGGAGATGGCTGACCCGGAGATCGAGAAGGTCACCGAGGCGATTGCTAAGGCCGACGTGCATACTAGCTAAGCATAGTCTGAAGACATGGGGTTCTTCATGAGTATATACTATTAGCTGCGCTCTTGTTCAACGAAGTCGTAACAATCAACCGGAGTTCCAGAAGGCGAAGGAGGCCATCGATGGGACCAGCGTGCGCACTATTTGAGCGGAGTATGAAAATGTGAGACCATGCACGAAAATAGACGCCGTGCCAGATCGTCAATTCAAGAGGTCATAAGAATGTCCCTGAGCCCTTGGCCATGAGATACCGTATAATCGTCCATACCGAAGGAGGTCAATCAATATGTGGTCATCTCATTAAAAGTTGTTCCACTGGGGATTGTCCCATCCGCAGTGCTATTCAATGAGATATCCTTTGCAGAAGCTAGTCTATACCACCAGGCCATCCCACATGAGGGTATTGGGTATGCCCCCTGAACATCGCGGAGTACACATCTTGAGAACTTAGGTGAAGAGATGCTGTTGCCACGTAGCAGACACACGGGAAAAGCTCATATCACTGATAAAGCGGTGCAGGGTTGCCTATCTCCAGCATCTCAGCGAGGATATCCCACTTCGGGGCCGCCGCATCCACTGAAGCCCTCGCCACGCCACGCAGACCGCCCGCGATGAAGCGCAGGTGCCGGTCAAAGTCGGCGCGGATGGCCACCAGGACCTCGGCATAAGTCTGTCTCTGCGGCTGCTGTCTCTGCCTCTGCCTCGGGGTGTCGACCTTGTCCTGGACGCCAAAGTCCTCGTCCAGGTCCCCGTCCCCGAAGAGGATGGTGTTGTCCTCCTCCCGCTCCTTCTCCTTGGGGCTGACATACACGCCGAGCCTGGGCGTCGTCCTCTCGCCCCCGACGGGGCCTCCACCCGCGCCGGGGCGGCTGGGCGTGGCGAGATACTTGTGCCCGTCCGATGCGCGCTCCTCCTCGGCGCGCCTCGCGTCCTCGAGCCTGATGGCCAGGTCCAGGACGTCGAGCATGCACTCCTTGATGGGCGCGAGCTTGGCGCCGAGGAAGGCCTCCTCCGTGATGCGCCGCGAGAAGGCCGAGTGGATCTCGATCATGGCGTCGACGTCCTCGGCGTTCTGGACGTCGCACCGCATGCGGTCTATGTTGGGCGCCAGGACAAGGTTGGCCAGGTAGGTCTGGAGGATGTTTGTGAACCACAGCAGGCGCGAGCGGAGGCTGTAGAAGGCTAGCTGCTCGCCCGTCTCGTCATGGCTCCTGCAGCTGGTGAAGAGCTTGTTCAATATCGCAGCTACGCGTCGGATCTGCAAGAGCAGTGTGAAGATGGCTTGGTAGCCGGCGATGCTTTCTGCCGTGATGACCAGCCGGACGGGCCAAGCGAGCCTGTAGGAGAGCCGAACCCCAGGCAAGCTGTTTCTGACACTACACCTGGCCTTGCCAGGGTCGGCGTGGAAAATGTGTTCAGGGTCCACAGCAGCTGAAAGACGGTATGGCTCCAGCCCCGAACATTGAGACCACGCCTCCTGAGCAACTTCTGTGAGACTGAAGCGGTCTGTCCAGGCGGTATTGAGTGCGTCCAAGCTCGAGCAGATAGCTGATGCGAATATTTCGGACATGGAACCGTCTGACATGAAGTAAACGTGTTGTAGGGCATCGAAGCTAGACCACAACCCGCAGGATTCAAATAGTACCTCCTGGAGGTTTGACGCGGTCGAAAGATATCTACTTTGAATCCATACGTCGAATGCATCACTGAATAGCTCCGAGAAGGGCGCTAGGGTGAGATCTGGCGAGCCACATATGGACTCGAAATCCAATGGAGGCTCCGGCGTACGGTTCGCTGGATGGTCTGCGGCGCTGCGGAAGCGGCCAAGCTGCTTGAGGACGACCACGCTCTTTCCCGTATTGAAGACTTTTCTCAGGGCGGACTGCAAGAAATTTGGTGCGTGCAACTGGTTGTCAGGGGTCCGCCGAAGTTCGAACTTGTGACTCCAGATCTGGTGCAAAGGGACTGGGCTTTCACACTCTGCAACAAAGAATGTCTTGTCCCCTGGCGTCAGATGGCCCTCCTCCATCCACCGCCTTATGGGGATGGTGTACACTCTGAAGCACTCGAAGAAGATGGCACCCAGGAAGCTGTATGTAAGTATGTCCCCGCTGAGTTGAGCAACACAGGTCGCGTCATATAGCAGCTCAAGGCAGCGGAAAGCATGGGCAAAGCGCTCGTCCTGTAGTTGACGAACCACGTGGCCTAGTGCATTCAGGGGAGTCAGGTGTGGGCGAAGCTCTTGCTGAAGAGCAATCAGACTGACGACGGTGTCATGTCTGATGTCGACAAAACGGTGCTGTATTAGGGCGATTTCGCGATCAAACAGCCTTAGCCGTTGGGATACAGAGTCCTGGAAGGCCTGGACCATCGGTATGAGCTGTACCGTCTCGCAAAACTTGCGCAGAGGAAGCAGGGTCCGACCAGATTCGGCGAAAGAGTTGATCAATGCTCTATATGTATCCCATAATATATCTGCTAGCTGGAACTTGGGTATTGGCGTGCAGTCTGCAGAGAACAAATCTGACGGGAGCCCATTGAGCATGAATAGGACTTCACGCAGGATCTGAAGCTCAGAGATTGGAATCTTCAGCGGTCGCCCTGAATCATCCCTTGGAAGAGCAGCATGCCGCCATTTTTGGGACTTCCCGACGGCTTCGAGCGCAGAATCAGGGTGGTCTTGTGGCAGGATGAGATGCTTGGCGGACCTCCTGCCTTGGGTGGCACTAGATATGGAGGTGTCTGACGACTCGTCCGAAGCCTGTGACTGAGAGTCTTGCACGACGTCGTCTTCTGAGCTGTCGGCAAAGTCGACGTTGTTCCAGAGACCGCGGTCCTGGGCCCAGCCATCCTCCCTGGCAATGTCCTCCCACCGCAGTTGCTGGCCCGAGTGTGGGTCCGGAGGGCGTAGGCGTTCCAAGGCGTCGAGTGACGTCTTCTGTGCGGGCCTATCAGACAACTCGAGGAACAGATGTAAGATCTCAGGGGTGAATCTGGTAGTCTTGGTGGACAGAGAGTCCAGTCTCTGCCTCAAAGCGTCCGAGAGCACATCACGGCCGACAACGGAGAAGCGCTCGACGAGGCCGCGGAGCTGGTCCTCAACCGCAAAATGATTTGTCTGCAGGTAATTGCGATTTCGGAGGCTGCGAAGGGCAGACTCGCGAAAGGCACTGAACTTGTGAGGATGAGACTAAAAAAAGAGATGTCAGGCTGGTTGACCACCATGGCCATGGACAGGGGGCCATACAGTCGGCGAGGTCGATGTGATGACGGTGACGAGCTCGTCTGTGAGAGCCCCAAACTCGGCAAGGAATGCCATTCCGTGAGCGAGAAGGGGAGAAGCTCTGGACAGGGTTCGGCCGGGTCACGACAACTGCAGTTGGCCCGGCCGTTGAGGCTCAAGTGTTGCGTGACTGTCTAAGTGACCTTTGTACGCGTTGGGTGGATGTCACCGAGTTACACACGCGCTTTGACAGCGGGTACTCGGCCAAGCCAGACAGATCTGGGAGATCTGGCGCTGGCCTTCGAGGTGCCCACTGCTAACCCACCTCACCTGGGGGCTGTCTCCCCTATTCCACCGACTCCTTGGGACCGCATGACGCTAATCTGCCAGTCTGCCAGGAAACAGGCAATGCTTAACTCGCCTGCCGCCAGACAAGGTGCTCACATGCTAAGGGAGCTAGCGGCAACGGCTGGTCCTGCACGCGTCCGGAAACTGTACACAGTAACACAGTAGTCGACTTACTGCCTGTGCCTGGCTGGGCTTGGGCCCCCTTTTGAACTTTTGGATATCTTGTTGTCTTGTGAACTATCTAGATCTCAGTCTCCAATCCCCAATCCCCAATCCCCATTCGAGACCCGAGTCTATAGACCACGATCGACCCACGACAACCCACTCTCCGCCCTCTCGATTCCCCATCGCAGCACCCTGCCTCATTGGGGCCATGCTTCGTTAGCTCAGCTGCCACCTTTCTTTCCTCGTCCCCGACACAGCAAGCTCTCGAGCAAGGTCAGCACAGCAGCCCAGGCCTGCGCCCACCGCCATCATGGCTGTTGCCCGCCCCGTCAGAGTCCTCGGGCTCGCGGCCGTCATGATGTGGTGCTTCTTCCTTTATCAGGTCTTCAAGCCAGGGGTTTCCATACCATTGTCCTCGCCCATCCCAAAAAACGAAAAGGAACCATTACTAGACCGTAAGCCTCCGACCCTGAGCCTGCGCCTCGTCGCCTCTCGCCGCGCCTCGCCTCGCTTCGACCCTGTGTCGCGTGGCGATTCTCTGCTGTCTGGTTGACCAGCTGACATTGTGAACTCTGCAGCAACCGGCGAACCAGCAGGTGTCCTCCGTCGCGCCGGCCCCGGCTACGCACCAGATGCCAAGGAACCCGCCCGTATCAATGCCACCCTGCTGGCCCTCGTACGAAATGAGGAGTTGGGCGGCATGTTACAAGCCATGAAGGACCTCGAGCGCACGTGGAACCACAAGTTCAACTATCCTTGGACCTTCTTCAACGACAAGCCCTTCACCGAGGAGTTCAAGAAGCGCACGCGCGAGGTTACCAACGCAGAGACTCACTATGGTAAGCAGCCGTCCATGATGCCAGGGTGGCGGGAGGATTGTCGCTTACGCAGTCTGTAACAACAGAGGTCATCCCCAAGGAGCACTGGGACGTGCCGTCCTGGATCAACATGGACCTCTTCGACGAGTCCGTCAAGATCCTCGAGGAGAACGACATCCAATACGCCGGCATGATGTCCTACCATCAGATGTGTCGCTGGAACAGCGGCCTCTTCTACAAGCACCCCGCGCTGGCCAACACCAGGTACTACTGGCGTGTCGAGCCCAAGGTGCACTTCTTCTGCGACATCGACTACGACGTGTTTGCCTACATGCAGGACAACAACAAGACCTACGGCTTCACCATCAACCTCTACGATGCCCCTGCCTCCATCCCGACCCTGTGGCCCGAGACCAACAAGTTCCTCGCCGACCACCCCGAGTACATGCACGAGAACAACGCCTTGAACTGGGTAGTGGACAAGTCTAGGCGGCCAGACCACAACGACAAGGCCAACGGCTACTCGACGTGTCACTTCTGGAGCAACTTTGAGATTGCTGACATGGAGTTCTGGAGGAGCCAGGCGTACGAGGACTACTTCAACCACCTTGACCGTGCCGGCGGCTTCTTTTATGAGCGGTGGGGAGATGCACCGGTACACAGCATCGCACTTGGCCTGTTCGAAGACAGGAACCGGATTCATTGGTATGTTGTTCCTCTCGCTTCTCTGGCTCTTGGATTGTGGCTCTGTCAGAGGACAAGCAGGTCTAACGCTCACGTGTCAATGCACAGGTTCCGCGACATTGGATACCAGCACATCCCCTTCTTCAACTGCCCCAACTCGCCGAAATGCAAGGGCTGTGTGACGGGCCGGTTCACGGACGGAGAGGCGTGGCTGAACAAGGAGGACTGCCGGCCGAACTGGTTCAAGTTCGCGCACATGGACTAGACGGGGAGGGGGGCCACAGACGAGAGATGAGAGATACCAAGCCGAGGAAGGCACAAATGGGGTCATGATGATTTCAAAATGGAGCGTGGAACGGGACCGGGTACTTTTCTTTTGCTTATGAGCACTTATATCCTTTCCTGGCAACCACAACAAGCTTGGTGGATGGATATCTGCGTTGCGTCTGTCACAGCATTTCATGGGCAGGAGGTGTTTGGCGCCAGGCTATCAGGTGGGCATTTGTATGTCCGCAGTAAGGTCGATTCCGGAGGGGCACAGGGCTCATATAGAGAGACGGACAGCACCCAGCTCAGCTTTGGATGGCAGGAGCTGAAGTGGAAGGGCGAGCCATGGGGCCCACTGCTGGATTGCGTGTTGGCGTCTTGGTCCGTCAAAAGCCACAGTGATGATAATGTACCGTGTAAATTCAGTCAGGTCACCATCGTGTGCTTCATCGTATTTACCCCCCCCCCCCTTCCCCTTCAGTCTTTCGTCCGAGCAGTCTTTCGCCCGAGCTATTACATGCAACTTTGCCTCGCCAATCAGCAACCCCGAATTATAAGGAATAAATAATCAACATGTTGTGGCCCAGCTCGCCCCTAGCTCCACAAGCCTACGTGCACTTGTGCGTCGAACCGACGCTCTATTACGACGTTGGCTGAAGTCCAATACAGCGTTGGATGCTCTGAGCCAAGACCCGGCACCCATGGTTCACGTTTAATACAGCATGATCCGCCTCCCCCCTTTCCTCCACCTCTCCTGCATATAATGAGGAAGTCCCATATAGCAGCGATACTGGCAAACTTGTAGAACTAGTCCTTTGTATTTGACTTTCGTAATGATATTCTAAGGCAGGGTATATCCGTCAAGTTCGAACTGGTAGTCCTTGGTCCGCAAGGACCTTCATGCTCTCCTCCTTCTCTCCTCTCGAGTTTGACAGTCGCCGCTCAGGCCGGGCCAAACACCGTCACTGTCCCTGACGTGCCACCAGCGCAGAACTGGTCGCCAAAGCCGCCCTCCCTCCACGCCAGACAGCTCACGACGTACTTGCGCTCCTTGGGCTTCCCGTCCCGGCCGACTAGCTTCTTGAGCCGTTCCGCGCCCCCCGGGCCCCACGGCACAGGCACCCTGGCGGCGAGCTTGCCCGTCATCAGATCCCACGCCCATATCCTACCGCCGTCAGCCGCCGCGTGCCCGCCGTCCGCGCCAGCAGAGCCCGTCATCTCGTCCCCGGCGACGACGAACCTCTCCCCGGCACCAAGCAGGCTCTGCACCCTGAAGTCCTCATTCCTCCACCCCTCCGCCTCCTCGCCGGAGCCGCCGTACGCCCGCAGGCACGACCCGCTCTCCCGGTCCATGAGCCTCACCCGGCTGTCCAGGCTCCCCACGAGCATCGCCTTGCCGTCGCGCGAGAGGCACACGCTCGTGACGCTCGCCCCGACGACGTCGGCCGTGACCTTGCCCACGCGGACATCATAGCACCGGACCCGCCCGTCCACGGAGCCCGCGACGACCTCGGCGCCGCGCACGACCACGGAGGAGATGGCGTCCGCGGCGTCGTCCAGCACCTGGATCGGCCTCGCGCCGCCGCCGCCGCCGCCGGCGCGCGCGTCCCACACCCTCACGGTCGTGTCGAACCCGCCCGACACGACGAGCGAGTCGTCCCCTCCCCCGACGGCGACGCAGTTGACGCGCCCGACGTGGCCCTCGGTGGCGTGAGAGAAGCGCCGGACCGTCTGGGCCGTCGCCACGTCCCACAGGAAGACGGTGCGGTCGCCGCCGGCCGAGGCGAAGCGGGCGTTGTCGGCGGTGACGGCCAGGGAGAGGACCTCGTGCGAGTGGGCCTGGTAGCTCTGGATGAGGCGGCCCTCTGGGAGGGGCTCATGTGGGCTTTGCTGTTGCTGCTGCTGCTGCGGTTTCTTGGTGATGTACGAGTTGGCCGGGTGGATGGCCGTGCTGGGCGAGGGGTTGTACAGCCGGATGGAGCGGTCGGCGCTGCCCGTTAGGATGTAGGTGCCTGGGCTGGCTGAGTACGATAGGGCGTGGATCGGGCCTTGTGTTGTGTGTCAGTCAATTTTGTCTGACTTCTCGATGCGGCTGGCCACAAGGAAACTGAGATGAACTCACCGTTTGCGCCCGTAAGAAAGGCTACGGGCTTGTATGGGAAAGCCATTTCAGAATTGAAGCCAGATTCTCCATGACCTCGCAATGTGTACTCAAATCATGTATTGAGGTTTTGTGTGAGCGGCCATGATATGTGTGAAGCACAACGAAGCGTGGTGAGTACTCGAGGTGGGTTCTTGAGGCCGAAGATGAGCAGTGTGGCCACCGCTGCTTACATAAGTCACCTGCACCAGTAAATTGGCTGTCTCATCGCGTGACATCGGATGAACACTGGGCATGTGAGGAGCACATCTCACCAGAGCCTGCTGTGTTCTCTGCACGCCTCGCAAGTTGGGACATCAATTTCTCGCGTTTCTCTCTTCATTCTTCTACTTGTTCATCCTCATCCTCCATGCCTATGCCTCCCTCAAAGCGGCCTCTGTGGGTGCGCCCTCCCCCAATGCGTCGCCCTCGCTTTTCTTCTTGATCTACATCTCGCTTCCCTCTCTCGCCTTATTGTACAGGGTATTGCGTTATAATACATAACAGGCAGCTGCTTTCTCAGACCGCCCTCGACGGTTACTTTGGCCACGAAAAGAAGGGGAACGTGCCCCAGGCTGTGTTCGGATGACAACGTCAGAGGCTCCATGCTGAGTCCACGCGTGCCTCTTTACCCCACTGCATCCATGTGAAGGGAATAACAAGCCAGATAACGCCGGTGCATGCATCAAAATCATAACGGACGCTGTGGAAATATGGTGGAACCATTCCAGAAACGACATTGGGAATGGTGAAAAAGAGGAGGCCATCGTCCAAACCACCGCCAGATTTGCAGCTGCTCGGCCATAACCAGAGGACTTCGCGGGCAGGCCAAACCGACATCAACAAGACAGTATGCAAGTTGGTCGTCCTCTTGTTCCGCCAACTTGCTCCGGAGCTGCCTCACTGCTTCTGTCCTGGATTGTGGTCTCACGCGAGTCGTTCCAAGTGGCGGCTCTGAGTTCCGACTCATGTGAATACCAGAATCCGGGCTGTCACCGTCACTGGGTCGCCACAGTTGTGACACCGAGGCCTGTGTTACCTCGAGACGTCGAACTCGGTTGAGTGCTCACGACCAATTTCGTGACCGCGGTGGCTATTGAGCTCGCCTGTTGCTGGCACCTTTGCTCGCCTCGGGCCGTTTTCGCGGTGATTTAAATCGAGCGTCGTCCGAAAGACACTATCACATGTGCTTTGTCAAGCCCCCAAAAAGGAGGCATACAGGGCGCCGGGGGCGCTATACACGAGCGTCGTGTCTTCTGGCCAATTCACAGCTGTGAGCCGGACTATCCCAAGGACCCCAACGCATGGACAAGCCGGAAGACCAAAGGGAACTCACGGATCCGCCTGCCAGGTCCGCCTCAGCATGTCCTCGTGGATTCGAGGGAGCGGGAGCTGGCCCGCTGGTCGCTCCTGGGGCGGGAGCTGGTGCTGCGGCGGGGCGTGCTGCCACGAGAGGGCCCGCGCCGCAAAGTCCCTGTCCCTGCCCCCGCTCATCTCCGCCGGCGAGTACGACGTCTCGTACGAGTACCTGGGCCGCTTGGGCGGGACTTCCAGCGACAGTGCTGGGGCCCCCGTTGTCCGGGGGGAGACGGAAGGTGATCGCCTGGACGGCCGTGGGAGCTCAAACGGCAACCGGCCCTGTCGCGGCGGGGACACCTCCCGTTCCGTCATCAGAGGCGTCGAGGGAGACGTGTTGTGGCCGCCGCCTCGGGGACTATGATGGTCGCTTTGTCAGTCATGAGTGCTTCCTTTTCCACGGGCAGAGACTGTTCGAGAAAGGGAGTGAGAGGGGGGGGGGGCGGGGCTACTAACGCATTCTTGAACTTGCAAATCCTCCCAAATTTCTCGCACTGGACACACCGTGGGTAATCCGGGTCACACTTAATCTTCTTCTCCCTGCACGTCACGCATGCGATCGCCAGCCTCTTGCGTGGCTTGCCCGCCTTGGTGACGCCCCAGTGCGCGTTGACGGCCTCCCCGTCGATCACTGTCTTGCAATGGCTGCCGTCATCGTAAAAGTAGCACAGTCCCTCGCCTGGCAGCTCAGCCGCCCGCACAAACCTAGGCAGGAAGTGGGTTCCCGTCCAGATCTTGGGGCCCAACCCGTCCTTGGTGGGAATCGTCTCGGCCGCCACTGGTGTCGATGGCTGGCTGGAGTGCTGCGAGTACGGGTGGTGCAGCTGGTATCGGTGCTGCGACGACGCCGACGATGCTGACCTTGGGTCATGATAGCTGTTAGGGTGGCCTTCGTAATCGTGTTTCTGCCCTGCCAGGTGAGGTGCCCGGGAATATCTACTTGAAGGGTCCCGCGGACTGAAGGAGTACTCGCTGCTGGTGCTACCGCGGCTGAAGTCCTGGTGGGAGGACCATCGACTGCTGGACTCTGGTCGATGATGACTCTCCAGATCCCGGAACCCAGGAGACAGTGGGCCGGGGAAAGCTGACCTTACGCCGCTGGAGAACGACGCTGTTGTCCTGTCGTACACTTTCGGCTCGTACACAGTCCTCGACTGATGGTGCTGCGAGGAGGATGATCCGGGTGTCGTCGGTGCGAAATACGAGGAAGAAGAACCTGATCGCTCGAGGTAGCCTCCAGCACTCCGAGGGTGGTCAAGGGGAGACGTGGCCGGGTAGGACGGCGGCCGCTCCGAAAGGGGCGAGAGTTGAGGGCGCAATGCCGAAGGGAACAGGCTGCTAAGGGATGGCAGTTGTTGCCGCTGCTCATTGCTCGATGAGACGGGCGGCTGGGTCCTCTGCTCCTTCCTGGATTGCTCGTCGTCCGAACCTTTCCTGCTCATGTCGCCGGTGTCGGTCGGGTGCTGGGGGTGGTCATAGTTGGACATTGGTGGGGAGAGGGGGCCGTTCGACCGCGATCTCCAGGCCAAGCGGCCCTCTGAAGGTACAGTTGAGTATGTCGAAGAGCTTGGGCTCACCAGTTCAGGAGGAGTATCTGGGAGGGAAACTGGTGGCGCACGATGCTGCTGAGGTTCAAGAGGAGACAACATCTCCCATTGACGAGAAAGCCTGGAACGTTTGTGGTTCTTGGGTGCTGTTCCTCACTCAACGCTGTTCTATGCACGGCGTGGGCAAGATCCGGGGCTCCAAGTCCGACTGATGTGCTCCGGCTGCCTAGTTGCAAGCCAGCGCCACTGGAGATGTTATATGATCGGTGGTCGCAGCAGCAAAAAAGAGAGCAGTCCGCCGGGTAAATATGGCCAGCCTCTGTCGGTCTCCTTAGCGGCGCAGCAGGTATGCCCGGGCTCGCACACAGGCACAGCACTCAGTCAAGTGGAAGCGGGAGCAAGCTCGAATCCCGTCTTGAGACCTTCTTCATCAGGAGCACAGCGGACGGTTGGGGATGACTTCGGCCAGAAGGCAGCTTTCTCCTAGTGGTGCTCTAGTCTTCCCTGCTGGTCGAGGGTTTATACGCAAGATATAGGTGGTACGGTCCCGGTATTCTGGTCGGGCTTGTGGGAAGGAGGGTGGCAGAGCCCGGATGTTGACTAGATGGCGCAAGATAGTGGTGTGGCTTGAGACGGGCGAGTATTGGTTATTGTATGCCACCGGCCGAGCCGCAGAGGGACAAGACTTCTCGCCCGGTCTAATAAGTTGGAAGTCTGGGGGACAGGGCTCTGGGGTTGGCACAAGGCACCGGTGACCTGGGTGCTTGAGAGGGACGGCGCTACAGTGCCGAGAGGAATATTAAACAGGGTTCACGGCTTATGTGGGCTCTGGCTTACACGGGTACGGAGTACATGCCATTATCCTGGTTGTGGGTACGGAAGGGGCACGGGTCGACGACGACTACCGAGCATCCCAACGTGTTCTCGGCAGGGCCCATTGCCCAGGGAAGATTACAGTTGAGCCGAGTCTGTGTGGCTCTGCCCAATGCGGTAGACGAAACCGCACAGTCGGCGATACACTTTGGACAAATACCCAGAATTGTCTGAGACGGGGGCGTGCTTTTTCCTTCTCCACACGTGGGTTGGACGTCTCTACTTTTCTCTGGTGCCGAACATCTCATAAGATTAGGTTGGATGGATCGAGAGTGATGTTGCCCACCGCGCGCCACCGTGGTCTCCATAACGGTAAGGCGGACGATGTCCCCTCCCCTACATGGCTGACGAGGTGCACTGCAGTGGTGTCGATGGAGCCACGGGAAGTCTTGGAAGCAAGCCCCTCTTGGCGGCTGGTGCTGGCTGGTGACTAGCAAGAGGGAAAGAAGAAGAAAAAGAGTGTGTGCCCTGCAGGGAAAGCTGTGCGGAATCCATCGCGCAGAGGGGTCGCAGGGGAGATTACAAGGACAGGGTGCAGAGTCGGGGGGTTTAGCAGAAGCAGGGGCAAAGTAAATCTGGATGCACCCGTGCTGCTGGGTGAAGGAGAGGCGCCACGCCGCAATGGGGGCCGCGGACAGTCAGGTTGGGGCTCGTGAGATGACAGAAGAGAGGGCCACGGCCGGGTCGAGGTTCCAGACTCTGACATGAGCAGATTCCTCTTCCCAAAACGGGAAGAGGTCCTCAGGGGGTTCACCTCGGGACGGCCCAACGGCGTCGACATGTCAAGGGTTGCAGCTTGGGAGGGGCGAACCGCAGCATGGCAAGCTTGCAAGCCCACTTGAGCATCTGAAATTCGATGCAGCAGGCCCTGGGCGGCGTGGTATCTCCCATTCCGGGACCCGGGGGGCGGCTCCTCGTAATACACAGTAGGTACTGTGTGCTGCCCCATAGGAGAGGGCGCCTGGAGAAGTGCACAATTCCATTCTGGCGCTGCACGTTTTTCTTTGTGAAGGACAAGGCGCACAATAAGATTCGAGCCTTGTCACAGACAGGAAGGAGGTACGGGGCCTCAGCCGGGGCGCTGTCCCCACAGTGGCCTAAGTCGAGAGGCCGGCGCTCAGGAACAGACAGGGGCACCCATCGCCTGTCTGCCTCTGGCGTCATGGCTTGACACCGGCGTTGACACTGCTCATCAATGTCAGTGCCGTTTTTTGCGTTCCCTTGGTCCCCCCGTTGCGCCCCGGCTTTTGGGGCCTCGAACCGCCGATCCAATGCGGTAACTGGCGCGGGTGGCTTGGGGATTTCCATGGTCCCCCAGAGATTATACCACAGTAGTCAACATGCGTCGCTTGTGCTGGCGGCTAGAGCCCGCCTAAGCAGCCCGGCCGGCGCCTGGCAGAGAGGCCCCCGACGAGAGCCGGTTTCTGGTGTTGGCCAGTGTTGCCAAGCCCGTGTGGACGAATGTTTCAGGGATCAGAATCCATCCTGCCGACCTGCCCACCACGAGACTGTGCTGTGTGGTCTGCAGATAATCAGATGCATTCCACAGGACCAGATCATCTCAGCTTCCAAGCCAGGATGGGGGCTGGAGGAGGCTCTCCGAAGTTTCCGATGTGCTCGCTGCCACCGGGGCAGAATAAACCTAAAACATGTCCTCTCTGCTCCTGCTTCCTCAGTCCCGTTCAGGCCATCGGGGCTCATCTGCGATGCATTATGCAGGGAAATAAGCTGTTGCTTGCGGCAAAGTGGTCTCCAGCGGCAGAATGTGCAAGCGCGAGCCCGGCACAGGCCAGCCGTCCAAAGCAGTCAAGCTGCCAGGCTGCCAGAGGTGGTCTGCGGGAGGCCGTACCGTGCCACTGTCCACCCCCTAATCGCCGGTGCGCATGGCCCGAGTGGGATGAGATGGGTGTCCCGCATGGCCGCCCACAGGGCAGTCATTCTGTATGTAGGGCCTCAGATCTCTCTACCTTAATCTTGCCAGCCTGTACGATCATGTTTGTGCAATGACGTTGGTGCCGACGACGATCAGTACTGGATGTGTGTCGCGCCTCTCAAAACAGCCCACCATCCTGCCATCCCAAGTAGCCCACGCTCAAGTCATCTTGCCAGCGCGCTAGCCTTCCTAGCGATACCCGGCAGTGGTGGATGATGTAAAACTACCCGTGCCACTCGCGCCACAACCCGGATGTGGAACCCTTGAGGTCGATTGATTGCCAAGGGCACATTCCAGGCATGTGGATCGGGAAGACAGGTGAGGGCCACAGTGATATACGCGGTATTGCGTTGCATGGTGGGCTGCATGGTACCTGCGGATATAAAAAATGATCACTGCTGGGACTTGGCCGGTGGTGGGGCGGGTTGTGCAAGCCCTCTCAGGGCTTCCAGTCTCCGGGTGCACAGTGATCACTCAAGTGTACTCGGCGGCGCAGTACTTTGGTTCAGATCCACCCCTGACCCCACTGGCTTCGGACGTACTCAGTACGAACATGTCGACTAATGGGATGAAGGCGGGGGGGCGGCACCGTCGAAGCGGAGGTGGTGTGTCAGGTCTCCCGCCACATCCCTTTCGTGTACAACCTGGTTTATGTTGTGATCACGATGTTGGTTCAGCCTCTGCACACTGGAGATGGTGCGATGAGACTCTACGAGCAAGTTTGCCATGCTCGCTGTGTGAATACGGCACATTAGCGCCGCTATAGGGTCGACTTGTGCAAAGTCAAATGAGCGGCGTGCGGCAGTCGAGGACCCGAGACTCTGGTTGAAGATCGAGAGGGGAAGGTACCAAGAGCCGGAGGGACGCCTGATTTCCTCCGCAGGATGAAGGAGGGCCTCTGGAAGCGCGGCACTAGCCCGCGTAGATATCAGTCCATGGCCCGCGTAAGGCGTCGCGAATGCGATGGCGTCGTCGTAGCTTGCCCCCCCTCTCGCATTAGTGACCTGTCGATGACCCGCCGAGTGCCCTGCGCACCGTAACTGGCTGCAGGGCATGTCAGCCACCACCCGGCGCCATGAGGTTCATTGATGAGGTGCAGGCCCTCCCTCCCGCAGGTGAAAGTGCAGACATGCTGCCTGGAACGGTAGATGAGACGTGGTAGGTAGCCATTGTAGATGGTGGCTGACGCTTTGGTCGGGTCATGACCGTTCACTGTCCGCAGACTAATGCTGTGCAGCCCCCCGTCCCCCCATTCCCCCGTGTTGTAGAAGACGTTCGAGTGCTGGGCGTGCGGGCCCTGCTGGGGTGTGATTGACGAGGCCCGAAAGAACCTTGCGCGGCGCTGCAATAACACAGGCTATTAAGACGGGCTCGGCATGTCGTCGCTAGCTCGATCCAACGCCCTGGGTCGGAGCTCAGGCAAGCCGGGATGAGACGCCTGGATGTCAGTTGTCTCCCGGGCGCCCCTTTTCTCACGGCCACTAGCCCAGACTAGGCAAATTCCTTCCTAAGGACACATGGATGGCAATCCACTCCATGGCGTACCCCACCAGCCCTAGGACAACATGGGTGGGCTTGGCTCTCATGACAAAGTGAGCAAGCCACAATCTCGAGCATGCCGGTAGCAAACTTTTGAGATAGGACGCCGGAGCGGGGCAGTTGACGGCTCAGGTGTGTCGTGCCGCCCGCCTGCTGGATCGCTGTGTCAGGTCGTGGTACTTGAAATTTGCTTCTGAGCTGCGTCCTGCGATTGTTGTTTCCCCCGATCGTGTGCGAGACCGACCCGTTGTGCCATCAAGAGTTCCTGACGTCCCGTCTACAAGGATCACCATGCTGGGCGAAAGCGGCCTCTTGTCCCGTTAGGTATACATCTCGCGGGTGCGGAGCCACGACGAAAGCCAACTCGAGCAGAGAAAGTTCATTACGCTGTAATGCGCGTGCAGGCTAGGAATACGTGCCCCCTGCGAAGCCGACTGCAAAGTTTGTTTTCTTGCCGGCCTCGAAGCATCTGACCAGCCTAGCTGAAGGCCGGCAAGTCCCACAGGCGTAGGGGCAACGTGAGGTAGCACATCTGCAGCGAGTCCACAGCTGACTACCGTCCTTCCGCCTGCCAATCCCGACGTGGCTGGTATGGTTGCTTTTTCTGGGCTCGCTCCGCTGCCAACACATGCTCACACCCGGTTCGTGTTGTCAGTCAGTCTCGTAGCGTTGCAACAAGCTGCCGCATGCGTGAGACGATAATTCGATAGCTCGAGCCGCTAAACGACCAACATACAGTGACATCGATCCATATTCATTCTGCAAAGGCAAATCTCCGGGGCCTCGGAGAACGGACAGCGTGGCGCGGGTTGCCCTACCGTTCCTGCCCTCCTGGCGGTTAAGATCCTGCGGGTGGGTTGAACAGCGTTACATCAAGGCCAGCGATAGGCCTATGGACGGAGGTGCTGTATCAGTAATGCCACCACAAGGGCTCCTGTGCTGCCCACGACGCTGATGTCGGCAATGGGTAACTCTGAGCTTATCCGATGGAATATCAGCTGAATCGCATGGCCCCTGCAGCACAGTCCCTAAGGAGCCGCCCTTCGTCAAGGGCCAAAAGCCACGTGCGAATCAACGGCCTCGTCCCGCCAACGGTATCCAGATCTTAGGGCTTATTCCTTGGGCATGCCGAACGACCGCGCCATAGAGCGAGCTCAGCGAGCGTTTCATGGTGCAAGGGCTAGCGGCGACTTTCTCGCGCGAAATCGATAGGCCCAATCCTAATCAACGCATGTCTGCGGCACAAGGGGAAAATGCCGCATGCCCATTTCGTATGGCTAAAGTGATGCCCCAGGCCGGTGTGGCACCGCCTGCGAGCTCCGATCACCGTCGAAGCATGCGTCTCTCACCCTGGCTTCTGCGGCAGTCTGAGGAGAGAGGCTCCTCAATTGACAGGGCCAAAGGTTGCAGGCAAAGCCGTGCCCTTCAGCCGAACGGGAGGAGCATCGACTGTGCCCAGACTCCCCTTGCTGTCGAGTTGTGGGTTGCTTGCAACCTGGGCTGTCTATCACATCCACTCACGGCAGTTCCCATGCACATAATTTGTCGATGGCACGCACTGAACTGTGCAAGACCCACCTCGGTCGGCCGATATGTTAATTTCGGTTCCGAAGAGCGTCAGGATTGGCATCCCTGGATCCGATCCTGACATCTGCTCAGTCGCGGCAACGATATCGTTCTATGCTGAATGGAGGAAGGGAGCCCAGCAAAAGAGTGCAGAACCATGGGAAACCAAGCAGCGGGAAGCATATGGTTTGAAATGAAGGGTCGCCCTGCGGACTGGATGCTACCTGGCCGTTGGAAGGGTAGGATGCCATTCCGTTCCGCTGCAGTGGAACAGGTTCTGGCACATAGCGTCGTCAGAACGAGGCCGAAAGGCCCGTTTTGTGCCGGGCTGGTCATCAGGTTGGTTCGAGAACCCCCAATAGAGTAGAGTCACTCCCAGCGACGTGTGTGCAGCACTGTCCGCTATCGTGGAACGGGCTGCGGATAGGAACAGGTCGCGGAACTTCGGCTATTGCAGCATGTGAAAATCGATGGGCACATGTACTTGATGTCCAAGCTGTCCGCACCTTGGCATGTTGGACGTCTCATACCCAACAGCCGCAGAATGGGTCACTCGAGGGCGGGCCGAAAAGCCTCGGTACAGTACACAAAAGGTTGCCCCGTAAAATGGCCGACCCACAAAGGTGGTTCGACTTTCGTTCTTGAACCAACGAGATAGGCCCTGGTAGGGTGTGTGCCAACTAAGCCACCAGCCACCGGCAGGGCGAACTTGTAGCCGGCGGGCACGAAGGCACTGGAAGCTCGGCAGACTTGGTATCTACGGTTTGGAAGATAAGTCGGCACGTCTCTGCCAATAGACTTGACGTGACAGCCTTGTTGCTGTCGCCTTCACACCAGAACTCGGGGGTGATGCTGTGGCCAGTAGTCAGCACTGCTCCACGACACAGCCCTTGTGTTCCCAGGGATTCAGGGAGACGAAGGTGGTTGAGGTCGACAAAAGGACCGAGGAACTGTACTATGTAGCTCCTGCCGTGGCATTGCAGAAATGCAGTTGCGACGTCTTGACGTTGAACACAATTGCCTTCTAGAAAACCCAGTGTTCGCTGGTATGTAGCCGCTCAGTAGGTCCCGCGCGCATGCAAGGTAAGGGATCTCCTTGCATGTTCCCCGGCTGCACTCCGACGGGGCGCCTGGACCTCGGCTTCCTATTCGGGCCTGTACTCCGGGGCAAAAGATAAATCGGCTCGTCGGCCGACGCAAGAGTACTCCGTGCGATCCACATGAGCAGATATACCGTTACATTGTACACAGTGTTCCGAGAAAACAGCCCGTCCATGCCTCATTCCCGGACCAGGCAGAAGCGTTTTTACACGCGCTAGTCCCGACCTGACCTCTGGTTGCTGGGCTCCCTGTGTCCCGTCATCCGCGGGATGTCTGTCTTCCAAGACCCTGTCCGGCCCTGAGGTCGGGGGTGTGCCGAGAGTGCGGAGAAGGCGGAGCCGTACGTCACGGCACATGCACGGCTTGTGGCCGACATGCTTCATTTGAACATGTCGCCCCAATGTCATGACTGAGGATTTGTGAAAGGCCCGCTCTCCTTCGCAGTCGATGTTGTAGCTTGTGCGGCAGAGCTTTCGTGTTCGTTTAGCCGACCTAGGTCGGAAAGGGTCCAACTTCCGAGCGGACGAAACACTGCGGAATGTGACGGTGAATCTTGATTTCTCTATCGATCTGCGTCTAGCTCACACTCGCCCTTGGCGACCCAGGAACATCGGGACCGAAAAGACACCCGAAGGGCACGAAGATTAAAGACGCGGCACTGGAAGCGGCAACATTATTCTTTGTGGCGTCGTGCCGCGATAGGGTGGGGGTGTCTTCGGCCGGAGGGCAGAGGATGATGCTAGCTATTAATAGATATATGTATCCCACGGAGGTCGAATATTCTCCGTTTAAGACGGTCGGGCTGCGCATGGTCAACCTTGGATTCCGCATCATCTCAAGACTTACTCCCATTGGAGTGAAGCATATGTTTATCCTGCCAGGGCTCCAGCTTCTCAAAACTCTACCTTGCATATATTTCTTAGCGGGCAACAGACTAGTTTTTTCAAGCGCTTGAGACGTAGGAGAAGGGGGAGATCAGCCTATTCACTGACCCTGCGCATCGGCCGAGAAGGAAATCAGAGAGCTGCAAGAGGGCCCCCAGGTTGGGACTAGCTCCGGCTAGACGCTCCGTCACAAGCGGGCTTGCCAGGGCTCAAAGTCCCCTGGGCTGAACCCATTGGGCAGTGTTGTAGGAGGACTCGCTTTCGAATCGAACGAAGCTGTGGCTCTGACATCAGTTTTGGGGATCGTTACCTATCGAGGTGATAATCAGCGGTGATGCAGTGTCACAATTGTGTCGGCCCTCGAGGCAGTCGACGACATAATATACCCACGAAAACCCGCGAAACAGCCTATCGGGAACAATATGCCGCAGAAATTTTAGTCAACTCCACTGGCCCCTTGTGCGGTTGGACCAGGTTACTATTGGGCGAATCGTGTCTTGTACAGCTTCGTGACACAGTTGGCTCTCGGAAATGCAGGCCATCCTCTAGGGAAGCTCGAGATTGTTTTGTTTAGGTGGAACAAATCTTCAAAGACGATGACAAAGCCCCGGGGGGCCGCCACTATGTGTGTGGGCGTGTGTGGGCGCGGGTGCTGCACAAGCTGACAGGTCGAAACCATGGAGAATGCTGGGCATCATCCATAGTGAGCAATACCGATGATTTGCTGACATGCATGGCATGTTGCCAACTTGTTGCCCAGCTGTATGCGGAAAGCTGCGCCCGGCACTGATCCTGCAGGAAGCTTCCTCGTTGAAGATTGGAGCTTGGTATTCCCCGTCGGCATTCAAGGGCGAGTTGACGGCGAGGGGTTCTCGGCCGACTGTGGTGCGTTGCCCGCTGTTGGGCGACCTATCGTGAGCAGACCACTGGTTCCGGCCAGGTGGTGGTGTCGCAAAGCCGGAGATCAGCTTGAATGGCTGGGCAAGGCGATGGTGAGGTGACAACGGTGAGCGGCCCCTCGTGCCGCTGCCGGCTCATCATTGACATGGCAAAGCCGGGTTACAGTACGTATACCCAGTACCGGTACTGGCGATGTCGTGGAATTGTGCAGGCAGGTCAGACGGGCAGCTAGCACCTAGATGGAGCACCTTCCGGATACGGCAGGGTTCAGGCGTGCGGCTTGGCTGGTTGGTGCAAGGCTGGATCGGATGGTGCAAGACTGGATGGTGCAAGACCGGTTGGGGGGCTCGAATATCGATCTGGCCAGCCGTCCCTCGCCTATCTTGCCCAGCTGCCTGGCCGGGGGACGAAATGCACTGCGGATGCGCCAACGTGGTGTGGGTATGTGGTTACAGTACCAGAGGGCCAGGCCGGAACATTGTCGACACAAAACGGTGGCTGCATGCTCCGTCTGTGCCCACGCAACTGCCACGCTGCCACGGCGGACAGCTTGCGCGTTGTGCCCTGCTCCGAGTCGTAGATTTGCGTGCGCCGTGCGGCAAGCTTCAGCCCAGCCCACTGCCAGGGCGCCGTCGCAGCGCTAGCAAAGAGAGTTTTTGCCCTGCGTGCAACATCGGGTTACACTCGGATTGAATCCCATAATGCACAATGCTGAAACCTCACACGGGGCTGACGGGTTAGAGCAGGAGGCGAGGCTGGGCCTCGCTGAGCTTGCTGGGCTGGCTGGTCGAGGCTTGCTTGGGGCCCGCTTCTTGCGAATGCGAAGGAGAAACACACGGCGAATTGGACGGGCAGGCGTGGCGGGCGTGGCGACTCCAGGCTTGTCCAGGTGTGGCTGTTCTTGTCTGCCAGGTCTGCCTGTGTCTGTCTGTCAGCCTGTCAGGTCTGACAATGTCGGCCGTGGGCTGAGGAGGGACGTGATTGATGGGAATTTGATTGTCCGGCCGTTTGCCTGCAGTACGTACCAAGACGTCGGTACCTGGATGTCGGCCTAAGGGGACACCTGCATTAGCACGAGCACAATGGATCGGACGACGGTACAGGGCACGTGCAGGGGTCACGCCGCTAGAAAGCCCCTGGACAGCCGCTGGAAATGCCATCCATCCATCTAGATGCACAGTTCGAGCTCGAGTCCGCATCACGTCATGCAGCGAGGGTCCAGCGGTTGTGGGAGCTGCAGCACCGCATGGTCTGTCTCCTCAGCACACAGTAACGCCCCGGTCATTTCGAATTGGACGGCCATCCTGCCAGAAGGTGCACGCCGGGAGGGACTGAGCAAGACAGCAGGCTGCAATGTCCTAGCTGCCTAGGTAGGTAAGCCGGTTGACTGACCTCAGTGCTGGGTGGCCACCAACCTGTTACCCGGGCTCTGGTTCTGGCTATTGCCCAGGTCGCGGTGATGCTTCACAGGAGCTTGAGGGAACAGATACACGAGCATGGAAGTGGAAAGCTCTGCTACGGAACCGGGTGAGACAGATCGGTCTCACATACATCACTACCGTCACACAGCCAATTTTCAGAGCATAGGAGAGCTGATCATAGAGTCCATACCTACCTTCCATCCGGTCATCAAGTAGGCGGATATCCTGGGTCTTGTGGGGCTTTGCTATGTGAGAGGAAGATTGTCGGAAGATGAGATCTCATTAGAAGGTTCAAAACAGCAGGTCCAAGAGATGAGGCCTTGGACCTCTGTCGTGAGAGGCAAATCAACAACACCCGAGAGTGGCCCATCAACACTCGAGCATATCTGCTCGCCCCATGGTCCTAGCTGTCCCTCCTTGCCAGGTTCGAGTGCAAAGTATGCTGCCTCATCAGCGATACGCAGACCAACCCCACCAATGCCAGGCCCAGACCGGTCAGCCACACTCCCCTGAAAGCCTCCATGAATGATTCGATGACGCCGTCTCTCCAGCCATCCGGGAGATGTTTGAGCTCGCCAAGGTCATCTCTGATCCTCTTGATCTCTTCTGCCGCCCCCGGCAGCGCCCCGAACCGGTCCCAGAGCCGCGCCTTCAAGATGTTCTGGTACACAGCAGACGCGATCGTAACACCGAGCGTCGCCCCAACGGACCTGAACGCGTACGTCGCCGACGTAATAACTGCCTGTTGCGAGTGGTCGACCGCGGCGATGCAGGCCAGTAGCGTCACCGTGAGCATGCCCCCGTAGCCCGCGCCGGTGAGCACAAAGGCAAAAAAGGGCACCCAGCTCGGACTGGTGGCATCCAGGGTCGAGAACATGATGTTGCCGGCCACAAAGGACACCAGCACAATTATCCCGAGACCGAGGTACCGGCCAGTCCTCTTCATGATCAGGCCGCATCCGATGGAGCTGAACGACACACCCAGGGAGGCGAAGAATGTCCTGTAACCGGATTGTGTAGGTGAGTAGCCCAGGACTTGCAGATAGAGTGGTATATAGAATATCAGTTCGGTATTTGCTAGGTATAATGTCAGCAGACTGCCATCTCATCCAAAACTCGGCTTCGTTTCGCGTTGGATCTGGTACGTACCCATTGTGCAGACGAGGTTGGTGATGCAGGCCGTGAAAACGGTCCGGTTCACAAGCAGGCGCACTGGAATGATAGGCAGCGCTGCCCGGCTTTCCCACCATACAAAGCCGACGAGCAGGACAAATGCCAACGGCAGTGTCGTCAGCACCAGGGGATCTGTCCAAGCGACCAGGTTTCCCCCCGCGTTCAGGCCAAGCAGCAGGACCACCAGGAACGCCATGGTCAAGAAGGCCCCAAGGAAGTCGATGCGGGAGATGAACGACTTGTTGGACGCCTTCGGTGGGACCTTGACCAGGAAGAACACGAGCAGGCCCGACACGATAATGACGGGGACCTGGACCAGGAAGGCCAGCCGCCACCCCCATGAGGAGTTGTCGTTCACGAAGCCGCCGAAAACACCTCCCAGCATGGCCCCAGAGCCGTAACAGATGTTGCCGATGCCCTGGACTATGCCCCTTTTCCTCAGGGGGACCAGGTCGGAGCCCAGGAACGTCGCGATTGACATGAGCCCGCCGCCTCCGATGCCCGCAACCACCCGGCCGATGATCATGGCGGTGTCGGTCTGGGCCAGGCCACAGATGAGGTTGCCCGCTGCGAAAAAGACATTGCTGAACACCAGCCCGGGGCCACGGCCGAATATGTCGGTGAGCCTTCCCGATATGGGCTGGCAGGCAGCATTGGCGATCAGGTAGGCGGTGGCCAACCACGAGAGCAGGCTCAGTGACTTGAACTCGCTTGATATGGGCGCCGATAGGGTCGCTATGATGGTCGAGTCGATGGCTCCCAGGAATACGCCCACGTAAGCGCTGCTGAGAATGAGCCACAGCCGCGGGCCGGTGACGTCGTCGGCTAGCACCGTCTGCTCTTGGTCCGCTGAGGCGCCGTCGCGCGCTTGTCTCTCAGCATCTGCCGGGACAGCCTTGGACTGCCCATTGAGCAGTGGTGTTGTCTCATTGTCCCGTGCTCCTTGGAGGGCTGGCGCTTGCCTTGGGTCGACAATCGCGTCCCCGTCCTGCCCGCTCATCTTGCCCGAAGCGCTCGCCTTCAGCTACTCAAGTACTCAAGTACGGCCACGCAATGCTACACTTGTCCCAGTCGCAGGAGGCAACGTTTGTGATTCGTGATGCGGCTTTGATCTGAGAAAAGCTGCGAACCAGCCAGTTTGTGCGTGTGCACGAGTCGCTGGAAGAGTTCTTCGAAAATTGATAAGCGAAAGGGCACAGTGATGGGCCGTCTCCGACCACCGGCAGCTGTGAAAGCAATCCGGCGACTAGGGTCCGCCCCCGGCGCCGGTATTTCGGCCTACTTAAGTAGAGAGATCCACCACCTCAGAAATCCACATCAGCATCCCACAAGTAAGATCACGCTGAACCTAAGAACGAATTGAGTTGCACATTCTCACTGTAGATTGTACGCAACGAAATGGTTCAGAAACACTAAGCTTGCCGTTGTCGTGAGATTGCAAAGTCCAAATTGAACCACAATCGAATCACAACGGCCAACAGAGATGACCAGGGAACATAGCCAAGATATAGTTAAGATATGGAATATTTTAGTCATCCGCTGGGCTTCGAGCCTCCCTTCATCTGTATCAGTTGTATATTTGCGTCCATGCTTGAGAGCCACTTCCTCCAACACAGCAACTACACATGTAACAATCCCATCAAAAAGATAAGACCCAAGTCTCTTTTTGAGTTCAAAAGATAAACAACTCAAGGTAAGTTCACCAGTGTGACCCCCTTAATTAACAACTAAACTCATAGGTGTGTAATATGGAAGAAACTCAACAACGAGACTAGCCAAACAGGGTCTCAGACATCATCACAACTTCGACAGGTCCAAGCCGGTAGCCACATGTGTACCTTGTCTAAAGACGGCCTATCTGAGTAAGGTATGTATCAGCAGCAAGTTATGTTATCTTGGGACTGTTTCCTTGAGAACAGAGCCCCCTGGCTGAAGCTATTGCCGGTATTTTGTGTTCGTTGAAAGGTATGTAGTTCATGCAAGCCCGAATTTTAATTACCTAGTCGATCTGATCACACTCTCAAGAAACATTGCAATAGACATAAACACTACAAGGTACTATATAGCATATTTAGGGGAAGGACTCTCACATATTATGAGGCTAGAGTTCAGTTTCTCATCGATTGATGCCACAGTTCGTGGAACAGAGCTCGGTTTCAAATACGGTATACCGATCAACTCGGATGTTCAACCCAAAATTTGAACAGCGAACAACCGAGTCGCTCCCACACTCCATCAATTTATCAAACAGCCATGACGCGGAGCCGTAAGACCTTCTGACACAGACTAGAAAGCGTTGATAGTTGCGGGTTTATCAGTCGAATCGCGAGATACGTTGACGACGGGCCAGTCAGTACTCACGCCAGTGGCTGCCATGCCGTCCCGAGGTCCCGGCCAGCAATTCAGGAATCCGACGATGCCTTCCAGCCTTGTCTGTGCGGTACGAGGCTGAGCCACCTACCCACGTACTGTATTCTCTTTCCACTGTTATTGGCACTGTATTTCTTCAAACGCTGGGTCTTGAGCATTTACCACTGTATGAAGGCGCGACGTACATTTTACATGTATGGGGATTAAAAACGAAACCACTCAGGAATCCGACACCATCATGACTTCACACATCTTACTGACAGGGAACAACCTGCGTCGGGATCGGCATCTGCTCCACTTACCAAGGCGTCGTCAACTACCTGACCGACCCCTACGAGAAGTACACCGCGAACGTCCCCTGCCAGCCTTGGAGGGAATATGTTCTAAAGTTGGGCGCCTTCTTGCCCCTTGCGTCCCAGACTCTTCTTAATGTCCTCGGCCTCGGCTGGGCGGGGTCACTGCTGGGCTTCATCAGCCATGACCATTGTTACTGTTTTCCTGCTATTTAATTCAGGAGCACAAGAATATTAGGCCAACAGCCCGTCCATGAGCGAGGCGAGCTATGAGGAGGTGGGTGTCCAGAGGTCGAGTTATACGCGCGCCCGCTCCACTCGATAAGCAGAGTCGCCGGAGAGGCAATGGGCCTGTTTGGTCATTGTGGATAAGTAGAATCGCCATTTCGCCACATTACAGAGTTCTCAAAAAACATTCTTCAACATGCCTCGGGAATGGTAAAGGAGTGTGGAAAGTCAGCAGTCGAGAGCCAAGGATCAACACACACTTTCCTACCATCCCTGCACAGTACTGTTCATGCAAAGAAAAGCGTGAGTTTATCAGTCGCGTGTTGGCAACTTCTTCTAGGACCGTGCATATACCTTAAAGATGAAGGGGTGATGGCATCCAGCGACTTGTTGATAACTACTAGTACTGCACGTGCCCATTCGGAACCGATGAGCATAATTCCAATATGGTATAGCCGCCTCTGCTCGAAAGAAATAAGGACCCGGGGACAGAAACTTGAAGTATGGTTCCCAGACAAGATAAACGTTTTGTTCATAGAGAATATGGCGACATTTCAGAATTGCCAGTGCTACCTCTCCAATGGGCCGGTTTTCGGGTATCTAGGGCTATCATGGCGTGTGTAGTGGTACGGATTGAAGTTGGGATCATTCAGTTCTCAAGTTGGCTGTTCTTAAACCAAAAATGCAATCTAAATTACGCAAGATGCTCCTGGGGAATTTTGAGCCGACCTTCTCCTAGACCAGCTTCCACACGCCACCCTTTGACTCGATCCTAACCTCCCGGTTCTCATCGATACTCCTCCTGCCAGCCTCGAGGATGGCCGTCGTGGCGATCGTGTTGTTCAGCGTAGGCAGGCCCTTGTTGTCCAGGTCCTTGGGCGTCAGGGTCTTGGCGTTGACGGCGCGGCAGCCGTCGACAAACTTCTCCATGGAGATGTAGCCGTAGCCGGTCTGGCCGTTGAAGTTTCCATCCTCGTCTGGGGCATAGCGCATGTAGAAGGGGTTGTACCACATGAGCTGGCCAGCGCTGTCGTCGGCGACGTCGTAGCCGCGCTTGGCCTGGTCGATGCGGATCTCGCCGTTGGCAGCCAGGTAGTGGAAGTACTGGTTGGAGTGGACGCCGGCCTTCTGGGGCGCTGTCCACGACGCTGTGTAGACTCCCGTGGCTTGCTTCCCGGGCTCGCCGGGCTTCTCCCAGTGCACGAGCAGTGAGATTGTGTCCTCGGTGGCCTCGTTGCAGCCCAGGCCGGTCGCCACGCCCTTGGAGGCCGAGGCGGACACCTTGACGGGCACGTAGCCGAGCTGGGTGACCATGGACTCGTTCACGTCGATGTGGTGCGAGTTCAGGTAGTAGCTGATGTCCGACTCGACACCTGCCCAGGCCTTGAAGGTCTCGAGCTGTGACTTGGGCTGCGACATGTAGCTGTAGAAGTAGTTGAAGTCACCGAGCTTCTGGGCCCTGAAACGGGCATCCGCGTAGGCCGGGTCGTAGCGCTTGTGGTGCTCGATGTAGACGTAGACACCGGCCTTCTGCGCAGCCTCGATGAGCTTGACGTGGTGCTCAAGAAGCTTGACAGCGGGCTTGGTGATCATGACATGGATGCCGCGCTCAATTGCGTAGAGGGCAATTGGGAAATGCTACCAAGGCTTTGATTAGTTTCTAGGCCGACCAGAATGAGCTGCAGCTTTGTGGGACATGAATCTCACCGTTGTGTCGGGGGTGAAGATGGTGATAGCATCACCGGGCTTGAGCTGGTCGATGGCCTTCTTGAAAGCATCCGGGTCGACGGTGTTGTTGTCAGGGAATGAATCAAACGAGGTGTCCAGGTTGTTGTAGACCTGCTGAATGTTCTTGTTGAGATGCTCCCCTGGCTGGCGTTAGCACGTGGCTCGTTGAACGGTGAGAGGTAGGTGGGTCGGGTGTGCTCACGAATGGCAGGGAACTTCTTGCCGTTGACACCGGCCATGCCCAGCTTGCCAACCTTGCCTCTCCTGCGCAGGTCAAACATGGACAGGCCGACGACACCGACCTTCTTGTCTGACCCAGAAGCACCGCCTCCCACGAAGCCCGTGGTGTACTCGCCCGTGCCGATCTGGAGGAAGAGTTAGGCAATATCTGTGGTGCGATTGGGGAGTGGGCAAACTAACCATCAAGACGTTGAGAGGCTCCATTGTGTCTGCTGTTGTTGTGCTGATTCCTGAATTCAAACGTGGGTATGCCAAGATGTCAACGTGCTAGAAGGGCAGCGTAGAATATGAGGGAGCAGGAGAGACGAAGAGGAGGTTTATAGGTGAACGGCATCAATTGTCTAAATAGTAAGTAACATGTGAGCCTGGTCGATTGGCCAATGGTGACGGAGTAGTAGGGAGAGGCCTGGCTGGTCGAGTAGGCAGAGGCTGGCATCGGAGAAATTGACCGAGAGGGGATGGAGGGGCAGCAAGACCACGAATTGGAGGAATTCCCCATTCCCCATCATTCGAGCTGTACAGTACCAAGAGACTGGGTCTCCCCAGACAGTGAGGGATTTGACACTACGAATGGCTGTTTACCTGGCTACTATGTAGTAGGTACGCAGTCGAGCATTCCTGTTGGACCCTGGCAAAATGGCCTGGCAGCCTCCTGGGAAGCCCACCCTGGCCCCTGACCGGGTGCCCAGACTGCCAGACGAGCCTCACGAGATACCACAGTAGTCAAGCCTCGAGGAGGTCAGCCCGCCGTGGGACGATGCCCACGAGACCTTGGCCCACGATGTTGGACGCTGGATGCTGGATGCTAGGGGCTGGACTGACTGATCATGCTGGGCGGCCTGGCAACCTGGCGACCAGGAGCAGAATGCGTCGCTGCTGGGGCAAAAGCTGCCGAAGACCGGGCCGTTGCCCTTGGGAGAGCTCCACAACCGTGCAACCTGGACACCGTGTACTAGACTACCATGTTCCTCCTGTCTTGGGTCTTGGTACTACCTGGGTATTTATTACGAGATGAGCAGCAGCAGTCTCATTTATGTGCTTGTGGCATGCAGAACTGCTGGCCATCGACACTTGATATGCGTGCCCGCCCATGTCCTGTCATGTCAGGGACTTGTTCTGGAAAACATGGGGAAGAAGGTCGCTGCTGGTGTGTTGCCAAGAGCCAGACAGACGCCTGCAAAAGTAATACTGTGCAAGAGGTCAGCCACAACCCCGCCCCCACGTCCACCCCGACTAGCTGGCCCTGTACTCCGTACCCCGCGATTCTGCCCGCCCGTCACCATACCGTCACTTCATCTGTCTGCTCGAGCATGTAACCAAGTCAGCCAAGCACCAGCCTCAATCACCCCAACAGGCTAAATTCGCCGGAGTACACAACATATTGACGGCGGGCCAAACCCAAGTACAAGTACACATGCGTGTTAGGTTGCCTGGGGTTCTCGAATTCACTACAAGCCAGCCCTCTGCCAGACTCCGTCGTCGAAATCGAACACGGACTGGCCTGACCGCAGTTGAATCGACCTCGTCTCCCATTCGTGGAATTATCTTCCCCGCTATTTTTCCTTCCACTGCCCATCGTCCCCTCCGCCGTGGTACTGCCCACAGATTTCATTGCATCAGGGTGACTGAGCTCCATGGTCGACGACAGTCAACGTCTGCTGTCACGACGTGGGATGACTTCTGTCGGTCGATATGCTTCACCACATTTACCCTCGCCCTTGCCCTCGCCGTCTCCGCGGCTGGGCCCTTACCTGCAGGGCATTGTTAGACTTATTAACAGCAAGAGGCGAACACTGTCTTGATGCAGCCCACAGTGCCGGCCTTGCTGCTACTTGGCGTGCATACTCGAGCAGCCCACCGCCTTCCTTTTTCTTTTTGTCTCGTGGGGCTTATTTCTCTTGCCCCTGCACAGTGGTCGAGCCTGCCCGCCCCTGCCCCAGAGACTTCCTTGTCCCCTTGGGACAAGCAGAGCCTCTCGACACGTGTACTTGGCCTTGAGAAGGCTTTGACAGTCGGAATCGAACAATCTCATATCCGCACGCATTGCAGAAAAAGGTGGCCAATGTGACACTAGAAATCTTCAACACCCTTCGGGTGATTTGTCCTCCAATAACGCGCCCCAGGCTCTCAGCCACCTGCACGCAATCCTGCACATATCCAGAAGCGTTGCTCACCCTGTCGTGCGACATGGCGACCCGGCTTTTCACTTTGCTAACCCGCAGGACCAGGAGTGCTGGCGTGCCAGGTCACCGGATTTCTTGCCCTGACATGGAGACGGCCATCAAAGTCCCGCTGGCATATGCGCTGCGGATCAGACCTCACTGCCGGCAACACCGGCCATGTAGCAAAACCGCTGGGGTTTCGTCTTCTCGAAGGCCCCAACAGAGAAACCCTCCCAGGTTGAAGCAGCCCGGATCAGATCATGGCCCGTTTACTGCCATAGCCATGGCCGTGGCCTCCGCTGGAGTTCACCCCACGCCCCATCGTGGATCTTCACCCCAAAATAGTCCGGTCTGGAATTGCCTGGGTCCTAGCCTTTCCTTTTGTCTTTGCATACTGCCCCCATCCCTGTGGCCCGTCCGCCCATTGACAAGGTCCACCCTCTCGCTCGGGATCTAGGAGGGCCCTGCCTGCCCACCTTGTGTGGTGTCCTGATTCGACCCGTTGCCTGTCTCGGGCCAATGTCATCACGACACACCCACACGACCATTCGACCTCGCTGCCACATCTAATACGTGCTGTGTGTGTACGTCTTGCCCCCGCTACCGGCCCTGCCAAAGCATTAGGTCATGGGGGACTGATTTATCGCGCTGCCGGAGACTGTTGCCCTGTACATATATATATAACAAGCCACAAGCCTCTGGCTTCCTTTTCTACTTCTCATGGTCACCCCTTGTCTAATCCCTCAAACACATTCTGCCCCTGGCACTGGCTCTACTCCTCAGTCCTCACCAGCTTTGACTCCTCTGCTCATCATGGCTACAAACGGTCACACGACGTCCCGAAGGGACCTGCCTTGCGGCATCTACGCCCCAACCATGACCTTCTTCAACCCAGAGACCGAGGAGCTTGATATTCCCGTCATCAAGAAGCACGCCCAGCGCCTCGTCCGCGACGGCCTTGTCGGCCTTGTGGTGATGGGCTCCAACGGAGAGGCAGCCCACTGCACCCGTGAGGAGAAGCTGGCCGTCACAACAGCAACGCGAGAGGCGCTGGACGAGGCTGGCTTCAAGGACACCCCGGTCGTGGTCGGGGCCACAGAAGGCAGCGTGAAGGGGACCGTCGAGCTGTGCAAACTGTCCCAGAAGGCCGGCGGCGACTATGTGCTCATCCTGCCCCCGTCGTACTTCCGCAACCAGATGGACGAGGACGCCGTGTACCACTACTTCATCGCCGTGGCCGACGAGTCCCCGCTGCCCCTGATTCTCTACAACTACCCCGGCGCCGTCTCGGGCATCGACATGGACTCGGACCTGCTCATCAAGCTCGCCCAGCACCCCAACATCATCGGCACCAAGTTCACGTGCGGCAACACCGGCAAGCTGACCCGCGTCGCCCTCGCGACCAAGGCCAAGACCCCTGGGTCCCAGGGCAGCGGCTACATGGCCTTTGGCGGCGTGTGCGACTTCACCACGCAGACCCTCATCTCGGGCGGCAGCGGCATCATCGCCGGCGGCGCCAACGTCATGCCCAAGCTGTGTGCGCGCGTCTGGAACCTCTACGCCGAGGGCAAGAAGGACGAGGCCGAGCAGCTGCAGAAGGTGCTGTCCAAGTGCGACTGGGTCCTGACCAAGGCCGCCGTGCCCGGCACCAAGCAGGCCATCCAGAGCTACTTCGGCTACGGCGGGTACGGCCGCAGGCCGCTGAGGAGGCTGGACCAGGCCAGGGTGTCTGCCATTGAGGAGGGAATCAAGGAGGCTATGGAGATTGAGAAGTCGCTCTAAGCCAATGGGCGAGGGACTGCCACGACAAGACGGTTGACATGAGGCTGCGATATTATGCCCGGCCCGCACAAGAGGCTGTTGAAAATGCTTGCAATATCGACAAGCATGGCACGACGCATATGACCCAGCCACAGCTGCAGGCCATACAGCCCAGGCTGGACTTAAGCGATTTCCTTTTTCCCGGGACGGCGTTCAGCATTCATCTGCGCGACTTTGCATTTTTCCTTAGCTCTTCTTAGCACGGGAGGTCATCGGGAAACATGTATATAGACGCTCATCAAAAAAGTCTATCGCGCTTTATCGTCATCATGCTGGACCTAACGCTGTCAACTGATGCTTGATGAATGACATGAGATGACATATATGTACATTTGAATGGCGGAACCCAGAATCTCGCTTTCAGATGATATAAGGCGGAAACATTCCCGCGTGCCAGTGAGGTCAAGCATTGGGGCTCCGAAGATGGATATTGCACACGTTATGACACATTATGAACCCCCAATGTCACTTCTGCCTGGCCAAACAACAGCGCGAGAAAGCTCCCCTGCATGCGGCGAAGGGCGTCGAACCGCGACGCCACGGTTCCACCGCGCCGTCTCATACCGCCACGCCCGTGGGCGGGCTGGGCTCATCGACCCCACGCGAGGCAGGCTGACCTCCTCCTCGCCCCCGGTCCGTCCGCCCTGGTCGGTATGGTGAGCAGGTGATCAACAGGCACAGTGGCGGCCCGCGGCTGGACGTGGCGCCTCCCCGGGGCGATCCACAGCCAGCAGATCCTAGTGCTGGCAGCTGCCCACCTGCATGCCGCACTTGAGCCGCAGAGCAGGCAGGCGGTACAAACGTAACAACAGACTTGGCTCGAATCAAGGTCCCACAAAGCTTAAAATCACGCGTCTTGTCGGGGAGGATCCAAAACCACCTCAGTCCATCCACCGCCGAGCAAAGCCAGGGAGAAAAAGGAGAGGTGCTAGACCTTGAACTTCTTGGGGTCCAGCGCCTCGATCTCCGCGCTCTTGGCAGCGCCGTCGAGCAGCATCTCGGCGACAAGGAACCCCGTCGCGGGGCCGTTCTGGATGCCCCAGCACGTGTGTCCCGCGGCGACCCAGACGCCCGGGGTGGAGGTCTCGCCGATGAGCGGCGCGCGCTCGTCGCCGAAGCGGATGTGCTGCGGGAGGTAGCACGCCTGCTTGGCCTTGATCGGGGCGGCGGCCAGCACGGGTGACACCGTCGCGATGTAGGCTGCTAGATCGTCGCACTGCGCTTCGTCGCACTGCACCAGGTCGGTTGTCTCGGGGAGCGGCACGTTCTTGTCTGGCTCGCCTGGTGAGGATGGGCGGTTTCCCTTCGCGTCAGCCGTGCACGATTGTTTTTCAGACTGGATCGGGATGAAATGGGCGGTGCGAAGCGGCTCTGAACTCACCGCATGCGTACACCTCTCCAAACGGCCGGGCATAGATCTCCGGGTCGACGTTGCCCCTGTGCTTGCGTTTCTGGCCGAGCCTCGCTCGGTGCTCGGGGACGTAGTCGGAGGGCAGCTGGATGTCGGTGAAGATGGCATACGGACTGACGTCCGCCTCGTATACCACGCTGTGAGCGCGAAGGCCCTCTACCTTGCTCCTGGGTAGGAGCGTCCCCGTCCACGGCCCTGCGGTCACTATCACGTCTGTTATCCCTTGGATAACCCTTGCGGCTCCCTCTTGTTGCCGGTCCTCGTACTCGACTGTCTTGGTGTCGTCTGACTGACTCCCTGGACTGGATATCTTGGTGACCTTGGCCTGTGTCCGAACCTCGACACCTGCAGCCTGGGCGAGCTCGGCAATAGCTGTCGTGAAGTGTAAGGGATGTACTTGTGCGGTTTCTGTGAAACCAGGGCGGCCCATCTGCTCGAAGTACTGTACCAGCTTGGGATCTATCCAGTCCAGGTCCGAGGGCAGTGTCGACTCTGAGAGGAGCGACGTGGCAGCCTCGTCCTGTTTCGGGAGCTTCTCCCACTGCTTTCCCTCCTTGGTGTCGCCATTCTCCGGCTTCACGTCAGAACCTCCTGCTGCCGGCGGTTCAGGACCTGCTGCCGCACCATTGGCGCTGCCGTTCACTTCTAGGGCGCTCATGCCAGGCTGTGTTGCAGGTAGCTTTGCGTGTGCCGCCTCTTTGACTGCCGCCTTTGCCTTTTTACTTGCAGTAGGCACAACAGCCCCTATGCTCCCACATCCTAGGCGACGATAGCCCCATCTCTCAGCCCCGCCATGCTCTTCAGCCAGCTCACGATGCAGCCGATAGGACAGAGGGACGAGGCATTCTGGATAGGCCCACAATCCCAGGAGGCCTCCAGCCTTGCCAGATGCACCAGAAGCGATGGAGGTTGCCTCCAGGAGGGTGATCTTATGCAGAGAAGGGTTGAATTTGGGATGCCGTGTCAGGAAATAGGCAGTGGTAGAGCCGATGACACCGCCACCTAGTCGTGCTTTGTATTAGCCTTGGAATGACAGTGAAGCGGGGCTACAGAATCCTAGTAGTTAGGTTATGAAGGCGCAGATTACATAGACAAGATGTGTGTGCAGGGAGGGATGCCTGGTGGACTTTGGATGGAACTCTGGTAGCAAGGGTTTTGGGGAGGGTACGTGGTTGATGGATGGAAAACCTGCAACAGCCCAACGCGACTACTGTTGGCTAAGGGGAGCTTATATTGGGACGGTCGATTCGAGTTGGTATCTAGAGGTCGAATGAGAGCCGGCACGTACCTATGATGACTATATTTCTTTTCTGTGGTTCTTCCATTGTGATCTGGCCCAGAGCGTGGCCCTGATCTTGACCTCCAAACGATCTTCGAGTTCTACCAGTCCCCGAACAAAAAGTGGTCTAATTGGATGACAGGGGAGGGAGGAATACTGTGTAAGTGCTCTGAGGCCGGGTCTGGCTCGAGCAGTTGCAATACCGGAAGCACAGACTCAGGTACTGTATGCTGTGGCGGTCTCCCTCTGCACCAGCATCAACCGTCGGCACAGGTCAAGAGAGAGACCAGACCGTCTTTGCAGGATGGTGGAGCTGTAGCAAAATCAAGCATGAGTCGACGACAAAGGCAGCGATCAATGTCAGCTGTCAGAAGCTATTATTGTTGGCGGTGCTATTGCTGTTCTCCTAGTGAAAGCACTGCAAGCATCATGGGATGAGGCTACATGAATTCCGTTCATTCCCTTTGAGGGTAGGAGTAGACACGGATCAGGGGGGTTGCCCAGGCCAGCCGAGTTCGACTGCCTGACTTCCAGGTCGGCCGTCCTTATCGCATCCACACCACCGTTGCTTATCGGCTCGGTGGCGGGGCGGCGGGGTAGCTCGAGCTTGACACGATCTGCACTCACCGGACCCCTCAGGCCCCATCAACCTATCAGACGGGTGGGTACGGACCTACCCCAACCGTTCCTGCCTTCCCTCCACCTTGGACCTGGTCAGGCTGGTGTGTGCGCACTGGGAGCTCTGCATGACGTTTGAAACGTATCTGCAACGTCGAGCTCTCAGCCCTCGGGCTCGACCAAACAGCGATTGAGGCAGCTTGCCCTGCCCCTACGGAGCACACAGCAGGCCATCTCCACCGCGGACAGATTGATGCACTTCTTCTCGGGGTCGGTTGAATTGCCACTTCCGTACCTCAGGTCAGGCTCACCGTCAGAGAGCACTCCAGACAGGAACAGACCCTGAATCAGAACCTGCAGAGCCTGCAGAGGCTTGACCCGTTGGGGCTAATGGCATCGACGTGCCGAGGTTCAAGGTGAGCTGTGCCCCGCCTCGAGGCCGCCTTGGGGCACAGGCACAGCAGCAGGACCCGTGCACCCTCAGCGGGCGTCGAGCAGGATCCAGAAACATCACCAACAAGAGGCTCAGTACCTGCAGAAGGATCCAGGCGGCAAGCAGACAGCCCCCAACCAGCCCGCCAGCCAGCTGGGCCCAGCGGGCCAGTGGGCACGCCGCTGCATCGTGACCGTCCCGAGTGGACTGAAACCCAAATCCATCGCCGTCCAATCTCGAATTTGGCCCCTCATCGCTCGACTCCCGCCTCCCAAACCCTCCCGGGCCTTCCAACCACCCAGATGCCACCGTCGTACAACCCCTGCCTGAGGCTGAGGCGGCGCGTCCCTGGTCTGGGTCTTGGCCTTACAAATACCGATTGCGTCTTCCACCCCGCTGCTCCGGCCGCGCACAGCCGACACCTCCGACACCTTCATAATCACCACCATCGTCACCATCGCCCTCGTCCTCAACGCCAGCTGTCTCCTGCAGCGGTTTTATCATTCACCACCACCTTCCCACTGCGACCAAGATCCCCCTTGCGTTCGGCACCATCTACCTTCTGCATCGCACAATCGCCATTTGCAACCATGGCATCGGCAACGAGCTTCTATGACTTCAAGCCCCTCGACAGTAAGCCATACATACTAGCTCAGCCCTGAATCATCCCTCGCTTCCACCCTCATGGTCCCCCATGTGGCCATCACCCACCATCCTCGCATAAGCGCAACCCATCTCTTGCCGTGCCCAAGGGCGTCTGCATGCACAATTGCCGTCTTCCTTCCTTATTTGAACTCGGCGCGCTGCCCAGCACATTCAACTGCCCTTTCCGTCCTCAAGTGCACACCACACTCGCAGTGTGTTCCACCATCATCACTACCACCGCGGGAAGCACCACACTAGCAGTGGCAAAGAAACCTGGCTAACAATCCGTGACCCCCACCCACAGAGCGCGGCGAGCCCAAGCCCCTTGAAGAGTACAAGGGCAAGGTCGTCCTGGTCGTCAACACTGCCTCCAAGTGCGGCTTCACCCCCCAGTTCGAGGGCCTCGAGAAGCTCTACAAGGGTCTCAAGGAGAAGCACCCTGACGACTTCGTCATTCTTGGCTTCCCCTGCAACCAATTTGGTGGCCAGGACCCCGGCTCCAACGACGAGATCCAGAGCTTCTGCCAGGTCAACTATGGCGTGAGCTTCCCCGTCCTCGGCAAGATCGACGTCAACGGCGATAAGGCCGACCCCCTCTACGACTGGCTCAAGAACGAGCAGCCCGGCCTCATGGGCCTGAAGAGGATCAAGTGGAACTTCGAGAAGTTCCTCATCGGCCGTGACGGCAAGGTCAAGGGCCGCTGGGCCAGCACGACCAAGCCTGAGAGCCTGGAGAAGCCCATCCTTGAGCAGCTTAACAGCAAGGCGTAAGAAGCACCACCGTGGGGCCTTTTGTTCTCGATTGCTTGCTCCCCCACGATGAGAAGCGGCAGAGCAACACGAGCTGATCTCTGTCTTGTGCAAATTGGCCAGGCCCTTCGCGCCTGAGTCGAGACCGGTCGAGACGAAGCTTTGACGAATCGTGGATCGGCACTTGCGCCGAGGCTCTCAGCAGTAATGGGTCAACGTGGCCCACTTTGCGACCCTACATGCGTTCATTTTAGTCTAGTCTTGAGGTGGCGACCGGGCAGTCTGTCCCGGTCGAGTCCTCTCACCTTGTTTTTGGATAATAATGTACCCGTACTTAGAAACGGGCAGGGACTGAGGGAAAGAAGGGGAGAATGAGAGAATGATACCAAAGCTGCCTATTAGAAATCAAAGTAACACGACTCGTGGATTTGTTCAGATTGGCGTGCAAACTCGCAAGATTGTGAACAGAGAGGGAGCCTTGTTAAAACTGGACTGGGCGTCCTGCGTAACGGTCTCCCTACAGGTTGACTAGTGGAACGAGCAGGCCTAATCCTTCGGCCATGTAGAACAGCTCCTCGCAGAGCACACACTATCGCCGCAAAGCCAACTGACACCTGCAGCTAAAGACGAGTCCCCAACTGAATGAATTCCGCCCACCTTGGCTGCGGAACCATGTTCACCAAAGTAGACCCCTGCGTTTGCCGATCTCAAGACGTATCACCAGAGAAAGGCACGGACGGCTCAAGCAGTCCATCCTGATTCGCGACTCACACCAACAATTATGCATAAAATACGTTGCCAACTCGCCCTGGCCTCCTTCCTGCTGTTGCCGCCTGCGCATCCCATCCTGGCACCGCCGCCGAGACCAGTGCCCGGCCCGCAGGATACAAGGCAGGACATGGGGCCACCATCACGGGCTCAGCTGTAGGCACCCAGAGTATCCACTTTCATACATACATGTAATGCACAGCAAATACATACATTTCAAACTCCTGCAAGCACCCACACACAAGAGCCCACCCACACACATATGCGCTGCAGCAGCGGACAGGGCACGGAGATACCCACCCGCATCGGAGCCGACGTACCAAAGGGGAAATTTACAAAAACAACAGAATTGACAGCAGGGGACGCGGATGGTGGCCGGGCTTTGCATGTGATAGGCCCGCCGGCCGGCGCAGCGCCTGGGGTCAAACGAGGCCAAGTCAAGTACGCAGTATTCTATACATCACATTTATTACATTACCCCCGTGGCACCCCCATGCAGAGAAAGACGAGGAAGGGAGGATGGAAAAGAGGGGCCTGACATATGCACTGATCTGCAACGCGAAATGCGATACTACTCACACCCGTTGTAGAGCTGTCTTACCTCTTTCCCTTCGTGACCATTGAATCAGAAAGTTGCGTGCTTTCTTCGTATGGTGGCCCTCTCCTGTGTTCGTCAAGGAGACCAAAAAAAAAGTGGATATCTATCCGGGCTTGCAGGGTGTGCGATATTTTTGGTCAGGTCTCGGTCGAGTGTCTCTAAGTAGAGACGGGAGAATAAAACATGGGGGGAGAGGGTGGTCACCTTCGGTCCGGGGACGGGGGTGGGGCCGTCGCGGATGGGGGTTGGTTTGTGACGCCTAGAAGGAGGCAGACAACAACAATAACAACTCAGAGGTGATTTCCGTCATCTTTGAAACCCCCCTTGCAAACCACTATTGTGTGGCTGTGGGCGCGGGAGAAAGGGGGTCGTGCTTCTGGAACCAAAACAGGTACTACACGACAACACTTGAGGTTGCCGAGGCTTTAGTTGGCACATGCTACTGCGAGTGTTTTAGAGGGCGCAAGTCGCGAAGAAAGTACGTGGGACTGATGATCTCTGTGGCCCCTTTACGCGATGGCACACAGCATTTGAAGGTTGATTTGAGATACGCTCCAACCCAGCACCACTCCACTGCCTAGGACGTGACATAGTGAGAGAGGCGAAATGTGCTACACAGACAACGATATGCCTTGGTATTTTTGACTTTAGGCAAGCCCTGGCTCTATCACGCCTTGAATATAACAGACTGAGAACGACAAAGCATGCAAACAGTGGGGACGATTAGCTCCAGGAGACATTGTCAAAGCGACCCACACCCTTGTCTTTAGTAACTGTAATTTCCAAAATTTTCCAGGAGAAACATTCTTTTACCCCTATTTGCTCTTTCTGTCTCTATCATCTATACCGTCTACGTTCTGGGCACGTATGCGTCCATTGCCGCCACGCAACCCACTCACTCTCTCCTGAACGCCCTCTTGGCCTTCACCTCCTGCAGCAACCAACATTCTGCGGCTGCAACACACCTACCAAGCAGGCATATCAGCCCAAACCCGATGACCACACCCCATGGGACGTCTTCTTTGCCCCACACACAAAGTACATATTCCATGGCATAGCGAGTGCGAGACGGCTGGCCACCCATGCATCTCCCGGCCTCCCTCCACAGACCTGCATCCCCGCGGAATCAGGCAGGTCGATATGTCGTGGCAGTCGGAGAGGGGGCCGGCCTGGTAGCCCTCACCGGGTTCGACCTGCTCGTCATTGCGCGGGGGGACTCGGTTACTATCACCAAGGTCCTGCATGGAGGCTGCCTCGGGTGTCCTGTACTGGCTCGGACAAAAGCTTGTATCTCCACGTCGACGAGCATTGCGGCATATATTGATGGAGGATGACGACATAGCCCCCGGCGACGGTTGTAGAACTTCGCTGCCTGCTCTTCACAGCAAGACCATACTCGCTTGATCCGGGCAACCCAGGCTGCCCGTCCCCTCAAGCTTAGCACATTCGTGGGTTGAGAAATGCTACTCGAGAGGGAAGGTCGTCCATGCGCTGCATAGAGACGTGTGCGGGATCTGCAGGCGGCCGGTACCCCAGGGCCCAGCCCAGATGCCAGCTTGCACGAACACCAGGACAATTTGATATCCTGGGCGAGAGAAGGATCGCCCTGGTACCGAGGGCAATCGGCGCGATGCCGATGTGTTTTGCTGCCGGCTCCTTCCTGCTTGCGGGGCGGGCAAGCATGTCGAGGTTTTGGGTTCCACAGACACGGGCGTTCCTGACGCTCACAGCCGCAAGAGGTGTCAACGGTTGTGTCATGCAGGTCGGCTTGCGTGAGAGGAGACTGGCCACGGTCAGGCCTAGACCGGCATTTGAACAGCAGAGCTGGGCCTTCTGCACACTTCGGTTTCAGCCTTTAGCGGCGTGGGCAAAATCCCAAGATGGTTAACTTGTCGCAGCACGGCGGTTGCCTAGAAGGAATGTTCCGCGCACAACTGTGGCACAGACCAGACGGTCACACCCACTTCGTCTTCAGCGCGCTCCTCTAACAGACGCTTGCAAATTGCAATTCCCTCTGCCAACTTGGTACAAGGGCTGAAGCCGGGGGATTCTCAGGACCGCGGTAGCTCCATCGCGGTCACCTTTTGAAGTAAATGGTTGGGGGGTTGCTTCGGACGCGAGGTCACACGGACCATAGGACGCATCATCGCCACGCCGTGGATGCAAATGTTCAAAACACATCTCCAATGCCCACAAGGTCGATCTCGAGGTTACCGCAATAGCCAGGACTGCCCGACGCTGTACCCAGTTGTCGGACAGAGATCTACATCCGCTGTAGATGGCTCGAGAGCTAGGCGTGCATTGTGACACTTGCACCGGGGCCGCTAATAACATCCAAGACATTGAGAGGCTGGTGTCAGTTGACAAAATGCTATTTCTTGAACAGATGCTGCACGATCCCGTAGAACGGGTGAGATGTGTGTAACGTCCGTCTCCCATGCGTATGATGCTGACAACGATGGGGAACTCTTGACGTATGTGTTGTTTGGTCTGGCCCACATTGACCACCATCTTGGGGCAATGAGATTTCATATTGGTTCTCCGTATTGACTGGCCTGGACTACTTAAAAGCAAGTCCCCCAGATAGCCACTCGGTAAGTGATTCGCGGTGCAAGATATGCAAAATGATGCCCCCGACACTAAAAGGAAGCAAGGAACCAGAAACTGAGGGCCCCTAAAGCCAGCCAGGGCACAACAAAAGGAGAATGTCATACCGGTCTCTGTGCGGCCGACATCTGTCATTCGACTGCTTCAGTAGGGATTGAAAACGATGTGACAGGCCGCTGTCGTTGAGAAATTTGTGTATCGGGGGCTCCAAGATGTGCGTCGCAAGGTCTCGCCTGAGACAAGGAAAGCTCACGAGACACCTCTGAAAAACTATGGGGCGACCCATTGTGCTCACACACCGGCGTAGCCCTTCAGCCTTTTCCAGCAAGTCCCGCCCAGACTTGTCAACAAGCTGGGGTGACACGGAATGATGTTGCCTCTCTCCCAAATTGAAAACTGGTTGGACAGGCTGAAGAGTGGCTGCCCTACCCGTCAAACAACCCGTCTGCATCGAATGGACCTGTACCACCACTTAGCAAGACGAGATGTGTGAAACCATATCGCTTTGCCAACACTTTCCCAGGTAAAAGTGCCGAAGCTAGCCCATCGAAGCACACGGGAGGCTCGGAAGGGGGGCTCAAATGACGGTACGAAGCGTTGCGCGCGCGGGATGTCATGCACTCGGCACTCCCTAGGCGCGCCGCCCATTGCCCAGTTTCTTGAACAGAATGTGAGCCAAGATTCGGCACCATGCAGCACTGCTTGCCTAGCCGCGTTCAGCTCCTTCCAGGACTAAGTTCCTGCGCGAGGCAGTATCGCTTGACGTGAAAGATCGAGCCTTGCTCGTCTGGCCTCCGCGAGAAACCCGTTTACCGAGCCTCAGATCCACAACCGTATCCCACCTTCCAACTTTGGAAACGCGCCCGCTGTTGCAAGCTACCGTGGGGGCGCCAGAGCACTGGAGTCGAGGCGCTCGAGGCGCTTCTGGGTGCTTTGCAGAATGTCATGGTGAGAAGTGCACGATCTTGGGCGGCAACCGAATGACGTCTAAGAACGTGTTGAATCCCAAGCCTCGCCTACAGCCTCGTCGTAGTGGCGTAGGCGAATGACTGGTCGCCCGCGTCCAATCGCGCGCTCCGTCGCGGTCCTGAAGGTGGATGGTACTTTTAATCTAGGAGTGGCGCATGGCTCGTGTGCCTAGCAAAATGAGGGCAGCAGCAGTGTCGTTCGCTGGAAGCGCAGGACGATCCTCTAATCGCAATTTATGAACAGGCATGTATGGCTGAGCGTGACCTGCTGGAATGTTGTGCAATCTTTGGGGCGTCCGCCTGATGCTGATCATAGAAGTAGGCGGCAGAACTCGGCGAGCAGTGAAGTCAAATCCACGCAACCGATTGGTGGAATACCGCTCACAAAGCTTGACTAACTTTAGCATAGCTTGCAGATTGCAACGTTCCATCGCCGAACCCCTTGATATCTGTTGGCGAATCATGGTTCCAGCTACTGTGTAGTTCTGCAGTCTGCTGTGTCTTGGCGACAGCGAAAGTCCAGTGTTTTCGAGGCGCTGCTCTCCTGGAGCCAGAAGATCGTCTGGAATTATCCTGAAGAAGACCATTGTCCTGGCGTATTTTTGGTTGCACAGGATTGGTCTGGATTTCGTGCAGACGCGGTCTAGATGGCGCGAATCCGCCACAGGTGTCACAGCAGCAGCGGAGAAGATCTCGTGTTGCGGTGCCCCACGCCATGGCGACCAGGGTTGCTCTGACAGGTGCCGCGGCCTTGTAAAAAAAAAAAAAAAGGTAAAATACAAGTACCGCACTCCCGGCCGAAAGAAGCTGGCGGCCCGACTCGGAAAGGGGCCAGCAGGATACTGTGGGAGAGGCGGGAACATGGGACCAGGTTGTCCAATCCAAACTTAGAAATAGCCGCAGCTCTAGGATCATGTCTCTGGCGTCTCCCAGGCTGTCTGGGGGGAAGCCTCCGTCCAGTTTGATGAGTTCTTGATAGAAGTGACGCACAGCTCGTCACCAGTCACGAGCGTGCGGGAACAGGGCGCGGTCGGGGCCCGTAATTGCTGGTCTGCTTGACACACAGGATGGATTTCAGCACAGCTGAAGTGGATTGGTGGTGTGCATCATCACCCGCAGCCACTAGAACGGGATGGCGCCGTACTGAGGGCAGTTTCCGCCAAAGAGGGTGTGAAGCAACCTTCTACGCAGTCTTCGCTGCTTCTAGCGCGCGAGGCGAAGCATTTCCGGCCGGTTGAACCCCGAAGCAGGTTGGCTGTCCTGATTGAGCGAGGAAGACGGAGGGAAATAGACCAGGAGAGGACGAGTGCTGCCGCGTCCCATGCTGGCCGGCTGGGCCGGCACTGCGAAGCTGAGGTTGGACACGGCGGGATTGATGCGGGCAGGTATGGGGTTATCTGTACCCGGCAAGAATTATGGAGTGATCCATCAGTGCCCAGACCAACGACACGGGCATGAGTCTCAGTTCAGCCAGTCGACTTGCGGTCAGGTTGAACGAAGTGCAGTTCAATCGGTGTCAGCACGCCGGTCACGCGTGCGTCTATGGCGGCAGCATGCGCCATGACCCAAGGTGAGGGAAGCGGTGGGCAGGACAAGGCGCTGAGGAGGCTGTGGGTCTCGTGAGCGGGGTGGGAGGCTGGAGCAATATATTCCTGTCTGGTAGAGGGCCGTCAAGAGTCGTGACGGTGCAGGAAGCCCGGGCTGAAGCAGCCGGTGTGGTGGCAGGTATTTCGTAATAGGATTAGGTGCTGGCAATGAGTGAATCGTAGAGATAAATGGCGAATTCGGTGGCCGAGATGGTATCGTGTAAAACTGGTGTGACAGGATGGAGCAGCGCGGGGGAACCAGAAATTGGGCCATACCAGAGGCCGAGACTGTGGCACGACAAGTCGACAGCAGGTAGGCCAGGCATGTGAGACTGGAGACAGGTAGCGCCGGGATGAGGTGCTTGAGAATTAAGGTTCTACTCATCTCGTGTGCGATGCCAACCTTTACCTGACAGTTGGATCCATCACCAAACAGGCTGACGAGACTGGACGAGACTGTCCCACAGCAGTGATCAGAGCCCGAAGACATAGTCTAATGGAGTTGCTGCTGCTTGTTGCTGCTGAGGCTTGACCAGGATAATAAGTCGCGGCATGTCGAGGAACCTGCAGGAGAGCATGTACCCAGATGGAGTGCACGCCGGATAGTACTTTCCCCTCATGCCTAAGATACGGGGTGGACAATGTACCACCTCGAGTACGGTACATCGAGGCATGCACTACTTCTGCACGTCGAAGCCCCGCCGTCCGTGCATCCTGTGAGCGGCTCGCTCCTTCCTTCGTCTGTCTGCTGGGCTTGCACCTGCTGGGCAAATGCAGCTGTGCTCGTTGCTCCGCGTCTGTGGAGCGAGAGGAAGCCACCCCACCCAGGTACGACCTGCCTGCATTCTGCACCCTTCCTTGCCCATCCCACAACCTGCTACCCCATCCCGACTACATGTCATCACTTTCTTGTCAACTCCTCTCGTCCCTCTCCCTCTCCTCTCGACTCCTCTCGCTGTTTCGTCCCCGGCACCCCTGCCTGACCACCCAGGGCACACCACCACAACGCTCATTATGTCCGGCGACACCACGGTGGGCAGTGTCTAGGGCCGTCCGCCGCCCGCCTGCAATGCGTTTCGTCGGCAACCTGCCCTGTTCAATCCCCGTCTCCGCCGACACTCTGGTCCTTGTCGATGATTGGCGTTTGGCCTTGGGCCTCGAGGCTGAAATCATGGTTCGGACGACGAACGGGCTTATTAGCTCGGCCTGCCAAGAATACGGGACAGAGCATCACATCTGACGGACTTTCAGGAACCCAATTTGCAAGCATCTGCTATCTCTGGATACAAGGTAGCGGGGACCAATGGGGCCACGATGGATCATCCCGCGACCTGTGTGAGGAACAACGGCAACGCTGCGAGGCTAAATCATACCTGCCCCCTCTGTGGAGAAATCGGTCGGGCTCTCGAACCCCCCTGCCCGCCTCACAGCCGAGGCTGACGGCCAAACCCCAGGTCCCGTCGTCTCCACTGTCGTATTTTAATACACTTGTAATTCAGCGACAGTGGCCTGCCCGCCCTCGAGACCCAGCACCCCAGGCGCCTCGTCAAGTCGGTGCTCAAGCCTCACGCCCGGCTGCCGTATCATTGCAGGCCAGGCTGTGGGCTGAGGTGGAGCCTGGGCGGGACGGCTCTGCTGTACGTGCCAGGGGGTCCCGCGGTTCGACTCGCGATCGCTCACCCACGGAGTCCGGCGTTGAAATAGAGTAGACTACAAGGTTAACTGGGCAGGGTCTTGTGAGGACCATGATCGGCACTTAGCATTTTCGCTAGCTTCCGGGGCGCTTTACCCATTACTGATCGAATCGCGAATCATTCCCCCGCTTTTACCTTTCACAATTGGCACAACACGAGATGTTCAGCATGCACAAAGGTTCCCGACGGTACAGGGCGCTGCCCTGCAGCAGACAACAGTTGACCAGATTTGCCCAGACGCCAGCCAGTTTGCTTCAACCAGAACGCCCCGTCGGGCTGGCGGCCACTTCGGGCCTAGTCGCATCGGAGGAAGGCAGGGGAGGGGTGCCGCCATTCGCCTTTCAAACAGAGTCGTACCGAGTTAGCTTGACTCGATGCCAACGCCAGCGGCACTGATCAAGCCGGCGCGGGTGCAACGGCCGCGATTGAGAATGAAGCCGTCTTCTGGAAGCCATCGAACATTCTTGGCGGGCGTCTACCCGCACACTTCGACCAGTGCCTGTTCAACAGGAGGAGGGGGCCACCGCCCCTCACCGACGCCGAATGAGGCTATGCGTCCTTGACTTGATGGGCACTTGACCATTAGATGTCTGATCACGAACTCTGTAAACCAAGTTGATACTTTCCCATGTGCCAGAAATTGAGTTTCGGATCTGTGAAGCGGTACTCGCAGATGTGCATGCAACCAGCAAGGTTGCCTGCCTGCAGTTCGTCGCAGGTCCTACCGATCAGTGCTCCAAAAGCTTGCGGCCTGTCATCTCGGGGCTCGATATCGGATGACTATCTCAGTGACAGCGGAAGCGAATGCGACCCAGTTCAGTCAGGTTACAAGAGATAAAAGTCCGAACCGAAACTGTACTGTATGCCTCAGCGGGGCTCTGAAGGCTTAAGACTCCGTCGCCTTAAGATTTGGCATACCTCTCCTCAGCTCGAGAACAACAGGGCAACTGTCCCTCGCTTGAAACTCTGCTAGAGGATTGTTACCAGCGTGGCAGACTGCCAACCAGGTATGCACGACGACATCACTGTGTGGGAGTCCGCTCTGCCTCGTGTTCCTCTGTCTCACTTGGTGAGCTCACCGATGCACAAGGCACTGATGGTGGCAGCACCTTCAGAGCCCCAACGGCGTGCCTCGACATCATGGGCAGACAGGCAGATGAAGACACCCACCCTCTGGATCCACTGAAGAAGAAAAGATTGACGGCTGGTCGGTACTCTTATCCGGGTGTGTCGACTCGTGGAATCGAGATCCACAACACATGGGCATTGTCATTAACGGCGATAAGCGATAGGGTTTGTGTGCAGTGTATTGTCCTGCCCACAAGGCCCGGTCGGTGGCGGCGAGAGTCCGACTAAATCCTGGCAGATGATGATGACGACAAATCGGCCCCAGATGTTGCCTCCTATGGAGAAGGTTGCCAACCATCACAGCCCATCTAGCATGGAACAGGCGGTTTAACTGGTAGTAGTAGCTTTGCCAGACAGCACGACCTGGCAACCGCGGCATAGTATCATGTGAGCAGAGCTACAGGGTGAAATTAGGGAGCAAAGGTCCAAGGAGCTGCACGACCAGTCTCGTTGCGAGTGTGCAGGTGCCCTTGGGCCGGCCGACTCACGCAGTTCCTGGACATTGAGACCCCGGCCTGGCTGGTGGGCGACCTCCAAACGGTCTCTGGGCCGGGCTGCCTCTGGTAGGCTACCAAGGTCAAGGTTGATTTGACCCCTTTCTAGCCTCCGTCTGCCTCGCATTTGCATTGTAATTTGCCCCAGGGACAAGTGCGCAGATCTCAAGCTATCACCTCATCTCATGGCGCCCAATGTTCAAGACGCAGAGCAGACTGTCTTCGAGTCCTGAGGTCGTACCCCCGGACCGCGAGGCAGAACGACAGCGAATAATCCCGAGGAACCGTCCATCAACTAATCTAACTCGATTAGCTTTTCACCCCACTCGACAGTCTGACAGTCTGTATTTCGTCCGAACCTCAAAGAGTCCCCTTTGGGGGCCCTGGGCGCTACTGGCAGTGCCCCAATCAGTGTCTGACAACCTCACCCTCCCGCGCCAATGTCGGCGTTGGCCTCTGTCTCTGCCGCAGGGATGCATCGCACCTTCTTCCCCTCTGGCTGCACATCAACAGGGACCTCGGCCTGTTCCATTGGTGCGAGTCGAGATGCAGGAGGAGTTGGACGCAGGTGCTGGTCGATTGGAGCAGTGCCCTGGCTGCCCGACCCCTGTGCCCACGGAGGCACCACCGCGTTCAATGTCCCCTAACCTAAATCGACAGCCCCACTCCGAAGTACCTGCGTACCGACGGCATGCCCCTGTTTGCAGGTGCTCGCGCAGGACATCCTTGCTGCCCTTCAACGCTCGTCACCCCCAGGGTTGCGGCCACGGTTGCAGGGGTGGCCGCGGGCGCCTCCTGATCAGTGGCTTGTGAATCTGCCCTCGCGCTCTCTCCACTTCGCTTGCAGCAAAGCCCATCCTCCGGCATCTCCCTGGATTACCATGAAGCCCGCTGCCCTCTTGCTGCTGCCAGCTTCGTCCTCCTGCTCGGAATGCTTTGAGGGGAAGCCAGCAACACCCTACTTGCTGCTGACAGCCTCCTTCAAGCAAAGACATGCTGACTTATAATCAGCACCAGTTGTCTGCCTGCGGCCACCTGCTGGTGGGAAGTGATCCTCTTCGGTGTCTTTGCACTAGGACATGGAGACGAGGCGCATGCAAGCACATCCCCCGTGAGGTAGCCCTCTGTCGCTCTTCCATTGTTCACTGTCCAGTCGCAAGTGCGAGATGGCAACCAGGGCTCCTGGCCAGCCCCCCATCATCTCAGGTGTCCGCAAAACCTTGGAACCCACACACACACCTTTGATCTCTTAGCCTTTTCGCCTCCCGACTACCCTCACAGATGAACCCCTGCCTGATAAGTGACCCATGTTGTACCCCCAGGTAACCTCCCGGGATGTGGTCCACAATGGATGCGGTTGATGTACAACAGGCAGGGCCCTCTCCACGGTCGAGATGCCTTATTACCGGCCGATGGACCTCCATCTATGCTTCACTGCCCTCTGGCCGACCTCGTTATATCCCACCTCACCTTGTCCTTCCCTATTCCAGCACAAGTCTGTTGTGGCAAGCTTTTCCATATTACTTTCGATTTATCCTCACCAGTCAACATCTACCGGTGACATATACCACTTCCTCACCCTCATCTCAGCCGCATCTGCATTTCTTCTAGACTTCCCAAGAAAAGGAAGCCCTGCAACCTGTAATCGTCCACCATTTCTATATACCTCTGTGTTGTTTGAGGGCTTGTGAATCATGACTGTTCCTCTACCTACTCCGTCGAACCCCAAGGCCGATGCCGCCGCTGTGCGGAAACGAAGAAGACGTGCTCCGGCTGGTGGCGCCGCCGATGACTGCTTCACCTGCACCAAGAGGAGCGTCAAGTGCGATCGGAGGAGGCCATACTGCTCGCAGTGCCTGGAAGTGGGAAACGAGTGTTCTGGATATAAAACTCAATTGACCTGGGGTGTTGGTGTGGCGAGCCGGGGGAAACTTCGCGGGCTTTCTCTACCAGTAGCCAAGTCGCCTCCTGTCAACCCAGTCAAGAAAGGTTCACCTGCACGAGCCCGAGCAAACTCGACTTTGATCAATGGGCAAGAACACGGCCTTGCCGCTAATGCTGGTCACTGGAACGAACCCGAAGAACTTTCGCCACGAAGCACCCGCAGCGATCTTGTCGATGGCCCGGCGGATCCTCGTTATCCTGCTTCCATGCCAGCAACACCTTTTCACAGCTACGACTTCTCCAAGATCTGCCATGCCGAACCAACGCCGCCCTTACCGGCAGGTCCTGCCCATTGGCACAACATGCCATTCTCGGCGAGCCTCCCCAGAGACGGCCCCCGTTTTCCCAAGCTGGGACCCATTCTAGCCCACGGTCCCCCCGAGCCTCTATCCGCCTCCATCGATTCTCTGAGCGAGGCAGACTATCTATCGCCCCTCAGCCACACCTTTTCCAGGGATGACCTGCCTTTTGTCACCAGTCCGCCGCACATATACGCTGAGAGCTACAACAGCGCGAATTCGCCTATTCCGCAGAGCCCGATCTCGTCAGTGATGATGGATCACCAGCACCATCGGGCGCCTACATCGTGTCCCAGCCTTGTGTACGCTCCATCCGAGCCTAGTTCAAGCCTCCACTCGCACATGGATGGTTTTGAGGCTCACATTAGCAACCGTCTGATGGAGTACGAACCACTTGGTGAGATATTATTCGCGTCACAATTCGCCTTTTAAACTCAGCGGGACTAATGCCCACATTTTCAGCAACCCCTGGGTTGGATGCATACAGCACCAGCGCCCAGTCTGAAAGGCACTTCTGGGGGAAGACGGAGGAGGATAGCGCGCCCTCTCACGTGGTTCAGGAGCATTCACTCCCTTGGCCGTCCGTACTCGATCAGCCCGTCCTGCCCGTCAGCCCTGATCTTATCGCCAAAATGCCATTTTTCATGGACTACTATGAGAACACCATGTGCCCGGGTATGGTGTTTATAGATGGCCCTTCGAACCCCTTTCGGGAACACATTCTATCACTGGCCGCTTCCAGTCGAAGCCTGCAGCACGCTATCTGTGCGCTCGCCGCCTGCAACCTGCGGATGAAAAGAAAATTAAGCCTTGCCAATGGACAGGATGGGAAGCGTCACAGTCTACCTGGTCCTGTTCCAGATCTCCGAACGGATGAACGGACCTTGTCAGAGGAATACCAGCACCGGAACCTCGCAGTCCATCTCCTCAACGAGCAGCTCAATGACGCGACGAAGGCAAGAGGCGATGCTGTCCTGGCCACAATACTGATGCTGTGTCATTATCGCATGGCGGAATCGGGTATTGCGAAATTCCATACCCAGTTTGCCGGAGTGAAGAAGATCCTTGGCATGAGACGGTCTTGCCCCTTCCCCCCATCACGCGATTCGGCATGGATGGAAGCCCTCTTCACCTACTTTGACGCCATCTCAGCCAGCATCAATGACCGAGAGGCACAACTGAACACCTCGTTCTACGGCGTTATGCCAGACGCGCAGTTACTTCCACCGGGCGCAGAGAATTTCGTTGGCTGTGACCGAGAGCTCTTCAAGACAATAATCAAGCTTGGGAGACTGAACCTACTCTCGCAGCACCGTGAGGTCCAGAGTCTTTTTGGCAGTGCTACCGCGCGTGGCTTACCATCACGTCCGGATTCGCCTCTGGAGTCACCGATTGGTCACATATATAAGCCTCAGCACCAGTTTAGCTCGGACATGCTTGGGAAGTCTCAGCCGCGATTTGATGGCAATGGCTTCAGCACGACCCTGGACGAAGACCAAATACTCATGTCTAGCCTCTCATCCTCAGCGGCCTACGATGACCACCGGTCGACGTTCTGGCGCGAGTGGAAGGACGCTCGCATCGCCTTGCAGTCCTGGGAATTCGACGCTCAAGGGGTTCTTGCTTCACAACCCGCTGGTCTCACAGCAACTCACGCACAAGTCCGTGACTTGGGTTCCCTGTCTGAGGCATTCCGCTACGCAGCACTTCTCTACACGGAGCGCCTGGCGAGTCCGAGCGTGCCCAGCGCGCACAACAACTTCCGCAATTTGGTCAGCCAGGTGGTCTACTACGCCACGTCACTCGAGGCCGGGTCCTCTGCAGAGAAATTCCTCCTGTGGCCTCTGTTCGTGGCTGGGTCCGAGTGTGTCAACGAGACGCAGCAGGGAATTGTTCGCTCCAAGTGCCGTGAGATTATGGCGCGCTCGGGCTACATGAACAACCTTGCAGCTTTGGACGTGCTGGAGAGAATCTGGGCGGGCGAGGGCAGGGAACAGCAACATGATGGCAAGCTCATGATGAGGAGAGGCCCGTTTAGCTGGACGCGATGTATCGGTGGCCCAGGAGTTGAGGTTGAGTGGATCATGTTCTAAACCTTGTTTACACTGGATTTTGCCTTCCCTGGTGGGGAACGAACGCTACTGCACACAGCATGGATGATGGTTCAAACACTTTGGGGGGCCCAGGGAACTGGAGGCCCATGCGGTCTGGGGCCAAAGAGGAAAAGGGACACTGGGACTGGCCCCTTATCACGACGACGAATGAGACTCATGGCTCTCACGTATTTACGTTAAGCACTTGTATAATTAGCTAGCTGGATTGCTCATAGCACACGAACACGGTGCTATTGGAAGCGGGAGAGGTGGCTTCGTCTGTTGGGCCTCTGGCATATCTAGCACTCGAATGGAGACACACGATGGAGACCATCAATATTCCTGTACCGTGTTACAGGTCCCCCAAACTGTTGAGTGATCGCCATGGACTTGGTCCTCTGTGACCATGTCCGGTATGGACCGGGGCGCGTTCTAGATCGCGGCGGTTTTGTCTTGTGGCTTCGGACACCACCACCACCCTGTCTAGCACGTCGGTCCTCCGAGACGTGTGTCTGCGAACGCATCGTCATCATTTTGACTTTGTGTCAGAGGACGACTGGGTGCTGGATGCATTACACCTCTCGACGGTCACGCCAAGCCCCTGCAACGGGAAGCTTCTTGTACCCAGTCCTGTTTCTGCCCTCGTCCGAACCCACCACACATTATCGTTTTAAACAAGCAGCCTGCTTAATCACACATTTAATCCGCATGGTTTACGCTTATAAAGTGGGGAAGACAGGCCGAGGTACCTTGTAACATGTCAAAAGGATTATGTCTGACGTGCTGGTTTCCCGATATGTCCTGTCTCCATGACAGTGACCCGGTCGTCCAGGCCAGGCAGGCCTGTGGTGCCCGCCGTACCCGGGCCGAAAAATACGCCATGTCCAATTGGACCCCGTCGTCACCTCCACCTCAGCAGCGATGTGCTATGTAGCATGTAATGTGGTACCGCAGGGAGCGGGTCTCGAGGAGCGGGTCTCGAGGAGCGGGTCTCGAGGAGCGGGCCTCTGCCATTGATTACCTCTGACAGGGAGATTAGCAAAGGGAGGCGGCAGGGAGGGGGAGGGGAGTGAAAAAGCATGTAGTGTCAACTGGCATCCCGTAATGGCTGATACTCGAACGAGGCGGTGCAACAACAGGCGGCGGCACACTTAGAGCAAGACGCTCGAAAAGGCGCCATGGCTACCCTATACTATGACTATACTGGCGAGTACGCCCGAGAGTGCAACCCACCCCTTTTTCATTCGAGCGCGGCAGAACCCCTGGTCGTTTCTGCCCTGTAGATCCGGACGGTCATTGATGCCGCGGTTCATGCCGGCCCGGGGCATTTGTCGACAGAGCAGAATAGTATCTGAATACCTGCCACCGTGTAATATCTAGTCTACCAGGCTATTTCTGACACACAAGCGCGCCGCTGGGCCGAGCAACGCGAAGGGTAAACAGGGTAAACAGGTGGCTAGGTAGAAAGAAAGAGGAATGAAGAAGTATTTTCTGGCGGGGTGGAGGGAGGGGGAAACGCAGCAAACATGGTCGAAGTGCAGGACGGGCTTGGCCATTTGTCAAGGCTGCGGTACGACAATTTTGACCCGCGATGTTTAAACCGTCGATTCCCGCACCACCCACGCGATTTAGTGCCCATTAAAGGGCAGTCATCCTCCTTCAGCGCACAGGGGGAATGAATGCAAAGGCCTGGTCGCCTGGTCGCCAACACAACAAGCAAGCAGGCAATGCAAGTGTCACCACCACCCACCCACGTCTCCCGCCTTATCTGCGCCCCCCACCCGACGGATTGCTTCTGGAAGAGCGGGAAGGGCTTCCATCTGGTGCTGGGCAAGCCCCCTCCAAGACCCGTCCGGCGCAGGCACTCTGCCCGGCCGAGGCCCTGATTGGGCGGGCGCCTGCACCACAGCACCACAGCACCACACACCCGTCTTACTTGCCGCATGCCGGCTCTGATGCCGTCGTCACCTTGACCGGCGCGACACCAACACACACCCACACACCCACACATCACGCCAGCGCAAGCCACCATCACCACCACCTCCTCCTCCCAACCTGGGAAACCCACCCCCACACGCCGGGGTCTCGATGCCTTCTAGAAGCCAGGCCCCAGCACAGCGCGGGACACACGATACGATGCGATATCAAACTGCGTTCCAGAACGGCCTTCCTACACCGGAAAGGCCTGGCCGGAGCAGCCACACTTCTCCCATGGTTCCATCGTGCTTCTAGCGCTGTTGGGTAATACCAACCAGTGTGTGTGTGATTTCCCAGCCTGCCAGCGCAGTAGTCTGGCAGTCTGGGTCCCTCACTCAACGCGTCCCCGCTCCTCCCTCCTTCATTTAGCGCCCTCGATTGACTGTCGTTGCTGCGTTGCTGTCAGCCTTTTGCTGGTGTGGGCACTGCAAGAGAAGCTGGCTAGAAGCACCGGCATGTGGCGCTAGAAACAGCTGCACACCCAATTCAGGGTGGCCCAGGGAGACAAGCGCGACCTGCAAGGCGGGGGGGGGGGGGAAGGGGGTCATGCCTGGCTGCCTGGTCATGATGGCTTCAAGCCAGACCAGGAGGCAGAGAGACTTGCACTGAATGCCCACTACATCATCTTTCTCTCACGGACCACACACACCAGACTCCACACACACACACACGTACTGTACACACGTACACACACGCGTACACACACACGCGTATATACCTATGCACTTGCACTTACAACACGCACAGGCACACCCTATAATACAACTGAGGGGAAGTAGGCTATGGACAAGGGGATCAAAGGGAAACAGGGGCTCACCATCCCGAGGTCGATGACAAACAGGGTCGCAACAGCCCAGCCAACACTCCGCTAGGCTTCGGTTCCTGATGATCTCGTGAGCCCCAGCACCTCAAGCCTCACAGTGCCTGGCGCAGGGGCCCAGGCCCGCCCACGACCTCTCACGAGCACATGTGACAATGGCTTCCCACACTTTTCCCCCCATGGCCCAGACTCGGCGGCCATCTCAGGACCTCGCTGTTTGCTGCCTCTTCTCCAGCATTGTGGTTCTGGTGTGTCATGTCTTTATACGCCTCGTAGAACGGGACCTGAGGAACGAGAGGCGTCACTGCAGAGACCCCCGCGAGGTTGGGGGGCCACGCCAACCGACACCACCAACAATATCACAAGCCGCCAGAGACGCGAGCTGACCGCATCCTGCAGGAGGCAGGAAGCTTCTCATAACCCCAGCCAGGCTAATGACAACAACTTCTTTAGGCTGTTTCCATTAGGTCAGGATCATGGTGGCTGGCAGGTGTCAACAGATCGGATCTTGTCATGGTCCCAGTCCGCAATGACAGGCATGGCAAGATGGATCCCCGATTGCTGGCGGTCCTAACCGACCGAGGCCTAAGTCTAAACGCCCAGCAGACGCTTCATGACGGACGGGGGCATGGAACATGGATGGAGGGGAGAGATCAGGAACCACAAGGCCACCCAGGGACGATGCTTGCCATGTACTCGCAGGTACCCAGCCTGCCAGCCTGCCAGGCCCCTTCACAAAAACACCCCGGCGAGGGTGGAGGTGGTAGGGAACAAGGCACGAGAACCATGGGTCAGGCCCAGCACCTCTGCTGCAAGCAACAGAGTTGGGAAAAGAACGACAAGACCGTTCGTTGCTGCTAGTTTTCGGTCGCTTTCGCCTACTGCTCGACCCGCTCGCTGCTCGACATGCCCTGCAAGCGCCGCACGCACTCCTCGACAGCCGGGCTGCCATACCAGGGGGCTGGCTGGCTGGAGGGGTTTGTGCCGCCGCCCTAACGCGGATTTGGACATCACCTCCGGGGCCCGCCAAGGCATGAAATGGTGACCCGCGGGGTCCTTTCACCTCCGCGTCCCCCTACTACACTACAACTGTGGCATACCGAGTGCCTGTGCCTCACCAGCGCCGGCAGCTACCCAGGAGCAGCACGCTAGTTCGCCGTGCTGGCCCCGTCGGCTTTTTACCTTGCTCGGTGAGGGTCCCTCCTTGCTCGCATCCCGTCCGAACCCCTTCGGGCGAGAACTTGCATCGGTGGTGGGGGGGGAGGGGAGGAAGGCTTTCACGACTACACGCGTGCTGTGTAAACGTGTTTCGCTCTCCCTCGAGCAGCTCTCCGGAGACAATTGTAAAGTGGGCTCCTGTGGTGCGCAGCGCAGTCGACAGAGCCGATTATATGGCCCGGGACCTCTAGAGGGTAGCATGTCAGAGAGTAAAGTACGCTGTCGTCAAAAATACCGAGGCGTGTAAGAATGCCGGCGGTACAACAGCCGCACTCCGTTGCGGACACCGGCGGTCTCCGGGCCCGCAAATTTACGCTTTTTCCAGGCCGAAACTCAAAATTACGCATGGATCCTACGGAGTGTGCCGGCCGAGGACCTTGCCTCCAACTAAGCCTCCGCGCACATGCATCGCTGCCAAAAGTCCAACAGGCTCCACAGGCAGGTGTGGATATCTGCCAGGGCCGAACTGACAGTCCGGCCGCGAGTCGGTCCCGCGCTGGGGCCTAAAGTGTAAAATACAGTTCCGTTGGTCGTGGAGCTTTAGATCAGAGATGGCGTCATTGCTACCTCTGCGAAATATTCTGGTGGAAGAAGTGCGGATTTTCCTCACTCACATACACCTTTGTCTTTTTCAAGAGACTTTGAATGATATTAGAATAGCTGCTCTACTGTATCTTAGAGGCTGAATTAAATTCCTGTGTGACTAAGTAAGTTGCTGAGATCTGATATCACATGCAACTTAAAGTGCTGCGGGTATCACGATGAGGTGATGATTGTGATTGGCAAACTTCTCAGTCAGTCAAGTCTTTTCTGACTGCAAAGCTGTTGTTACATGCGATTATACAGAAAATGGAGACCATTAAAACTAGTCTGTTAATTAAAACGTTTCTAGTAACGGTCTGCGAAACATCAATGATATGTTGGAAAAAGAAATGTACTCCTCCTATGTCAACCGTGACACCACACCAGCAGCCTCATAGAGGTTTGTGTTCTCTATCCGTGTAATCATAGAGCTATACACGGTCCCTTTTTGCAGTGGTAAACTATTCTTGAAAACCTAGGTTTTCCCTTTTTCCTTGTTTTTCTTAAAAGAAAAAGAAAAGAAAAGAAAATACCAATAACAGTATAAGAGGAAATACTTAGTAGGCATGTAGCCTCAGCCTCATGCTAGGACTCGGCTCAGTACCTAGGTACAGACTCCCCTAAGTGGTTTTGTTTGTAATCCCCATGCATATAAAATGTATGCGGCACCTTCATACAATGGTAAACGCTCCAGACTTGGCGTTTAAAACCCACATGATGTCTATAACAGTGGTTAAAATACGATAGGTGAGACTTTCTTCTAAGCTTTCTAGAGATTATGTGTACAAGAAATATCCATAACGATCAAATTGATGAGTACAACACTCTGGCGCCTACTACCGCTCGCAAACGATAATAGCCCGTTGTTCCACCCACCCTACAATCTTCTTACTGAGTTCAAAGCAAGACTTAATAACTTGGTTATCACTGGTCATATCCGCGCGGGTGCTACAGCTATGTGCCGTCTCACCACACCACAGCGCACCAGCATTTCCTTTGCCGTCATTCTTGTACTCACACACACCATCCTGCGTCTTGACCTCAACATTGGAACGTGCCGTGTGGGAACTGCGGCATTCTCAGCCCCACGGACTTGTCGGCGGGGGCCTCAGCGACCGGGATCGGGTCGACCTGGCACTGCGAGGCTGTTCCGTAGGGGACCGAGAAGAAGAGCCATTTCGTCCTGTCGTAGAAGTCGGCATCGTTCGGTATCCCGTGTCGGCTGTTCTCGAGGACGATGTTGAGGGCTTTGGCAGGGCCCGACTCCTCCTCGCCGTCGCCCTCGTCCTCGCCGGGCTCGTCCCCCCTTGGTGCGACGTAGGCGTCCGGGATGCCATAGAGAGCCTCAAAGAATTTCAGGCTTGCGTACCATGCGTATGTGTCGGCTGGAAAGAGATTCCGGGTCTCAGCAAGACGTCTTGGAAAGGATTGATACTCTTTAGGGGGCTGCTCACCATTCAAGTGCGTACGAGCACTCCCGGGTGCTGCCTGAAACTCTCTCCCATCCGCTGCACCCAATAAATGCCGTAGACTTCGTCCTTCCGAATCGCCTCTTCGTTGAAAATCTGATCTTTAATTGTGACTATAGTCTGGATCAGTAGATCTCATGAGCGATGATATTCAAGCCAGATCGCTTACCCTCATTTTGCCCTTCTATCGAGGAAAGATGTGTCAGTGCATGAAGAAGCATATGGGCTTTGCCAGTCATGCCAAGCGGGTGGTCGTTGAGATGAGTTTCGATCGCGAGAAGATGCTCCTACCCAGGGGCAAAGAATGGCGGCCACATTACGATTGTGCCATAACTCGGTCCAGTTGAAAAGGCATAGCCACCGATAGGCTTGTTCGATGTGATCGTGTCATTTTTGCAGTATACCTGCTCCTTCTCTGTCCTGTGCGGTTGGGATAGATCCTGGCAGGATATGCGAATCTTGCCTGTTGTTTTCGATATGTACAGATCCATGATGTCGCCGAAGACCGCTGATTGATGCTCATCAGCATTGAAATTTGATAAAACGAATAGGGTAGAAAGGTAACAGAGAAAACAAATCGAAAAGGGGGGGGGGTGTGGGGAGTGACGGTTTAGTACTGTGTATCGAGTCAATACCATCCTCTCACTGCGCAGCATCTTCCCCCCATATTCTTTGCTACAGTTCGCCAGCCGGGTTGAATACCTGTGATGACGGCACCCGAAACAGTTCTATACCGTCCCACCATGCCCTGATAAGATGATTCTTTTGGCTGAGGGGAAAGGAGTGCCATTTGGGTCGGATATCGTGACTGTTCCCCCTTGGCTGCCTCCGCTGCTGCTGCCGGTCTGGCCTCTGTTGGGGAGATCAATCTCTGTGTCACCCGCCCCTATATCATCAGGTCTGAGAATAGCTTATCAATATCTGTGGTGGATCACTTGTCTCCAGATCTGGGCAAGGTACGGGCCATTAGGGAATGAGGGAGACGAAAGACATACTGTTCCTGGAAGTCGATGGACCAAACCATGGTGTCTCCAAAGCACATACTATCAGCAAATTCCTTCTTCTTTGCAAACGTCTTTTCATCATCATAGCCTATCCATTGGTCGTCCCGCGTGAGTTGCTTCATCATTGAGTCGGCTAGGTATTCAGGCTGAATGTTGAGTTCCTTGGCCCGCCTCTTGATCTAAGCGAGTGACATTACACCGGGTGAGTTGGTGCACTCCGCTGGCTTGCTTGCACCGAGGAAGTGACATCCGAGCGAGTTGCAGCTAGGGTCATCGAGAGTGTAGCCTCGTCCGTACATGGCCAAGCCAAAATTTATCTTTTTAAGGTCCAGACTGTCGAACCACCATGGGATAGTGTTGTTGTGAATCACCCGGATGTCCGCCTGGCCTCGAACTATCTTTCCGAGACTTTTCACGTCAGAATTCCATGAGCCATACAGGTCTGAATAAAGCCTTGGGTGGTCAGCAAAATTTGGAATGACAGCAGGGATCATTCTCCTCGATTACTCCCTAAGGACTGGAAGGGAGCATGGTATCGCACGGATATTCAGCACTCACCGTAAACCATGAATCCGAAGAAGTCAACATACGGCTCCATAGCCTTCGCGTCGAACCAGCGTAAGTACCAACAGTCAGGAGCCAGAGTCAAGCTGATACCGTCGCGATTACCGTAGGACGCACGCATTTCACAAAGCAGCTGAGCGAAGTTTCCTGTGTCAGAAAGCTTTTTCCCATCTCTTGTTGGGTCTCCAAGGTACTCCCAGTCTAGGTCAACCCCTTGGAAGCCGTAACGCTTTGTCACAAATGTCAGCCCTCATTTACACAATCCACCAGTCCAAGCAGGGATTTTAGAGCGAGCTTACTTCATATATTCTTCGACAGAATTAATGAAGGTTGCCAGGCAGCTCATGGTGACTGTTTCTTGACTTTTGGTTCCTGATACTCTGGCTGGGTTGAAGAGGTGATAGAAAGACGAGGTAAGATTGAATTTTGGACTCTGGATATTTTGAAGATAGGATCGAGTTGAGAGAATAATTGTTCCAGGAAGATGACAAGTAACTTACAGTCGGAAAGTGCTGGAAACTTTGGACCCATATCATCAGCGATCTGTTCACAATTGGACTTATTAAGTTGCAAGACTATGAGAAAACATCTTTTGAAAGGAATTTGTTGGGAATTGAATCATATTCCGTCCATGTTCATAACCAGTCTACCATATCAGATACAGCAAGTAGCCCTGTTCTACTTGAAAATGAATCAACCACGAGACAAGCTACCTAGGCAAGTATCCAGGTGTTTATGGATAAAGGATTGGCTTGATGTGCACCCACGAGGAAGACAATTACTGGCCATCCGAGTCCGAAGGATACAGAGTTGCCACTAAGTGGTTAGGATGGCACTAAATCAGTCGGAAGGAATTACCCCGTATTAGGAATCCCGTCAGCTTACCCTTGGGTACAGTATCATGGCCACCAAGACACTGGAGGTAAGCCTAAGTAAAGAAAACCTCAGCCTCAATCTTACCAATCTTGTATTTAATAGTATTCCTGTTCGTGGTCCCAACCAGTTCGAAACCCCATCAAGTCCATCACCAACTCGACATCATTCACTGCAGAGTATTCAACATGGCTGGTACTCTACCAGAGCGTGCAATCCGAGTGCTAGGCGATCCTTGGCACCACCTACCGCCATCCTACCGAACGCCAGCCATCCTCACGTCTTGCGCGGCCCTTGTGATAATCACGCCGTTCGCCTGGAGAAAGCTTACATACAAACCAGAGTTGCCCCCTCGGACCCCAAAAGACTACCAATATCGACTGCACACCATAGCCCAAGAGGGATCCGCCTCCTTCACGCTCCCTGATGACAGGAAGATTGGGTACGCACAATACGGGAATCCCAATGGGAAGCCGATCATATCTCTACACGGAATCCTCGGCTCAAGGCTTGAGAGCGCCCTCCTCGATGCGGACGCTAAAGCTCTCGGAGCAAGGATCATCGCCATCGAGCGGCCGGGCATCGGCTTGAGCTCGCCAGACCCGAGGCCACTCAAGGAGAGGAGAGTGCTTGATCACGCCCATGACGTCGAAGCTCTCGCAGAATATCTCCAGCTGGACGATTACGCTGTGCTCGGAACCTCCGGAGGGGGCCCCTACGCCCTGGCCTGTGCCCACTCCCTGCCGTCGTCTGCCTCCAAGCCGAGCCTTCGTGCCGTTGCAATAGTGACGGGTCAGGGCCTTCCGGATATGAGCCAGGCGTGGCCGGCGCCCGTGGTATTCCTGAACAAGCACTTGGATCTCCGCTGGGCCATGAGGTGGATTTTCGCCCGTTCCCCCGCATGGCAGCCGCATCTTTCGGATGAGGAGAAAATGGAAGCCTTGCGACAGAGTTTTGACCTCAAGAAAGCCCATCCGGCGGACGCCGGGACAGCCAGACGAGAGGACTACCCGGACATGGTGCGGCTGTTTCTCTGCTCCGCGCGTGAGGCTGTGGCTCAAGGCTGGGACGGCTTCCTGGACGAGACGCAGGTTTTATCCAAAGAGCCTGGGTTCCGCGTGGAGGACACGCGTGCAGACTTGCCGGTGCAGATTTGGTGCGGGACAGATGACACCAACGTGTCGCCCAAGGTCGGCGAGGAGATTGTCCAGAGGCTTAGGGCTGGTGGTAACTCGAAGGCGGAGCTGCACATGATGGCAGGTGAGACGCATGGAAGTACGCAGGTAAAATACCGAAGAGAGGTCTTGAAAGATCTGCTGAGAGCTATGGAGTCCTAGACTGGGGCAGTGAGATGAAGAAACGTCTCCCCTCTTTCTGTATATTGTAATGATCTCAATACTGGCTGCTACGAGCTGTGTGATATGCAACTACTCCTCTAATTGTTGGATGTCTGTCAGGCTACATGGAATCGAGCTCTATACCACCATGGACCTTTTGCTGTAGGATGCAGCCCCACTTCCATTCAATTCATGTGGTTAATATCACAGCTTGTACATTTACCCTTGTTGTGAGAGGAGTGTTGTTCTGCACTGATGTTTTCGAAGGGAGATTGCAAGCCCTTGAGAAACAGACAGTGAAAATAGAGATATAGGCCTTTGTGAGATAACAGCTAGCTAGGAAACAACAATCCACAGCCCAGGGTCCTAGGCTCCACTAGGATACCTAGGTAGCAAGATGCCGTTCAATGTTGCCTATGAGACGAGTGCTTGTCATTGGCGAAGGTAAAAAAAGGGCTCAAGTTCCGGTCTCAACAGTTCTTGACATGGCTCTAAGAAAGGGACGATGTTTAATTATCTAGGCACAAATCTGATGTGAAATGTTCAGTACTTGCTGCCGTGTAAGTCCGCTGCAGCTTCTCTACTTACAAGTGGGTCTCCCAGCCAGGTATTGCTGGGACCCTTGGCTGCGGGTTCACATTGAAGTACGCAGCTAAGATAAGATAAGATAAGAAGGCCTATCGCCCTCAAAAATTCCGGAGCGAAACCCAACCAGTAGCAGCAACTTCGACTGTAATTTAGCCATTCAATCCAGGTTCAACGACAAAAGTCTCTATCTTTTTACAGATTTTAAAAACCGCCAAAATGGGTCGAGATCTTCAGAAACGCAAGAACAGGTCATCGAGACCGACAATTAGACAGCCAAACAAGCTCAAGAAGTCTCTCAACCCCCTGGGCAACAGCCTGATCGCAAAAAACTGGTAAGCACCCGAAAACACTGCGCCAGTGCTGGAGGAGCCACCCTCCAGACAGGCCCCCAGGACCACACCTAACCCAGAGGACGCACAGGAACAAGAAAGAAACCCTCTCGCAAAATTACCGCCGCCTCGGTCTCACAGCAAAACTCGGCAAGGCCACCGGTGGCGTTGACCCCGCGACAAAAGTATCAGCGCCCAACGGCGGCGCCCAGGACCCCCTCGCCGTGACGCCGAACAGCGGCACGGGGGCTGCGTTCCGGAGCGTCAAGGTCGAGCGCGACGCAGACGGCAAGATCGTGCGGGTCCTGCGCAAGGACAACCCGCTCAACGACCCCCTGAACGAGATCGAGTCCGACGGCGACGACGAGGGAAACACCAACGAGGAGGAAGAGAGCGCAGGGACCGAGAAGAAATCTGTGGACGGCGAGACAAAGGTGGTGGACCTGCTCGAGGCCGAGGCGAGCCGGCCCACTGAGGCGCACAAGCGGCACCAGTCGCAGCAGGAGCGGGAGTGGCTCGCCAGGCTGGTTGCGCGGCACGGGGACGACACGGCGGCCATGGCGAGGGACCTCAGGCTGAATCCCATGCAGCAGACCGCGGCCAACATCAACAAGAGGCTGAAGATCTACAAGGCCAATCAGCAGAATTGAGAGGATGGACATCCCGGGCGTTTCTCTCTGTTATAGGGAGTAAGGGTAATTCTTGCTTCGCCTCTGGAACGTCAGCCCGTGAGCGGATCGACAGGGGACTGAAAGATTCGGACGCTACGTCCGCTACAATCCGCACCATGTCTCAAGCCGGTGTGGTAGCTGAGAGATCATGAACCTTGTGGGCCGAGAATCCTGGGTTATCAAGTTGGGCTCCACCACCTGCTATGTGCTGAAGGAGAACTCAAAAGCTGCTCGTTCGGGAACAGAATCGAACGAGGCTGTTTTTCAGAGGAATTTGTCACGCGGCCCGGCAGCCGGCTGAGATAGACACATCGCCTCGCGAGGGTGAGCTGGCGTATGCTACGCCATGTATGGCCCAGTCAACGGAGCGAATCGTGTATCACAAAATCAGTCCTGGCGTTTGGCGTATGCAACAAAGGTGCGAGCTTTGGAAATTATGCATTGAGATTGGAGCATAAATAAATATCGGTCTATTTGCAGTCAGAAAGCCACCGGTATCTGTGAACGCTGTCTAAGTATCGAAGTAGTGGAGATGTGAGCTTGAGTATTATCCGTCACCATTTCTGTTTCGGTCGGGCCGCAGCAACGTGGAGGGCGAGGGTGCTCGAGACCAAGCTCTATGATGCCAGACATAACATTGGTCAACAATCTCAGCTGCACACACACACACACACACACACACACACACAGTCGTTTTGATGTAGGCAGATTTGTTGACGTTCTGCAATTTGCCCGTGCCATCGGCACGAGACCCCGCCTCGGCTCCTACAATGCCTTAATGTGTATCGACATGATATAACCAGCATTAGTTACATCAAACAGTAAAGTCAAGAACGCCTCCAACACCATCACAATGTGTTGTTCCAGGGTGTCTGGTTCCCTGTCAGTTGTACAAGCAATAGACAGCTTTTTCCCTGCGCCAGTCATGACAATTCCATGATCGTCTATCCTTCAATTCAAGTCATTGGGCGGGCGGACCGGCAGACCAAAAAAAATCCAACTGTGCTCATTCCTCATTCCCGAACTAAATGACTTTTCATTACATGTCCGCCTTGTGGGCAAACGTTGAAACAGCCCCTGAGTGCCAGCACGCCATCTCGCTGATCCATCGAGACAGGCCACATTCGGCCGGGCTGGCAGGATGATTTACTGCACTCTGCTGTAGTCTGCCGAAGGGAAGGCAACGGGCCTGTCGTCGTCGTAGTCGGCAGGCCCGGCAGGGGGCGGCGCGTACATGTGGCCAGCAGGGGGTGCGGGAGAGGTGTGGGTGTTGTACTCGCCGTGGTGGTCAAAGGGCGGGTTGTGGACGGCAGCTGCACCGCCGTACGAGGTGTCGGCGGTGTAAGGGTTGATGTCATGGGCATCGTGGCGGGTGGAGCTCGTGCCCATGCCGCCACCATAGGGGGAGGCGTTGAACTCTGGCTCGTCATCCTGGTCGTTCATGCCCACGGGGGCATATGCCTCCTCGTCGACGGGGGCGGTGGAGAAAGCAGCCTTATCTGGGTCAATGCTGTTTGTGCGGGGGCCGCGGGAGGTCTCGTAACCTGGCAGGACGCCGTTGAAGTTGTAGTATCGGTGCGTGGCCACCGAGAGCAGGGTGGAGAGGGCCCAGAAGAGACTGATATGCAAAAGTCTGGTTAGTTTTGGCGGTCTTCCAAAATCGGTGGAACACTGGGCCGAGTTTGACTTACGTGTTGAAGACACCCAGACCAACGATTGCCTTGCTGGGCCCGCAGGCGGTACCACAGTCGTTGGCTGTGTTGTAGGCAGCTTGCGTAGCAAACGCAGACAGCCAGAGGACGGTATAGATGAAATCAAAAACAAGCATTGCCTTGGGGTCGGCTATTCTCCTTGCGCGAGGATAACGCGGGGCCATAATCAGGTATATCCATACTGGGACGCTCAAGAAGCACTAGATAAGGAGCGGGATATTAGCATCCGCTGGTTGTAACGAGGCCGAGGGTACAGGGCCGAGAACAGGGCAGACTCACGACTCCAAAGGTCCATCCATTGTTGCCGTTGATATCACCGCCTTTGAAGACGATGATCTCGAGAACCCAGATGGTGACAGATAGGACAATCTGGATGATGTGGACGATCAGCTTGTAGAGGGGTATCTTCTCGTGGTCGAATTCGAGGCCCATCTTCACTGTGGTCGTCGGCAGCGAGCTCAGTCGGGCGTATCAAAGAAAGTATTCGATATTGTATGGTGAAGGGGGCAGCTGCAAAAGCGTAGCTGTCTCTGTACGGTGGGTGACCTGGTGGTTGGTGTCTGGTCGGCAGGGGAACCAGAACCACTGCAAGCGGTCTAGACGAGCCTAGCGCAAGTCACGAACCCAGGGGGTGCCGACAAGTTGAAAAATGCAGCGGCAGGTGGCTCGCAAAGACTCTCGGCTTGGCAGGGGCCAAAAAGCGCAGCGGTGGTGATGAAGTAGACGCAAAGAGTGGCGAGAAGGCGTCACGATATGCAAAAGGGGATGCAGTTGTCAACGAGCGTCGACGTCTGTCGAGTCGGGCAGTTTCGTTCCAAAGCTGACGTTGAGGAAGGAAAACGGTGGGTGGGATGGGGGTCAAAGTACGGGAAGGGGGCACGCAAGGTCAAAGAGGCAGAAAAGGAAGGGGCAGGGAAGAGCAGGGAAGGCATGGCAAAAGAGGCCAGCTGAGGCCAAGCCTCGACCGTCTGTCCCCTCGACCCTTCGACCTGCCTTGTACTTTGGCTGCTACCTGCTCCGTCCTCGTGGCACGGCACTGCCAGCTACGGAGTACTACAGAGTCAGGGAGTACACTGGCTTGACTGGACAGCACGCAGCAGAGCAACGCAGAGCAACGCAAAGCAACGCAAAGCAACGCAACGAGACTCGGGCCTCCTCCTCCTCCTCCACCTTGCTGCTCCTCCTCCTATCGACCCAGCCTCTCGACCAGCCAAGCCACACTGGAGCGAGCGAGACCGCAGGAAAAACCACGCAGCCACAATGGGACCCATTATTCCAAGGTTCCCGGCACACGAGGCCGTGCTGACTGGACCGCCCTGCAGGGAATTAAGCGGGCCACGCCCGACCCAGACTCAAATGACCCAATCAACTTGACACCAGTCTGCGGCAATGACCATTACCTGCAGGGCGCATCATCATTCGCCAGGTCGCACTATAGCTCATATTAAGTGGATAGGGTTTTTTAAATCCTAAATATATATTTTTAAGTATATACTACTTTATATTTAAACTTTAAGTAATTATATTATTTAAATTTAATATAAAATATATTTAATAAATAAAAAGATTAAAATATTTTTTTATTTATTTTTTTTAAAGTTATTATTAACTTTAAGGTTTTTTTATTCCTTTAAATAATTCTTTTAAATATAGTTTATTTATTAATTAACTTTAATATATTTAAAAAAAAATCTTTATTATTATTAAAAGATTAATTAAAAATTTTATATAATAAATAAAATAAAAACTTTTAAAATTATTTTTAATTTTAATTTTTTTTTATTTTTATTTTATTAAAAATATTAAAAACTATTATTTTTTTCTTCTTTTTTAAAAATATTAATTATAAAATAAATAACTTTAATAAAAGTTATATAATTATTAATAATTAACTTTTAAATAAAACTTTTAATTTTTAATTAAAATTATTATTTTAAAATTAAAATTAAATTTAAAATTTATAATAATAATTATTTTAAAATAATATATTAAATACTTTTAAATAAAAATATTTTATTTTATTTATTATATTATATTTTTATATTTATATATAAATAAAAATTTATTAAAAATATAAAAAATTTAAATAAATATAATTAATATATTATAATAATTAAAGTAAAATAACTATATATAGTATATATATATTTAAGTTCTAGTATTTCTTATAGTTAATATACTCTTTTATTTAAGTATAAAATATATTATAAGTTTTTAGTTTTATAATAACTAGTAATAATAAATAAATATTATTTATAAATAAAATATAAATATATATAATTTTAAAATAATTTTCTTTATATTTTTAATAAATTTTTATTTATATATAAATATAAAAATATAATATAATAAATAAAAAATAAAATATTTTTATTTAAAAATATTTAATATATTACTTTAAAATAATTATTATTATAAATTTTAAATTTAATTTTAATTTTAAAATAATAATTTTTAATTAAAAATTAAAACTTTATTTAAAAAATTAATTATTAATAATTATATAATTTTATTAAAATTATTTATTTTATAATTAATATTTTTAAAGAAAGAAAAAGAAAAAAAGAAATAATAGTTTTTAATATTTTTAATAAAAGAAATAAAAAAGAAAGTTAAAATTAAAAATAATTTTAAAACTTTTATTTTATTTATTATATAAAGTTTTTAATTAATTTTTTAATAATAATAAAGATTTTTTTTTTAAATATATTAAAGTTAATTAATAAATAAATTATATTTTAAAAAATTATTTAAAAAAATAAAAAAACTTTAAAATTAATAATAACTTTAAAAAAAATAAATAAAAAAATATTTTAACTTTTTTATTTATTAAATATATTTTATATTAGATTTAAATAATATAGTTACTTAAAGTTTAAATATAAAGTAGTATATATTTAAAAATATATATTTAGGATTTAGAAAACCCCCTCTAGAACCCCTGGACGCTAATGTATCCCGGCCTCAGCCATCGACTTGCTGACTCCAGGCTGCCCTTACTCTTGACACATCTTGGCTGCAACTTTCGTATCAGACAGCAGACAGGTAGCAATGAATTGCATCTGCCGGAAGCCCAAGCACTCGTATCCTGACGCGGCAGACCGAGGGTTCCCCACACCCCAGCAACTTATCGGAGACCCTGATTTTCCTCCTCGGCCGTCATCTCAACTGTCGTCATTGCACCTCAAGTGCTGGCATTTCAGGTCGGTTGGCCTCTCCGCGGCTCGCCCATGCCAGCCACCCATGATCCGGATCCACCGTTCCTGCGTTCCCAAGCCGCACGGCCGACCATGGAGGTGTTTGCCTCCCATACAGCCATACAGCTGCCATTGCCATATTAACAAACTCAATTCGGCTGGCGCGTGACGAGCTCCCCGTGGTCGCTGCTCAGCCACCCGTGCGTCCCTGAGCGAGGCACTTTGACGCGCAATGCGGACAGGGAACCGTTCTGCGGCTCTACCCTCTCGGCTTCTCGCTAGCAGCACTCCCTCCTCGGTGGCGGCTTCCAAAAATAGCACAACCAGTAGTGTAGTGCCTCACTAGACTTCTCCCGCCCCCGGCCGTCTTCCGCCCGACCCGGCGCCGGTCCAGCTGTAGCGCCTGGTCGGCTTTCACGCCGTCGCTCATACCTGGCCCAGCAGCCCCAGCCGGTATGATTGCATCCGGACTAAATGATGGTCTTGCGATTGTTTCGGGTTTACCTCGCAGACCAAAGACTGAGGCCCAAGCCCCAAACACAGGGCCCACCACCGCCAACCAGTCTACTCACAGCGTGTCTGTCTATTGGAACTGTATTTCCATGGCCTCACCTAAGCGACCTAGTTGTGCAATACCTGTCTGAGGCCCGCCCCCATTTTGTCATCATTGGGCTTCTGTCAGCCTAACGACCTCCTTGATGCTGCTCCTCGACATTTCCAGCCACGAAGTAATGCTGGACTGACAGCGGGCAAAGGGGTCCAAGTGTGCTGATTGCACAACTCCGAGATTGCGATATCATCACACCAAAGCCGGCTCAACAGCTGCCTCTGCCGGTATTGAGCACAAACACATATCACTGACATCAATTATTCAATTTCCAGTTCATACTCACAACTTTCACGCCATCGCGACCACTCGGATTTCTAGTAAAAACCCATCTTCAGTCCCGCCCTACTATCCTCTTCGGCCCTTAATTGCGATGCATGTCTTGTAGAACCCCATGAGAAACCCTGAAAATTCTCTAAATGTAGTTCTTGACCGTCTAACTCTAACAAGCTTTCGAACATTTACAACTTGCCCTTCGGCCCGACCAGATCCTCAACCTTGGCGAACTGGTAGTAAAAGTCCAGGCTTTGCGGGTTGGCCAGGGTGCCGCTCGGCTTGATTGTCTGTCCACACACGATCTGCTTGACCGGGAGCTCTACCTTCTTCATGTTGATAGTTGTCTGGGGAGAAACACGACTGATTAGCTAGAGACCACGCACCCCTCTCCCACCGCGACAGTTACATGGATGTATGGACACGGTAAGTGCAATAGGGGTGGGAAACTCACAGGAATTTCAGGCGTCTCAAAAATATACTTGGGCACGTGACGCTTTGAGAGGTCCTTACTGATGGCCTCTCTGATCTCTCCCACGAGCGCGGTGTCGAACCTATACCCGGGCTTCATTAGGAGGAACAATATTACCGTCTCGTCCTGGTCTGTCGGCCGCCGCTGGCCAACGCAAAGGGAGTCTTGCACTCGATCTGCAAAACGCCGCTCAATCACGGAATAGATTTCCGCGGAGCCGAAGCGCACACCGGAGGGGTTCAATACGCCATCGGCGCGCCCCAGGAAAGAGATGTTACCTGTGACCGGGTGAATCACGCAGAAGTCGCCGTGTCTGTAATGGGGAAGTCAGCTAGTGTGCTTTCTGTTCATGAGGCTGCGTTTTCGGACAATGAGACTTGAGGCTAATCAACTCACGCCCAGACGTGCTCGAAGCGATTGAAGTATGCAGAGTGGAACTTGGAGCCCGGTGTCGCCACGGGCTCCTTGTCGTTCCAGAAGCGGCAGGGCACGTTGGGGAAGGCGATTGTCGCCACGAGCTCGCCGGGTGTACCGTGTGGCACTTCCTTGCCCGGACCATCGGGGAGTGTCGAGTCGAATATGCGCGCGTCGGTGCCCAGAGAAGGGCCTTGAGTCCCTCCGACGTACAGCGGCTCTAAAGGATTGCAGATACCGAAACAGCCGGCCTGAATAAAGAAAAACGATATTAGTAAGTGGGAGTCACGCTTGGCAGGGGTGCTCGCCATGGGAACTTACAAGGTCGGTGCCGCCCGAGCTGTAAAATCGCAGTCAGCAAAGTTCCCAATACGAGCTACAGTTGAGGTTGGTTGAACCACTGGGTCACGAACCGACGTGGGAATGGAACAGGCATGGGTACCACTTACATGTTCCCCAACTGAACGTGCTGGGGGAACCCCTTGTCATAGAACCACTCAAACAGCTGGTCAGACAAGACCATCCCTGTGCAAGTCACCACTTTCAGCCTCGACAGGTCGGCCATCTCCCGTGGGCTCAACCCAGCCTTGGCAACCTCGAATAGCCACCGCGGGCTCGTACCGAACTTGGTAACGCCCTGCTCGGCCAGGATCTTGATGAGGACAGTCACGTCGGGCTGGAACGGCGATCCGTCGTAGAACACGGAGCGCGCACCCCACAGGAGCAGGGCCGCATTCGCAACATACATGATCCAGCCCGTCGTCGTGTACTGTAGCCCGACCGTGTCTGGGCCCTGGCCCTCGTGCAGCCGACCCTCCTTGAAGTACGACAGCAGCAGGCCGCCCTGGGAGTGTGTGATGGCTTTGGGCATCCCGGTCGTGCCTGAGGAGAAGCAGATGAGCGAGGGCTCGTGGAAGGCTGTGCGGACAAAGCCGGGCGCCGGCCGGGAGGTGCTGCGCAGAAGTCCCGCGAGGGTTTCCGCCTTGGGCACGGAGCTGATATCCCGCGGCTCGCTGAAGCGAGGGATTGAGATAAGCCCGGTCAGGGCGTCGCAGTCCTTCATGCCCTCCACTATCTCCTTCATCTTTTGGCGGAGATCGACGATCTTGCCGTTGTATAGGGCTGCATCGTCCACGAAGATAAGCTGAGTGAGTTGGTCAGCTTGGTAATCCGGCGTCGAGAGAACGCAACTCAACGGAGGGCCGTTGCTCACCTTGGGGTTCACCTGAACACTGCGCTGCAGTATCCCTTTGGTGCCCATGTCCGTCGAGCTGCTCGAGAAGATGGCCCCGAGCCAGTTGGTGGCCAGCCACACCACGAACGTCTCCACGCTGTTGGCCGCGACGGCGACGACGCGGTCGCCCTTCCTGACGCCCTTGGAGTGATACATGGCAGCCGCGAGCGCCGCAGCGCGGCTCCTGAGCTCGCCCCATGTGCACTCTCGCACCTCGGACCCGCCCTCGCGCACCTCGGTGATGGCGACCCGGGCATCGTCCTTGTGCAGCTTGGAGCGGTGGCCCGGCGGGCCCGCCGCGGCCCGCGAGTACAGGATGTTCTCGGCGAAGTTGATGGTCACGCCCTCGAACCACCGCGGGACCTGGTCGATCGTCGCGGACTCGTCGACCACGCGGCTATAGCTGCCGCCGTAAATGAAGTTGCTGAACTGGAAGAGGCGCGACCAGAAGTCGGAGCGATGGGTGATGGAGTAGTCGTAGAGCTGGCGGAATGTCTTGTGCGCGAAATGGTCAGTTTTTGTGACAGAAATTGGCCGAGGCGTTTGTTTATAAAATGAAGACGGTACACCGTCGCCGACAGGATGTTGGCACCGCAGAACAGCTAGCTCATTCGAGCTCACTGGCGTTGAGCCGGGCGGTGAGATCTATTGTAACCTCAAACATTGTCATCCCATAAAGACTGTCCCACATTCAAAAAGGTCATATTGACAAATCATTGAGCAGGGGCAATGAATAGGAGCCACATCTCGTACCTCCAATCTTTGTCCGCTCTTTCGATTGATGTCCTGCATGAATTCGTACATCAACGTGCTCTTCGGGTCCGGGTGCTCCCACAACTTCCGGGGTATGGCGACCTGGCTCTCCATCTTGATCAAGTCCTAATCTACTACCGCAGGGATGATCGCGTGTCTAACGTCTGTTGCTCTGTCCTAGCTGTGATGCCGAAGCTTGAACGGCAGCAAGGAGTACGAGCACGAAGGCGACTAGGACTGTAGGAAAGGACGGTATCGGCAACGTTGATTTTGGGGTCCTCCGGTCCGGGGAAGAAGCGCGGGGAGGAGATATTTCGGAAGCCGGGGTCACTATGCGGGGACTGGAGTTGGGGAGGGGGTGGGTGCTGGCTTGTCCCGCCTTGTGCCACGCAGTCTAGTGCCCATGCGTCCAGGCCGGGCCTATCTATGGTTTATAGTTGCACAAGGAGTTGACGTCGCCCCCATGCCGAGGAGTTCTCAGTCTCTCTGACTTCAGGCCTGAGTAATCACACATCTCGAGGCTGCTGACAATCTTGGAGTATCGCCAATATGGTGACGTCTCATTAAACTCATTGAGTCTCATTGCATGGCCAAATTACCGGCCACACATATGGAATGCCAATCTGGGTCCAAAACACCAAAGCAATACCCCGGCATCAACTATATACTCTATAAACACATCGCGTCGTATCCACAAAGCGCCCTTCCACGACCCCTTGAAGCATTCTGCTCTCAAACCCATAGGAGCAAGCCCGGCCCGAACCCAATACCGCCGGGATTTGATAAGATAATTGCGATTTTCCATGACCGTAAAACACCTCGCAAGTACGCTCAACACCCCGAAACAGAAGCCCAAACCTCCAAACCAATGCGACTAGACCTAGAGATATGCCTGCCACAGCGCGTCCATCATGGCTAAGTTGATGGGATTGACAGCCTTACTGATCAGGTCGATAACCGTTTGATTGGCTGGCAGCGTTCCCTCGGGAACTGTCGCGAGGCTGACTGCCCTCTTGACGATCAGGTCGCAGTTCGTCTGCACCGTCTCCCTCAGATGTCCTTCGTTGAGGTGCGCCATCCGGTGACTGCTCGTGAACCAGAACATGACCTCGTCACGCACGAACAGGGTGAGCGCATGCTCGAGCTCGAATTCGGGCTCCGTGAGACATCTTGCAATCGCCATGATGGAACACCCAAAGACGCCCTCCGTCGCCAACGGCCCCATGAGGGTCTGGATGTTGGGCGTGAGACGGAACGGCACCGGCTCTGCGCTGCCAAAGTACGGCCGGCTGTTGGTCATGGATGACAGGAGCTCGGAGCTCCAGATGTTGCCGGTGCCTCGGGCGATGTGTATCTTTTGTGGGTAGCGCTTGTCGATGAACAGTACATACGTCATGAACGTCAGTGCAGCCAGCTGGTATGAGAAGCGGCGCTTGAACAACCAGAAGTCGGCGTAGTCGAGGTATGACCTCTGGAAATAGTCAAGAGCCACAGTGCGTGGCACCCACTTGTCCTGAATCGCATTCTGGATCTCCAGTCGTGCTGTCGCGCTATGCTCGCCAGTCTTCTGTTGAGCTGTGTTAGATGTCTGTTCTCTGGATGTGGCATTGAAGGTGGAACTTACACCCTTGGACTCTCCAAGCGCGCGCAGTTTATCCATGATAAAGAGCACAGGGTCGTCCTTCGACAAGCTGTTGCGTCGGCAATGATCCTCAAAGATACCCTGAAGCGTGATGTACGAAGTATCCTCCTGTACGATTCGAATGTGTGGTGCCAGAGGAACCATGAGTGGTAAGGTGAACTGCAAGTCGCGACGACGACTCTCCTTCTTCCTGCTTAGCCTCTGATTCAGCTGTCGGAACAGTTGAACAATCCTCTCTTCCCTACGGCAGTGCCTGGCGGCCGGGTGTTGGACCGCGAAGGGATGAATGCTGCCGTCATGGCCTCGGATCTTCAGTCGTCGATGAGACATGCCAATCATGCGAACTAGGTCGACCGTAGGAATGAAGCGCTCGATGCGGATGAAATCCTGATTCTTGTCCTTGAGCTGCAAGTACTGGCCGGGCACCTCGACCTCGTCGAACTTTGAGTACTTGAACTCGCTCAAGAGCGTCGTGTATACCTCCAGAGACATGTGTGGGTTGCGCCTATCCAGTTTCTCCTCGAACTTGTCTCTCCACTTCCTTAGTTTGTGGATGTACTCGAACATCGTGGGCTTGAAAGTGACAAAGTCTGCCTCGAACGTCTTCCGTATGTGCGCAGGCAGTATTGTCTCTGCAAACCGAGTGATATTCGTTTCAGTGGCCTGAGGGAGTTTTGTGCCCTTGGCGTACGACGTTGGCATGCGGCTGACATAGGCCAGCCCATCATTGAGTAGGGCTACAATCAGTCGATACGCATCTTCGTCTGGCGGGCATTTGAAGTGCTTCTGGATTTGGTCAACCATGGTCTCCATTGATAGCGCCAGCAGAGGGAAGGCCGTCTTGAGCTGAGACATGATCTCCTCGGTGAGCTCCCATGGGAACTTCTTCTGGCCTGCCTCGGCCTGCTGTTCTCCGGGAGCCGGCGTCGAGCCGTTGGGTCCTGCTGTGGTCGGGGTTGCTGCTGTGCCATTTGTTTCTCCGCCCTCCGTCTTAGGTTGGACATTGGCCTCACCATTGGCAGTGGCAGGTCGTGAACCCGAGCCACCTTCCTGCTTCGGCGCATTCGGGTCCTCTTGTTTCTGCAGAGCTGGAGATCCTGCGGGCTTGGCGCCCCCAACCGACTGTTGCCGCTCTCTCTGTTTCTTAGCCTCATGATTCTTCTTGATAACCATCATGTCTTCTCTATTGGTGCGCAGCTGGAAGTAGAGAGCTTGAGGATAAGATCTGGCAATCTTCAAGAGGATGGAATGGACCCGCGTGGCCTCCTTGTGGCTGAGCCCAGTCAGCAGCTGAGGAATGAACGTGATCCAGTACCAAGTCGGCGTGTCGCCCTTGAAATCATCAAACCCAGCAGAGACAGTCCCGTTGGCATCGTCCATGCTCAGAAGCCAGAGAATCCTGGCAATGAGCTTCCGTGATTTGGCGTTTTTGTAGCTGCCTGCTGCCTGTAGGTATGACGTGAGGGCCTGACGAGCGGAGTTCAAATCGGCGGGATCTTCCTTGAACTTGCGGTCATTGAAATAGCCCCATTCAGCCCATGCTTTCGCGGCTGTAATGTCGAAGTACAATGCCGTGCCGTAAGCATTATCGGCCTCGTCTTTCTGGTTCAATTTCTCAAGGAACATGCCCTTCAAAGTGTAGAACTCTGCTTTCTGGCTTGGGCTGAAATAGCCAAGGTTGGTGTTGTTGATTACTTCCAGGCCGCTGTTGAGTTCCTTGGGATTCTGGTAGTGACACTTGGCCTGCTCTCTCAGCTTCAAGAATGCTTCCTGTATCTCGATATTAGGCAAGGTGTAGATGCGACCAAGCTGACTGATGCAGACATCCGCCAAGTTGTGCTTCCTCGCAACATGAGCGAAACGGTTGATGATCCATGCTGTTTCGTGGTATCCCCGGTATGCAAACGAAGAACCTCCCGCGTTCTGGCCCTGTTGAGGCAGAAGCCCGAGATAAGTCTGGTTGATGAGACCGAAGATGTGCTGTCGCCAAGTCACGAGGTCTTGCCAAGCAGTGATATCGTCCCAAACGTTAGGTAGTCGATCACGCCAACCGCCCAGCAGCAGTTTCAGCTCGCTGGATTTGACATCCAAATTCTGCTGTGTTGTGCCTGCAAGACTCGTACAGATGACGCTAGCATCATGCAGCTCTACCAGCTGCTGGAAGTTTTGAAGTAAGGGGACGTGTGCGTGCGTAGGCTGCTTCGGCAATTGATGCCACTTACGTATCGCGAGCTGAATAGCCTCGTCGACATATCTCTGGAAGTCTGGCTGAGTTTCTTGTTTGTTGTGAAGCTTGCGCAGAGACATGAATGCTTGGAAGAAAGAGCGGCGCGGGGTCGGTGCATCCATGAGGCCTTTGATCATGGCATCGATGTGATCCCTGTTCTCCTGTGACTGCCACATTTCAGTGTTTCGCCAAGCGCACTCTAAGAGGAGGTCCTGAAGATGTTCGTGTTTGGCAAAGTCTTGGAGGATATCCCACTGTTGCAACTTTTGAGCACACAGAACCCAGTGGTCTTCCCACAGTGTGTATTCAGCTTGAGAGAAAGGGAGGGCACCAGTGCGAGCCTTGACTTGTGCCATCTCGTACATCTTCTGCGCCTTGTCCCACAGACCATTCTGCTCGTACGAGAGAGCACTGTTGGTTTCCAAGAATTGGCATCGACGGCGCCATGTCCCATAGAAGAAATCGTCCTCCTTCAAATTGGCGTATATTTCAACTAGCGCGTTCAGGTTGCTCTCCTTGACGGTAGGTGGGTCAGTGGCCTCCAGGTCGATTGCGGCATCCTCGAGCTGAACCAGTGCCGTGTACCAGGAGTCGAAGGTCTGAGCTGCGTACTTCAAGACATGCGGAGGAACCCTGCATTCAGGAGATGCTTTTGCAGCGCCTTTGAGCAAAGCTTGGATCACATTTGGGCGCTTGTCAAGCTGCCGCTGGTGGTAGTCCTTCGTCAGCAGCAACACTAGGCCGCGCTTGACTTCCTCCCGCTCCTCTCTTGTCGTCGCAGACCAGTACATTGGGAACAGCGTCTCCCAGAGCTCTTTGCCGAGATTCGAGTCAACGTGCTGCATTTGTGTGAGTGGTTCAATGATGTCTCGAACCTTGACATCGCCAAGCTCGGACACGAAGCGACGGTGGCTCGCCATGAAAGCCTCGTACTTGTCATCTGAAATTGCCGTTGGCTGTCTCGGGTCCCTTGCGTAGTTGCCAAAGAGTCGAGAGGCTGGCAAGGTCCGGAAGTCCTCGTGATGTAGATGAACGCTGCTGTTCGCTTCCACAGAACCGAGCAGTAATTGAGAAGCTTGAGCAAGCCAGAACGTCTCGCCCAAGGTGTCCCAATTCTGCGTATTGATAACATACAACAAGCGGGCGCTGGCAGTCTTAGACAAACTCTTGTCCAAAAGCGCCATGAAGCGGTTCCGCATGCTGATGTCTTGCGCCCGTGTTCCTATCAGGAAAGCATGCTCCATACGCACGGTAAGCTCGGTTCTGGTGATCTTTGGATCCTCATAGATCCGGAGTACCAGGTCCAGATATTTCGTCAGCATCGTCGTGTCGGCACGGTGCTCAAACGTCAACATCTTATGCAAAACAGCTGTCTTCTCCTTAAGAGTAGGCCATGTCCCCTCCGAACGGAATATCCAGCCCTCGACCATATCTAGAATCTTCTCACACAGTGGTATATGCAAGGACTTCTCCACAAGCGTGGCCAGTACACTGAGGAACGGTCGTCTGTTATCGCCAAGGATCTCCATTCTCTTTGCAGTGACATCAATGGCCTTGAGCATCAAGCCCGTCTGAATCTCGAGATCATAGTCGTCCATCTTGGCGGGAGGATTCTGGTCCGGAGCACGAGGTGTATTTGCTTCGTGGCTGATGGCGGTGTAGTGTGACACGTGGTCCCGGGCGAGTTTGGACTGCAGCGACTTCATGATGGCTGGGATGTGAGGGTCAATAGCTGAGGGACGTCGGTTGCCTAGGGACCACAAGATATTGATGCCTGCAACGTAGTTCGCGGCTGCCATTGTCTCGGTGCCGATGTTGGAAAGGAAAGTGATGATCTCGGACGTCTGTGATTCAGGCTCACCCTCCGCGTCGGCATCCTCCATCTGTACATCCTCTAGAGCAGTGGGAACAGCATCGAGAATCCTCTTGACGATGGCTCTGATCTCTCGTCCATCATCATACTTCGGGTCTGCCAAGTGCAAACAATCCTGCAACTCGGGGTTTTCTGACCTGAGACACTTCTCGAGAATCTTCTGGATTTGACTCATGTTCTTCAAGATCCACTCATCTGGCTTTGAGTCCAGGATGATGCGCACTACTTGAAGCGTGTTGATGATGTTTGTGATGAATTTCTCATCGTATCTCTCCTTATTCTCTGGATCGATACTGAGGATCTGCGTTGTCTTGTCACTAGCAAGAACCACATCCGTGACATTGGGAAACAGGTCGACGTCGAGATCCGCCCAATACTCTGGTTGCAGAAGGTTGTACAAGAGAGCCATGGCCTTTTTGTTGAGCTCTGTCGATATAGTATGACTAGCTGTGACCGGCGTGTCCTTCGCTTTGCTTGATGGTAGCGCATATCGCTCATTCAGCTGCGCGATGAACTCGATCAGGTATTTAACCATCTTCTGTCGCACCGGCGCGGGAATCTGATACTCGGTCTTCTCAACAGCAGCAGTTGATCGGACTGCTGGAGGCGAGGAGGTTGACACTTCATCGAGCTTGCGCTTCTTGGCGACGGGTGATAGTGACTGGGATGCCATTCGCGAAGAAGTCGTCGTCTTGCCGGTCACACGCCTCCGTTCCCACTCCCAAATCAGCCACATCATGTTGAGAGCAAGACGTCTGCTCTCAAACGACGGATTAGGGAAGTTTGCCACCTTCCTCAGGCATTGGATGATGAGAATAGAGAACTTGTCACGAGTCTCATAGAAAAGATCTGGATGCCGAACGAGGAAGTGGAAGATGCTCGTCATCTGCTGGACGTTCTGGCCCTCTTCCGACAGTATTCGTCGGGGTGCAGCGGACCAGACAGTATTCCGCTCGTTAGCCTGGATAGTCCCGCACCTCTTTGGCAGCACTGGCGCCATCAACTCCAAAGCCTGTGTGACAAGCGTACGCCCCTCGTTCTGGTTGTTCTTAAGCAATGAGAAATACACCTGGGAAACTATCTTGCCGGGCGTATCATAGTGCGCGATGAAGTATGACAACACGACGTAGGCAGCATGCTTGTTGATCACATCGTCAAGTCGAATATATGTCCAACCAAACTTGATGATGTCTTTTCGTGCCTCCTGCAAGATGGTGTTGTGGTATTTGATGAGGAAGGCTGAAAGCTGTAGAACTTCCATCCTTGTGTGATCGATGCCCGGCTGCGTCAGATCTTCCTGCGGATCAGTCAGAGTGACCTTCCAGATCTTCGTGCTGATGGAGTCGATGACGTTTCGGTCGATCAGACGATTCGGCCTTTGCTCAGGCTGATCCCAGTGTCGCATCAGGTCCATTGCCAGAATGGGGTTGACAATGTTATGCAGCAGGAAAAGCTTAGTCTTCTGAGATGCCGTCTTCCCGGCATATGTGTCGAGACATCGCAGAACAATCGACCTCCAAAACTCAACTGAATCGTTGCAAATTATACTGTTGTACAAGTAAGCAAACAGGCTTTGTGTTGGCCTGACATCCTCGGTTGTGACCGAGTCGATCAGAGAAAATAGAGCGTCGAGGTCCTTTGGGTTCTGCTCGAGATATTTTGTCATGATCCAAGTCGCGTGCTCTACAGCTTGGTGCGCAGCGAGGCGCAAAGGACCAGGCACTTCATTGGCGCGCAGCTGTCGTTCAAGATCGCTACTCGCCTGCTTCAACCAGGCAAGCGTCTCTTTGTTCGCCATCCACGCGGTAGCGGAATACTGGCAAAGGGCGTCAAGCATGGTGATGGCGTTGACTATGGATGTGGATTTGCCAGGGCGATCCTCGACTGGAACGTCCTTGCAAGCCTGGACCAAGGCCTGAATGTTTGCTGCTGCAAAATCCCTTAGCGGGCCACTGTCTGCATGACGAAGAACCTGAGCGAAGAATCGGCCGTATTTGATGTCGCGAATCTTGTTCAATAGTAAATTCCAGATCTCCTGTGGATACCGGTTCAAGAACTTGTAGATCGGCTTGCGGAAGGGGCTGTGATGGGTCCGACGCAGTTTTGATTCAAGATCCAACGCCGTCTCAATGATACGCTCCTTATAACCTTCTGCCGCAGCCGGTAGGAGATGGAAAATGTTGAAGACAGCGGCAATGACCTCCATCATTTCGTTCTGCTCAAAGAAGGTGAATGATAATTGCTGCAGCATGTTACCATCTGCCAGGTTCTTGACATGATCAAGGAGACGCGTTCCAATCTCGACCTTGAAGTACGAGGTCAGCAGCTTTAGCAGCCTCGCCAGATTGTTGAGCCCTTGGAGGCTAAGTCTCTTTGCATCTTGGAGGCTGGCCAGAACCGGCCTAAGGCCTGACTGCAGCAAATCCTTCGGTAGTTTGTTGTTGATGGACAGGACAGTCTTCAATGCTTCGTAAGCCGCATCGATGATGGGGGTAGGATGCAAATAAAGGCACTTGAAAAAGGTTGCAACAATTCGCGTCCTTTCTTTGTTCGGTTGGTTGGGCTGGCTTGGCTTCATGAAATCCTCGAAATCCATGGCAGTGCTCAGAATCTTGATACAAGAAACACGAAGGCTGACGATATGGTTATGTGTCCGGAACTCGGCGGCTTTGTTCGCGAGCGATTCGTCGCTGGCCTCAGCAAGCGCCAGAGATTCCATGAGCAGACGAGTCAAATTCTCATCCATCTTGACGAAGTCCTGCTTCAAAGACATGTAGTGCGTGACCGCGTCTATGTAGCCAATTTGGATCGAAAACGGTAAAGCGCGGAGAGGCTTGGCGTAGATCTGTGACAGAAGACGATCCCTGTGAGGCTCAAGCAGTTCCCAGACTGGCGCGTCTGCTGCCTTGGCAATGATATCCAGGCATCTTTTGGCGGTCTCTCGAACGTGCTTGTTCATGTGTGGGAGCTCTTGGTTCAACACATTGCAAATCTGGGCCATCCTAGGCTGCTTTGGTGGCTGCTGGCCCCTCTCCTGTGGCACCGGTAGGCAGTCCTCCTTCTTGATGTTTTTCGTGATTCTGTGGAGCAAGATGTCCAGCGTATCTTGCGCCGATCGTCTGGTGTTCTCAGGGAGATCTTGTGGCATGTCTTTGACCACGAAGAGTAAAGCCTTAATGCACTCGCTCTGTTTCATACCGATCCACATGTCTCCAAGATCAACATCCGTCAACAGTATACGAATACCGCAACAGCCACCGGCTTTGGTAAACCACTCCTCCTCATAGCAACCATGGCAGAGAACGGAGCCAAGGTGGTGGAAGAACGTCAGTCGCCCAACATTATTGGATGAGCCAAGTATGATGGTAGCAGACTCATAAACCTCCTGGATGGCTCGTTTAGCGGCTTCACGGACATCTGGATGATCCGAGGCCAGTGACTCGAGGATTGCGTCGCAGAGAACGCGGGTGTCAAGACACATCGGACCTTCTCCGGCATTCACATCGAATGGGCTTGCGCCCCTCTTGCAGTCCACAAGAGCTCTGCCTACTTCTATGATGGCAAAGTGACGGCAAAGATTCAAAAGGAATCCCATGGATTCCTCTTTGAAGCCAGGCAGAGAGTTGGCAAACATCATGGCCTTGATGAGCCGTTTGAGCACATTGTCTTGGTCCTCCTTGTTGGCGACCGAGCGCCCGCGATCCGAGGTCTCAAATATTGAGAAGTCGGCGTCAGTCTTGCGAGCCAGTAAATCCTGGACCTGAAGGCGAACTAGCCGGGGAAGATCATCGGGCAGGTTATCGTACCCAATGCGCAACTTCAGTTGCGCCTTGAGGAAATGAAATGCCTTCTCCTTGTAGAACGCATCGGATTGCTTGGAGGGACCGCCTTTGACTTGCTTCGGAGCTTCCGTCAGCTTCTGGATGGCGAGTTGGATGCCCATATTGACAGGGAACGGCCTCTCCTTCTTTGAGCCCAAGAGCCGCAGGTCAAAACTTGGGCTGTCATCGACGAATTGCTGAAAGCTCAGTGAAATAGCATCTGTCATGTACTTTCGGTTCCGTCCGCCCAACTTTCCGAGGATTCTCATCGTTGTGTGCGCGTGGAAGTGCTGGTAAGGGGCTGGTTTGAGGTGGTCAAAGAGAGCAGACATCAACTCATCCATGACAGGGGCCATGATGGGGTCGAGATAGTCTGCAGTGAGATTGTCGACGCACAGCTCGAGCGTACGCAGTCCCTGGCCGACAAGATCACTCCCCGCTCGCAATGCAACTACCAGCGGCCGCATGAGAAAACTCAAGTGAGGCAGTAGGTTACTCAGCCTGGCAGGAACCGTCAGACACAACTCAACATAGAGATCTCGCTCGGCTGGTTTCCTCGCAGCCCTCAAGAGGTTGTTAAGAACGTCCAAAAGCATCTCAAGAAGTGGCAATATCTTCTTGTAGAGATGCTCAAACTTCCCACCGCCGATGCTCCGAAACAGTGAACGGAGAAGAAGGAAGTAGTTCATGGGCTCCTCGGCCTTGGTAGAGTACTCAATGGACTTGGTGACAATGTCCACAACGTGAGGTAAAAGAACCTGTTCGTTCTGTGCCGCAAACAAGGTGACGGCCATAAAGGCCAATTTGTAGAGCCGCAGGAGTATCGATGCCTTCTTCACATCTGCTGAGCCGACGTCCTCAATGTGTTCCATCAGGAATCTTAGGAGCATGCCACAGAAGCTTGGTGATGTTGCTTCACTCGCGAGGAAGAATTGTGGTATGTGTAGGAGCCCCGTGTGGTCAAATATCATCTCGTATAGACGTGGGATTTCTTGCTGGAAGACCTCGTTGAAAGTGGCTGGATCAATGCAGTGGAACACAGTCGCAAATGTCTCCAAGAGTTCCTTCTCTTCCTTACTGCTCGAGTTCATGTAGAAGTTGGCCATGTACTCAACGGCCGACTGGTACTGAGATTCGCCAATAGGCTTCTCAATCTCGTAGTAGCGAAACACGTAGGCACCTTCCCTGAAGAGCTTGACAATGACCTGCACTTCCTCGGGGCTGAATCCGTATGCAACGTCCTGCCAATGCGCTGGGGCATTCACCTGCTCCACGACGTGCGGTGGGTTGCAAACCTTCAGCTGATAGAACGTGTTCTTCAGGCCGTTCATCAAGTTTTTGAACAGAAACTTGTTGTCAACAACGGGATCTGCACCTTTTTCCCTGGGGTTGGCCGTCTTGATAGGCATCGCATTGAAGATGTCGACCTCGTCCCAGTCCGGAGGATCGGCCTTGTCAGCCAGATACGTGTCAGGTGTCTGATCTTTCGTCTGCTTTGCGTACGCTTTCGACAGCTTCACTGCGTTCGCGTACTGTCGGTTCATGGCGGCGAATTTGTCCCCAATGGCATTCAGAATCATGATCAGGAAGTGACGCGCATCCTCCTTGTTGTCCATCTTGGCGATGCATTCCGCCATGTTCAGCAACAGCTTGGCGCTCATCGTCTGAAAACTGGTGCCGGGGAAGTTATCTTGCAGGTTTCTGGTATAGACCTCGACGGTCTTTCTGATCTGCGCGGGCGTGAGAGAATCTCTGACGTGATGGATAAGGTCTGCAAGCATGCTATACGCCAGAGGCCTCATGTTCTCGTACACAGTGAGCCCATCGCCAATCAGGGTCCTCTCGTCTAAGAGTTCGTCGATCTTGGGCAGGAAGATCTTTCTGAAGTTGAAGTTGATGATGTGACGGATGGCGACAAGAAGTTCTTTCCTAGCACTCGATTTCTCTCGGGGGCAGTCCTTCAGGAGTCTGACCACAATATCCGGCAATGTGGGAAGAAAATCCGTCAGCTGCTGTGAATACTGTCTCAGGAGGTAGGCCAAGAAACTCATGGTCTTGACCTGGGCCGTGATGAACTCGCCGAAAGCTGCTCGGTTCCTGATATTGGGGCTGACACCCGTAAAGACAGTTCGCTTGGATGCTGCCTCAGTGTGTGCCTGTTCTTGAGCCTTCGCCTGCAGACACAGCACACTCTTGATCAAAGGGACAAATGCCTTGACGTTCTGTGGCACGGTCTGCCGGTAGACCTGAAATATCGAGACGACTATTATTGGACATTCTGAGAGAACCTTGAACGATTGCATTCCCTTCAGAAGCGGCCGAGCGGTCGGCTGGTCGGGGCCGCTGAAGTCGGTCGTCGTTGCTGTGGGCGATGCTGGTCGCGGCGACTGGTGTGGGTGGAAGTTTGTCTGTGTGCTCCCGGGAGTAGATGGCATACCACCTGCTCCAGTCGTAGGCTCGTTGTCAAGCTGCTCCCTCACGACACGCTCCATTTGCTCGAACAACTCCTGTATTAGGCTCAGGAACTCCTGGACTTTGCCCGCCACAACCTTGGACTGGAACCGCATGATGTCGGATATGACCTTTACACAAATGACAGCATTTTCTTCATTGTCCGTGCGGACCAGTTTCATCAACAGTTCGACCGTTTCCAACGCGTATGGTTCGAAAGGCTCGGCTGCGGCAGGGACCGTGGGGAATCGATGAAGGATCTCGAGGATGGTGTTTCGAAGTCTCTGTAGATACACAAGGTAAGCACACATCAAACCCGTATAATATAGCAGAGCGTACCTGGTCGTTCGATGTGCTTTGAAATGTGCAAGGGCCATTGAGTATGGACATGAAGACGGGCATGACCCTCTTCAGGAAGACAGGGTATGACGGGCCGGCAGTGAAGACATCGAGATTATCGCGTAATGAAGTAGCGGCCTCGACCTTGACTTTGGACTCTGTAGATTTCGTACAGTCAGTTTGTGGCGCGACAGAAAGCGGCGGGTGGGTGTTGCTACTAACCCATGTCCTGCGCGACAAGGCGCTTGACGACATCTTCAAGGAGTTGCGACATTGTCGCGGCGGGTTGTGATCAAATCGATCCCGACCAGAGTTCCATGGGCAGGCAGGTGCAGTGACTGTCTGCGATTGCTTTGCGAAGGTGGCCCTAGGCTGGTGGCAGCCCAGTTGCCTGCAGTAGGGTTGAGTTGGCAGCGCGGCGCCTCGCCCCCTCCACAGCGACCAAGCTCAAGAGTCGCGACGGAGCTTGGTAATTGCAAATGCGCAACTGGCATTCATTTCACAGTGACGCCCCAAAAGCAGAAAAGTAAAAAGGCCCGCAGCCAAGGTGGGATGAGTAGATGGAGTGGTTGGAGTTGTGTTGTGGGGTTGGTGTTGCTGGGCGCGTGGGTATGGGCGCGGAATAGATGGATGGATAGCTGACCAGCGATGCGACAGAGGCTCGTTCTGAATTCTTTCAAAAGCTCGAGTTGGCAGGGAATTGAGAAGCTGGGGGGACCGGCCGCCAAATCCAACGGTGGCTTACATAACAAACCGTCACACCTAGCGCTGCCCGCTAGATCCACATTCGGTCAAGCGGCATGGAGAATGGGTGTAATCGAGAGGCGCTTGGGCCATTTTGGCACAATAGTGGACGCTGCCTTCTACCTAAGTGTGAATCTAATCTAATCCATCTAATCGATAAGACATGTGAAATCAGAACCAGCTGTATATGGAATCCATTGGCATCTTCACATTCAACTTCATCACTACTTGCCTTTGAATATAGACATCACTTCCTGGGTCTCACATGTCAAAACCCCCAATTCCAATGGCCGCTGGATGAAATTTCTCACCATCCTATTTATAACTACCTTTACCTGGTTTCGTTTCTATTCCATATACATCTAAAGCTATGTACAGCACCTGAGACGGTCCTCATGACCGATGAGAAAAGAGGCTTAAATTGTCTGTAAGGAATTGTTGTTTAAAGCTATGGCTGCCTAAGAAATAGTAGACAGGAAGCAGCGAAACTGCAATCCTATGTCACGAGAGGTATGGAGGCCACTTGGGCTAACAAGATTACCCTGGGAAGCAGAGTACACGGACCTACTGGTTAGTCCTGCAGGCGATCAGCGCATGGCCCTGACAGCGCCTAGATTAAACTATGTGCCGTTCTTTCACATACTAAGCACTACGATTATAGTAGTCAACACTTAAAGACCTAGTGTTACAAAAAGACATTGTGTGAAAAATAATGCTAAAGTAATAATAATTGTATATAGCCTTAGCTTTGTGATGTATGGATAAGTCTAAGGGGTACTGGCTTGATGGCGCCGTTAGTGTAACGGCACGACCATATAGACTACCCTCTGAATTACAGGACGTTCTGTAATTCTGTACCTCTTGGTAGGAACACAGGGGTGGCTATAGTGTAGCGGTCACTCCCCGCAACAGTTAGTTGCCGACATAAGTAGCCCACGAGCTAATTGACGGCGAAGCAGCCATACGGCATAGCCACATTGGTGTCCAGCCCAGTGTGAGCTTGGTCTAGATGTGTAATAGCAACGTCCTCAAAGCTTCACAAGCAGGCATATGTCTTTCTTGTTGACCAAAATGGTGATCAATTGAATAATCGGTGGAAGAACATCAAATCTAACAGTACACCATGCGCCATAAATATCCGGTATTGGTATCTTTTCTCCCCCCCCCCCCCCACATCATAACATAAAACCCTAGTGAGCCTGCTTCCATCAGGAATGCCGAGGCAAAGAAGACAAGAATGATTTCAAGCTTGACCGCCCGGGCAGCTTAACCAAGGGAAGGCAGACCACGCTTGGCACGTCGGAGTGCGCGGGTCATCTTGAACTTGCCGGTTGAGGCAACGATCGCAAAGTTGGCTCCGCTACCACTGCAAGATGTACCGGCTGCGACAGGCATGATGGTGGACCAGGTGCCCGAGGCGCAGATCTGGTAAGAAGTCGAGCTCACACATTGGTAGTCGCCCTCGGCCGTGCAGGCAGATCCAGCGGACTCCGAGCCGCTGCTGCCAGAAGATCCGGAGCCGGAAGATCCGGAGCTGGAAGATCCGGAGCTGGAAGATCCAGAGCTGGAAGATCCAGAGCCCGAGGAGGAGCCCGAGCCCGAGGAGGAGCCCGAGGAGGAACCTGAGGAGGAACCTGAGGAGGAACCTGAACCGCTAGAGCTGGAGCCTGTAGGGGTTGGGGCAGCGGGGGCGGTGGTAGCAACCGTAGCAAAGATACCGCCTGCAGAAGGAGCGGCAGCACCGCCATTGGCAGCTGGCGGGGTAGGTGAGCTTCCTGCATCACCGGTCACACTGGCACCAGATCCAGAGCCAGAGCCTCCAGTAGGCTGGCTAGGGCTTCCAGTGGCACAAGATCCAGTGGGTGCAGCAAACTCAGTTGTTGCACCGTTCAAGCTCTGCACATTTGATCCAGCATCCGGGAAGGTAACGTCCTTGGCGTTCACAGTCTCACAACCGTTGCCAATGTTGGCCTTGAACATGTCCGGAAGCGCCTCGTAGTTGCTCTTGTCGCCGCCGGAAGAGCCAGTGAGATCGACCAAGGCGCAGTTCATGTACATCTCACGGTTTCCGATCTTGTTAAACCATGTCCACGCGAGCACTGCCTTGCCGGAAGGGATGTTGTCGGGCAATGTGAAGTTGTAGTCGAAAGGAACTGGGAGGGTAGCCGACGTGTCGTCACCAAGGTTGCCCTCGGCGTTCTGAGCGGGACAGCCTCCTTCAATGGACGTGACTGTCTTCCAGACGCTGTCCTTGGTCGGGTTCTCATCATACGTGATAGAGACCTGACAGGAGCCACCTCCATGGACAGACTGCCCGATGAAGTTCAGGGGTTGCTGTGAACCCAACTCCATCGAGGTTGTTTCACCGGCAAGCGTTTGGCCAGGAGTAAGCTGGCAAGGATAGTTGCTGCCATCCGCCAACAAGGGGCCATTGGTCGCAGCAGGTGTAGTTGCGCGGACCGGGCTTGCCATCAAGATGTGGGCCTCGGCGATGGAAGCCAAGCTGCAGGCGGCAGCGACAGCGAAAGATTTTGAGAAATACATCCTGTCGATGAGTAGTGCTTTTCGTTCCGGACGAATTGCGCAAAAGAATGTTGGTATCTCGAGGATGAATGAATGCTGTGTCGCTGTTAGAAAATGACTCAAATATATGTATAGTCTTGAGGAACGAAATTGTTCCAAAGCCACTGAGCCTGAGGAAGAAAAGAGCTTATTGCATACCGAACAAGACTTTGTGACAAGGCTGTTGTGTGTCGCAAAAGACTCGGGTGGTCAGGAAGCTTCGAAATTGTCTCAAAATTCTTTTGTTGAAGGAATGGTGTGCACCAGGCTGAAGAGAGATGAAAGGACAAGAATGGCAGAATAGAAGGACTAGCCTTCAGGAGAATGAATGCGACTGCTCAAGTCTTGTTTGAAACGGAAGAAGTGATGAGGTTGTCAATCATCAACCAAATTTGGCCGGGCTGAATGAGCATCTTTATAAATAAGAACGCGGCTTGGGAGGCAACATGTGCTTATTCGGATTCAGGAGACCGTCACTCGCTGTTGGGCTTTCCAGTGGATGAGATCGACCGAAACCCATACCATGTACACTATGTACCCACTCGGGTAATCCAAGATCGTGTATAAGGCAGGATACCTTGACAAAAGGAAGCGGGCAACATCAGCCAGTCAGGGCGTACAGCCACGTCCCTGAGTCCGACATGCGAGGCATGATGGATCTGCTCAAGGGACCAGGGTTGAGGGCCTGATCGCAGAAAAGTACGGATGTCAAGCCTTGATAGGCTGTTCCGATCTCCTGGCTTGTTTCGGAGGTGGCAGAACATCTTTCTGCAGGCGACCGGGATTAAGCAAGGCTCCTCCTTGATCACCCAACGGCAGCCAATGCCCCACGATCTGCAAGTGCTCGCCGTATCACCCCTGACTTTGTCCCGTTTTGGCAAGCGAGGGTAGCATTGCAAATTCTCGCCCCCGAGAGGGCTGGCCACAAGCAGGCACCACACGCCTGATTGAGACAGCTGTTGAACTCAATACGGGGGGACGAAGCAACGTTCAAAGTGGCTGCAATCATTGTTAATTCTCCCTAGGTGCATATTGAAGATGAGGGACTGGCGTCCAGTGGCGCGGTGAATACACGTGAGTCCACGTTTTGGCCGTGGCCGGTGGGTGCACCCGGGTCCCAGATCGCCAAGCTTTGTCCGATGCGGCCTCCAAGGTGGACGACAGACCCGCGGGTGCGGGTCTGTGTGACGAAGTAGCAGCCGTCAAACGAGCCAACATGCCGCAGGGCTCCATGGCCGCGGCTGGAAAGAGAAGCGCTAAACTGCGCATGCAAACAGCGGAACCTGGAGTAGCTACCCTCCAGCCCTCTGGGTCCGGAATGCCACGGCGGTCAGGTTTACAGGACGCAGGTACGCAGGTACGCAGCAAGCCTGATTCAGGGTAAGCCAGGAAAAGGAGAGCGACTGGACGATCCAGGGGCACTCTCTTTTGGGGGTGCCAAGGATAGGTCCCTGCAGCCGTACCTGGTCAACACGATAGGCGCAGTCTTATTTTTTCCCCGGCTGAGCTGCGCCCATTGGACCCCGCAAAACGAAACCGAATTCAGCACCATTTCCATCTCGCAGGAGGCAGCCGAATCACAAGTCGATATGGCCGGTTCGCTGTGACATGTTCCTCAGTAGCCGTCGTCATGCTCCGAGTGGACGCGCACGCCTTTGCAGCACTTGCAAGGGGCCCAGCATATCCATGAGATGCCGACTAAGCGGTGCGGGCAACAGCATCGCAGGCTAGGCCAGGGGTGCCGACACCTGCTGCCCAAGAGGCTGACAACATCGCGTAGCCGGCCTGTGAAGCTGTCGGGCCCTGATGGTGCTTGCCCAATCCCACGGCTCCCTATTGCCTGAAATGTCGGCCGGGCCGAGACAGACACGACGAAAAAAAAAAGGATGGCAGCGTTGGTTTGCTTGGCAAGCTTGACTTAACTGACAGCTGCCAAAGCTGGCTGCGGGATGGGCTGGATGGGTCGGCAAAAGAGCCAAAGTGCCCGGATTTGGATTGTGGCTTATGCGGACGAATCGCGGGAGGCGAGACTGCGGTGGTGGTGGATCCTTGACTGGCAGCCTGGCAGCCTGGCATGCCTGGCAGCCCGAGACACGTCCAGATGGATGGGTGCGCGGTGTGCGGCGAAACCGGGGTGTGTTTCACGTCTCTGTGGAGCCGGGCGGTCGAGCAGCCTCTTCGCCCATCATTCTGGTTCATCCGACCTGATTTGTTTATTGGGCCACTGGCCAATCCGAGGGCCAGATCGGGCACAAGGGCGTGTAAGGTCAGGCAATCAGGCAATCAGGGCAATGCAGGGGAAGTTGAATTGTGACACCTTGCGTGGTTGCGTGGAAGAGCAGGCGGGCTGCACTAGTATCCGGCCATAAGTGTTAGCAACACCAAAACTGCTCAACTTTCAGCATCAATTATACAACATCCACAAAGTGTGTGGTAAGATTTATCATCAACGTCCTACTGAGAATTGAACAAGGATTCCTTTGGTGTTTTTTTCTTGTCGAAAATCCCCTTTCTCGTTAACTTGTAGGCTGCGTAACTCGTTGGCGAAGAATCTCACCTTAGCTGTGGCCGGATACTTTTGCAGAGGGCCTGAAGAGGTGGGAGAGGTGGGAGAGGACTGCATGCTCTGGATGTTTTGAAACAAGCCGGGTCGACGACAGCCAGTCGTTGGTCGCCGTCTGATGGCTTCCACTACCAGCCCCAGGTGTGGGTGGGTTGTGCCGTGCCTGCCGATGAGTAAGGCTGTCCCAGGGGCCCAGGTACCTAGGTACGGAGTAGTCTAGGTAGGTAGTTCTGCAGCCAGTGCTGGCGGGAGGCAGGCGCGTAGCGTTGGCCTCCTGGCGACCCCACTGGCCTAGGATGGGGCTGCGTAGGTCTCCCGTCGGCTGGCCGTGACTGTATCAGCACATAGGAACCTAATTCGACAACAACACTGCCATGCATGCGCAGCGGCACGCACATGTTCCCACCCTTTGCGACCCTCACGAGGCATGGCCGATATACGCGCGCCTACATGCTATTCAACGGTCTTCCTTACCACTGCCCAGTCGTGCTGACGACCCATGTGGCGAGCAAACCAGGGGCGCATGAACGAACGGCTGACTGGGCGGGCGGGCGAGCATGGTCGGCCCCTTGTGCCATTGAGCTTTTGGTCTGGTCACGAAATGACTCGCCGGCCCCAGGCCCCAGGGGACAATGCCCATTCATCCGATGTGAAGGGGGCGGCGCTGCGCAAGCGATCGGCGCGGGCATGGGACCCGGCTGGCCTGTCAATGCTGCTGCGGCTGCTGCGGCTGCTGCTACTGTGGTAGACGGTCATGCCAGATCGCTGGCCAGCCAGCCAGCCAGCCAGCCCAGGCCCTCCACCATCCTTGCGCAGCTGATCTGCCCCCTGAATGTCCTACCGGCATTGTTTTTTAGATGAATATCTCGGACGACAACCATGGCAGCGCGGCAATAGGCGCCACCGGCCCACCCATTACGGGCCGCGGTCCGGCGAGAGTCTCGGGGCGGCGAGAGTCAGGTAGCCAGTTGGCCTCTCGGGGCCTCTCGGATGAAAATGATGCTCTATTGTTTTGCCACCTCTAGGTCTAGTTCAGCTCCTCTTTCGGGGGCTAAAGATGCCCGTGGGCCACGACATCGCTGTGGCAGTTGTGGTCGACTCTTACCCTCATTGCCTCAGATCAGACGGCTCCACCAACGCTGGCGGGCTGGTCGGGGTCGCAGTCTGTTCCGCATGGTCAGCATTGTTGCCACAAGCCAGCTTCTAATCAGACAAGTCAGCTCACCCTCGAAGACATAGCCGGCTCGTGTCCACTTCTGAAGCTTGTCGCGGCGGAACTCCGCGAAGTCCCATTCCTTGTCCTCGAGCGAGTCCTTGTCCAGGAAGATGTAGGACTCAGTGATGACCTGTTCGCCCTCCACGTTGCCCTCGCCCTTCTCATTGCCAACCTTGGTCAGGAGCTTAGGACGGACGACCCTCCGGTCGTAGGCTGCGCCCTCAAAGAAGTCAAGCCGCTCCAGGTTGGCTTTTGTGATGCCGCTAATCACAGCGCCACGGACGGAGTGGTCGGGGTCCTCGACCATGCCTGGGTACTCAGCACCGCGGACCCGGCGTCGGCAGTGGCCATGCAAAATGGCAGGCTGGAAGTCATGGCGCTTTCGAATCTCCTCCGGTGGGTCTTTGTTGTCATAGCACACTGAGAAGAACACTTGAGGTTCCATCTAAGCAGCCACTGCTAGTCAACTGACTGGACTGGCGGGGGGGGGGGGGCGTGGAATCAAAAGGGTGTCTTGTTTACCAGGGTGCCTTCAAGTTGGTCAGTCTACATGTCCAAATTTGTGGCTTCGGCTGCATACGAACCGTAGAAGAACGCGGTGCGCGTCTCAACTTGCTCCCCCTTGCTGTCTGCCATAGCTGCCGGTACAGGTCCTCGACGGGGATGAGGTATGGCGAGGTGAGGACACGCCGAGCAGCTGTCAGATTAGGAGAGGGTCTTGAGAGCTGCCTAGGTGTTTCGAGGCACTCAGCCAGTATGTTGAGAAGCAGCCAAGTCTCAGCGACGGAGGAGCCTTTAGGAAGCCTCGTCTATACCAAGTATCCACGTGCTCTGATAAGCTGCGGCACAATTGAGTTGCCTGGCAGCCGTGATCGGCCAGCTGCGCACTAGTCGATCTCCAGCTGCTGAGTCAACGACACCGAACTACCTACTAAGTACTTAAGTAGGTACACCTGCATGCAAATGTTGTTATCTTCTACAAATGAAATGCAGTTGCATTGCACTGTTAGATGGACGGAACTCCGCTGAAATTGTCATGAATTGCAGTCGGGGCGTTCCCCATTGTCACCATTATCCTTGTCAAAGCTAGAGTTAGTAATCGCTGCGTCTACACATCAATACCAAGAAGGGCACTCGTGCTTGGATTGCCAAAATGCTGTATGTACATGCATCATCTATGTTATCAGATTACATCATGGAATTACAACAGAAAATACCAATTGTCTATCCCTCAACCATTGGACCCTCCATGGTGCTTTGGCCTTATTTTTGGGGCCTTTTTGTCCAGCAGCACAACATGGGGATCCAACTCGATGCCCCAGTGTGCTGCCCCGTCCACCCTGACATTCCATATCTCCCAAAACTGTGTGTCTCTACAGGCCGCTGTCTCGGAAAAACGAGAGTTGGCCCCCCCCCTGCAAAATGCCCCCTATTCAAAAGTTAAACACTCCCTTTTAAAAGTAATTTCCTTTTAATAACTCTTTTCATACTTAACTTAAAAATATATAAAAAATATATTTATAATCCTTATAAAAGTCTTTATAAAATTAAATTTTTAAAATAATTTTTATTTAATGTTTATATATTACTAGGGTTGTAAGTTAAACTACTTAATAAGTCCGTATACTTACTTATCTTATCAACCTAGTAACCTCTATACTTTATATAAAAAAGATTTAATAATAAATATTTAAAAAATATCACTATATAGAAGTTTTAATAAGGATTATATATATATTTTTTATATATTTTTAGGTTAAGTATTAATAGAGTTATTAAAAGAAGACTACTTTTTAATAAACCTTTAAAATTTTTGACAGGGGTAATAAAACAGGGGGGGGCCAACTCTCGTTTTTCCGAGACAGCGGTCACTCTTCACAGACCCACCATACATCCCCAGAGCCCGACTCCCCGCCACGAAAGCAATGCTTGATCCGATCGTGGACGGCATCTTCGGAAGCAGCATCTCGAGCTGTCATGCTGCAGTATAAGATTCCTGTATCACAGTGGTATCCAGGAAGTCAGAAAATGTGCCGTTATGAAGACCAATCGCAAATCCGACCATAGCTAGGTAGTCATAGTTGGCCATGAGATATTCGACTTCAACGACTTGGCGTACTGATCTCATGCTCAAGTGTGAGGTTACCGGGATAGTCTCTGAGAATATCCATGGATGAGAATCCGGCATGCAGAAGGAATCTGAGGCCCGTGCTGTTGAATACAGAACTGTTAAGTGGGGATGGCGGAGACAACTCGACGAGAAGCTTTTCCAGTGGTTGACCCGTAAGCGCGTCAACCACAATTGACACCTCCTGCTCCTGTGTGCAGGACGGCTCGCAGAACATAGCGGTCATATTATCAAACGTTGCGTTCATCCCAGTCCCCGTTCCGTGGCCGTATATGGCGAGAAACAGTTTCTCAAAAACTGATGAGAAAACTCTTTCTTGCACACCGTATTGGCCAGGTGCCAGTCAAGATGCGCGTCGCCTTTGTAGCCAATGTACTGCATGTTGTAATGACCTTCCTCCTCCCGCTAAGCGACACATTCTGCACGCAGCCTCGGCCATTGTCGAATAGATACTGACCGCCCCGAACAGCTTCAATCGTTGGCGTAAGAGCAGCCGACCGCCAACAATCCAGGCTAGTCGCGAATCTCATCAATAGTATTCACGGTCCATGTCTCGTGGAACCTCACCGGTGCGTTATGGGTAGGAGAAAATGGAAGCAATGTGTAGTCAGCTGTCGTATACTTGGACAAATCCTATTCATACCAAGCTGTGCCGTAAGCTGCATTCGGAACCGAAGCATCAAGGAGTATCGCTTGTTCCTCGACAAAATAAAGCCAGACCTGATGGATATGTCAACGCTTCTACATACCCTCACTGTTTGTTTCCCGAAGATTGAGCCTTGTAAAAGTGTGATCACCCAAAATACCAACACCATTATAGAGCCTGCAAGGAACACAGGCCAGTGCCTTTGCTTCCAATCTTTGATCGGAACGAAATACAAGAATTTAGAGGGATAGTTCAGCAGAAATGACTGCTTTGCATTCGCGCCATGGGGCCGCGACAGCTCAAACCACGGCTGCATCCTGCGCACATCGAGGTTGGTCCACGTCCAGAGGGGATGATACAGCACGGCGATTGTTGTCGGCATATACAGACAGGCGATCTTGACTGAGTCCGAGATGTCATCCTCGGATGATGAGAGAGCTAGAGCTCCCTTTCTCTGGCTCTTCTGGGCGAGGAACTCGAGCACTCCGGCCAGGGCGAGGGATATCACGACGACGGAGCAGAGCACCGGCGCCCGCATCGTATACGGTCTCCATCCCGCATGAGAGGCTACAGCCCAACATACCAGCCTCGCCTTGGGAGTAAACCATGGTGATCATGTTGCATAAAGCCGGACATACCATTGTGCCTACCCCGGAGCCGTTGGCTCAGCCTGTTGCCTGCCTGCTTTGGTGTAGTGTAGCACCTGATAGGCTGTGCTTGTGGGAATACTTCTCGGACACCTAGCGTTGCCGGCAACTTCGCTGAACTGGTTGGCACCTGGAAACGACTCCTATCAGACATGGCAGTAATACGCGCTGCCATCCCAGGTCAAAAACAAAAATAAAAAAATGAGGAACATCCCTGCCCAGAGAAAGTGGGACGGGGGACAAAAGGGAGAAAAAGAAAGGGCTGATAATTGCATGTGTGTACAGAATTATGTGAGAGTATTCTGTCACAATGCCTGGAGCATACTAGTACCAAGCTGCTCTTACATTATAGACTTCATGACTGCCACTGCACAACAGGACAGGCATTCTGCAGCCCTACGGTACAGCGTCACAGCGCATGCAGCTTTGCATGGTGGGCCCTGAGGAGCCAGAGGTGAGCTTGTCAATCAGCCCAGGCCGCTCAAATTGTCATCACCAATAGTCCCGTTCTTAATCCACTGCGACAGCAAGCCGTCCGACATCGTTGGCCCGCACTTTCGTCGCCTTTGGCCTTTCCAGGACTCGTCATGGACCACGAGGCGCCCTCAAAAGTTCCAACAATGGTCCCCCATGATGAGCTCAGCAGTGAGTTTGAGACTTCACTTTCCAAACTTCGGCTTAGACGTGAAGCAGGTCAGATCATTGGACCTGGTAGATATATTTCGTGGCGCTTCGGCGTCAACTCGAGTGATGTGAGTGGCTGCTAGCTAAGCGCGTGTAATGCCAAAGCATGGCCCAGGACAGGGCTTTGGAGAGCCAAAAATGGCGTCGATGAGATGCCCGGCATGGTGCAAGCGACGGGTCGTATCAGCAAGTCAAATTGAACTGTGCTCAGAACTAATCGTGATCGGGATTATTGCGAGAGTGAGACGCTAGCCCGCCAAACGTTGTTGGTAAAATATGGTATCTATTCCACAGGATGCCATGCCTTTCGAGACCATTTGTTCTGACAATGCTGAGAATCGCGAACCGGCCAACTATACGCCTACCAAGATGCATGCCGAGACGCCTTGAAAATGCCGGAAACCTTTCGTCAAACCTCATTATAGAATTAGTTGTCGTCACTCATTTCCATCAAGCTTGGCCGTCCCTCCGGTTGAGACAGGCCTCGGGCCACGGCTTTCTCCTTGCCTTTGCCCTTGTTCCTATTATGGAGGCCATTGAGCTTGGCCGCCAGCTTCGATGTTGCTGCATATTTGCGCTGTTCTAACACCTGCTCAAACTCGGCCAATTCTGCGTCATCGGTGATTTCGCCGACGATATGACCAGAGTTTGAACACTCGTCCAGCGCTTTCACCAGAAGCTCAGTTGCAATCGGGTCCTGTGGATGTATGGCCAGTGCTTCGTGCAAGACGTTCACTGCCTCTTCCGGCTTCCCGCTGTCAAGGTATATCAAACCTTTTGCGCAGAATATGGGCGCGTCCTTGCCACCCTCCCGCAGAACCATGTCGAACTCGTCGAGTGCCTGCTGCGATTTTCGCTGTCGCCGGTAGGCATGGCCTAGATTGGTTCGCGCAACAATCCATGCCTGTGGGTCGCTGTCAATCTCTTCAGCAATCGCAAGAGACTGTTTAAAGTAGTCTACCGCCTCGTTGAGGCGATTCTGGTGATAGTACACGATCCCCATCTCGTTCAAGAGCAGTGGGTCTGTTTTGCACAACCCATAGGCCGTGTTGAGAAACTCCTCGGCCACAGTCATGTTGTTCATAGCGTGGTGCTGCATACCCAGGAACACCTGTGGCAGATGCGTTCCCATAAACAACCTCGCAGCAGTCGAGTAGGCTGAGATGGCCTGGTCATGCTCGCCTTCCGCAGCGAACGTGTGTGCAAAACCAATCCAGGCAGGGCCGAAGTGAGCGTCCATCATGCTGGCTTTGCTGGAATAGCGTCGTGCTTCGGCAATTTTCCCTGTCAGGTAGTAATAGATAGCAACAGCAAGCCACGTGCAGGGCTCCTCAGGGTGGCTGTCAGCAAGCTCGTGGGCGACCAGGAACAGAAGGTTTTTCTCTTTCAGTTCGTAAAGACATGCCAAATGAATCGGATAGACGCTGAAATTGTACTTGTCATCGACAAGTACTGCATTGGTAATCTCGAGAGCATCTCTGTAGCGGGATTGTGTATAGAGCAAGTCCGCCCTGGCCAGGAGAAGATCCGCGTTGTCCTTGAGCTTGTAGTGCGTGGCCAGACTCTCACAAGCCGTGTTGAAGGCATCTTGGTTTTGATATTTGGACAAGCGAGTGCTGTAGAGCATTTCGACGTAACTGGCGATTTCCTGGGAGGTGTCAAGGTCACCCTCAGTGCTGATGGAATCGAAGTCAAGGGAGTGGAGGAACTCCCACTCCTCCTCTGACGACAGTAAAGAATTCTTGGTCAGCTGGTTGAATGCCTCGAAGCATTGGACATCGATCCGAACGGCATTCTTGTAGCACTCCTTGGCACGATCAAAAGCGTTCAGCTTGGCATGGCAGATGCCTCGCAGGTAGCACATTCCGGCTTCATACCGCCGACTGATCGCTTCCACCTCTTTCTGTGTATCGCGTGACGGTTTCAAGGTGCTCGCTGCTCTGGCAGTTGCCCCCGAGTGGGTTTTGCGCTTGCTCGACTCGTTTGATTTGATCAGGTAGGTGGGGTCGCGATCTCCCAGCACGGTCAGGGCCTCGTCGAAGCGCGATTGTTTGACGAGGCAGTGTGCTGCAAGGTACTGGCAGGAGGGATTTCTTCGGACAAGGTCCCTGCTCTCAAGGAAACGTTGGGCGCGTGTGTAATTGCCGGTGGAGAAGTGGACTTGGGCCATCCAGAAGGCGTCGTTGTCGTCATCTGCACACGCTGCCTGTTAGCAGAAGTCCAACCCGCACGCGAGCCAAGTGGGACAGCTTACTTGTGAGAGCAAGAAGCTTGTCGCCAATGAAGATTGCTGTCTGGAATTGGCCGGAATTAAAGGCCGTCTGCCTCCAGTTTCGCAGGAACCCCTCCATTTTGGCATTGTCTTCCTCGCCGCTGTCAGAAGACATGATGGGCAATATCGCACCAGGTTTTCCGAACTTGAAGACCTGGAGGAGCTGCTGTGGGTCCCTGGTCGTCAGCAACCGAGGTCGGGGCACGCAGCAATTCAATGGAGCAGCTGGATGTCAACAAGACACCTGACTAGAAGAACCATGATCTCACGCGTTGTTTGGCCGGGTTGTTGACCAGGACTCTCTTATCTTATCTTAGCTTACCACTAAACCTCCGCAGTGTGACGCAAGCAACTGAACAAGGCACCCTACGCTCTAGGCTCTAGGCTCTGGGCGTGCACTTGGTCCACAACCTTCAGAACTCCAGCACTGGCCTCTCTTCCTCTTTCCTTGGGCCGTCCACCCGAGACTCTCAATGCCAACATAGCTTGCTAATAAGACGGCTTAACTTTCAGATATCCGTCACACTGTGACAATGCCAAATTGTCTACTGTCAAATGCCCAGAAGAGATAGGGAAAAACTCAGGGCCAAGTGGCCATTGTTGCAGATGAGGGGACAGGGCCAGGTCGGGTGCAAGGACAGCCATTGCCGCTACAAATCCAATTTTCATTGTCCTTGGACTGTTACAAGATTTGATCATGATGCTACAAGATGAGTCAGATGTCTTCAGCTGTGCCTGGACAAGCCCTAGAGCCATGACAACAATCTTTGGCCTCATGCCGGAGGCGCATGCTGTAGCCTAACACAGGAGCCTGGAACAAGACTCATCTCATCAGTCTGAGGCCAAAGGAACAAGCAATCTTCTGATAGATGACTTCGGAAATTTTAAGGGCTTGTATGGCTTCATTTGGGTAGGCAAATTGGTATAAATACCACCTACCTACTAGGTAACTTGGCCCAAGTCTGTCCGCTGCAGACTTGGTTCTCATCACCCCCAACCTTGGATGATACTCTCATTAAGACTCTCAATTCTAAGCGACTATCACCCAGAGACCATGGCTTCTTCAGAAATCCTTTCACAGACTCTTCTGTCAATCACCAATACCAAGCTTTCTCAGCTTAACAAGCAGAAAGATGCCTACAACAACAGAAAGCAACTTCTCATCGAGGGTGCTGATGCACAGGCAGATCACATCAAGCGTGCTCGTGAGCTCGTCGAGGGATTCAAAGAGCTGCCCAGCATGATGTCCTCAACTCCGAGCCCTTTGATGCCACTGGAGAATCTCAACCGTTTCATCCAGCAAGCCCAGCATGATCCAGCCGTCACCGACACCTTTATCCAAGAGTACGAGTCTCAGGCCCGCAACGAATTGCAAGTCCAGTCCAACCGATACGCATTCGCTTCACTCTACGGACAGCTCGTCAATGAGTGGATCTCGGCGGGCAAGGCGCATGAGAGTGAACCTGAAGCTGCCTCCACGGCAGTGGGCCGCGAGGAAGCCCGTGTTCAACGAGCGACGTGGGAAGAGTATGTCTTCGCTGCCAAGTCTACAGACAAGGAGGCGATCAAGGAGTACTTGAGCTCCGTCTTTGAGGCTGAAGAGGAAGTCAAGGATCATCTGTCCCAGTTGAAGGACCACCTGAAGCTATTCCAGGACAACTGGTCCTTCGGCCCGCACTTCAATGTCGACAGTCTCACTGCAACGATCAAGGGCATGCTGCGAAGCGATGTATTGACAGATTTGAAGAGAGCAACATTGAAGGACTTCGTGGGGAATGAGACAGTCTTGGAGGAGATTGCCGATGTCTTAAACGTACGAATGGCTACTTTCAAGTCCTGGTCGTGGGAGAACGACCTGGTGATCGACCAGCGGCGGCAGCTCAATGGAAGATACCGCTTTTATCCCGACGAGGATCTCCTCCAATCTATTTTCCTGCACTACATCGGTATGCGCTGGGCGGTGGAATTCCATGGGAGGTTTCGAGGGCTTCTCGACGTGTGGAAACCGAATCTCAAACCCCTTGATAGCAGATCTCAGCGACGCCTGGACTTCTTCCTCGGCGTATCAGACGGATTGGCTGTCGGCGGAGTGGTTCCGGGGACATTGGAGGCAGAAAAGAAAAGCCATTTTGAGGATGAGATATTCCTCGATCAGTTGCCGAAGTCCTTCGAGGAGACGCGGGGGACCTACGGATCGATGGACGATGCCGAGACGGCAGACACGAGGAAGAGTCACATCAACGTCGTCCAGCACCTTCTCCACATGATCGAGGCAGACATTCGTTTGCAGAGGCGTTTTGGCAAGGATGTCACAGTCATCCGATCGGACTTCAAGTGGTTCGGTCCCAGCATTCCCCACTCTTCCATCGCTGCTGTGCTCGAATTCTTCGGCGTCGGTGCAGACTGGCTAGAATTTTTTAAGAAGGTTCTCGAGGCCCCCATGAGATTCAAGCAAAACCCGGAGGGTGGCCCTAGTCGAATTCGCAGGCGTGGCACCCCTTTGAGCACTCCGCTTGCGGATGTGTTTGGCGAGGCGCTGCTATTCTGTGTGGACTTTGCAGTCAATCAGAAGGCCGACGGTGCTCGCTTGTACAGACTGCACGACGACATGTGGCTCTGGGGGGATACGGAGGCTTGCGTGAATGGTTGGGAGGTCTTGGGCAAGTGTGCGAATGTTCTCGGTCTCGACTTCAATCTCGAGAAGACGGGCTCGGCTTCGATTCTGCAAGTTGAGGGGTCGTTGGACTCTGGTCTTGCCTCAGGTCTGCCCGAGGGCGAGGTCACTTGGGGTTTTTTGAAGCTTGATCGACACACCGGACATTTCGTCATCGACCAGGACGAAGTTGATAAGCATATCGAAGAGCTTCGGGTCCAGTTGGATGCGTGCAAGACTGTCTTTGACTGGATCCAGGCGTGGAACACTTACGGGGCACGTTTCTTCTCCAACTTCTTTGGCCGGCCTGCGAACTGCTCTGCCAGGGCGCATGTCGACAGCATGCTGGAGACCTTCCAAAGGATACAGAAAAAGCTGTTCCCTGACACCCCGGGCGGCGCCGGAGCTCATCTGAAGAACATGATCGCGCAACGCTTCAGCATCCCGTTGTCGGATCTTCCAGATGGATACGTCTACTTCCCACCTGAGTTCGGAGGCCTGGGCCTGAAGAATCCTTTCATCGACCTCTGTCTCATCCGTGACGCAGTGGTGGAAGATCCGGACAAGGAGGTCGATTCGTTCTTCGAGCAAGAGGCAAGGGATTGGCGGAAGGCCAGAGCTACATTTGACAGTGGCGCGATCCGGGCCAGGAGACCTTCTAGGGCTTATGACTTCAACGATCTCGAGGGCGAGCCATTCATGAGCCTTGAGGAGTTCCGCTCATACCGTGAACGTCTGAGCAAGTCTCTCGGCCATGTTTTCAGGGGATTGGTGGAGGAACCCGGGTCCAAGAACCTGACGCTCAAGGGTGCGGTCAAGGCGGTGCTTGAGCCATACCAGTGGAATGAATTGTCCAGTTATGATCAATGGGTTCTTCAGTTGTTCAGCAAGGACATGATTGCGCGCTTCGGCGGTTTGGAAGTTGTTGAGAGAGGGCTTTTGCCGCTAGGTCTGATGGGGATGCTTCGCCAGAGCAAATTCCAGTGGTTGGGCTGAGTGGTGAACAGATCTGGACCGAGAAAATTTCGGCACTTTCAACCAGGCAGGGCAGACCACGCAACCTACGCAGATGAGAATTTGGAAACAGTCCCAGCCTAGAATTGAATACATTGTAAAATTACTGTCATCTCAGGTATGCAAGAATCATGGTGTCTTGCCTAGTCAGAGCGCCTGGACGTTCGACAGAGGTGCGAGTGTGACGTGTAACTCTGTCAGCCTGTTTGAATTGATCCGAATCTATTGGCAACCTGCGTTGATGCGACCAGCACACCTTCTTCGGAACTCGGAACACGGATAAGAAAATGTGGACTAGACTTCGGGGCCTTCCGCCAACGCCACAAGGCTTCGTGTAATGCCTCTTTTGCATTTTTTAACTTCTTGTGTTTTGCACGCCATGGGGTGTCAAATGGGCAGCAGCCGATGTTGAGCCAGCCAGCTTGATTAACCACGGTGAACACTTTGTGGAGGCCTTGCATATTACCTACCATAGCGCTCCCTAGGGGGTTTTCGAAAACGGTCACTAGACCGTCCCCTTGGCTGTTAAGACGTCCCCTCCAGCTTCAAAGTGGTACCTTGTACCTCCCAACCGTTTCCTTACCAATACTCTCTGGCGACGGCTATAAGGTACATCAGTACCTTTCTTCAAGACCAGATTTTCTTCAAAACCAAAGGGTCCTTCAAAACCTTCCCTTCCCTCTTAAGACCTTCCCTCAGAGGCCCAGAATGCTCCTTCCGCCAGGGGAGAGAAGTCAACCAGAGGGCTTCAAGGGCAAGCAAGCAAGCAAAGGGCCAGCCAGGGGTCTATTCCAGAGGGGAAGACTACTAGAGGAATGGGAGAGGAATTCTCTCTCGGCCAGTCTTTACGCCGAAGCAAAAGCATGAAGTTTAAGGATTCTGAAGACTAGTGCCTTCTGAAGACCTCTTCTCTCTGAGAGACCTCCTTCTTGCTTAGAGACTGCTGAGGAAGGAAGGAACTGTTGGCAGTTATAGCCGTCGCCAGACCGTAATAGGGTGGAGACGATTTTCAAAAACCCCCAGGTGCGCGGTACGGTAGGCAGGCATGGAACACGATGGCTCTTCTGAGAGTGCACCAGGGATTGGAAGTCCCCATTGCTGGCAAGACCTCTAGCAAAACCTTTCTGATGACTGCAAATGGACTAAACAGGATATTCAAGACTTTTATGCACCTACCGTATTATGACCATCGTTATCGACATCGTGTCTCTTGAGCGCTTACCACCGTATAAAGGCGTCATGTACCTAGGTATGTCCTCGGACGTATACGGAATAGAAGCGAAACCACATAGTACGCAAACGCAAAGAATTTGAGTATCCAGAGCCTGATGAAGCAACTCAGGCGATGTGGAAGTGTTGGCCGAATTTTCAGAAGCGCAGGGGCATGTTGCTCAAAATCAGCTGGAAAGATGGATGGCTAGCCGGAGGTGTTACTGAGGTAGGACGGCCGTCTGCCGTTGTAATTTGAAGAGCCTTCTAAAATGGCAATCAACCGAAAATTGAGGCTCACTTCCGGCCCCCACAATGGGCGTCTTATCTTCGAAGACATGTGGTACGTCAAGGGGGTGGGTGCGCGCATGCATAAAGGATGCGAGAGGGAGCCAGCGTCCACCCGCCCAGTGCAAAATTTTAGGTATAGGATCCATATTAAACAATATACCTAACCGGGATTCTCCAAATTCTCAATACTTAAGGTGCAAAGCCCCTTCTAGTACCCCTTCCCCTTTGCCTTCCCCTTCGCCTTCACCTTCTAGCCTCTTAGCCCTCGAGTATTCAGTCAATACCTAAACGGTCAGTTAGTACCTAAATACATATAGGGTAGAAGGGGTGTTAGAAGGTTAGAAGGTGACAGCGAAGGTGAAGGCGAAGGTGAAGGCGAAGGGACTTGTACCTTCAGTAGCTTAAATTAGAAAAGAAATCACACAAAACACTTAGTGCTGACTCAGAAGGCACTTACAAATGTAACGGAGTTACTGGTATTTCAGGCATTGCGCGCTAAATTTCTGACCACCCTCCGATGTGCTAAGGAGGTAGGTTGTAAGCAATGCTACGAGTATTGGAGAATGTCTTATTAGTGATGTGTGTATTGAAGTGTTGACTTTTCCGAAATCTTGCTATTTGAGGCTGTTGCTAAAACGGAACGTAAACTTATTAGAGGCTTTATGAGATATTAACGGTTGCATTGAATTGATGAACTGAGCCTGGTTTCCTTGTATGCTGACAGCCTTCTCTATAAAATGCCATTGGAAACAGGAATACCATTTACATTCACTCCGTGTTCTATCCATTTACTCCATTGTTGCTCAATATCAAGCACATATTTTACAGTTTACTCTCCCCTTACAAACCTACCTATGTATCTTTGAGGTTCCTATGCACTGCTCTGTTCCTGAATCATGAGCTTCACAGAGGATAAGCTGCCTTCCCAGGACAAGGTCGAGGAGACCCATCCAACAACACTGGACCCGTCAGCTTCAGGTGACGATGGGAGGCCTCAACCCAAGTCTGTTGGGTTTAAGCTTACTGTGCTCTTCCTTTGCACTGTCACTGTTGCAGGAGCCATGGACGCTGTGATAGTTGCAGCTTGCTTGCAAGCTATAGCAGAAGACTTGAGAAGCAGCTCCAATGAATCCTTCTGGGTCGGAACATCATTCCTCCTTGCACAGACTGTCACAATACCCATGTATGGAACAACAAGCGAGATTTTTGGACGCAAGTGGCCTATCCTTCTGGCTGTCTCTATCTTCACAATTGGGAGCATCTTATGTGCTACTGCCAAAACGGTTGCATGGTTGATCGGTGCGCGAGTCGTACAAGGCATTGGAGCTGGCGGCATGATTCAACTCGTGCAGGTCATTTTGTCGGACATCAGCACAATGAGTGAGCGGGGTCTGTATATGGCATTCGCAGCCTTGGCTTGGAGCTTGGGAACAAACATAGGGTAAGTATGAAATTTTGCATTTCACTCGCACCCCAGCTGGAGTCTTCATTAACGGCATCTGAAAGAATACCAATTGGTGGAGCTATTGGTACCTACGCTACTTGGCGTTGGGTTTTCTGGATCAATGTTCCGATATGTGTTCCGTCCATCATCGGCCTGATCTTCTGCATGCATTTGCATCAAGATTCATCCTCCTTCATCAAAAGAATTGGTATGGTCGATTGGCTCGGTCTTTTCACCGTTACCAGTGCATCCACTCTATTCTTAGTGGGCCTCACTTCGGGAGGGGTCTCCCATCCCTGGGATTCTGGCAAAGTTCTCGCACCTCTGATCATAGGCTTCCTGCTCTATGTGGTCTTTATTTGTATCGAATGGAAGGTCGCGGCGAGACCGATGATGCCGTTGAGGATTTTCAACGACAGGTCTGCTGTTACTGGGTTCGCAACTAGCTTTCTTCAAGGGCTGATAGTTTGGTGCTACACTTACTACTTCATTCTCTTTGTAAGTCACCCAGGCTACGATAAGTGGAAAACACTGACAAAGTTGAAGTTCCTCGGGGGGCTCCAGCACAGCCTTCTTCATTCTGCACTCGAGAGCATGACGACGCTGGCCTATAGTGCACCGGCAGGCCTGGTGGCAAGCATCATCGTCAAGCGGACACAGAGGTTCAAATACCTGATCTGCATTGGGTGGGCCCTGCTCGCGGCAGGAATGGCCTCAAATGCAAGACCCACATGCCTCGGCCATACTGAATCTTGGTAGTAGGCTAACCGGTCACATTCTAGGTCACAATGAACCCAGAGAGTAGCAAGGCCGTTCTATATGCTCCTCGCTGCTTGGCATCCATTGGTGCCGGAATCCTGTTTCCAACGCCTTTATTTGCAGTGCAAGCACGGCAAAGAGGACAGGATATTGGCATTGCAACTAGTGTTCAGGTCTTCGCTCGCAGTCTCGGCACAACTTTTGGAGTCGGAATTGGCGGAGTCGTTTTTCAAAATGAATGGACGAGGGTCGTATCTGGCAAGGTAAGGGAGAACAAGATACCAGAGGGCCTAGCAATTCCTGGCAGTCATGCTGAGATTGCATACACAATTATCGAAAGTTTTCCAAGGGACATACAAACGGCATATCGATGGGTATTTTCAGACAGCCTAAGAACTGTCTGGTGGCTATTGATGGGCTTGTCAATTGGGGGTTTCTTGATCAGTGTGACGGCAAGGAATGACAAGGTGGCGGGTGGGCTATCTGGGTCGCAGAATTTCCGTGACAAGACAGTGAACAAGCTCGAGGAAGGAAGATAGCTATTTTGTCATCATGTGATATTGAGCACCAAAATAAATCCCGCGAAAGCACAATTCGAAGCTTATTGGTTGTTGTTTTCTTCTTTTTCTTTCCAGCGGATACGAGAGAGCAATGGTACAGCCAATACCCGACGGATTTGCTCCTGCACCACACCTGGAAGACCACGTTGCCGAGACCCGCTGGGAACAAGGACCAAAGGCCAAGAAGTTCGAGCAAGTCATCGTCTGCATGAAGCGACTCTTCGATACCACAGTCATGACATCTGCTGCATATCCGTCAGAGCAACTCTAGGAGAGCTCCCTTCGGCCGCCATCCTAAGGTCTTCAGCCACAGAGCCCTACTAGTAATCTTCTGGCCCGTGCAGTGATGAACAATTTCCCCTGGCCGGGTCAAGCCTACGCTGCAGTTCGAGCAGTGGCAGGGTGAAAGGTACGTGGTTTTCCAATCATAATGTAAATCATTGTGTCGTCAACACGGAGAATATCCAGGTCTGTCATGCGAACCGCTTTTGATATTCGTGGCATCTGGCCGACAGCTCGCGACCAGGCCTTGATTAGAGGGTACAATAGACGCTCCTCGGGCACGAGGCGGAACGTCCAGCAAGAGGTCACCCCTGGTTGCAAGATATCGACGATCTGGTTGAACTCCCTGGTAGCTCTGGATTCATCGGATCCATAACCAGGAGGCATATCTGCGTCCGTAGCGCCAGCTGGCTCGATGCCAATTGGGTGTAGCTCAT